TCATGACATCCCGCCGCGCCGGAACCGCTAGAAGAACCGCCTTGAAGTATTGCCGGCGCCAGCGAATTCAATTTTTCGCCCTCCCACGCCCCGGCCCAATCACGAGCATTTGAGCCGGATGCTGTGTCCGCACTAGTAGGCTCGTGGGATGCCCGGCTCGGCCAAAGTTGTTGAGCAGGGACGCCAGCCTTCTCACGACTCGCCACGGCACGCTCCCCGACACCACCATCGCTTGAGACGGGGGCATCATTCGGACCATGATCGCCTCCAGAGAGCTTCTCGGTCTGCCACCCCAGCTTGGGCATGCACACCGGCGGCCGAAAGCAAAAAAAGAAAAAAAACCATGGTCCGACCTTTTGTCGTCCGCGTCGCGCTCTCTGCCAAACCAGGACCGCCGGCATGTCCCTGCATTGATCGCCCGTTCATCCCGCCACCCCATCCGCGCCGCGCTGGGGCCTTTTGTGGCTGGCGAGCATCCGGAAGGCGAGCGGGAGACTCGTCAATGCAGATCACGGTTGCGAAAAATGGACAGAGGGAGTAGTCCCTAGTGCATGCCGTCATGGCAGCTGAGCCCGCGGCGGGCCCTATTTTCCGCTGCAGCAGGCTAACGAGCCATCTATTGCGTTTGTGCTGCCGTCCTTGTGCCCGGCCGGTTGTCGTCAGGCCTGGTCGCGGCCAGCGCGAGTTTCCAGTACTTTCCCATCCCCCCAACTCACCCACCCTCCCCCCCTTGGACAGTCATTTGCGAGCCTGCGTGCTTTGGAGGCGGCACATGCCACCCCCAGTGAGGGCCCGCACAGCTGGTCACAGCATCGTCCCAGCGTCCGGCAAGCTGCGTCTTTGGCGGCGTGGCGACAGCACGTGTGGCCGGACAGGCAAAGCTCCCTGCTTTTTGTGGAGCTTTAGCTCGCCGGCGTCTTAATCCCGCTCCGGGCTAGCAGCTATCAATCGTCATTGTTGGATTCATCGATTGGGGCTGAAAAAAATAGGCCCGTCTAGAAACACAGAGTCGGGGCGATTCTCTGCTGCTCACTCCCTCGCATTTTCGCTCAACGGGCCGCGGCAGGCGCATGTTGGAGCAAGGCCAAGGCGCCGTAAGTGGCTGTGGATGGCGTCCGCCGAAAGCTGCGTCTCCCCGGCCTGCGTTCTGATGCACTGACCAAAGCACCTCCCGAGCACGATTTAGGTACAATGCAGCCCCGATAGCCTACCCGCTCCGCCTGCTAGCTGCCAGCAGCAACAGGAGGCTTGTGCGCCCATGCGGCGTCCCATGCCCCGTACAGCATGTAGCAAAAGGGCCGGCCTTCCTTTCATGCACGCCGCCGGCCGGCTCGCGCACGGGAGGTATTGCATCCGCAGGTGCGGCATCCGCCATGAGGCCAACCTTAAGTCGACTACACCTTCCCCCCCGGCAGGAGGGACGGACCCTTCAGGCGTCCCATGGTGAGGCGTCCTCAGTTTCGAAAGCCTATATTCTGGAGTCTATCTCAGTCCTCTGCCTGTGGTGGTGTGAGACATGTTTTCTGGACCTGGGGCAAACCAGGATCTGCGGGAGTCGGACCTCGTTCGACCAGAATGGACTTTTGTTTGTCTAGGCCGCCATGACGCCGAACGGCAAAGGCTCCGCGTGGACGTGAGATTCTTTGTCTTGGCCTCGGCAGAGGCTCAGCCGTTAATGCGGCTTAGATGTGGTTGTCTAAGACTACGGCGCGGCGTCCAGCACTCGACGTGAAACACCAGCTGACATGTAATTGCATTCTGCACAGGTCGAGCTTTCTGCGAACGACTCAGCCTTTCCGCCGTGCAGCACGTCGATCCTCGCGTTCTGTGTTCAGTCTCATGCAAGCCGTCACTTGCGGCTTCACTATGCAACTCGTCATCAAGCTGTATAAGCTCGATGGAATTTCCCGTTCTCTTTGTAGGGCGCCTGCTATTCCTTCAGGTCATGTTTCCGCTGCAAGTAGTTTGTACGGCGCCCCATGGCAGTGATCAAGTGATGTTCGCACACTAAACTACTACGGCAAGCCTACCTATCTTACCATAAGAATCTACAGGCAAAGCCCCCGCGATGCCACTCGAAAATACATACGGCCACCTCCGGCGACGGATTCGGATCCATCCACGGCACGACGTGGGTTCCCGGCGCTGCTTTGGCCGACACCCCAAGGCTCCCACTCTTCTATTCTCATCTCAGACCCCCTTGCTTTTCTTCCCGGAGAATGACAACGGTGATGAGGGCGGAAAGGCTGTTGGCTCGAGCGTTGTCCCAAGCTCACCGGGTCCCCCGGTCCATGTCGCGCCAAAGTGTGGGGCCAGAAGTCGTTATTTTTGCTTTTCTCCCGCTGTCCTGCTGGCCCTGGTTCCGCCGGACCTTTGTCTCTGTTGGACGGCCCAGGCAAGGCGTAGCGAAATGAACAGTGTGTTTGTTTTTCCTTGTCCTGTCGACTTTTATTGTGGGGTACGCCCGGTCATTGCCTGCATGCAAAGGCCGGGATACGCGAAGGATGACGAGCCCCCCGGGCGCGAAGCTGACTACTGGCATTGAGAAACGTGTGCGGGACCCGGCAACAACGTTGGTGCTTGGTTGCGGGGCTCACTCCATCCGGCCAGGGTAGGTTGCCAACCCGGGAGCACTGACAACGAGGCGCCAGATTATCGTCTTCTGTTCGATTGAGCCTGCGGGAATGGCCGCTAGAGGATTCCGGCTAAATGCCTCATCATTGATCTCGCTTCGTGCTCGCGTACGCCACGACGATGAAGGCACTGAAGATCTCGTCGGCGTTGGAATTGGACGTTGGAGACCCGGATTCACATGCCCAATGGTTGTTCAACGACTCCCAGCCTATTGAGCCGGAATCCGTCCCGCCTACCCGGCGTAGACGTCAACTTCACATGTGTTTGGAGATGGCTCGAACCGTAGCATCCCAGCCTTGCCCCCCCCCCGCCTTGGTGTACCGTCTGCCCTCCATCGGCGTGCCTCGCACCAGCTTCTACACGGCCCCGTTGGCTCTACGCGCAAGCAGCTGACGTTTCAGCGGCCGTTGCAACAGTGCTCCGGCCCAGGCACCAGCTCACAAGTCCGTCACGGCCATTATTCCCGCAGCGCTCTGCAGTTTCCTCTTTCGATATAGATCTCGAGAGATCTTCCTCCGTGCGCCGGCAGCACACTGACAAGAAGACAACGCACACGCACATCCAGACCTGTTCCAATCGAGAAACCATGACTAGTAGTCAGGTCCGGCCGGCCTCGGCTCCTGTCTCAGCCGGACTGTGTGGGTACGCGGGAGCGTTGGTCAATCCGGTGCTTCGCCCATCGTCGTTCTTTACTCCTTCGGGGCCCCATCCGAGATCCGAATCGAGCAGCCGCTACGATTTTTTCTCTCCCAGACCCCACCAGAGGCGCAATGCAGCCGGGCCGAGCCGCTCTGCTGCTGCAACGACTGACAATGATGAAGACAGTGGCGCACCTTTCATCTCGCTCATGGCCGAATCTCGTATAGTTTCATTGAAAACCCTTGCGTTGGGACGACACGGCGCACGGCCAGTTCTCTGCTGTGCCTCTCCGCCGTGCCGCTCTGCTGTTGGTACTGGCGCCTTTACTCTCTGGCCCTCGCCAGGCGCCTTCTCCCGCCCACTCTGGCCGTGATTGAATCAATGGTGTGATTTTCTAAATAAGGCATCCCTGTACGGACGTAGACTGTCAATACTTCCACCAAGGCATGGGACGCCCTTTCAAGAAATATTCTGCGACCATCTGCGCGCCAAAAGTAAATCAGGGCATGCGACGGGTAACCGATGCACCGTGCATTTCTGGATCCATCAGTCGTTTATCATGTCGTTACAGAGGTTCTCTGAGCAGACCAAGGCGCTGTGGGACCGGGCTGTATTGCTCAATGGAAAGCTTTTGCCACAGTGTCTCAGTGACAGAATCACCTGACTTGCCAAATAACCCGAACTACAGCTTCCAGATGTTCCCGTAGGCACTTCAAAATTTCTGTACTCCGTCGATAAGTTCGCCTGACTCTCAATATATGTCAATGTGAAGCAAGGCAAATGGTGCCTTCTCTTAGCCTCAGACGATGCACCACGTCCTGTCCCACGATATCAGTGAAGTCCCATTATATTCAAGAGGTTTTCTCTTAAGAATATACGTAGAGATTCTGCGGCCTGATCAATAAGTGGACAACTTGTTATAATCATATTTTCAATCCTTCATACATGCTCAAAAAACAAACAACCTAATCAAATAATGTTCGTTACTAGTCTACTATCATTGTACAGTTTGGCATGCATGACTTGGTCTTGAACGGATCGGTTTTCTATATAATCCTTTTACTTACGATTGTAAGCCCCTTACATTGTGTGGTCCCGCACGCTCCGTGTTGTATAAGTGCGTTGATGCTCAAGTAATGTTACACGTGGGTTCCATGGAAAACACGAGTAGCTAGTAGGTGGCTTCAGTCAAGACTGCACCGTATTTGGCAGCTGTATTGCCTAGATGGAAATCTTATATCGCCTTTGAGGACACGACCGGTCGTGAGGTTCTTGTAGGCGACTTTGTCCTACTCACTAATTTTATGGGATTGACGAAGATTAGGCCCCGCTGTCACTGTAAGGAAGAGGCTAGTGTTTCTCCTTAGCGTCTTATAGTCGATATCTGGACTTTATCCCGTCAGTAGCTACGAGCATCAGCCATGCTCTTAATGCGCTCCTACCGAACATAAATTGGGTAATGCTGCATGCGGTATACCTTCATACCGCTGCAGATTGAGACCCCAACTATGAATCAGACTCTTTGCCATGTGATGTACCACAGCACAGTTTGCTCTGGCACGAGTCACTTGTCTTGATTGATCGTATATGAGAAGTGATTAAAAAAACGGAAAGGTCTTATGGAAGATCAAAGATGGCCGTGCATGACACGAAACCTTGTGGTATTTGAAAGCGCGAAAAAAATTGGGTATCATATCATCCTGGACCATATCCTCGGAAAGAAACGTTCATCTGAGAGCTCTTTGCACGCCATATATGTCCTTTCCCATGGAGTTGACGCGATCCTCCAAGCCACGCTTCTTGTTTTCCAGAGCTCTGATCTCCTCCTCTTCTCTCATCAGATCTTCCATGGTCAAAGGCGTTTCCACCGGCTCTGGTTCGGGCTGCATGGCGTCCTCAGCCTCGTCGGCATATTCGTCGCGCGGCTTGTTCATGCGGGCGAGGGTTGCCTGCTGTTCGGCGACGCGCAGCTCGTAGTGTTCGAGCGACGACGTGAGCCGTGCATGCCTCTGCCTGAGCTGCGCGATCTTTTGGTTGACACCCGGGATATGGCTGCGGCAATGTCAGCGATCCATGGCCGGATCAGACGGCCGGCAGAAGTGCTCACTAGACACCGCAGAGCTTCTCCGCACCCTCGAGAAGGGTTTCCACATCAATCTCGCCTCTGTCTCTCCCTCCGCCATACGACCGATAGCCCAAGGTACTCCCAGCACCACCGCCACCACCCTCACGGATACGCTCGACCAAATCGTTGCCTAGGATGGCAGCAACGGCCGTGTTACGGCGCGGGGCATTGAATACGGTAGCGCGGCGGTTGGAGGCGGCGAGCGGGGCGGGTTCCTGGGCGGCAGGAGCCTTAGACGGAGCGGGAACGGAGAAGAGAGCGCGCTCGTGCGACTCGGTGTCACGGATCAGAGCTGTAATGTCGTGCGGGTGCAGCAAAGCATTGGCGAATATCTTTGGCCGGGGGAAGCTGCGGGGTGGATCAGCTGCGGATGCGGAAACAGGCGGGGTGGGCAGCACGTACGGCAGCTCGGCGATTGACGTGGAGCAGAGAGAGATCTGCTCGAGGTGGGCGTCGAGAAGCGTCATGGTGGGCGGCGGGTGGAGTGCGGTGTTGTTGGTTGCAGCGACCATAATATGGCGGTGCACGGACGCGTCGGCGCCTGTGAGGCGTCATGGCCGAGGGTGCCACAGCGCTGACCTCTGAAGCTCCCGAGCTGCCACCACCACCACCAACGCCTTTTGCCATCACCCACCACAACGCCCCTCGTCCCGCCCCCGAGCCCGCCCCCGCCCCCGAGCCGCCCGACCTCCAGAACCGCCGTCGTTCCGCTCCATCGTAGCACCATCGCCTCACGTCCGGTCACCATGGCGGAGAGCATGGAAGGCGTCGTCACTTCCGGCGAGCAGCCCGTCGTTGACAACAACGAGAAGGCCGTCGCAGGTCCGTTGCCTCATCCCCCGGCTTTCCGGTGCTCTTGAGCCATGCCGCGTGCAGACCCAGTCCGCCACAGCAAGCAACTGTTGAGCTACACCGGAAGCTAGATAGCATGCATCAGCTTGCCTCTAGAGGCTAACGCCAGCGCAGACATCGCCAGCAACTTCGCACTCCTTGAGCGTGCCGTTGCGCAGTTCGATTCACGCTTTACCCTGCGCGCCTTGCGCTCGATATCCTCGCTGCGGAAGCGCCTCGACCCCCAAGTCCTGACCGACGCCATCGTCTCGTACTACCCCCCGAGCAATGAAATGGGCAAGAAGCTCGTCCAGGCCATCGGCGGCTCCGCACAATCGAGCAAGCCGTCGGAGGCGAATGCGAAGAAGGAGGTTGTCCCCGAGGTGGACGTCTACCTCGCCGTTCTCGTCCAGGTACTGCCACGACCTCTCTGCTTCTGCATCTGGCAGCCGCTGACCTCTCCGGATCTAGGTGCTCTTCTACGACCAGCAGGAGTTCTCCAAGGGCGCGCAATGGTCGTCGTGGTTGGTCGACCACATTCGCGAGCTGAACCGCCGGACGCTCGATTCCCTGGCTGCCAAGGCTTACTTCTACTTCGCCCTGTTCCACGAGAACTTGGATCCCAAGCCGCCGTCGCGGCAATCCCCCGTCATCAACATCCGCCGTCAGCTCCTCGCCGCTCTCCGCAGCGCTGTCCTGCGGAAGGACGAGGACACGCAGGCCGCCGTCATGGTGCTGCTGCTGCGGAACTACCTCTCGACCGCCGACATCACCCAAGCCGATCTGCTGGTTGCGCAGACCCAATTCCCCCAGACTGCTCCCAACAACCAGGTCGCCCGTTTCCTCTACTACCTCGGCCGCATCCGTGCCATCCAGCTCAACTACACCGAGGCCCATGAGCACTTGACCAGCGCCACCCGCAAGTCGCCCACCAGCGCCGTCGCCGCCGGCTTCTACCAAGCGTCGATGAAGCTGCTTGTCATTGTCGAGCTGCTCATGGGCGACATCCCCGACCGCGCCATCTTCAGCCAGCCCAAGCTCGAGCGCGCCCTGGAGCCGTACTTCCGCCTCGTGCAGGCGGTGCGCGCGGGCGACCTGCAAGGCTTCGTGCGCGTTGTGCACGCCAACGCGGGCGTCTTCCAGCGCGAGGGCACGTACACGCTGATTCTGCGCCTGCGCCAGAACGTCATCCGCACGGGCATCCGCATGCTCTCGCTCAGCTACTCGCGCATCTCGCTGCGCGACATCTGCATCCGCCTCGGCCTCGAGAGCGAGGAGTCGGCCGAGTACATCGTCGCCAAGGCCATCCGCGACGGCGTCATCGAGGCCGCCATCAACCACGAGAAGGGCTTCATGCAGACCAAGCGCCCCGGCGACGTCTACGCCACCCGCGAGCCCGCCGAGGCCTTCCACGACCGCATCTCGGCCTGCCTCACGCTCCACGACGAGTGCGTCAAGGCCATGCGCTACCCCATGAACCAGCACCGCCTCGAGCTGAAGAACGCCCAGGAGGCGCGCGAGCGCGAGAGGGAGCTCGCCAAGGAGATCCAGGACGGCGACATCGACGAGGATGACGCGGCCGGCGATTTCGAGGGGTTGTAGATGGGAAGAAGCTGCGTCGATTGGCCATTTTGTCAGACGGACACACAGACAGACCAGTCAGGAAAGTGGGGTTGTATGTAATGACTAGAAAAAGAGAATAAAAGAGGCGCGTGCGAAATGGCTTCGCGGGCCTTGGACCTTTTTTTGCCTCAATCGCGTGGCCGACCAACATAGTACGAAGACGACGAGATCTCCCGAGGTGCATGTTCCGCACTGCATCACTGTGAAGAAGATTTTCAAGTTACATTTGCACTGTGGTTGTGTTGTGGATATTGAGTCTGAATTGACGTCGTTGAAACTGTCCTCTTCCTCCTTTGGAAACCATCTCACTTGGCGAGACGGCAAGTTTGATATCGGTGACAGAAGCCAGCAAAAATGGAGGCTAGCGCAATTGGGCCAGGTAATCCCCACTCTCCAAGGACTACGATAACCGGCACAAAGTAGTCGAAGATTTACGCAGATAATAGAATGTTCAACAGTAGAAAGAAAGCCGAAAAGTAATTCCATCCTTTATGTAACTTATACCCAGACCCTAAGTGAGACCCGTACCATATCTCCTTACTCTAGAAAGTGAAAAGATGAGGGCATAAGAAAGATCGGCGAGAACCCGTCCAGCAATATTGCGCCTTTGCGTGAGCAGCATGTATGTAATTCTGTTTTGCCCTCCAATCCCATCCGGTGTTGTTGATGATGACGCCTGAACAGACAGCCCTCCGAGGTACTAGTATAACATGCAAAACTCAAACCCAAACGATGAAAGGAAAAAGAGAAGAGGAGAGGGAAAAGAAAACAGAGCAGAATTGACTGAGATGAGGATTGCGAGAAAGGGACGACAAGAGACCGAGCACTTCGTAACCGTTGACAATGAGCAGCATGAATATGGCTGCCTTGCCTGTCCGATGGTGAACAGGCGATGTGCGGTCAACGAACGGTGAAGGCCTTCTGTGGTTCATAAATAACACAGAGACCTTCCTAATGCTCACGCAGTAGTAACAAGACAACAAAAAAAAAGTCGATCTAAATCAAAAAGAGCAGAGCCGACACCATCATGAGAGAAGCTGCCGTGGAAAGTCGTTTTGAAGAGCACTTCGTTTCCATAAAGGGTATAGTGTTTCCCAAGATGACTCCAAAGAGAAGCAAAAGAGCAGAAGGACGGCATGGTTCATCAATGAACATGCAAACTGGAAGGCCGGACACCCCTCCCAAGAAGAAATGGAGTGGAATGGAGTGACGCGCAGTGGCAAACGCGGGCTCTCGTGTTGCTGCATTAGTGCACTACACGCCAAAACGCTTGGGTGCATGCAACGAAGAGGCAAGACGCAAGGTACACCGTTTCAAGTGTCCAACAAGTCCTCAACGTAGTCATCCAAGCTGATGATGCGGAACGCTTCTCCCCATTTCTGGCGGAATTCGCGTTTCTTGTAGGCGTTGCTGATGCCGGCTTGCCAGGAGACAAGCTCGACGCGCCACCCTTTCTTGAGTGCGCGCTCGACCATACGCATGAAGCCTTGGCTGTACTCAGCAGCCGCGGCGTCGCCGGTAGCCAGCACAATGGTGGAGGGTTTGTCGACATCGACAACGGATTCCAGCATCTTTAAGTGCAAAATCTCATCCACGCCCTGCTCAACCCATGCCTCCTTGGCCTTCAGGGTTGCTGCAGTGTTCGTTTCAGAACCACTGCCGCTGCCTTCGCCGCCACTAGAGGCACGGTGAGTGCCATGCTCACGAGCTTCGCGCTGACGGAAGTACTTCTGACGTTCAGTAAGCTCGCGAGCCTTGAACACCTTATCCAGGATGTTCGTCTCGTATCCAATCGACTTCGCCCGCTCGAAAGTGGGAATGGCGGGGAGTGAGCCCACAAGAACGCGTTTGGCAACCGGTCGGCGTCGCTCCATCAGCAAGACAAGAGCTTCGAAATCAATATCCTCGCGGCGAATGCGAGCCTGCACGGGGAGGCCACGCATCGTCTTGACGCAGTTTTGAAATCCAATGTGGATGTTGGAAAAGTCGATGAAGACATGAACGCCATCAGGCGCCTGTGTGTGGTTGACAAGCTGGGCAGGTTTGGCCAGCCAGTGCTTGTCTTCGCCAAAGTTGCGGATGAGAGTCAACAAGAAATGGAGGTTCCTGTCGTCCTTGTCGCGAATGGTCAAGGGATTCGAGTGCTGCTGTGAAGGAGACGTTCCGGCGCCTTGGAAATACAGCGGTCTCTGGTTCATTATGGCATCGAGATAACCGGACTTCATACCTACAGGTGCAGGGGAACTATAAGGAAGGGGTTCAGACTGCTTGGGCGGAGTGCGAGACTTGAGAGCATCGCGTTTCTTCACTGGAGAACTGGAATGTTTCTTCGATGGTTCGTCCTTGTCAGATCCGGAAAGCTTGAAGGGGATTGCAGAATCCTCGAGCTTCTTGGACTTCCTCGGAATATCAATGGGTTTCGAAGTAGAAGCAAACACGTGTGCGCCAGACTTGCTGGCGGCCTTGTGGGGTTCGGTGGAAGGAGCCGCATGTGGTGCAGGAACATCATTAATGTTTGAAGCCTGGGGAGTCAAATAGATCGCGCGCGATCGCAGGTCGTATCGAGGCTCAGGAACAGGGGTGCCCATGGTATGAAGACCAGCCCTGCGAGCTGGCGTGTGGGACTGAGCGTCACCTCCAGACTCAGCATCACTGATGGTCTTTGGCTTGGTCACCCGCTTCTCGGCTTCTTCGGCAGCGCGGCGAGCCTTGCGGTTTTCCCGCTTACGCCGAGTCTTGGTGAGACCGGGCAGGTCCTTGGCCGGAGCGTCGGACACGTCTGCGGCGGCAGTGCCGAAGACATCGTCGACGCCATTGGCGACGGTGTCCGGGTCATCTTCCTCGGAAGCGTGCCACTTTGGACCGTTGTCGGCTTGGTGGTAGGCAGCACCATCGGAAGCGTAGGCCTCCTTCTCCTTGTCGACACTCGGTTCGGAGGGCGGTGGAGTGAGGAGCGGGAGTTGGGGTGGCGGCGCGTCGTGCGGCACACCCAGAAATGTCCAGACCTTGTTGAAATCGCCGAGACCGCTGGATGGCTCGTCGGGGGCGAAAGGGTTTAGCTCGTCATGCTGAGGCCGGGAACGAAGAGCGGCAGGCTGCGGCTTGGGCGAGAGCGAGTTGATGAGGCTGAGGGCCTGGGAGAAGTCCCAAGGCGAGTCCTCCGGGGTTGGGGGCATGGGAAGAGTGGATTCAGTCATGTGGAATGTGCGAATCTATCGAAGTGAGGCAAGGAAACTGGGGGGAGCAGCGGTTAGCCTGCAAACAGTGAGGCATGGCGGTGGCGATGCGGATCGTACAATCTGGATTGGATGGTGTCGCCTCAAGGCGCGGGAACATCGTTGGATGCAGCAGAGTGCGGGCGAGTGTCTAGCAGAGGTTCATGTCTGCGAGCGGGAGCGATGTGTGAGTGAGGCGGGTGAGTTGGAGTGGCCAAAGGGTCGATGGGCGGCGGCGGGGATGGATGCAGCTCGGTCGCCTAGCAGCCATAACGCCGACTGCCGGTAATTTAAGAAAGATAATTAAGGGGGTATTTTACGATATTCAAGATTCTAGCTCAAATTTACCCGATACATGGTCAATCTAGTAATAGCTTGAGATCAAGGCTAGAATGGCCACAGGCCAAAGACAGGCCTTGGAAATATGATATGAGCGGTGTTTTAGTTATATATGAGCTGATCTCGAGTACCCCCTTGTTTACTTTACCGAATTACCAAGGTGCGGAGAATGCGGGCCGGTGCGCGCCGAAGTCATGACTCCCACTGCTTTGCCACAGTGTGACAGCGCATCTTCTGGACACTTCCCGTCTGTGTTGCTATTCTAGTTGCTGGCCCATCCCGCCACAGCCGCCTGAAGCGCGCTCCTCTCGTTTGCACCTCGTGTGATGCCGCCATTATTTCGCCCGTCGATCATCCGTTATTACCCTAGCCCGGCATGACGCCATGCACGTGGGCAATACAAGGGGCAGATCATCCTCATTCCCTGCCCTGTTATTTATCGATACTTCGATACCATATACATCAAATGAAAGCCCCGGGTGGATTCCCCGAATGAAAGCTCCGAATTGCACCAAAGCCACAAGCCCTGTGCTCAACTCCCTGCAATGCTTCCTGTTTCCAGCACTTCGATCCGTCATGCTGCCGACGAATGCCTTATCCAACCCACTCCAATCACATCGTTTCCCATCCTCCGTTATTGATATCCCCTTCCAGCTTCCGAGCAATGGTCGACGGCACTTGGTGGTTCAGCCACACGTTTCGGACCAGCGCGTCGTATCGCTTCTGGTGCAGGTAAAGCTGGTGTTGTCGCCGCAACGACATGTCCGTCTCGCCGTGCTTGTCCAGGTACGGCGCCGGGAACCAGCTGCCGCTCTGGTGGTGCGTGTAGAGCAGCATGCACTTGCGGATGTTGATGAACATGCCGACGTGACCGCCGCATCTGGGAACACATGTTAGACGCTAAACTCTCTAGACAACACGGAAATACTTACTTGGCCTGGTGCTGCATGCATCCACCCTTGCCTCCTTGCTTCATGCAGCAGACTGCCTGGCTGCAGAAGATCTCTCCGCAGAAGAGGCACACGCAGGGGTCCGTCAGCTCCTTATGAGGCACAGTCGGGCATTTGCGTTTGATTGCTTCGTCCGTAAGTGTGTCGTAGTTCTTCGGCAATCCGACCAGCTCGAAGATTGCCGGGTGGCTGAGAGTCAGCGGCCTCGCTGGAGGACCGGACCGCTTACTCTCGCGATACAACGCCCAGTGCTTGATCCAACCTGACGCAATCGACCGGATGATCATGCTTGCTGGTCCGTCGGCAAGGTACGTGTCGAACACCTCGTCCAGTGAGGGAAGCCGCAGTGCCTTGGAAAGCCGTTGCAGTTCAGGCTCCTTGGCCGAGTCGTATCCGGCATCGGGAAACTCTATGCCGTAACGAACGTGCAGAAGGATTACAGCCTTGCGCACGAAGGGCAACGCATAGGCTGAAACCAGCACACGCAAGTACTGCAAGAACCGGATGTTCTCGGCGTCAAAAAGCGACATGACCCTCTGAGCCCCTTGTCCTGCATCGTTGAATATGACCGCTTCCTCATTGTCCAAAACGATGCGCTTCACAAACGCCGAGAAGACTTCCATTTGCTCTTGACCAAGGCTGGCCGCGTGGTCCCTGTAGATGTTCTCATCGCCCACGGGAGCCTTTGCAAGCGCTTCCGGATCAGCGAGGACAAACACTGTTATGGCCTTGACAATCTCAGCAAGATAGCAGAGCCGCATGACGTGGTGGACGTCAAGGTGAAGCGAAGGTACAAGACAGACAGAACTCTCCGCGAGAAACACGAATGGGTCCTGCAAGAAGAGCGGAGGAACCGATTTCGTCGGAGGTGCCGGCTCTTCCACGAGCGGGTGGCCAAACATCAGTTGCTGGAGCTGGCGATTCTGGCTGTCCAGGAACTCCGTGTTTGTTCTGTTTTTCCCTTGGTAATGCATGCCTCCAACGGCGAGATAAGACGTGACAGTCTCAGACAATACCCGGAGATGCGTGAGCGAGTGCTCCGAGATCTTGTCCAACAACGTGCAACCCACATCGGATTCGGTGCCCCGCTGAGCGATCTCTGCTGCGGCAATGGAGAAACCGAGGGACTTGGCAAGCGTGTCGGTGTAGGTCAGGTCCTCGGAGGCAAGAAGAGAGCTGTGGCCATGCGAATGGGAATATCTTGTCTGCAGCATGTTTGCTCGCATCGTGTCTCGCAAGCGCCGGTATATGGAGAAGAGCTCCAGAGGCGGCGTGGCTTGCAGAGCGGGAGCGGTTGCCTCGGGCGCCCCGGTGACGACAATTGGCACAAAATCCCCCTCTTGTGGTCGCTCGTAGATGTTAGGCAGTGGAAAGGCACGGGGAGCTGAGCTTTGCGTCGACGGTGCAGCAACCGTCACAGGCCCAGGCCGAGACAAGTCGGACAGCCGAGACGAAAGAGGAGCAATCATCTTCTCTGTGCCATAATCGAGAAACATGTTGTGCTGCCGTATGTAGGCGGGGGGGATATCTCCACCCGCGCGCTCAGGGTCTTTGTCAAGCTTGGAAATCTGGACACTGACGTGAGACTCAAGCCATGTATCAAACGGTATCTCGGGCTCTAGAACACCAGGATAGGTGATGGTCTTGCTCTCCCAGATGATTGGTAGAAAGGCGTTCCCGAGCGCCTTGCAGAGGGGACACATGAATTCCTTAAACTCAGGACGCTCCGGGTGTTGCCGTGCGATCTGGTTTACGTGCCTACGGTGTGTTGCCGTATTGTAGACCTCGAAGCAAGAATAATGCATGATATGCCCACAGCCGGTGCTGACCGGGCCTCTCTTGTTATGAGAGCAGGGGAATCCTTTGCCCAAATCCTGACGCTCGGTCAAGACGGTCTTCCCCTCAAAGGTTGTCTTTTGGACAGTCTTGCGGTTCTTCCCAGAAACACCGAAAGGTCTGATATGCTCAGCAGAACGGTCCAAGTCCACTGGTGTGGTAGCAACCTCAGACAGCCAGTCAGGATCCTGTACGTTCGTCTGGCGCAAAATCCCACTCTCAGTAACAAAGGCAAATGTGCCATACAGCCTTTGATCGTTGGTTTCCTCTTGGCACAAGATGCAGGTGCCCGAAGGGTACTTCCAAGTTTTGTCTTCTTGAACAGCGGGTGTATCAAAATCTTCTTCTTCATCGCTCAAGTCGACTCCCCAATCGATGGCCTGATTAGCCATGAAGTTGGACTGTTGTTCCTTGAATTGTGCCATGACTCGTGCCTGCCTTTCGAGAGCCTGTCTCTTTTTCACTTCCTTGTCTTGAGCGGCGGCTGCAGCCGGAGATGCAGTGTCCATACGATCGACTGGCACCGCATTCTCAAACCCGATCGGCTGTCGCTGTTGGATACGCGACAGGATCAGACGAATCTTCGGTTCGCAGGCCTTGAACTCTTCTTTGTCCAACAAGGCGCGGAGCAAGGAAACGATTGTATCCTGTTGCTGGAACCCGGGAATGGGAGAAAAATGCTTTGAAAGCGCAAAGAGTGTGAATGATCCCGACGGGTCCTCCTCGCCTCCATAAGCCGCAAATTCACCCAACTCCTCGTCGACCACCACAATGATGAGTTGCAGTACGAATTGAACAAATGCTTCCAGCCTTGTCGTGGGGATGTTGGGTGTGACGGCCGGAGAGGCCAGCGCATAGCCGAGGAAGTAGTAGATGAACTGGGCAAACATGGGAAGTTTGGTGAAACAAGCCAGGTCTTTGAAAATGCCGCTCCGAATCCGGGGGAGCTTGGGCTCAAAAACGATGCTTGCTGGGTCCTTTCCACTCTTCTTCGCCATGTAATTCTTGTAGATGTTCTCGGCTTCCTCGCGGCTGTTCCTGTTGTAATGAGCAATATACGGATCGATATCCTCAATGTACTGCTCCTTCAAGGTGAAAGTTCCAGAGTCTGAAAGACCTTCCGGTGCCCTGAACAGAGTCATTTCCTTGAGTATGTCACCGAACTCGTCATAGTCTTGTAATCTTTCGGAAAAGCGCTGGGTGAGATCCGAGTACGCCATCGGCTTGAAGCAGAGCGTGTGTGCGATGTCGCGACGAGCGGCTGCTAGAAAGGGATTGGGAGAGTCATCAGGTGGCAAGAGGGATGATCGGTCGCTCAAGAGGATGATGAGTAGGTGAATGAAATCCTCAGCCACGTCGATGGTCTGAAGATCTTCGTACCCCGGCCGCACTGCGTAATCACCCCTTGCCCAGTTCGTCATGCCGAATCTGTCAATCATCTGGGCGAAGAATTGTGACAGCGGACAGATGACCAAGCCAATCTGTAGGAGGAAAATATCGCGCTGGTGGGAATTGTCCCTCTGGGTGACCCCGCGGTAAGTTGTCATTTGGTGACGCAGGGTAATGCCGTTCCTGACCCACATGCCAGCCCTCATCTGTGCCAGCCAAGCGCACACCCTGAGAGGGAAGTCGAAGAGCGCAAGGAGAAACTCATCAGGCTGACAGTCAGGAATATGTGCCCGTGGGGGCGAAGGATAGTCCCTGAGCTCTTGCACAGAAAACAGCAGCAGCCCCAGGAGCTGCTCGCGCGGCATAGCCTTTCCGCGGTCGATCAACCACGATAGAGTGTAATGCAGAGCGTGATGGAAACTCATCGGCTCCCTCTCGACCACAAAATCGACGACTCTGTACTTGGGCCAGTTGTAAACGGGGCCCACGGCGTCTGCTTCGAAAGTATCCAGAGTCTTGAAAGTTGTCTCCTTCTTCAATTCCGCTTGATTGAACCGTTTACGTTCGGATCCCATGGAATTGATGATGACAATCTTCGCCGTTGTACGGATCGCGCGGCACACGTTCGACAGGTCTGGGTCCCTTTCGGACATGAAAGACTCGGAAAACTGACGGCAGAGCTTGTTGATTTCCCGCGTGATGAGCGAGGCGCTGATCCAAGCATCCGTCTCGTACTCGATGTGCTCTCCAACAGCGCGCACGTTCGGACAGATGCCCTGATGCAATTTGACGAGATCGAGGAATTGCAGAAGATAGCGGTTCTCCTGGCATATCTTCTCCTGCACGTGCTCGGAGCCCAGGAGATACTTCATGTCCAGGAAAAAATGGTACATGCGGCGGTTGGTGACAGCGCCTGCCTCGAAGGCGAGTGTGGCCATCGGATTGACATCAGAGGGGTACCCCACTTGGCGCGATGTCAGGAATGTGTAGAGGATTGCCATCAGGTTGGTCAGGAAGTTGCCCCGTTCCACCACTTCTGAAGTAATTGATGGAGTCGTCAACATTTGCAGCGACAGGTTGATGATGGAATGGTCCGGCTCGCGGTCAGCAATCAAGTAAAGCTGAGCAAGCGTTGTGTAGAGAGCTGCAAACCGTAGTCCCAGAATCCGCTTGAAGTACGGGATCGTGACTACCGTGCTGATGAAAACATCCCGAATGTCGATGCGGACTTTCTTCCACATGCGGAGGTCGTAAAGGATCATGAAATCGAGACGAACTCGTTGCCAAAGGTCCTCGTGGACGGGGATGTTTGCTCGCATGTGATATCCTTCGGGCTTTTCTTGCCAGTATTTGGCGGGGCGAGGAGGTCGCAACGTTCTGGTCTTGATCTTGGGCGTTTTCGGTACCTCCATTGTCGGCGTTTCTTCAAACATGTTGTCGAAGGCTAGAGATTCACCGTCAGAGTCTGCTGGAGTGTGGATCTGGTCTCGCCTGCGAGGTGCTGGGGGCGGTGGTGGAGGAGGCGGGTATCCTGCAAAAGTTGCCTCCGATGCCTCAAGACTGTCCATACCATCTGAGCCATCCATGTCCACATCACCATCTCCTTCTTCTCCCAGAATCCGGTCAACCTCCATTTCCTCGTCTTCTGGATCCACGGCATCATCGTCATCATCCTCCCAGTTGTCATCTTCGTCGGAATCGAGGTCTCTCACAGCCGTCCGTCTGCCCCGGGGGAGTATGCGGCCGTAGATCATGCGGAGTTCGTCCTCGGCATCTTCGGCCTCGTGGTCGTCGATGCCATCACGCCCGATCTTTGCGTGATGGGCCTCGCTGCCCATACGCCATGGCTTGAGCATCTCCTCACAGATGACGTTGCGGAGGATGGAGTTGTCCGGGCCCACGCTGCAGCCAGAAATGTCCGAGATCCACTCCACTATGGATTCGCACATCTGCTCCCGGAAAGTGTCCCGTGCGGACCGGATTGTAACCGTGAGCTTGATCTCCTCGATTATTTTTGCCATCCGGAGAAGGTCCTTGACGTCGGTAGAGTATATGATGACGCTGCGGCCGATGTCATCGACTTCGTAGGCCTTGTCTCGACCAAATCTTTGTGTCTGCTTACATGCTCGAGCAAGCTGGTTCTCGACATCCATGACGGTGTGCTTCTCGTCGTTCCAAAGAACCAGGACGAATTCTTGATCGGCTTCTGAGACCTCGACGCCTCCATACCATTTTGATGTGAGGCGGGATAGCCGTTCGTCCTCGCGGATAGACTCCTCCGTCTTGGGGAGGCGGAGTTGCTCCGGGGAGCAGGAGAAGACATCGCAAAGGTAGTCGAGCGCGCGTGCGATGGTCGTCCGCATAGCGTTAGTAAGCTCTTCTGGTAGTGATGGGGGCTCCTTTGCCTTTCCCGCCGCTTTCGACTCAAGCCCGGGCAGCGCGGTGTGGATGTTGCAATGCACCGGCCGCACCCAAGCCTCGGGGTCGCCGCAGTCGCAGCAACCAGAGTTGCCCGGCGAGATGCTAACATAGACGAGGTGCCCCTCATGGTCTGATGCGTCAAAGCACTTGGCGCACAGGACGCACGTGTCGTCCACTGTGCACGTCTTGCACCTGTAGGTTGCCTCGCCACTCTTGAAAATGTGCCCGCACGGGTGGCCTCTTGCAGCCTCGGTGTACTCGGCACCCTCAACGGCGCCCTGCGCGTCTCGTAGACTCCATGCTGTGTCCGGGCTGGGCTGGCCCTGCGGAAAGAAGAGGTGGAGATAGTCGTCTCGGTTCGCAGCGAGCGAGCGAAACAGGGTCGCTAAGACGGCGCGGCGGGCGGCATCGGTGTAGCGGTTGTCGAAGGTCTTGGGGAGATCTCGAAGCTGTTTGCAGAGTTGCTCTTCCAGGGTGGACACGAGCATTTTGCTCGAGCAGCGGTAGCTTTCGTCGAGCTTCGATGGAGGATGTGGGGTAGGCGATCGTCACGGCTGGGCGCTCGCAGGACAACGACGGAGAAACTCTTGGGAAGGCGGTCAGGTGAGTTTCAGACGCATGGGATCGTATTCATGACATCGTTAAAGCAAAGTGGCGGGAGTGTCGCAGGAGGACGGGTGGGTCTGAGAGGTGGAAGGTAGGGTTGCGGGCTGCAGGTCAACGCGGCGCGGCGGCGTGGGTCGCGGAGACCGTCGCGCTCAGTCGCTTCCGGAGGCAACCCGACCACTTGCGTCACAGCATTTGTGCCTCATGTAAGCACTTCACACCAAAGCAAGCACGCGCCTTCACACTGCATGACGAAAGAAGCTGACCCACGGCAATCCTTTTGTGTGGGCTTTGGAAGAAGATATCCGCATTTAGATGCACGTTCAGACAGCTCATCTTTATGGGTGTTGGAAGAAGACGTCCGAACCAATCTTCCTCTGTGGATGCTTGATAGAACATGTCCGGATACAGATGCGAGGGCTAAAGCCGTGCAAGCAGGTGCCTCTACTCTCCCGCGGCTTCCTCAGTCGAATCTACACGGAAGCCGGGGTGCACTGCCGAGATGGACAAAGAAAAGGATGCGTTTCAGGCCATCATCGTTGGCCGGTCTAGGCGTGTTATACACAATGTACAGCGTGCACCCTTCAGCAAATCCAAGGGGATATCTTGACGCTCTTTTGATTCGCCCTGCTCCATGCTCCACAGACGCCTCCCCTACTCGTCGTCGCTGGCCTCGACATACTTGTGCTTGATGTCCTTCCACTGGCGCTGCTCCAATCATCAGCAACCTCTCCCCAGATGGCGCGAGCATGGCACTTACGCCCTTGTTGACGCTGTCCCAGATCTTGTCCGAGGCGGAGTCGAACGACCTGTCCCATCCATCAGCGGCCTGCTCCTCTTCCCAACGCACAACCGTCGCATCAAACGTACATCTGGACCGCAAAAGCGCCGACGAAGACGGTGGTCAAGAAGACGTAGTTCCTCTTGATGAGGGAGCTGAGGCCGGGGTTAGCGGGAGCGTCGCGGGCGTACGGGAGCGCGAGAAAACTTGCTTGTAGACGGACGAGGCAATCTGCAATTGGCACGTCAGCTGCATGCGCAGAGGGTGTTGCTTGGCAGCCAGAGGTACTTACGCCGGACATTGTGACTGCGCAGGGTCGGAGAGGGCGTGCGGAGGGGCGGTGGTGGTTGCGCTGAGGTGGAATCGCAGGTTGACGCTGGAGGCCGCCGGAGAAGCGAATCGGCTCGAAGCGCGGCGAGCGAGGCCCGCGACCCCATTGGCTGCCGCCGTCCCTTCGGAGCTTCTGAGCTTTCCTGCGCAACTTCACATCAGTCCCACTTCACCACCGCTCCGCGCGTACCACCCTCCCGCCAGGCCAGCAATTGCCCGGGTCTTGATCACTGTGCCACCTCGAGAACATTGCCCGTCGAATCGAGCCGCAGCTCACATATTGGCCCGCACTTTCCCGCCGTCTCACTCCATCCCGGCCCGGCCCACCCTGAGCTTCGCAATGCCTTCCGACGAGAAGAAGCCTTCCCGCTCTGGCGCCATCACCTCTTCCAGCGGCGAGCGCCACATTCCCTCTTCCACCCGTGCCGACGGCTCGGTCCGCAAGGAGATACGCATCCGCCCTGGCTACCGGCCTCCTGAGGACATCGATGTCTATAGGAGCAAGACGGCCCAAGCATGGAGAGACAGGGGCAAAGCGGGTGTTCCAGGCGCCGATTCCACAGACTCAAAACCAGCGACCCAGAGTGCTTCTGCCAACAAAAATGCAAAGAGACGGGAGGCCCGCAAAAAGGCCGCGGCGGCCGCTGGTGCTGGTGAGGGTGATGACGGAGACAAGAACGAGCCAAACCCCACCGAGGAGACGTCTTCTGCTGCTCCCACCGCTGCTCCCGCAGAGCAGCAAAAGGACCCCGAAGCTGAACGGGAGAAGGAGGCTAAGAAGCTGGCCAAGAAGCTGCGTCAGGCCCGGGAGCTAAAGGACAAGAAGGACAAGGGCGATTCACTGCTCCCCGAACAATTCGAAAAAGTTATTAGGATCAGCGAGCTTGTCCGTCAGCTCGACAATCTCGGTTTCGACTCCAATGGCGAGAAGAAACAGCAAGAAACCGAAAAGACATGACGTCCCGCACACATCGAAGCCCTTTCCTGAAGCCTTACAGGCACCTGGACAGCATGCCTGGTGCTTGAACCCCCGTAAAAGTTCATGTAATACGAATCTTGGGGCCATGTACCGGACGAGAACATGAATGATGGAGCTACGAGCATCAATGAGGACATGAGGACCATGATAGCGGGCCTTGCTGAAAACGACAGGTACCTAGAGCCTCTCGTCTATTGGTAGACGTAGGTTCAGATTGAAATTAGACACGGACTTAGAGCAGTCACAGTCGATTCGTATACACCAACATCGATATCACATGCGCTGTTGGAGAAGGCCGATTGCACCCTACACAATCTACTTCCAGCAGATACTTGTCGCACATGGCAAACAATCGACCGGAATCTCATTGAGACATGCACTAGAAAAGAAAAGAAAAGAAAAGAAAAGAAAAATATGACTGCAAAGCTCGTCGGAAAACGTATAATCATGCCCAGACCTGTCCCGCCCATTTCAAAGGCCGGCAACAACCCGTACAACCACGGCTGGCCGGTCAATGGTTTCGTATAGCCCGAAGTCGGACACGGTCCGGAAGCAGATTTGCTCAAGTGCTACTCTGGCGTGAAGTCCACTTGCAGGCTGCTCGGCTACCGTCTCGGCTGCGCGCTCAACATTCTGGCCAGATGATGTCCTACCCGATAAGCCTTGTTTCCTCAGTAATTTTCGGCTTTTGGGTGCAGTGGACACATCGACTGGCGATGCTGAAGCGGGAGAGCTTGGCTGGTCTTGGGTAGGGACCGGGGCGAACGGCGCCGTTGCAAGCGTACCCTGCAAAGTCCTCCGAAACTCCTCGACAACTCCTGGTTGATGCCAGAACTGTGTTTTGTTGAGCGGCCCCTTCAAGCGCACCTGTTGAACTGTCTCGTCGGAAGCAAAGCCCACCAGTTCCAAAGCCACGCTGCCTTTCGCATCACCAAAGTCTAGCCACGTCAGATGGCTGAGAAGGCCAAGGGATCCCGGTGACTTACCGAATTCTGAGACTGGTTTCTCAGGCACCGCATCGGACGGAATCAGAGCTATTGTCGTGTTCGCTATGCCATATATTGCCTGCTCCTCGATTCTGGGATAGACGATAGCATCGACGATTTCTCGCATGTGTTGTGCTCGGACACTAGTCAAGTGGTCGATGATGTGCTGGCCGCCGCTTGCAGACGGACGATCTGGGAAAGATTGTTCATAGCTCGGGGGGAGGAAATCGGACTTCTCGGACGACATGGCGGGTGGTGATGAGGCGGGGAAATTCGCGCAACGAGGCGATACCGCAGTCTTGGTTGGTCGAAACAATTGGCGCTGACTCCACGCATGCAGCTGTGACTGGCTTCGGGCAGCCGGTGGGGAAGGCGGTATTCAAGACTGCCTCGGGCGAGGATGCAGGCGGGAGCGCAGGCAGCAACAGGGCGGCAAGGCGCAGCTCCTGCTGGAGACTAGAGCGTCGCGCTGTCGGCTAAAACGGACACTGATGTTGAGCAAGGGCTACCTGTGTTTGGATAAGGCCGGTCATATGAGGTCAGGCCAGGGCTGACTTGCGGGTCCCAAGACGGGAACCACGGCATCCCGAAGACCAACAGCACACCGGGCGCTTTTAAAGGCCGGTAATGTCTGCCTTGGGGCTTTGAGCAGGTGACAATCGACTCTCGAAGGATGGGGCTGTACGGCACCCCAGGCCCGAAGCGGCTAGCCTCTATTCCAAGAGCGGTTAGGCGGCCTTGGAAGCCCTCGACGAAGCGGAGGCACTGTAGACATGGGACAAAGAATCGCCCCGTACGAGGAATAATGCTGAGAGCCGAACCGAAGTTGGCTATGCAGGGCCTGCGAGCCTATCCCAACCCCACGGGCATCAGCCCAGCCCGCGTTCGGAACCGTCGTTCGCTACCACACGAGTGCGTATATATAAAGCGGCGCCATCCCCAATCTTCGTGCAACCTCTCAACGATATCACTTTGGAGAATCCATCAGTCCACTAGTCAAGATGCCGTGGTAAGCTCCCTTCGTCCCCAGACCCTCGAATGCTAACATGCTCCAACCAGGTATCATGTGGCCGACCCCAACTCGTACCTCGTCATTACCGGCATTGGTATTGACGGGGTCAGGATTGCGAAGAAGGCCTTCGTCTATCCGCTCCAGAAGCACATCACCATCTCGGTCACGCCCTTCGACTTTTCCATGTCCCTGACCGCCATGACGGTCGAAAAGCTCAAGTTCTCGCTTCCTGCCGTCTTCACCATCGGACCCGAGGACACAATCGCATCCATGACCAAGTATGCCGTGCTCCTCAGCGGCGAGTCTGACGGCAAGGGCGTACGCAGCATCGAGGCCGGCCGCAGTCACGTGCAGGACATCGTCAAGGGCGTCATCGAGGGCGAGACCCGATCCATCGTGTCGACCATGACCATGGAAGAGCTCTTCTCCGCCCGCAAGGTCTTCAAGCAGAAGGTGATTGAGAACGTGCAGAGCGAACTGGATCAGTTTGGCCTGAGGTCAGTGGAAGAGAGTCTCCCAAGGGTGGAGAAAGCGATTGGTTGACAGTCAAGCAGGATCTACAATGCCAACGTCAAGGAACTGCAGGACACGCCCGGCAGCGAGTATTTTGCCTACTTGAGCCGCAAGGCGCACGAGGGTGCCCTCAACCAGGCCAAGGTGGACGTGGCGGACGCGCGCATGCGCGGCGAGGTCGGCGAGGCCGAGAAGCAGGGCAAGACGAAGCAGGAGATCGCCAAGATCCACGCCGCGACGGCCGTGCTGGAGACGGAGCGCAAGGGCGAAAAGGCCCAGGCGGACGCGAAGCTGACGGCCAAGGAGATTGAAATCGAGCAGAGCCTCAACCTGGCCCGCATCGACGCCAACCGCGCGGCCGAGAGCCGCGACACGGAGCTGCAGCGCGACCTCGAGCGCAAGCGCGCGGAGATGGAGCTGGAGCGGCAGCGCGCGACGACGGTGACCAAGGCCAAGATCGAGCGCGAGTCGGCCCAGCAGCGCGCCGATGCCGCCTTGTACGCCCAGGAGAAGTCGGCCGACGGCGTGCAGTACCAGCAGCGTGTCGACGCCGACGCCGCCTACTACAAGGTGACCAGGGAGGCCGACGCCGAGAACCTCAAGCGCCAGCGGGAGGCCGACGCCGACTTCTATGCGCAGACCAAGGAGGCCGAAGCGGCCTTCATCGCGCGCCAGCGGGAAGCCGAAGGTCTGAAGGAGATGGCGGCGGCGTACGGCGAGCTGGCCAAGGTTCTGGGCGGGCCTCCGGGCTTGCTGCAATACATGATGCTCCAGACCGGCACATATGAGAACCTCGCGCGCGAGAACGCGCGTGCCATCAACGGCCTGCAGCCCAAGATCAACGTCTGGAACACGGGCGCCCAGGGCGAGGCGGCGGCCGACCCCACGGCGCCCATCAGGAACCTGTTCCAGAGCCTGCCCCCGCTGCTCAGCACCATCAACGACCAGACGGGCATCTCGCCGCCCAGCTGGCTGGCGTCCATGGGCGGGCAGCAGCAGGATCAGGCAGCCCAGCAGCAGCAGAAGCAGCAACAAGATGCGTTGGTAAAGCAGAAGAAGGTGACGAACGGTCGGTAATGGCGCACTCCCATACGTTTCACGTTGCGTTGTCATTCGTTTGATCGCTTTCTCTTCGTTGTTCGACTACCTATTCCCCCTCGGCGACATGCCCGGCATTTGTTAGACTTTTGGATGGATGATCTCGGCGTTATTTAGGTCTATTGTTACGTGTCATGGTAAATGCATTGATATGATTATCTGACTGAAGGCGTGCGCTTCCTCTTGCTTCGAGAGGCTTGTCTTGCTCCGAGAGGCTTGAGCCTTGGAAGCGTAACTCGGCATTCGCAGCAAGCAAAAGACGGAATCGTGTGCAAAGGCTTGGTTGACGTTGGGCGAAGCACTTCTCACGAGTCCGGATTAGGAAAAGACAATCTCCGTTTCGGGACAGGCGGTCGGCCGCAGCGTCGCGGTTCGTTATCAAGCATCATTGCGTGCTTTGGGTTCGAGGGCAACTGCCGCTCCGGATTTAGAAGCATGCACTGACAATACCGTCGAAGCTTCCAAAGTGCGAGCCGTCGTGTATCTACAAATGTCCCGGGGGGGTGTCGGAGTCGGAGCCAAGGGCGAGACTGAGCTTTAATTTCTCCGCGGCTGGCGGGACCAGAGCCCGATCAGCCTTCCACAGGGTGCCACCCGTGCGTTTTTATGAGCGACGGGCGCGAACGTGCTGATGGCGCATACGCAGCCGCCAAGGGCGAGGACGTGGGGGGGCTGATTGGGGACTCGGGGGAGGCAGAGGCGAGTCAAGATAGCCGACGTGAGGCGAGCGGTAATGTCAATCCGTCGAAGCCTATTTCACGCCAACCCGCTAGCCCAGCCGCCATCTTCAACGACACGCTTGCATTGCCTAGCGTCCGCTCGGATAGGCTCGGATAGTTCGCGTACGCTGTGCGTCGGGCTCGCTGCCTTGCGCTCGCAATTTCAAACTCAGCCGCACCGTATAGGTATGTACCATGCAAGAAGAGCCCGACGTGGAACGGGTGGAAAGAAAAGAAAACGGCCGTTGAAGGATGCAGGCGGTGACGGGGAGGCTCGTGGGCTCCAACTGCCGGTGGGCGCTGATCACAATCCCGCCCACAAACCAACGAAGGCCCGACAAATTAATACCTACGTCCATCTGCACATCCAGAAACTTCTCCTTATGCGCACAGCACAAAGCACGACAGCCCTGCGCCCACGTTTTGCGCGCATCGCAGATCGACAGCCGGTCGGCAAATGCAACTGTGCCGGGTGCGTGGGTTTGCACTATCGGCGACTAGTAGTTGCGATGCAATCGGAACTCATGCCTGCTGCAGTAGTAGGTACGGATCCGTAGAGAGTTGGCTTTTGCCATGCATGCCGTGTTCCCTGCGAACCCTGCGAACGAACCCTCGCATCGATCATTCGTCTCGTCAGACGAGCGAGCGCAGGACGGGGGCCGCGGCCTGCCTGTCCCAAGACGCTCGAACCAGCAGCTGATGAGGATAGGTACCGATGCTGCGACAGATTCGCGGCCTCCGTTGGATGCAAACCGCAGACGGCGGCGGTGCAGGACATGAAACAGCACCGCACCGGGCCCGCCGCGGACAGTGGGCGGCGGCAGTGGCCATGCGTCGCCGGGTGAAACAAGATTGCTCAGCCGAAGCAGAAGGAGCAAAGGCCAGAGGGAGGACGGCTGCCGGGTGTGACGAGAAGTCGAGGCAGGGGGGCGGCGTGCGTTGCGGACGTTGGGGCGGGCAGATCGCGCGGGCTTGCCGGCTTGACGGCTTGTGGAGCCCTGACGAGCCTTGCTTTTTCTTGCGGCCGGCGGGCTCTGTCCCGGACGAGGGGCGTTCGCGCCCGCAGGGGTGCTTCATATGGGACTAGGTAATCAAAAGAGCGTGGACGGGGGGGCCCCTGCGGCGCGTATCGTGAATCTCGCTGCGCCCCGTTGCAGTGTGATGCAATCGGACGTCACCCCAGCGGGTGTCGGGCTGGCCGGAAAGGAGCACAGGAGATGCAGGTGCGTGGGCACGGTTGGCCGGGCTCGCCTTGGGCAGTATTGGCGACCAGGGGGTGCGGGTCCCCCGGGCAGAAGGATTCGGGAACACATCTCGCATCGACCGGGGTGTTTGTCTGGATTCGAGAAGACCAAGCCAGCGTCAACGGCGAACTCTGCGCGAAATTTGGGTCGGCTTTCCGGTCGCCCATCGTCCATCAAAGGTGGGCTGCCTGGCTGATCGCTCGAGTGCGCTCATGAGCCTGTCGAGCACGAGTGCTGGACCCATGTTTGCTTCTTTCTGCATGGTCGAAATAACTCCCGAGCAGCACGCGACAGGGTTCTGGATATTGGCTGAAGAATTTCCTCTTTCTTTCCGTGCTACAACATACACTAAAACTACTCTTTCGTGGATTAGGCGACGTTTCTTGCCAGAATCTTCCAATGCAGGCAAACCTGAAGCTGCCCATCATCATGCCGTGTCTTCAGACCATCTGCATGACCAGCTGTACCGTTCCGGCCGTTGACTCCTGCTCGTCCGCCCAATCCGTGACCGTTGCCCCTGAAACTGCCCCAGTCCCGCTTCAAACCAATCCCAATGAGCTCAATATAGACAAAGAAGCAAAAGCGTCCAGCTGTGCAAAATACCCCAAGACCCCGTCCCAGATCAGACCAGATCAAACAAAACTCCGTAGACCGCCCTCCCCCATGGTGATGAAACAAAAAAAAGGATATTTTGCGCCTCGCGAGGGCTTCCCTTTTATTTACCAAGCGCCGGCAGCCGTGGTGACAATAGGAAATCAAAAAGGAAATTCGGCCTTGTGAAGGCTCTGTAATCCGCTTCTTGCGGGAAAACAATCCATGCTTTTCAGCCCACCCGTCCGGATCCATGTGCGCCAGGTATCAAAACGGAAAAGAAATGACAAGGAAGGTGATGATGTGTGGTGTCGAGTGATGTGAAGGAGGGTGAGTGACCGGCGCCGAATACGTGGACGTTCCGGAGAAAAAGTCGTTTCGGTTCGTGAGATTCGTGAGATGCAGCCTAGCTGCCTCCAAGACAGTACGGGTTCCCGACTTTTTGTGTTTAGATGGCCTGGCCAATTGGGTTTGCTTCCTCGTAGGCCATACGTTGACGCTTCATCTCTTCGGCGTTGAATGGCTCCGAGACGCTAGTCTGCCTAGAGTCGGTCAAAGTCGCGCCGCTCATGTTCCGGTACTTGAACTCGTGCGCGATAGCGCCCAAAGACCTCATTTTGCGAAGCGTCCTCGATTTCTCGGTTTCGGGCTTGTCGGCCTTCTCGGCCTTCTCGGCCTTCTCCTTTTCATGCGTGGACAAGTCTCCGTGCGTCTTCTTGCGAGACAAGCGGTGCAGGACTCTGTTGATCCTGACTCGTGTAGGAGTCTTGGGCTCCGAAAACTCAAAGGAGCTAAGCTGCTGCTTGTAGAAGCTGCCGTTGGAGCTATCACTGCCACTGGTGGACGGCCGCTTGGTCATCGCAGAGCCGAAGCTGACGCCCGAATCAACCTGCTTGCGTCCCTTGCGCGGAGGGAGGTGCTCCACCGAAGGGGACGAGGGGATTTCGGGAAGCGGCGTCCGAGGAGGCGCGTACGTGTCAAGGTCAACTCTGGTCTGAATAGTCTCTGCCAGCTCGATGACCTCGTCGGCCTTCTGCATATACTTGTTCATCATGTGTGCGGTGCAGGACCAGCCATTGGCTTGGCCCTCCTTGGCCTGCTCCATGATGAGGCGGTCGATGTCGGCCATGCCCCTGCCAGGAATCGAGTTGATGGTCTTGAAGAAGTCTTTCCGCTGAGACTGGACAATCTCATTCGAGATGCCATCGGGGACGGATGAGGGAATAGGGGGCCAGAGTGTGTTCAGCATAGCCATGCAGTTGTGCTTGTCGAACGGTTGGTTCTTGATCTCGTGAACGAGAATCTGAGATGGTCAGCCTATCTGCCGTCGTCGAGGATCGTGGTGATGAGGTATACATACCCACTGGCGGAGATGCACGTAGAGCCAGGCGTACAACTCGCCAAGGTACTTCTCCTTGCGGTTGAGAATGTTGAACAGTCTGATGATGGCCTCGTCCCGGGATACCTTCTCTTCAATCGACTCCCAGGTCTCGATGTCCACCCTCTGCCACATGTCCTGGACCATCTTTTGCCTACGCATCTCAATGTCCTTCAGGTAGTCGAGGGCGGTGAGGGCCTGCGAGAAGTTGACACGACCGAGCTCTTCCTGGCAGTAGGTCTCCTTCACAAACTTGCGCACGAAGACATAGGGCAGCGAGGTCCTCTGGAGGGGCAGCTGCGACATTTCGGTCTGCAGGATGCTGGTGAATTCAGGGACGCCCTCGATGCCCTTGGCGTTGGGGGGGAGCGAGTGCTGGCCTCGCGAGGCGCAGTTGAGGATGTACATGGTGCGCAGCGGGAGGTCCTTTCCTTCGGTTTGCGAGTAGAGCTGGGCTATCAGGTTGTCTTCGTGCTTGCGATCCGAGGCCATGGAGAGTTCGGAAGGGGAGCGGCCGTGGGCCTGGCTGGCCATGACGGCGCCGACGGGGGATTTGGACGAGTTTCTTTGGGAAGCCATGGTGTTCCGGGGAGTGGTGGGGGAGCGAGGGAGAGGATCAGAACATCCGCGGCAAGACAGGCTTTTGACGTGGGTAGTGACGTGGGTAAACAAGCGAGGGTGCGGGCGGCTCAGGGAGCTGGAAGCGCAGCCACGGTCAGCAAAGGTCTGTGTTGTAGGCTAGCGGCCGCAAGGAGCAGGCGCAGCGCAGCGCAGTGGCATGGCCGCACGTGGTGCTGTCGCGGGGCTTCGTGGCACGTCCAAGCGCACGAAGCGCCAGGCGCGCGGCAGAGGGCGGAGTCTGCACGGCGGTGGGGCGTGTCTACATACCTGGAGCGGGCGGGATGGTGCTGGGGTGAGTGCGCGGTGCTGGCGGCGGCGGCGGGCTGGAGAGAGCGGCGGGGACAGGCCGGCGAGGTGGTAGTAGTAATGAGCGGCGGGCTGATGGCAAGAGTCGCATCAATGCGGAGGCAAAAGCGAGGCAAGGTTCGGACGGGGCGCAGGCGACTTTTGAGCGCGACGAGGAGCGACGGGGAGCGACTGTGCAACCGGCCGTTAGAGTCGAGAGCCTCGCACCTGCAGGTTGCAGGCATGCCGCGCCGCCGCCAACGCCTGCCCCGTTTTTGCCCAAGGATCAAGGGATCAGCGGTTCCGACTGACAGGAACCGGGGCTAACTCGTCTGTCGGGGAGCATGGCTAGCACATCCGTGCCCGGCATGCTGCAGCCCGCCGCCCGCCGCCGCCGGCCACGCCCAAACCCCTGCCCGGAAGCGTCAGAAACAAGAAAACCCCCGGCGCGCACGCTCGACACATCGGGCCCGGCGACCCAGCGCACGCGGCGCGATCCCAGGCCAACGGTGCGGCGTGCTGCGCGACTCGGCCGCACGGCGCTCGAGTCGCTGGCAGCGTGGCTGCGAGGGCCACCGCGCCGCTGCCCACTGCGGCTGCAGCTGCGTCTCGCGCGCGCGCCCGGCAGTGCAGCGCACACACCGCGCGCAGCTCGTTTTCGCCGGCGCTCGACGCGACTCTAGGGCCTGCTGGCCTGCTGGCCTGCTGGCCTGCTGTGTCGCGCGCTGCCCGGCCGTCGTACGCGCTGGGCGCTGGCGGCTGGCATGCTGGTGGTAGGTATTATTGCTTATTGTTGCTACGGCGGCGAGCCTCCGTGCGGGCGCGCGCGCTGGCTGCCCCGGCGTCCGTCCGCGGCCAGTCTCCACATGTGATGATTTTATGCCGACCCTGTGTTTATTGCACGCGTGAGGAGGGCCCAGACGGCCAATCACGGGCGAGTCAGGCAAGCCTTGCAAACGACCGCGCCCCTGCAGCGGCCCAGAGCGACGAGCCGGGGGCGCCATCGGCTGCGCGGATGGGCACTAGAGTCGATCGGGTCGGCGTGCGGCGGGTTGGCCACGCTGCACAGATTCTATTTCCTTTCACGGGCCTCGCAGTTCATTACGTGTACCTGCGCCGCTCATCAGCGCAGACTCAGGCTTGCAGAGCAGCCTCGGAGCCTCACTCGTATCGCATCGCATCGCATCGCCGCGCCCGGCCGCCGAATGAAAGGGACGCGCCCTCGCTGCGCCGCGAGTCGGCCTGGCTCACCACCACCGCGAGCTAGGCGCACGCAGGGCTGGCAGGCTAAAATGCCGCGTTTGATCCGTGACAGTCGCCTCCACGACTCGCCGTGGCCGCCTGCTGGAGCCCGCTAACAGCAGAGTTTCACGTTTCACCATGGCCGGTGGGCGGTGATCGCCTCGCTCAACGCCTGGCTCAGGGGAACCACCTGCACCTCTCCAGGCCACGAGACCGCGGAGCATCAGAGGCCCGGTGTCGCGGATCGATATATGGGCCTTGGTACGACGGCGTGCACCTGCTCTCTATTTTTGCCCGCCGTCCGCCGTCCACTTTCCAGCGGCGCGGATACACCTGGCCGCGCAACCCGATTGCAAGGTCCGCTGGTATCCATTCCGTCCCGGCCAGGAGGTGAGGTCTCAGTCCATGGGGAAGTGCCCAGTGCGCCCAGGGCTGCCAATCGTCGTGCCTGCAAGCCGTTGGGCGCGCCTCGCCCGCCCGTGAACGTGCCTAGGTTCGTTCGTTCCTCGAGTCGCCTTCCTAAACGGGCATGTTCGGAGCTTGTCCAACCAGCGCTAGCTGCACGTCTGCCTATGCGCGTTGCCCCGGCCAGCACCACCAAACGGGCGTGGGCGTTGACGCCCTATCTGGCACCGCACGCAGGGTAGGACGAGCGCTCCACCCGTCAATATCAATGCTGCGCTTGCCGTCGCTCGTCGCGGAGGTGACACAGCCAAAACTACCGTTTTTCCGGCATCGCGCGAATCAGAAGCCGCCGAAAGGACGGCCTGTCAAGAGGCAGCCTCGCAGATGATAGACGCCCTGTGTAACGGTAAGCTTAAAACGGTGACGCCATGACGGGAATGCCGTTCAGGGGACCTTGGCACCTGGCACTGCCTCCAGCATTGCGAGCACGAGACACGAGCTGAAGACCTCAGCCGATTCAACGAGACTCCCTGGTGTTCTGAGCGCCATCAGCTCCCCCGATTGATCGAGGGAACGCCGTGGCCTGACCGCCCACACCGATGGCCAAGGCCGTTGACGGCTGTGCGGCTCGCCGCTGAGTCACTCTGCATACCCCGCCACGAAAATTGCATCACATACGACCGTCGGCTAGGTGGCACGAGGCATCCTTCGCAACCTCACACGCTTGCCTATCCTCTGCGATCCTGCAGCATTCCACGACTACCGGCAACACGGCTGGACAGGTCCGTGCGATTTCCGGATGGAGTTGAGGTGTTCGTCCGAACCGGCGGCGTATTAGCAATCCGGCGCTGTCCACCAGCTGAATACTTCGACGGTGATGCCAAGCACAGCGATCAGTACTGCTACTGATGCGTCCTCTAGCATGTCCTCGGGCCTGGGAATGCCCCCTATGGCCGCGACCCACCTTCGATATCACACCCTTGACGTTTTCACGCGTCAAAGATTTGCCGGCAACCCGCTTGCCGTCGTCCAAATCCCCGGCGACGTCGCACTGAGCCAGGGGCAGAAGCTGCTCATCGCCAGGGAATTCAATTTCTCGGAGACAGTCTTTCTCCACGAGCGCCAGGGCGGCGAAACCACATGGAAGATTGACATCTTCATCACGACGGCGGAGATTCCCTTCGCGGGGCACCCTACCATCGGGGCGGCGTGCCTTGTCCTCTCCCAGATGCCTGGTTACGCCGACGCCGCGGGAATGATTCAGGGCAAATTCCTCACCAAGGCCGGTGAAGTCCGACTCAAGTACTCCACGACTGAGGGAACTGCTACGGCGGACATTCCCCACAATGTCCACATCCACCGTGGGACCCTGTCTCGGCCTCGTCTGCTCGAGATGCAGCCGTCGATAGCGATGCTGTTCTCGCCGACGATGCCCCGGGTGCCGGAGCAGATGCCCGTGGTTTCGATCGTCAAGGGAATGACATTCGCACTCATCGAGGTCGACAGCCTGGCAACGCTGAGTGCGGCCGTGCCAGGAGCGTTCGCGGTCGACGTAGCGCTGGACAAAGACTGGGACCAGTCGTTTGTAGCGCTGTATTTTTACTTTCGTTTGCCAGACTCGGCCGACAGCACCAGGAATCTTCGAACAAGGATGATCGAAGGAGGGCTGGAGGACCCGGCGACAGGGTCCGCCGCTAGCGCGCTGGCCTGCTTCTTATCGCTCGCAGAGGGCGTGACCGGGCAAAGGCTCAGGTACGGCATCACGCAGGGGATGGAGATGGGACGGACGAGCGAGATAGGCGTGCAGGTCGCGCTGGGCAAGACGGAGAGGGAGGTTGAATCAGTGCAACTTAGCGGCGCCGTGGTCGAGGTCATGGAAGGCAGGCTTGCGGTGTGATGGAGCGCCCCATTGGCGGAGTTTGGCGAGAGCGATGACGGAGCTCAAGGGCAGAACCAGGGCATGGCGAGATGATGAGAGGTGAAAGCCGTGCCACAATCAATCAGCACGACCACACGTGCCTTATCCCCCACGCTCGTCACGGGCTCAATTGCAAGGCGCCCCATGGTGGTGGAAGCTGCTACGCATGGGGGCAGCAGCGTCAGTGCGTTGCGTGATATTTACCTCCCCGCACATCACTGCTGGTCAGGGGCGTCCTTACCGAGCACCGGTGTCTCCAAAGCCGTGGCTACCGGGCCCTGTCGATATTGGTTACCACGCGCTTTTTTATTTTTCCCTGGTCGCTGTGGAGCAGCGAATTTGGTCCGCGAGTCCCACACTCCGATGACGCCGATTGAAAGAAAAAAATGAAAGAGCCTAGCACCCACATGGCACTAAGGGCCCCGCTCGGTGGAGGTTGCGGTGGACGACGTGCGTCTAGGCGTAGCCGGCCAGCGGGCTTGCGTGCGACCTCACCCCAAGAGCGCGACGGTGGCAGCGGCTCCGGTGCCGCTTGCCGCATCAGGCAACATGCTCCTCGCAGGCGACCTTGCGGCACGTAACGGTACGGCGGCTTGTACTCCACGCAGGGCGGCGGACGGCCAGGCATCGGGCGGCGGGCGGCGGGCAGCCTCATGGTGACGCCTGCGGTCGGCAAGCAGCAAGATGGCCAGTTCGGGCTCGTCAGACACCAGTCTCACAGGATCGTCGCCGGATGGCAGGTTGCCGGAGTGCGATGGGCAAGATGGAAGTAGTACTACTAGTTGCAGCGGCAGCGGCTAGTCAGCCAGGCACCGGGCAGCAGGAAGCCGAGCAAGCGGCCGAGCTCAACGACCTAGGTACGGCGCGGAGCAGGCCTCAGCGTTCCGCCATGGCGAGCGGAGCGCGGCCGGCGTTGATTTGTGGACAGGCGAGGCGAGGCAGGCGACTCAGGCAGGCGAGGCACGCTAAGTCAGCAGCGCCTTCTCGACCGGCGGCGGGCCGCCTTCCACACGCGGCAAGAGCAGCTGCACGGCGGGCTAAGCACTGTCAAGACTGTCAAGACTGTCAAGACTGTCAAGACTTGCTCCCAAGCCACCCGAGACGGATGCGCCTCATGCGTCGCCCGGCCAGGAAGGTTGCCGGCGCTGGTGCATACCGCCCGTCATATCCAAGGAGTTGATTAAAGGTCATCGGCCTTCAGACGCGTGCGGGACGATCAAGCTTTTACACGAGAGGAGCGGAGCGCGCTGACTAACCGCGCCCAAACCTTAATGGTCTCAGATCGGCCTCCACCACCATCGCATCCCACACAGTACCCGTCTCCGTCAATGCCTTGCCGCCCGCCTCTCCCCCGCAATTCTGCCTCTGCACCGCCAGCCGCCAGCTGCACACGCCGCCGTCGCCCACCGCCTGCCGTGCTCCGTGAGACAGCTTCGCCCTCATGACCGGTTTCATGCCATATCGCAGCCTCTGCGCCGCATGCCGGCGCTTCTGTCGCGCATGAAGACGCCTCCAGGCACGCCCGCCATCTCAGGCTGCCAAGGGTCTTAAGGACCGCATCCGCTGGCTCCAATCCCTTGCTTCTGCCCACAGTCCCATCCACTCCGCAATTCTGACTTCAAAGAGTTGCTCATTGGAGGCATTCGCTCCTTTCCCCCCGCTTTCTTCCTTTATCTCCAGACTACGTTGAGCGTGTCTGCCCCATTTCGCTTCTTATCCTGCGTCTTTCCCGCCAGTCGGAGTACGCTCTTTTTCTAATTTCTATTCACTCTCCAACTCGCTACTCCTCCACTCGAGCAACCATGCGTTTCTCCGAACTTGCTCTCATGGTCGCCGTTCTCGGCTTCACAAACGTCCGCGTCGCTCGCGCCCAGGGCGGCTTTGGTGGTTTCGGCGGCGGTGGCTTTGGCGGCGGTGGTTTCGGCGGCGGCTTTGGAGGCAACAACGGTGGTAACAACGGCGGCAACCAAGACAACAGCGACGACAACAACAACGGCAATAACAACAACGGCAACAACAACAACGGCAACAACAACAACAACAACAACAACCTTGCCCTGGACCAGAACAACGTTCAAGATGCCTCCCAATCAACCGGTCAAGACGGCGGTGGTGATGAGGGTCAGGCCGACTCGCAAACGTAAGAGACGACTTTCTACCTTGGCGAGAGAGACCGCATCTAACAATGTGACAGAGACGACGCCAACTTCATCAACTTCTGTTCCGGCGAGACCCTGACCAACGGCCAACAAGTTCAGGGTGGTTCTTGCAACGGTATTGTCATGGGCAAGATTCCCTCGCAGGACAAGATGGTCTCCTCGATGATCATCTCCCCCCAACCCGGTCAGGACATTGAAGAAAACCAAGACTTCGACATTCAAGTGCAGATGAACAACCTTGCTGCCGGCTCTTTCACCAACCCGGACAATACCTACTACGCCGCTCCGCAGGATCTCGACGACAACGGACAGATTATCGGCCACACGCACGTTACCGTCCAGGACATGGGTGGCTCCATGACCCCTAACCAGGCCCTCGACGCCTCCCAGTTCGCATTCTTCAAGGGTATCAACGATGACGGCAACGGCCAGGGTCTGCTTTCTGCTAGCGTCGACGGCGGCCTGCCCGCCGGTGTCTACCGTGTCTGCACCATGAGCTCCTCTTCCAACCACCAGCCTGTTCTCATGCCTGTTGCTCAGCGTGGTGCTCAGGACGACTGCACCAAGTTCACTGTTGGCCAGGTACGTGTAACCGAACCTCTAGCTACTGTCACTAGATGACTGACGATTCTTCAGGGTAACAACAACAATAACAACAACAACGGCAACAACAACAACGGCAACAACAATGACAACAATAACAACAACAACAACGGTGGCAACAACGGCGGCAACAACGGCTTTGGCGGATTCGGTGGCGGCGGCTTTGGTGGATTCGGCCGCCGTGTCAAGAGGTTCTCTGAGCGTGCCTTCGTCGCTTAGATGGACGTAATGGAAGAATGGTCTGGTCTGATCCAGTGTAGTAGGCATGCGAGGCTCTGCCAGTAAGATACTCCTCGGTGATGGGCGGAGAAGGGTTTGGAGCGGGACTTGAGAGACCTCTGATGTTGGACACAGCGAGCCGGTTACCGCTGGTATTTCCTCATCGGCTCTCGTGGTACTTTTATGACAATTTAACTTGCAGCTTTGGGGCTTATTTCACGACTTTTTTTCTTATAAGGAAAAGGACTCAATGGTTTTTGGTTGCATGATACACATATAGCCCTGGAGATTTGGTGGTTCCTGGTTTTTAGAGAAAAAATGCAGCGTGGTCTACCTCGTTGAAAGATGAATCTATTCTTGTTCTAGCCTGACTGTCATTTTCTACTTGGACTGCTCCCATTGTCTATTTCATCAAGGCACGGAATTTCTCCGGGCTTATTGGGCTGCTTGGGCCAAGAATTTTGAATAGTTCAACGGAATGAGAGCCGAGCGACACTAGATTACCTTCGAGGAATCTGCTTTTGCGGAGTCGGAAGTCTTGCACAGAGTGACAGGAAGTTCGCTGCAAAAGCGGGTGTGTACTGTGTAGTCCAAACATCCTCCTTGCCCTCTCTCCTGGTAACCTACTCCGGCAAAAAAAAAAACCCTGCTGCCTGTATGCTCAGCCATCCTGTCTTGTTAGTCGGAACCCCATCCATCCGACGTTGCGAGGGTGCATAATATGAGACGCCAACGGTGCGAAGCATTGTGGAGCACGGGGTGAGGCAGCGCCGTTGTATGTACGGGTATAACCGATAAAGCTGCCATGGGTCAACCGCCAAGCTTTCAGGGCTGAAACCGTTGATGTGCAGGGGCGTGTCTGAGATTTTGACTCAAAACCCCAGATTGGAACCGAGAGATTGCATTAGGCGAATGTCGCATGGAGCTCGCAGCTTGATCAAGATTGAAAGAAGCGATCTATAAGTGGAGGGCTGCCCCGCTGCCCGATAGTACATGGATGGTTATTCGAACCTGGCATCATCCGGTGCTTAGCATGGACCAGCTCAAGGTAGTCAGGGATGAGAACATGAGAAACCCCGCAGCTCTCGTTCTTATTTGTCTTGACTCTGCGACAATCTGGGCTTCTGAAAGAGATTGTAGCATATTACAAGCAGATTGGCCAAGTATGTGCTTAGATCGCTTCAAGAGACTGACTGTAGAGGTACTTGACGGCTGCTTCTGGTGAACAGGGTATGTAACCGTAAGGCTGGTCGCATCACCAGGATGGCTGTATCCTTCACCCTAACAGTCCAGTTGAGCAAAAAAAGAAAGCCGGAGCCGAGCAGGGCTCGCCAAACAGTGATAGAACCAACGGCATGATTATGCATTTCCTGAAATAGTATGCGATGTACTGCATTCCCTGGCGATCTCTTTCGCTGGTGCAAGATAACACATCCTCGAGCCAGCGATTTCTTCAGGCTCCTTAACGCCCTTCCGGGGCTAACGCCCGATCCTGCCATCCCTTTTAGTTCTCGGTATGAACACCATGCGACACAGTTGGCACGTGGTCAGTGTGATGTCACTACCCCTGTCTATCACCACCCCCTGCTGGTATCATACTTGTTGCTACGACGGTCACGGCTCTGGTCTAGCCATGCCACGTACCAAAACATCCACTCCATCGTCTCTTCCTCCACATTTCCGGCCTCCACAGCCATGCAGCCTTGAGCTTCTTGGTGTGCGCCATTTCTTCCTTCTTTTGAATTCGACAGCCTCTCGCCGACAGAATCTTCAACTGCCTTTGTCACTGGATCGTTGCCGCCTTAGGCGTTGACCCTGACCTGAGAGTTTCTCGAGCTTGGGTTCCGTACTGCACCAGGACGGGCCAGGGTGTACTTGGCAAAGGCCCTGGCGAGTGCCTTCTTGCAGGACACCTTCTGCGAGGCGACGAACGAATCGACGGCCACAGCGATGGCCCGGTCAATGTCGGTTGAGTTGCAATAGTCCGAGAGACGCATTCTCGCAAACGCCTCGCTAATACGCATGATGGCCTCGAGGTGGCGGACCTGTTGCATCCGATTTTAGCATCGTTTCGGAAAGTAGCCTGTGATGTGGAAGGCAGGGTTTTAACTTACTGTAATGGGGTATGCGCCCGTTGCGAGGGATTCACGACGCATGTCAGCGAACAACCTGGCAACCTTATCCTGGTCTATTTGGTACAACCTGGGGACCACCTTCTCGCGCGCGTACAAGATGTACTTGCGAAGCAGGTCCTGAGGGATCTCACCCTCCCTCCCTTCTGCCGCGTCGCCATCTTCATCGACGTCCATGGAGTTCGGGTTGGCAGCAGCGTTGACGGGATGAGCGCGGCCGTGTGAGTTGACGACAAAGTTCGCCAAGCGCTCGTCCTCGCTGGGGTCCACCGTGTCACGCACGACACAAAGTATATCGAAACGTGACAGAATTGGCTCCGTCAATTCGACGTTCTGCGAGAATGGGATGGTGCTGTTGTAACGACCTCCGATAGGGTTTGCTGCTGCGATTATGGCACAACGGGCGTGCAGGGTAGTAACGATACCAGCCTTGGAGATAGAAATGGTCTGCTGCTCCATGGCTTCATGGATCGAGGTTCTGTCCTGGTCGTTCATCTTGTCGAACTCATCAATAAGGCAGGTTCCCCTATCCGCAAGAACCATAGCACCACCCTCGAGCGTCCATTCACTGGTCATAGGATCGCGGCGCACACTGGCCGTAAGACCGACAGCACTAGCACCCTGTCCAGTAGCAAAAACTGCCCTGTGAGCAGTCTTCTCAACATACTTGAGAACCTGCGACTTGGCGGTACCGGGATCACCAAGAAGAAGCACGTTGATGTCACCACGAATGGCGTGCTTGCCCTGAGCAAGTTTGCTGACGCCTCCGAAAAGCGACAGAGCTACTGCAGTCTTGATGTCCGTGTGGCCGTAAATGCTGGGAGCGATCGAGTTGATAACCTTGTCAACAATCTTCGGGTCCTTGGAAAGAGCCCGAATCTCGCGTTCATCCTCTTCAGTAAGACGGAAGCCGGCAAGTTGGTCATGCGACTTTGCGACATAGTTGGCCTCAAGAATTGTGGCAAAAACGGGGAAGCCATTCTTGTTGTTGAGCTGGGCATCGTAGTTGTTGCGGTACACACCCGTAACCTCGACTTCTTCTCCAGGCTTTGCAGAGTCAATAAGATCCCAAAGCAGAATTACCTCGCGATGACGGGGCAGTCTGCCTGCCGGAACGGTACCGGGTGATTCTTGAAGAGTGAGCTTCTGGTAATTCCGGTAAACAGTTCTCTCCGCATTCAGCGTGAAGGGACCCTTCGATTGGCAGTTTTGACAGAAAGAAATCTTGACCTCGACGTTAGAATCCTGCGGGAACGGTCCGAGGGTAACGCCACACTTCGTGCAGTCGAACTTGACATATTTCAGTTGAGGGAAGACGCCGCTGCGGCGAGTGACGACGCCACTGACGCGCACAAGGCAGTTCAAGTGGCTCTGGCGGAGCTGGCGGAGGGTGTATTGGACAGGCAAGTCTGTGATGCGAACGTGGATCTCAGAGTGGATCCGCTCATAGTCAGGGTAGTGGAGCAGCGTGACATCCATCGCAACCTGATCAAAAATCTTGAGCATTTCAGAAGGTGCGTTGGCAAGGAAGTAGGCGAGAGTAGCCTTCGACTCGGCGAGGTGATCGAAGGAGACCTCTAGAGACTCGGCGTTGACTTCACCAAGGGTGCGGATGCGGGTGCCGTAGACCGAGGTTCCGTGCTCATCCGTATACTCAGTCAAGAAGGACTTAAACTCGCGTGCAATTGTCTTATGCACCGCAGGTTGAGCAACCCAATCAGTCAAACTGGAAGCCTTTACGTCCTGTAGCGCTTCAAGCGAGAGCTCCTCATCCATAATGTTGGCGTCTAGGTCCATGTCATCCTGATCCTCGTCGTAGCGGTGTCTGCGGCGGCGCGGTTGCCGCGACAGAGCGCCAATGTCGTCGTCATCGTCTTGTAGATATGCTGCGGGCACCTGACGCTGCCGAGCTAGTTCTCGATCACGGCGGTTCAGGCGGGCTTCGAGCCGTCTCCTGGTAGCCATGTCCATGGTTTCATAGTCGCCCTCATCGTCGATGTCTCGCTGGTCATAGGCATCGGCCTCACGGTCGCGGTAATCCCTCTCGAAGTTGTCGGCAAACAGGTCAATGCCAGCCTCATCCTCGGCCATCTCGTCGGCATCGTCAATGTCGCCGATAAGGTCTTCCTCATCCACGTCTAGGGTGTCCTCAATGTCGTCGCGCGGGATCACGGGCGGCGAGGAGGCAGGCGCTGCAGCTAGAATAAGCAGATGGCACTTCACTTCGGGTTCATCCGCACTTACGGCTGGAGGGCGGCAGCTGTCCCGCAGATGAAGGAATGTCATCGTCGGGCTCGCGGGACCGCTTGCGGCGGTTTGCCCTGGGGGTGCCGCGGTTCGCGGAAGACATGCTGGGACGCAGTGGTGAACTGTCCCGGTGTCAGCGCACTGAGGAATCTTTGACGACGGCGCTTCGACGGGTGCGTAGAAGGCCCGAGCGCATCTGGCGGGGCGGGATTATTACCTCATGGGGTATCTGGTAGGTGACAGCCGAAACGCGCGTTTGCGTGATGGCAATTCTTGAATTGGGTGGGGATGGAAGAGGCTGGAGGGAGTGGTGCAGTGGCTTGTGGGTGGTTCGTGCAGCTGTGAAGTAGAGGCGGGAGAAGTTGAGCAGGCGCGCGAAAGACGCGAGACGCGTCGGCCAACGAGAAGGCGCGTCTTGCCTAGCCCTGGAACGGAAATGTGAGTGGACCGGGGTGGCACGGAGCAACATGCGCGTCGCATCGCCGCCGCTGGGCAGCCGTGGCTCATCATCATAATCCATCTCTTTCCCATCTTTCGCTGGGGAACAAGTCTCCGCCTGCTGCAAATTCGCGCGTCTCCTCCTCTCGCTGCCGCTGCGCGTCTTCGCCGCCATGGCTGAGGATACGCCTCGCAAGCCGTCGCGATCCGACACGATCTCACAGCATTCCCACACATCGCAGACTGCGCAAGAGTACGTCATCGCCAGCGCCCTCACGTATGACAACCTGGGAATTGTCTTGCTGATGTAGAAGCGATGCAGATTCATCAATAGCCAACTTCAGCTTGAAGCTGATGCACGCGAGGTCCTTCCATATGTGAGCCTCTGCTTCCTCACCATCCACAGCCCGCTGCCAAGGGTGGAGCCGGAAGCTTTCAGATACTGATCTATCATAGCAATTCGATACTTGCTCGCGTCCTCTTGGCCCACTGCGGCAGAAAGCCTGGTCCTGTCTGACCTGCAACCCTCCTCCCGAAGACCCCTCCGAACCGTACACGCCCGCTGGAGTCTGTTATTCCTGCCACGTTTCTTGCCATGGCGAGCACCATCTCGTGGAACTTTTTGCCAAACGCAACTTCGTATGCGACTGCGGTACCACCCGTATCCAGTCAGACTGTCCATGCACGTTGCGAGTCAACGAGGATACCGGCGTCAAGGGTGGCGTTCGCGCCGAGAGTCCTGCCCCCAGCAACCATTATGATCACAACTACCGTAATCGCTTCTGCGGATGTGGTCAGGAATACGATGCGCACCAGGAGAAAGGTACCATGTTTCAATGTCTCGGACTGGGCACTATCGAAGATGGAGGGTGCGGAGAAGATTGGTGGCATCCCGAATGTCTCGTAGGCCTACCCCGAGACTGGTATGCGAAGGAGTCCAACAAAAAGTCGGAAGAGCACACCGACAAGGATGCCAAAAATGATATTGGGAATGGAACCGCAGAGAAGGTGGATGGCGAAACGGTTACAACCAATGGCATCGCGATCGATGTGACAAACGGAAATGCTGCCGACGTTGGCGGTAGAGACGAGTTCCCAGATCAGGAAGACGCAGCCGATGAGGATCCTCCCCTTCCTCCAAGCTTTCCGGCCGAAGACCTTTTCGAGCATCTGATCTGCTACAAATGCGTAGAAGCGTTTCCGTGGATCAAGCGGTATGCAAGCGCTCCCGGATTCCTTCCCCCCGTCTACCGCTCAGACCGTAGAGATGCCACTAGCGACGAACAAGTGGTCACAACGAATGTGGAAGCTGCGTCTGTTTCTTCTGCCGCAGTTCCTGCCGAAGAAAGTTCAAAAAAACGCAAAGCATCCGATGCCGAAGATAGCGATGGCGATGTTGACCGAGCACATGAAGCTGCCAAACGACAACGCAACTCTCAAGAACCAGCAGCAGCCACTATGCTCGCAACTTCAGAGGCACCAGGTAACCCCCGATCGACGCAAGCGATCTGCCACTACGCCAATCTTCCGCCAGCACCAAACGGTCGGTTCTCCCTTTTCCTCAAGGAGGATTTCAGAGACCAGATCTGCCGTTGTCCGTCTTGTTTCCCGCTCCTGACCCAGCACCCTTATCTCTTGGAAGAAGAGGACATGTATGAGCCGCCTGTCTCGGAATCTGACGAAGCCGATGCTCCGGGCACTGGCAGTGCCGGTAGTCGTTCTCTGCTTGACCGCGGTGAGGTTGCGTTATCAAACATAGACCGGGTGCGGGCCATCGAGGGCGTCATGGTTTACAACCACTTGAAGGACAAGGTCAAGGACTTTTTGAAGCCATTCGCGGAAAGCGGAAGACCTGTTGGGGCTGAGGATATCAAGGCGTATTTCGAACGCTTGAGAGGTGACGATGAAGGTATCATGGCTGCCCGAGGCGATGCTGAGAGAGGCGGCGAAGGACGTAAGGGCAATGGTGATGGTGACGGAAATGGCGGTCCCACGAGAGATGAGCAGCGCGGTGAGTCTTGGCGGAACCTTTGAATTTAGTAAAGGCTGTTGCTAATGTCCCGCAGGTTACTGATGGACAGTAAAATCTCGGCGAGATTACCGAAATACCAACTGTCGTTGAGTGCTCTTCTCGATTTTTTCCCTTGATGCAGCCTCAGGGTCGGGTGAGGTTTGGCTGGCTTGCACCGGAGAAAGATTGGAGATACCCCTGGAATGGCTGGCAAACGTAGTTGTATAATACCCCTTCTTGACGATGAATAGCTTAGCCGACAGTTTATGGTTCATTCTGAATAATCGCGCGCCTCTCTTTGCTGGCATTCTTGCCGGAAGGCGAGCCGCCATAATATATCCGAAATGGTGCAAGCTACTAAGAGAAAGCAAGTTAAACTACGGCTCGTATGGTACTGAGGCTTATCTGAAACGCTCCGTTTCCTTCTGCACAGCTCTATATTCAATTCTTCGTGACGTTCACTAATCTAGACGGCCTCCAATTTGTTCCTTCGCAAACCTGTTAGGACTTGGCATCTTGCTGTGATGAGCTTGCTGTGTTTCTGCTGTGGCGATGGTATCAACATTGTCGTACTGCTCGCCGTAACAAGGTGGAATCACTGTTATTATGAATGGGCACAGAGGATCGTATAAAGACAACCCAAACATTATCAACTACCCCCGATAGCCTTACTTCCACTCTTTCACAGGTACGGTTTCTGATAGGTAAGCACTTTGAATTGCTCAGATAGCAGTAGCACTTGATAAAGTGGGACAATGGTTCCCAGAGATAGTTCCACTTATAAAGCGTCTTTCGTGAAGAGCACAATTGACTATGTGTGAACGTCTGAAGAGGGGTCCTGTGATATGCGAAGAAGCTGTTTAGTTGAGCCATCAGGAGACATGGGCCAGCAAGCGGCCCTATCGACTAAACATAGGAAACTGAAGTTAAAATGTGGTTGCTTGGCTAGGTACGTGAGTGAACGGACCCTAGCTCCCGCGAGTGTGGCGCCGTCCAAGAACAACACCGTGCGAACGGATCAATAGGTTCAGCCTTCACTTCAGTAAGTGGTGGTGTTTGTCATAGGCTGAACTTCTCCCTGACTGAAGCGATAAAGGCCCGCACCTTCAGGAGTATCCTCAGTCTCCACCCTAGCCTTGTCGCGAACGATCCAGCACATGGACTAGTACGTTTCGTTGAAGATCCTCTTGACCGAGTCAGGCAAGCGGAAAGGGCGTGCTGAACTCGGATCTCTCAGCTTCGGAGGATTTACGAAGGGATGTGCTCTTGAGGCCTGAATTACCCGAGGATCTTCAACCTCAAGGAGAGTCAGTGACACACCGGCCCGAAAGGGAGGATTGCATGCCGCAGAGAATTTGTCGCTGAGGGGATGTGGTGTTGTGTTGTCAGACGTCATTGTTCCGGAAGGAACGGCTGGGTTGATGCGTGGCTAGCCGAGCTGCCGGCTGCCACAACGACCGCGTTTGGCTCGCAAGCAAGGAGTGGCGTTCTGCGCCTGCCTCTGCCTCAGCCACGTCTTGCGTAGCTCCCGGCGTCCCGCTCCGGGTGAGGAGAGCTTAGGTCCGCATGGAAAGGCTGGTGAGAGAGCGTGCCAAGCCGGCCGGCGGTGATCAGCGGGAGTGAGAGGCATCCCTGGCAGCTGAGCAGTCAGCGTGCGCCTCCACCATCAGCTGCTGAGAGAGCTGCCGTGTTCCGGCCTGGCGCCCCAGGGTTGCGCAAAGTCAGCGGCCGTCAGCGGCTTGGACCCTGGGAATGTCGCCTGTGCCGCGCCCTCTTTCTCAACACAACCCTCCGTCTACAAAACAGTGCGCTTCTGCCAGTCCTCGACCGTCGCTCTGCCGGGCTCCACAGCTTGTCAGGCCTCCAACATGGGTTCCTTCACCCAGCTACTGCCACTGCTCATCCTGCTCGTCGTTGTCGGCGTCGGCGCCTGGGTGGGACTTCAGGTAAGTTGGAAACACACTGCCAGAGCGAGCAACGCGACGATCGCTGGTCGCATGGACCCCCGAATCTCACCAGGCCATCTCCCCGGCCCTGATCACTCAGGCTAATGACGTCGCCGGCTCAGATCTACGTCTACACGAATGAACTGGCCGACAGAGGCAAGAAGAAGATGGAGAAGAAGAACATTGTCGTCTCCAAGGACGGCATGAAGGTAGGGGTCAAGGAGGTCAAGGACGAAGACTACGCCGACAAGACGCAGAGGTGCGCCGTGCCCCCGAGTCATGGTGGAGCAATATGCATGCTGACTTGGCTCTCGCGCGCAGCTTGTTGGTGAAGGCCTGGTCGTACACATCGTTTCCGGCCTACAAGAGCCGCCTCGGGTGGATGAAAGAAGCGGAGCCCCCCAAGTAAGTTGGTCCTGCGCGGGTAATCGTTCAGCCACGGGCTGACCTGGCGTAGGTCGTCATCGAGGGCGAGGGCGAGCTCGAGCGGCGTCAAGGCGCGCAAATGATTTGCTGGGCAGGACGCAGGTGGCGACGAGTGTTGACTGTAAGCGTGCGCAAACAGCCGCGCGGCATTTGGCTCTGGCTGCTCTTGGTTACTGAGGGAGGCAGCCTTGGCCAAGGCTGTCTTGCCGCAAGCGCTGGGTTCCTCGAGGAGGGTCTGCTGCGTCTAGCGCTACGATATTCGGAAATGCCAGGAGTATCAGCAGTTTCAGTCTCCACTACTGCAGCAGCTGAGGGCCCGCGACGCCGCGGTGCGGAGTGCAGCGCAGTGCAGCGCAGTGTCGAAGCTGCCAATCTGCGGGCCCATGTGACTTGACACGCTGCGCTGGCTGCTGAGCGAACCACATGGGGAGGAGGCGTGGCTGGCACGCTGGGTCGCGGCACAGTTGGGCGCGCTTTATTATAACGCCTCCGCTCTACATGCTGCAGCCCTGCGGGCAGTGGCGGGCCGATCTTCATTCGCAGCAATTATCAACAGGAGCCTCCTCCGCCACGGTGTTACACAGCACAAAGCAGCGTGCGGCGGGGTGTGCGGCAGCAAGCGAGGCGCGGCAGCGAGAGCGAGGCACCGAGGGCACAAGGACGCGCGGGTCAGTGGGAGTATCTCGGGCGGCTCGTTGCGAAAATACGGGGCAGCACTGTGGCACCGCGGCCTCGGCCAGCACCTACCCATGCAGAGCAGCAGAAGCAAGCGGTGCCCGGCCGGCTCCATGGCAGCGCCGCCCAGGCGTGCAATCAGGCTCGGGCGGCCACAGAATCGAGGCGCTGCGAGCTCTCGCGGCGGCGCCACGCGCAGGCTAAGGGTCGAGAGGTGGGGGCTCGTACGGGACAATCGTGCGCGAGGGCTGTGCGCAGCCAGCCGGACGCAAGCTCGAAAGCGGCGGCGAGACTTGGGGCAAAGCAGCACGCGGCGGGCACAGGAATGCCAGCCGTCCGAATCGGGCGCTGCGAGCAGCGGGCTGCCCAGGGCGGCGGTGCTGAGGCCGGGTGTCGCACGCTGGAGTCGCGCGCAGTGGTCCGCATGCGAGACAAGAGCTGCCCTTTGTGAGAGAGATGCTGATCGTCCGTGACGGGTGGTGCCGTACCCCCAGCAGTAGTGTGCTTCTCCGCCCATCTCAACACCGACCACAACCTGCATACCCTGCCCGCCCAGCGCTCACCCACGCCCTCCCCCATCCCGGAGCCGCCTCACGCCCGCCTGCCCACGCGCCCGCCGTCCGCCGCTAGTCGATGCCCGCTTCGCACCGCCCGCGAGAGCTTCAATGAAGCTCAGGTAAGGCCAGTCGCGACCCGGTGGCCCTGTCGCGGTCCGCCTCGACTTCCTACCTGCTTTCAGACCCCGTCTCGCCCGCTGAGCCCCCTGCTGTGAGACCTCGCCGCCCCGAGCACGACAATGACGAGGAAGGAGGAGGCCGGCCGCCATGGATCGACGGAAAGCTCTGGCGCCGAGAGTTGGCGATCGCAGGACACCGTCCGCGCAAACAGCCTGAGCGGCCGGCGACGCGGTGCGCCCATCAAGGTGAAGACGGACAAGCAGCAGAAGTACGTGCGCCCCGCTGCCTTGGCTTCGCCTGCAAGACGCCGTGTGCGAGGAGGGTCGCGTAAGAAAATGTGAGGGTGGCCAAGCTGGTGGAAGCACCCCGACGTCCCAGCGGTCTCTGCGCGCGGCACCGCCTGCGTCCACTGTCTTGCCTTGTGCAGACGAGGCCCGCGGCGCGCTGCTGTCTGGCGGCCTCGAGCCCAGTCCCTCGCTCTCGCCCACGGTCCCGCGACCCGGGGTCGATGGCCGGGAAGCCCGGGGGAAAAAGCACAAAGATGTCGTCAGGCGGCGCATTAGACCGCGGCCCTCCACGTGCCCAAGCCCTTTCCCATCGTCTCACCCACGCCGTCCCGTTCGATGCCCTGGTCCAGAACTGACTGAGCGCTTGCAGGAAGGACGACGACGACAAAGATAACGAGATTTCGCCGGGCACCGCTACCACGCCCGAATTCAAGACGCCAGACTTCTCGAGCCACAAGGGTCCCGGCATCCCACCATGGGAGCGTCGCCGGGCAGCTGACTTCAGCAACTATCGCAAAGACCTCGCTGTTCTCGAGCAGGCCGGCAACGGGGTGCCGTCCATATCTCGCGTCCCCCCTACCGCGTCGGCGTCGACCCCGCCCTGGGCCAAATCCAACGGCTCTGGAGACATGCCCAACTCCATCTTCTCGGGCAGCTTCTACAACGACTCCAACGAAGATGTGTCGCAGCTGTCGCCCGGCTTCCGCCCCGGCTCGGGCCAGGCCGAAGAGGGGGGTTATCAAGGGGAAGATAGACGTCCGTCCGTTGCAAGCGCGACCACAGTCAGCAGTTCTGGCTCGAAATCAAGCATCAGTCGGGGCTTTCACAAAAAGCTGCAAGGATTTTTCGGAGATGAATTCAATAGCTCCGATTCGAGGCAGAACTCACAGACGAGTCTGCCAGAGCGGCAGCGAAACCGCAACAACTCGCTGCACAACACACATAGAAGTAGCATTGGCAGCCGCCCGGCCTCTCCCGCCAGCTCGCGACCGCGGACGCCGCTGCCTTCGAGCGAAGTGACGCCGTGGGAATATCAGGAAAAGGTGAGTCGGACGCCTCTGAGAGCTGCATGGATCTCGCTGCTGCCGCGGAGAGGGTTTCTTGGCATCTGGGAGTGGCTGGACGTATGGCTGGGCTCAACATGGAAGCATGTGGGGCAGTACATGGTTCTTCGAATCGGCAGCCACTAGTCTGGGCCGCGCTTATCTTTCGATTGTCGCGCTGTCGTTGCTTGTTTCGGCAGTCTTGCCTATATACTAACATTGGCCAGACGCAGGACACGCCTTCCACCACCACGACGGCCGCAGACGCGCAATCGATAAGATCGGCCAAGGGATCGCATTCTCACAAACTCCCCTTCCATGGACATCGGCACCACAGGAGCAACGACGAATCAAAGGCGCCCGACCTCGGGCATGGGATGCCGCTGCGCCCCGTCGCCAGCAGAGATGAATCGTCGAGCAGCTACCGGGGTCGCACCGATTTTAGCATTCGCTCAGGGCTGGCGTCGGCAATGACTTCGACCAATGCATTGGTTCCGCGGTCCAGCAGTCCGACCGGCAGCACAAAGTCGAACAAGGAGCCCCTCGGCTCGAAATCGCCCGGCAGTGCAATGGCCGGCAAAAGATCTCTTTTCGACAAGCTGCGTCGCAAAGACAAGGCCGATCGTGCCGCAGAAGGTCTGAGAGATCTCCCGTCATCGACCCTTTCGCTTCAGCAAACAATGAGGTCTAACAAGAGCGACAAAACAGATCCACGCGACCTGAAGAGCGGCAAATTTGTAGTCCAAGCGTCGGCTGGATCATGGGGCCAGCCCTACGTGTCGTACGACAAAGGGAAAAAAGAAAGCAGCAGAATACCCTTCAAATCGAAACGCCCCCAGCAAACGCCTGAGGGCCCTGTCGGGAAGGATCCAAACACCGCTGAAGCTGATGCGACAGGGCACGAGGCGCTGTGGAACCTGGACACTGACCTGTCGCATATGGAGGGCATCATAAACCCTCAGCAACCGCCAATGACACCACCGACGGGCGACGTATATGCTGGTTGGCCCGACGATACCGCTCCGCCCAAAGAGAAGGAATTGGAAGAGAAAGGTGTCTGGGACGCCCCTGACTCTTGGGCTGTGAAACGCGCCAATGACGAGAACGTCAGTCGTTTGCAAGAGCTCGACGAGCAGGGCAACCCTCAAAAAGAAGAGGTCGACCCCGGGCCTCCATTCTGCGTTCGCATCTTCCGAGTGGACTCAACCTTTGCTGTCCTCTCCGTCCCTCTCAACACAACGGCCGGGGAAGTGATCCAGATTCTGGGCAAAAAGTCTTTCTTGCAGGATGAGCTCGGTAATTACCAAATCATAATGCGCAAGCACGACACGTCTCGGCAGCTGGAACCAAACGAAAGACCGCTCGTTATCCAGAGGCGTCTGCTCGAACAGGCCGGATACTCCGAATCGGACAGATTGGAAGACGTCGGGCGGGAAGACAACAGCTATCTCTGCCGATTCACCTTCTTGCCGGCCAAGATGAGCGGTTACTCCAGTCTGGAAAAAGATCCTGGATTCAGCAAAATGCAGAAGTTCAGTCACATAGACCTTCAAGGCCGGAACCTCATCACCATCCCCATCACACTGTACCAAAAGGCCACGGAAATCATATCCCTTAATCTTTCTCGTAATCTCTCCTTGGACATCCCGAAAGATTTCATTCAGGCTTGTACAAATCTCCGCGAGATCAAATACACGAGCAACGAGGCGTGGAGGTTACCGCCAAGCTTGAGCTTGGCAAGCCGCTTGACGATGCTGGACATTTCCAACAACCGATTGGAACAGCTCGAGCACGCTGAGCTTTGGAAATTGCAGGGCCTCCTGAGTCTCCGGCTGTCGAACAACAAGCTTACACACTTGCCCAAGTACTTTGGGTCCTACCGTGCGCTGAGGAGTCTGAATCTCTCGTCAAACTCTTTGACTGAGTTCCCTGATTTCCTGGGCGACATTCAGACACTGGTTGATCTGGATGTCAGCTTCAATTCAATCGAAGGCCTACCAAAGATTGGTCAATTGGTTTGTCTGGAGAGATTGTGGGCCACGAACAACAAACTGCGTGGTTCCTTCCCGGATGATCTGAAAAACCTGTCCAACTTGAAAGAAATCGATGTGCGCTTCAACGCGATCGACAGCATTGATGTCATGTCCCAGCTTCCGCGACTGGAGTATTTGATGGTGGGCCACAATTCGATCTCAGCGTTTGAGGGATCCTTTGCGAAAATCCGCGTCTTGCACCTCAACCACAACCCCGTCACCCGATTCGGGCTTAGCGGACCGGTGTCGACCCTGTCAATACTCAACTTGGCATCAGCGAAGCTCACGCAGTTACCAGATGACCTGTTCCTGAAGGTGCCCAACCTGACGAAGCTCATCCTTGACAAAAATCATTTTGTGTCTCTGTCGCCGCAGATGGGCAAGCTCTTGAAGCTGGAACACCTCAGTCTCGCGAGAAATAACATCGACCAACTACCGGCCGACATTGGAAGGCTTACGGAACTGCGCTACCTGGATGTCAGAGAAAACAACCTGAACGATCTTCCGAGGGAGATTTGGTATGCTCGGAGGTTGGAGACTCTGAACATCTCTTCGAATGTCCTGACAACATTCCCGAAACCCGGCCCGCCCAATCCGGCTTTCCAGGCGGCCGATTCCCAGGTTGACGGGGCCCCAGGAACTGCACAAACCACGCCTGGACTGTCTAGCAGCCCAAGTTTTGAGGACCTCGGCAAATTGGAGGATTTCGAAGCACGAAGGCCAAGCCAGAATTCGGGCCAAGGGCTGCTCACTGTCAGCTCATCCCCAGGTGCTCAAAGAAGTGGTTCAGTTGCTTCAGGGTATTCCTCTAGCGGGAGGAAAGCATCGACCACTTCCAAAACGACAGATGGGACGGTGACACCAGTCACCCGCAAGGATTCAAGCTTATCTAACCGGATGGTTACTACCTTCGCCGGCTCCCTTCGACATCTATTCCTTGCGGACAACCGACTCAATGACGATGTTTTCGACGAGCTGGCCCTCCTTCCCGAGTTGCGAATCCTCAATATCTCGTACAATGTCATCTACGACCTTCCTCCCCGGACCCTCCGCAGATGGCAACATATAACGGAGTTCTATCTTTCCGGCAACGATTTGACTTCCCTCCCAGCTGAAGACCTCGAAGAGGTGACATCGCTGAAAATTCTTCACATCAACGGGAACAAATTCCAAGTACTTCCTGCCGAGCTCGGCAAAGTGGCCAAGTTGGCCATCCTTGATGTCGGCAGCAATGCGCTCAAGTACAACGTGTCCAACTGGCCCTATGATTGGAACTGGAATTGGAACCACAACCTGAGATACCTCAATCTTTCGGGCAACAAACGCTTAGAAATCAAGCCTCATGGCGGGTTTGCAGGCGCCGGCGGCTACGGACGCGAGGGCAAGGATCTCACGGACTTCACCTCGCTCACGAGCTTGCGCGTCCTGGGGTTGATGGATGTCACGCTGATGGTCCCGTCGGTGCCAGATCAGAGCGAGGACCGGCGAGTACGAACTGCAGGCTCGATGGTTGGGACGATGTCTTACGGCCTGGCGGATACCCTGGGGCGGAATGAACACCTATCGACCATGGACCTGGTCATTCCCAAGTTCCGGAGTCACGATGACGAAACACTTTTTGGCATGTTTGACGGACAGGCTCTGCCGGCCGGCGGCTCAAAGATTGCCAAGTACCTTTACGACCATTTCAAAACTCGATTCTCTGACGAACTAGAACGGCTCCGACCTAACGAAACCCCGGCGGATGCGCTCAGGAGAAGTTACCTAGGCCTAAACAAGGACCTCGCGGGGGCAGCGACTCAGTCACAAGACAAGGCTGGGGTTGTCCACCGCAGCACCATGCCTAACTTGAGCGAGGAGGACCTGCACTCCGGCAGTGTTGCGACAGTCGTGTATTTGAAGGAGATGGAGCTTTTTGTCTCAAACGTGGGTGATGCACAGGCCCTCCTGATCCACTCGGAGGGCAGTCACAGAATCATCACCAGAAAACACGACCCGGCAGAGCCCGGCGAGCGCACGCGTATCAGGGATGCTGGAGGATTCGTTTCTCGCCAAGGAAAGCTGAACGACGTCCTGGAGGTCTCTCGTGCTTTTGGATACATCCAAATGTGCCCGTCAGTCATTGCCGCCCCGCATGTGTCACACATCACTCTTCGCGAGTCTGACGAAATGATTCTTGTGGCCTCTCGAGAACTTTGGGACTACCTGACTCCAGACTTTGCGGTTGATGTCGCCCGCTCCGAACGCGGAGACCTCATGAGGGCTGCGCAGAAGTTGAGAGACCTCGCCATCGCATTCGGCGCCACAGGCAAAATCATGGTCATGCTCATTGGTGTCAGCGACCTGCGGAAGCGTGAGCGCGCGAGATTCCGGACACACAGCATGTCCATGGGCCCCACTGGCTCCCCTGATGAGCTCTTCCCCTTCCCGCGGAGCAGGGGCAAGCGCCGTGAGGTGGTCGGAGACCAGAAGCTCGCCCGCCTTGATTCAGAAGTGGATGCCCCTACCGGAGAAGTCAGCTTGGTGTTCACTGACATCAAGAACTCGACCCTCATGTGGGAGACTTATCCAACGGCCATGCGGTCTGCCATCAAGATGCACAACGACGTCATGCGCCGGCAGCTGCGACTCATTGGTGGTTATGAGGTCAAGACCGAAGGTGACGCGTTCATGGTCGCCTTCCCAACGGTAACCTCGGCACTTCTATGGTGCTTCACAATCCAAAGCCAGCTTCTGGACGTGCAATGGCCTCAGGAAATCTTGAGCAGCGTCAATGGACAAGAGGTGGCCGATGCGGATGGCAACATCATCTTCCGCGGTCTTTCGGTCCGCATGGGTATCCATTGGGGCACGCCGGTGTGCGAAGTTGACCCAGTCACAAAGCGCATGGATTATTTTGGTCCCATGGTCAACAGAGCATCCCGTATCTCATCCGTCGCGGATGGTGGTCAAATCACAGTGTCGTCGGATTTCATTGCGGAGATCCAGCGTCTGCTCGAGACCCACATCGAGTCGGATCGGTCTGGCAGCCTGGACGACTCTTTTGGCGATGATTCTCAAGCCCAAGCGATCCGACGTGAATTGAGGTCGTTGAGTAGCTCAGGTTTCGAAGTCAAGGATCTCGGAGAACGTAGGCTGAAGGGTCTTGAGAACCCTGAGTACATCTACCTTATGTATCCGCACTCGTTGGCATCGCGCCTCGTTGTCCAGCAACAGCGCGCCGAAGCAGAAGCAGCAGCGAATTCTGCCATGGCCGGGACCAAGATGGCAGACTCGCAGCTCACAATCAACACGGAGGATGTCTGGGCGTTGTGGAACGTGTCGCTTCGCCTGGAGATGCTCTGCTCCGCACTCGAGAGCCCCGGCAGCACGCAGCTGAAGGCACCCGAGACAGCGCTGCTCGAACGCATGAAGACTCGAGGTGGCGAGATTACGGACAGGTTCTTGATCAATTTCGTCGAGCACCAGATCTCGAGAATCGAGGTAAGCAACTAGCAGCTTGACCTGGCCCTTCACATACTGATATGACTTTTTTTTTTTAGTCTTGCATTACGACACTACAACTCCGCCACACCGTCCGGCCATTCGGTGGGGGCATGCTCCAGCAGGCCTGTCCCATGGCCGACATATTTTCCGAACTCAACAGTCAGCTGGAAGAATTGCGCTTACTGAAAGCCGTCGCCGCGGCGTGACGGCGCTTATGATATGCCGAAGACGACGGCCTAGTCGCGCCATCTTCATCAGATGAGGCTGCATGTAGAACATAGTGTCCTTTTTCCGCGTTGTCCAGCGAAAACAAAATACCTGTTACCCTTCGCACGAATACCTTCAAACCCCCCGTCCACCTTCAGACCTCTTTGATCCTCATCCATCCAGCCGTCTCCCGTCTATCGCAGACGATATTCTTACCACGCAGAAAAAATAATTCTTCGTCCGCGACTGTTATTCACTTCACGACATCAACGATTGTTGCGCGTTGTTTGACAAGACTTTTATGGCGTGGTCTGATTTCGGTTGTTGTTTTCCATCATTCGAGCGCCAGGCACCATCAGTCAGGAGAAGGGAGGAGAGGGACAAATGGATGCGGGCAGCGCAGGGCGCAACGCAAGGCGCTTTGAAATGTTTGTTCTTTTGGCCTCTCTCGACTTCTGCCGCTTTGCCACCTGACACCTGTTGCGTGTGTCGTTACACGGCTGTGAGATGTTCTTGTTTTGCTGGCGGTTTGATTGCTTATTGGGACTGTTGCTCTCTTGCGCGTTTTTCCTTTCTTTTTTTTCTTCCTGGTTTGAGGATTGCGAGTCGGATTTGGGACTGTTGATTCTTTAGCAGGTGGTTGTTCTTTATATTTGTCGTTTGTCATGCTGTCGTCGTGTCCTCCTCGTTTTACTCTTGGCTTTTCCAAGCCGTGCGGAGATGAATAGTCTCTCCTCTGATATGTGTGAGCGTCGTGTGGGTTGCTGAAAAAAAGGGAGATCTTTTTGAGTCAAAACGTTGTTGGTCTATGGGAAAGAATGGCTCGTTATCTCTATCACTATCATTATACTTCCACCGTCCTCTCGCTCGCAACCGTCTACGACTTTGTTTTGCCGACCCAATTTCTTATTCACATCTTCGTGAAGGAAGAAAGAGGAAGATAGAGAGGGGGGGAGAGGGGGAGAGAAAGAGCATGCGTTGCAGTGTGCCTTGTCTTCACGCCTCAAGATAGGTGAGGAGCTGTCTCTTGGCCTATTGGCATAGCTGGTCACAGCAGCTTACAAAAGAAACGAGCCCACCCACATCTGCCGCGGGAAGACCTTACACCATGCATACGTGAAACCGATCTCTGGATGTATTTGTTTCTTGTTTACTTCTTCCGTCTTCCTTTGGATGTGTCACTGGGGTGCGGATTGGCTTCTTGACGTCTGGGATAGAGTGCGCGGAATAGCAAGTTTGATTCTTTGATGGCGACTTTCTCTTTCCTCGTCTTTTTTTCTCGTTTATATTCGGTGGCTCATAGAAATCTGACGATGAAAACCTACGTGCGAATCATTCATCTTAGCCCAAATTTCTTTGAGCAACCAGTCACTGGAGAAGGAACGTCAATGTGACATTTTTGTTGTCAAGGTATCTACTATCTCGTCTCGTCTAGACCAACGCCATTGTCTCATCGCATCTATACCAAAAGCAGAACCAGACCTCATGAAATTACTCCTTCAGCGCCATGCAAGATCCTCTAAGCTAGCCCTTCTACTGAAACGATATGATAATCATGGGTAGCTTGGAAGAAAATGGAAAAGCAGAAATATGATGATAACTACACTATTTAATCGACGAACCAGATGTCGCAGAGAGTGAAAGAACCAAAAAGGTTCACTTCTTTGCGACGGGGTAAGCAAAACTGCGGCCGTCCATCAGACTCCACAGCTCCTCGACAACTCTCTTCTGCCCATCGCGTTCCGGGGCGGCCCTGACTGCGAGGTAGCAACGGCCCTCTAGCTCCGGATCCCAGCAGCCCGGGTTGGCACTGGCGATGAGGCCACCGGCCTCCTGAAGGATGATCCAGCCAGCGCAGATATCCCAGATCCAGACGCCACCCTCCCAGAAGACGTCCATCCAGCCAGCAGCGACGTAGCAGAAGTCGAGAGCCGCGGATCCAGAGCTCCGGACGCTGTGAACCATAGCGCCGCCCGCGTCCTTTGAAGAGAGAAGTTTCTTGTGGACAGAGGTGCGAATGTCCCAGTTAGGTCCGCTGCGTTGGTTGCCCCACTCAATGGCAACAAGGCAATCATTGAGGGAGTCGATCGGAGGAGGGTTGCGCTTGCCAGGGAGGGGGATTCGACGGCCGTCGTGGCGGGTCAGAAAGGCGCCTTTTCCCTTGATGGCAGTGAACAGGTCGTTGCGGAAGGGGTTATATACAACGCCAACCACGGGCTTGCGGCCGACGGTCAAAGCGAGGGAAATTGAGACGTTCGGAAACCCGTGGATGAAGTTCAGAGTGCCGTCAATCGGGTCGGCGACAATGGTGGGCGCGTCCGTCAGCTTGGTGCCCTCCTTGAAAGTCTCTTCGCCGAGAAACTTGAAGTTGGGGTATTTGGTGCGAACGGCCTGGTGGACTATCTCCTCGACCTGCTTGTCCGTCTCGGTGACGCGATCGCTGGAGTTGTTCTTGGTGTCGGAGGCGTCGGCGGTGGGGTCGGCAGCGAGGATTATCTCTCCACAGCGGCGCGCAATTTGGACCAAGGTCTCTTGGGTGTCCTCCAGCGCAACTCCGCCGCACAACGAAGCCAGAAGATGCTCATCGACGTCACCCAAATCAAAGACAGACCCATCGGGGCTGGTAAATGGAGTACCCTGGCCGGCCTGCGGGTACGGTGAAGCCGGCGATTCGATGCCACTGGGAGCTCTGGACTGATCGGTGCTGTACGACATTTTTGTGAAGGTTGAATGGCGTAGTCGGTTTTGGTTGAGGGGTGTTGTCGTAGTAGTGGCAGAAAACGAAGCACGCTCTGCAATAGAGGGTGGAAGAGGAAGGGCTGTGGAGGAGGGATGAGTGGGCTTGGCTTGACGAGAAGAATATATATGGGTTGCAGGAGAGTGACTGTTTCTAGACCCTGATCCACGTGGACTGGTAGCCGAAAAACAATGGTCTCGAGACAACGTGCTGAGGCGGCACGGGTGGAAAGTGCAGGTGGGTTGATGCACGGGAGAGCAATGCTCAGAGACAGTCAGATGCTCGGGAGAGCCGCAGGCGGACATGTGGAAGCGGGAACAATAGGGGCGCTTTCCGGCACGTGCAAAGAGTATCGCGGGAAGTGAAGACGGCGGTGTTGGCAGATGGCCAAGCCGGGTCAAGAGGGCCATTGGAGGCACGTGAAAGTTACGAGCTTGTCTTTGTCACCGAGACAAAGACGACTCGCGGCGGTGTTGAAGCGGCAGTGTGAAATCTGCGTTGTGGGTGGCGCTGCTCACCCGATTGGGCGGGCGGGCGGTCCTTCTCCACAACGTCCATCCCACAGCCGGCGACTGAACAATTGGGCCCACCATTGCTGCAATTCGCAAAGCATCGTGGCTGGTCTGGCGACGTAGCTCATGCTATCTTGGAGCAAAGGCCGGGCACGGCGGGTCGAAGAGGCGACGGGCGGGTGACGGGCGACGGGCGACGGGCGGCGGCGGCGAGCGGGTGTGGTGCGAACTCTGGGTACTAAGTAGGCTTAAAAGGTTGGGCGCCATTAATTGCGGCCGGCCTCGCGACAAGGGAAAGCGCGCGCCGGGCTGGCACGCTTGGTCGCGCCTGCTTCTGCTTGGTTTGCCGGCTGCTTGCGCGGAGCGGCGGCGGACCGATGCTTCAAGCAATCAATCCATTGCACGCGCACACGCACACCCCGGCGCTCCACCCGCCGCCTCCGCAACCACCCCAACATGCACTGTCTCGGCCAGGGAGATGCTTGCGCTGCTGCTGAGCATCCGCAACCCCAAGACCAAGACCAAGACCAAGACAAAGACAAAGACCAAGACCAGTCTTCACCGTATGTCGTCCAGCCTCACCACCCGTCACGCTGCCGATCCGCCCGACATCAAGCTACTGACGACTTCCAGCGACAAGCCGTGCAAAGCCAATGCCACTGTGCGCCGCCGCGACCAACGTCGTCGCATCCGCCGCCAGCTCACGTCAATCAGCCCTACAAACGCCCATCCCCAGAGACAGTCTCCGCTCTGGTCCAAGCTTCCTCCCGAGATCCGCAACCAAATCTTCACTCTCGCCGTTTCACAGCATGTTGATCTCACTCGCCCGTATCCAGAGAACAGCTGGCACTTTCGCCCTGGCTACACCCACGCCTCTAACATGTACACCGATCTGCTAGCCACCTGTCGCCTGGCCTACTGGGAGGCTTCGGCCATTCCCCTGTCCACTGCCACCCTGCCCGTGTGGGACGACCGCGGCCCTCCCGATGCTCCACGCTGGCGCTTTGCAGAGTTCACCGCCAGGAACACGGCTCTGTTGAACCACGTTCACTTCTTCGTGCGCCGCCCCAACGGCCACTGGTACACGCCTCTGCCACAGTTCCGCCCCAAGCGCATCACCATCACCATCCGCCACACCTCCTGGTATGGCTGGCCCAACGACAAGCCGCTCATGATCTTGGACACGTGGCGCAGTGGTCTCTGCCCGCCCAATACCAAGTTTCCGTCGTGTCTAAGAGAGCTGACCATCGAGTTTGAGACGTTGAAGCGCAAGAGGGACCAGCTGAATGACATCATCAACAAGAGGGCCTACAACTGGCGCTTTGCGCTGGAGGATGGCACCGTTCTATCTCCACTCGCCACCCCGCCGAAGTATTCCGAATGGACCGGTGCCGCCGACTTCGGTGGTGTCAAGTGGCGCTTGGCCCACGGAAACCGAGATACTATCGACTATATCGTCGTTGCCCTGACCTGGAAGCCAGGAAGCTCCGACCATGGAGTGAAGATGGTCGAGTCCGCTTGATTGATTCTGATTGCTCACACGCCTACAAACAACTCTAGCCACAGGCTTGACAGCAAACAAGGGCGCAATGTTCAGATGGGTAGCTGGTTTCTTCATCGCGAGGCAACGACTCTTACCCCCTAGGCTGCAGACTGAACCGCCTTCGTCTTTCCTTCTTTGTTTGCTGGTATCTTCTATTTCCTAGCAGCTTCAAGGACGCCTCTCGTCAACCGATCTCTCCGTGATGTATCCACGACTCCATACGCCTCCTCTGCCTGCCTGAATATATCATCCTCCCACCCCTCGCCCACATTTTCCTTCCCCGAATCATCCCAGCAGCGCTGGATGGTGCCTCCGATATTCTTGAAGAAAGCTTCCAGGCCTCCGGGACCGCCGCCAGCATGGTAACTGTGGAACGGGCCGGCGACAGCCCATCGCGGGCCCATGCTGGCCTGTACGATGCGGTCCAGCTCCTTGGCACTGACAACGCCCTCGCGGACAAGATGTACCGCCTCGCGCAGCAACGCATAGGCCAGGCGGTTGGCGACGAAGCCGGGGACTTCTTTGTGCTGCACCACGGGCTCGCGCCCCCGGGCGTGCCAAAAGGCGACGGTCCGTCGCACCGTCTCATCGCTCGTCCGTGCGCCGGGAACGACTTCTAGCAGGGGCATGACGTGCGGAGGGTTGAAGGGGTGGACGACGACCAGGCGCGCAGCTTGGTCGTCACCGAGGCCGCCGGATTCGGCCTGGGCGGTGGCGGTGATGCCCGAGGTGCTGCTCCAGAAGAGGACGTTGGGATTCTTCGCATGCTTGGCGACTTCGGCCCAGATGGCGGCCTTGAACGGCAGGTTTTCCGGGCCTTGCTCCTGCACGATGTCGGCGTCGCGCACGGCGTCGGGCAGTGAGGTCGTCAGGCGGATGGAGGACAGATCATAATCGCCTCGGCCTGTTGTCTGGGGAGAGGCGGCGGGCAGGTATTTTGGAAGCGTGGACGCGACGTATTGGGCCAGGTCATGCCGCGTGTCGTAGACGGTGAGCTGCGAGGGCGACGCGAGGAAGGGCAGGTGCAGCGCGGCGAAGGAGAGGCCGATGGTGCCGGCGCCGATGAGGGCGATGCGGGCATCGGCGTCGACGTAGGCATGGGGCGGAGGGGTCTCGGTGGACATTGTTCTTGTTTTCTTTTTTTTTTTCTGTGTGGTGTCAATGAAAAGAGCGAAGGTGGATGGCGGGATGGCGGGATGGCGGGGTAGCTTTCCCCGCAATTCCAGCACACGCCCTTCGGCGCACGCCAGTGCGTACCCGATCCCCGGCAATACTAATGCCATGGCGGCTCAATTAGGGCCTCGCCTCTTGCCGTGCAGCTCAACAGCCCGTGGCTGCTGGGGGCGGCGATGCTCGAGTTTACGCCTCGGCAATGCCTGCTTCCTTCTCCACCTCCGCCTTTTGACCACTTCTGCTTTCTTCCCTCTTTCCTTCCACTTTCGCTGTCTCTATTTGATTTTCCCGTTTGGAATTTGCATGGATATCCAAAATGAAGATTTACAAGTCTCGCCAACCAGATATTGAAGGTAAGTAGGAAACAGACCCCAGCTTCAAACCCCACCTTCTGGGGGGAAAATAAAAGAGAGAGAGAGAGAGAGAGAGAGAGAGAGAGAGAGAGAGAAAAAAACAGAGACTAAACAAAAGCTCTCCCTCCGCAGTACCGACCCACCTCACAACATGGGATTGGTTGTTCGACTCCCCCTACTCCCCACTCTCGGCCTCCCGCAAAGGAACCCCCCTCGCCGGCTTCATCGATGCCACCACCTCCGAAACCCTCGACTGGGAGGCGGTGCGCTCGCTGACGACGTACCTGTCGACCGCGCTCGTCCGCAAGCTCGGCCTGCGCGAGGGCGAGACGGTTTCCTTGTTCAGCCCGAACTCGGTCTGGTACCCCGTCGCCATGCACGGCGCGCTGAGGGCGGGCGCGCGCGTCTCGGGAGCCAGCCCCGCGTATGGGGTCGAGGAGATGGCGTATGCGCTGAGGACGGCGAAGACGAGGGTGCTGATTGCGGGGAGAGCGAGTCTGGGGGTTGCGGTGGAGGCGGCGAGGAAGGCGGGGTTGGACGAGGGGAGGGTGGTGTTGTTGGAGGGGAAAGGGGACGGGAAGGGGGAAGGCCGGTTCGAGACAGTAAGTGGATGTGTTTCTTTTGTTTTGTTTTCCACCCCCCTTCCTCACTATGTTTGGAGCGAGCATCTTTTTACTGATGGCATGGCTTGCGTTTAGGTGAAAGGTTTGATTGAGTGGGGGGGGAAGCAAGGCGAGAGCAATCAGGTCCCCGCGTTCAAGATCCCAGCGGGGAAGAAGAACGGAGAGGTTTGTGGCTTCCTGAGCTTCAGTTCAGGGACGACCGGGTTGCCGAAGGCTGTGAGTGATCTCTCTCTCCCCCACTTGTCGTTTTCGCGGCCACTTCCATGTATCAAGAGCAGCTGAACCAAAGGGGCTTGAACAATACTGACGGAGGAAACGCTCAGGTCATGATCTCGCACCAAAACGTCATTGCGCAGTGCCTCCAGATCCAACAGATCACGCCGGCCGACCACGACAAGGTGCTCGCCGTGTTGCCAGCCTTCCACATCACCGGCCTCGTGCACGTCCTCCACCTACCCATACTCATCAACGCCGCCGTAATCATGCTGCCATCCTTCACCATGCGCTCGATGCTGTCCGCGGTCCAAAAGTACCGCATCCGCGAGCTGCTGCTCGTGCCGCCCATCCTCATCCGCCTCGTGCGCGACCCCGTCGTGAGCGAATACGACCTCTCGTGCGTGCGCCGCTTCTCGTCGGGCGCCGCGCCCCTGTCGGCCGAGATCCTGCAGCAGCTGCGCGAGCGCTTCCCGGGGACGGGCTTCAAGCAAGGGTACGGCATGACCGAGTCCTGCAGCTGCATCACGGCGCACCCGCCGGACCGCTACGGCTTCGCGCACGCGCACACGGTCGGCACCCTCGTCGCCAACACCGAGCTGCGCGTCGTCCGGCCCGGCGACGGCACCGACGTGCCCGACGCCGCCGTCGAGCCGGGCGAGCTCCTCGCCCGCGGCCCGCAGGTCGTCATGGGCTACCTCGACAACGCCGCCGCCACGCGCCAGACGTTCGACGCCGACGGCTGGCTGCACACGGGCGACCAGGGCACCATCGCCGCCGCGTCGTCCGGGCTCGTCACCATCACCGACCGCATCAAGGAGATGATCAAGGTCAAGGGCGTCGCCGTCGCCCCCGCCGAGCTCGAGGACCTGCTGCTCGGCCACGCGAAAGTCGACGACGCGGCCGTGCTCGGCGTGCCCGACGACTACGCCGGCGAGGTGCCCAAGGCCTACGTCGTGCTCAAGCCCGGCGTCGTCGGCGATGACGACAAAAAAGGGGGGCATCGCAACGACGAGTCGGAGTCGGCCGTCCGCGCGCGCCGGGCCGTGGGCAGAGAGCTGCTGGCGTACGTGCGCGACAACAAGGTGCGCGACAAGCGAGTGAGGGAGATTGAGTTCGTCGACGAGATCCCCAAGAGCGCGAGCGGCAAGATCTTGAGGAGGGTGCTGCGGGACAAGGACGCGACTAGGGAGGGGACGGTGCGAACGAGGGGCCTCGTCGTGCGGTACGATGCGGTGCAGGCCGAGAGAGCGGCGAAGCTGTAGCTAGCGACCAGGTGGAGATTAGCCTATCTCGCGCGCGTGTTTTTTTTCCCCCCTCTGGACACCAGCCTGATGGAGCATTTATCGGTTATCGGTCCCCCTGAAGGAAAGCGATGTGGCGGTAACGGTATGCCGCTAGTCTGCAAGTGATGAGGACGAAAGGGAAGGCCGACCTCGCCCTGCTTCTATCTCGCGACAACTGCGGTACACCATCACACTGTTGCAATTATCGAAACAAAGGCTACTCGGTGTTGCTGTAGTATACATAGTGGTGGTTTGTTGTGCTTGACTCACGATTCGCTCTTTAGGCATGCTTATCAAAGTCGAACCCAGAGGTTCACGAGGACTTGGGATCCGCCGGTGCTACCACTGACCTATGCCAGCGTAACATCGGCGGATATCAGGAGAAGTTACAGCAGCTAGTTATATAGCAATGGTTCGTGGGCTACATACGGCTATCAGACAGGTGCAAGAGTCGGTATTCTAGGGGCTGCGGACGAGTAAATAGAACCACCACCATTCTTAGGAAATCGCACGTAGTAATGGGAGTATCCGAAGCACCGCGCAGAAGCGTCCTCGAACAGCTCAGCACGCCCACGCCGGTGGCGCGAAAAAGCCCACATCGTCACCCTTCGTACACGTCCGCCTTCTCATGACTTCTCTCGGCCTCCGATACGTGTAACCTAGGAATGCACCGTTCTTTCGCACCTCCATGACCTGACGCCTCACTCCTGGATCGCGGAGAAGTTTGTCTCTAGCCCTGCGTTTCTCCTTGGTTTTCTTAGCTCTGTTCTTTCCTTTCTCTGTTGATGCTTCCTTCTCCTTTTCCCCCACCTTGCCTTTGCCTTTACCCTTTTCGCTGTTGGTCTCCAGAAGGCCGGCTGCCTCACAAAGGTCCGTCCTATCCTCACCTTCGCCGACCTCTTTGTTGCGAGGCTGGAGCTCGTCGTCAACGCTAAGCGTCGAATCGGAATCTGGGTCAGCTGCATCACTCCCGGAGCTGAGGATTTGTGTCTCGTCGTCGAAGTACTTGGTCAATTCCTGACCAGCGCGAATGTGTGGGACAAATGGTGGGCGCATCAGGTGAAGACGGTCCCATTGTATGCCATGAAAGAACACGTGCCCTTTGATCTCGTGAGCATCATCTGCGAAGACAAAGAACCTCCGGTGGTTTGGCTGGGTTGGGGTATTAAAGCTGCCAGAGACATATCTCTGAGGAGTACCCAAAATGGCGTTCATGGGGACGTTCGATGCATTCTGAAGGCCCGAAGCCGCCGGTGAGCGCATGCTAAAGCTGCGATGATGACTTCGCTGATGGTAGCGTGGCAAGCAGTCGTGACGAATGTCGTTCTCCCGATAGTGCTGAGACGACAGACGGATTTCCTTGTCGGTAATGAGGGACTTCATCAGGTCAATGGCCGAGTAGGTAACGGGGGCGAGAGGAATGCGTTCAGAAGGAGCACCACCCCAGCGTTGGTCCTGAGGAAAGCCGAGAAAGTGATGATGATGGACTATCTTTTGCTTCGTATCTTTACGATCCTGACAGTAGAAGGGCGTCTGCCCATATAAACACTCGTACAAAATGATGCCTATGCTCCACCAGTCGCAACGGCCATCGTATTCTTCACCCCTGATGACTTCGGGCGCCATGTACTGGCTAGTGCCAACAATGCTCTTGGCGAGTCTCCGTTTCTGATGGCGGTTCATCCACAGCACCGGGTTATCTTCCTTGCCCGGAGGTTCCTTGGCCGGCTGGTTATTGAGGTGGAACATGGACTGTCTTCGTTGAGAGCGGCCGAACATGTTGCTAAATCCAGGACTCCGGGGTTCAAGCGAGCTTCCTTCGGCAACGTCTTGGTCATCGCCACGGACGTCGATGCTGAACTTCTTGAGAAGGCTGTACCGCTTCTCATTGAAGTAGGCCTGACTGTGGGACCAATGCCCGTCGAAAGCTAAACCAAAATCCGAAATCTTGAGGTGTCCGGACGCGGTAATGAGAAAGTTGTCAGGTTTGATATCGCGGTGGATCCATTGCATTCGATGAGCTTCCTCAACACAGAGAATCATTTCTGCGATGTACCAGCGCGCCGTCGACTCATCCAAGATGTCCTTTCTCACAAGAAGGCCGAGAAAGTCGCCGCCAACCATGTATTCCATGACGAGGTACAGGTTTGCGTTGTCTTGGAAGCTTGCAACAAGGGGAACAACCCAGCGGGAATTTTCAGAGGCGACAAGGAAATCCCGCTCTGCGCGCAGATGGCCTTCCTGGCAGTTCCGCAGCATTTCAGACTTCCGAATGACCTTCATGGCATAGACACGCCTGCTGTTCTTTGAAGAATCGCTGCCGCCACGCTCGTCATCGTTGCCGTCAAGACGCTCGATGTCGGACTCTGTCTGCTCGGTCGAGGGGACTCTCAGGCGGGGTGGCTGCTTCTCTCTCACGAGACGCACCACGCCGAAGCTTCCCTTGCCGAGCACACGGACGACCTCGTAGCCGGCAATGGAGATGCCTTTGGTCCTGCTTCTGACCAAACACTTGGACTTCAGAGCCCGAGTCTGTCGCAAGTGATGGCTCTCTTGGAGAAGCCATTGCTTCAGCATCTCTGCCTTCTCTTCCTCGGGCATGGGTTGTAGAACAAGCTGCGATTCGAGAAGACGGCCACGTTCCTGGCGTGGGGTAGGCTCAGGCGACAACAAGGTATTAAAGTACGTCTCGAAATACACCTTGGCGGCGGCGGCGGCCTCGATTGTGCATATGGAAGGCTTGATGAGATGATCCTCACGGTATTCAAAGGGGAAACAGGGGTTTGGCGAGCCATGGAGCTCGGTGCGGGTTGTTTCATCGCTGCCCTTGGCTCGTTCGACTCGTTTGCCGCGGGCGTCGGAGCTGGGGGTGGGCGAGTTGGACTTGGGCACGCCGAGTCGAGAACCGAAACTGCTCGAGCATGCGTCGACCGAGGTCGGGGCGGTGGAAGCCGATTCGAGAGGGGAAAGGCTGATTGATCTTCCGGGCGAAGAGGTGGTGGGGATGGATGAGACTTGAGAGAGCGGACCGAGGGGGGGTTCCTGGCGATCCTGACTGCCCTGCGGTGCGGCTGGAGTAGACACAGACCTACTGTCATTGCCCTTGGCATTGTCGTCCCTGGATCGGCCGAAGAAGATGCTTGGGCGGCGGACAGGACGACGGTGGATGACGGTGCGCTTCTTGTACGGATAGTTGAAGTGAAAAGTCATGTCCGAGTAGAGATATGGGGGCAGCCTGACAGCTGCCACGGATAGCGATGCGTTGCAGACGTGTGGTCCATGGGAGGCATTGTCGCATATCCGCTGGCCAAGGGTGAGGGCTCCTTCCTCAGCCTGTTCCTGCTCGCACCTGCCTTTGCTCGCCCCGCAAATCGCGCAGGAACCGACTTCAAGCTGGGAAGGGCCAGATGCCAAAGTAGCCGGTGTACCGGCTTCCAAACCGAGACTGGTTGACACAGAGCTCGTCGGGGAGTCGTCGGAGCTCAGTTCCATGCCTGAGATGTAAGGCAGCGAGAAACATGATCCCTAAACCTCAAGCAGTAATGGCCGCTCCATCGCCCCGCACGCCTGCCGCCTCCTCCAGGTCGTCTCGGGCCGCATGCGGCCCTGTTCCTGCTCTTCGGAGGAAGCATCGCTGAGAAGGCGGAGGAGGGCACCAGCGCGAGAGAGGGTTGGTTTCCTGAGGGTTTCCTGTCATCCAGTGCGTGTGGTCAGGCGTGGCCTTGGAGAGTCGGTCGAGCTGCGGAGCGCACCTGAGCAGCGATCGGCGGCGGTTGACGGGTGGGTGGAGAAAGCGGGAAAGGCGGGCTCGTGATCTGCCCCGATGGCCATGTTCGGATCACGCTGAACACCGCCGGCTGCGTGAGGGGAGAGCTCGCCATGCCTCCCCTCCGCTCCCCTCCGCTCCCCTCCGCCACCCTTGCGTGCTCCTCGCACCCGCTCTCCAGCTTTCCCTCGCAGACGCCGCCCCTTTTCTCGCTGTCCTGCAGTCGCGCACGCATAGGAAGCCGTGCTTGGGGGCGCCGCAGGATTCCGCCCTACGCTATCAGCTTATCGATTGCCATTGCTAGCTCCCCGCCTGTCCAGACGTCACTGGCCGTCGACCATCGTACGAGCGAAGCAGCACCTACCTTGCGTCGCCAACCTCGCCCTGGCCCCGGGCTAGATAGACACCGCCGCGTGCTCGAGGCGTTCGCGACGCTGCTCGCATCTCCCTCCCAAGCGCCGATAAAGAACCCGGCGAGTCAGTGACCACCAGCTTCCGCCATCTCGATATCAACCCGCGCAAAGCGCACACGGCGAACGTACATACATACCCAGCACCACGATGCTCTCCGCGCCCTCTCCGTTCCCGCTCTACCTCCTCCCCTCCATCCCCTTCCGCCGGCGGCGTTCCAGCACCGAGACCACCAACACCGTCAACTCGGACATCTCCACCACCTCTTCCTCTCCGCCCGCCGGCGCGGCGGCGGCCGCCGCCGCCCCGGCCCCAACCAACTACCTGCGCGGCAACCGCTCGCACCTGCGCTGCACCCGCTGCCTGACGGACCTCTGCCTGACGTCGCAAATCATCAGCAAGGGCTTCACCGGGCGGCACGGGCGCGCCTACCTCGTCGCCCCGCCGCGGCCCTACCCGGACGGCACCACCACGACGACGTCGGCCGGCGACAGCGCCGTCTCGCACCGCGACAACAACCTGCCCAACACGTTCGCGCACAAGCCCGTGCCGCGCCAGCTCGTCACGGGCGCCCACACCGTGTCCGACATCAGCTGCGCCCTGTGCGGCGCCGTGCTGGGCTGGAAGTACGTCGCCGCCGACGAGGACAGCCAGAAGTACAAGGTCGGCAAGTTCATCCTCGAGACCAAGCGCGTGTGCCGCGGCGTGTGCTGGGAGAACGAGGACGCTGACGGCGGCGCCGCCGCCGGTGATGCGGCGTCGTCGTCTTCGACTGCCGCCAAGGGGGCCGCCGCCGCGGCCGTGGGCGATGCGAGCAGCGAGGGCGAGGACGTCGAGTTCGACAGCCAGAACGAGGATGAGTGCGAGGATTTGTTCGCCGGTGTGTGGAGCCCGGCTCTGGCGAAGCGGAGGCGGAGGGGCCGCGCTTGGAGAGAGGGAAGGAACGGCGCTGGTGGTGTAGAAGAGGTCTGAGGACGAGACGCCTCAGGACTCACGTTTCGCATCATCCATCCATCATTGCCGGGGGGGACGAGAGAAACAAAGCAAGGTGAGAGATTGCGCGTAAGTTTTTACGCGCTCATTCGCGTGACTTTGGGGTAGCAGCATTGCCATGTTTTCACACTTCCCCTGGGTTCTCTGGGCGCTTCTAATGGCACAGGATGGCGTTCTTTTTTTTTTTTTTTTTGCTTATTTCTGCGCTCGGTTCTTCGCTACCCATTTTTTCTTTGGCCTGGCACAGCTTTGAATGAATCAGCAAGTGACGAAACGGACATTATGGATACCCCTCTCATTTTACATACCCCAACATACCCTAGAAGGAAACCGACTTGTACTCGACCCTTGCTTGGGAACACTATCTTCAGTAGTAATGTTAGTTTTCCATACACATCTCATCTCACCACGACAAAGGCCAGCGCCATCGGCATAAGAAGATCGTGTAGCAGGTACACGTGCGATCCATATCTGTGCAATGAAGATCTCTTTGCTGTATGCCTGGAAAGGAAAGAAAACACCACTTTCCAGCCCCCTGCCATAAAACGCCAACTTTTATCCATACAGTGAATAATGGTCGAAGCAATCGCCGCACTACAATAAGCGTGCTTGGAGCCAAGACCGTTGTCTCTCATCAACTAGATCGGGAACCCATTTTGAAATCCGCAAAAAAACTGAAACAAGAGGAAAACCAATCAGCAGGGGAGAGGCGCCTGAGAGATCCGTCCTCCCTGCACTATGCCTGCATCTAGTCTGCTGCAATGCAAGTGGGATATCTCAAACGCTGGACAATGCAAACCAGAGGAAAGTCCGAGAACTAAAGAGAACTTCGTCAAGATTGGGAACGGTCGCTGTGCGAGTGGAGTACGCTCAAGTGTACAATGAGTGAGAATGCTCAATGCTGCACCATGCAACACCCGGTTAGTGCGGGGCGCGGTCGCTCTTTAGTTGATCGAGACCATCTTGATGTCGAAGAGAAGGGTCGAGTTGGCCGGGATGCCAGGGAGCGCCTGCTTGCCGTAGGCAAGGTGGGCGGGAATGGTGATGCGGCGCTCGCCGCCGACGCTCATGCCAGCGACACCAATGTCCCAGCCCTTGATGACCTCGCCGGTGCCCAGCTTGAAGGAGAAAGGCTTGCCCTTCTTGTTGGCTATTGCCCGTTAGTACTACTTTGGATGCTGATTTTAGGATTGCCATCACACTTACAGTCAAAGACCTTGCCGTTCTGCAGCTTCCCAATGTAGCGCATGCCGATCCTGTCACCCTTTTTCGCAGCGGGGCCAGAACCCTGCTTCTTGTCGTCAATGGTGACACCGTTGACAACCTTGACGCCGAGAGCACCCTTGCTCTCCTTCTTCTCGTCCTTCTTGGGGAGAGGGGAGCCGGTGGGGCCCTGCTCAAGGTTCTTCGCGAACTGAACCTTCTTCTTGTCAGCCGGGCTCTCCTTAGCCTCAGCAGCGATGGCCTTGCCCTCATTGTTCTTCAGCTTCTTCAGCTGCTTCTTGCTGAGCTTCTCGCCAGTGGCGCTCTCCTTGCTGATCAGGTCATCCAGGCTCTCAGCCTCGGCGGCCGAGCGCTTGTTCTTGCCCTTCTTGGCATCGACGAGCTTGGGAGGCTCCTCATCGTCGGAGCCAAGCTCAGTAATCCTGGGGTTCTCAAGACCATCCAGCTCATCCTCCTCCTCATCACTGTCATACTCCTCGTCAAGCTCATCCTCATCGGGAGAGAGGTCGTACTCCTCATCCTCGCTGTCCTCGTCGTCCTCGCCGTGGTGAGTGTGGTCAGGGATGACGTAGTTGCCGGTAAGCGAGATGTCGTAGGCACCAGTGACCTGGAAGTATACCTGCTCGTTCTCACCGATGGTGATGTCCAGAGGCTGCTGGTAGGTCTAGAGTGAAGGATAAGCGATAGGCCTGTAAATGTACGAAGAGCTGCAACATACCTTCTGGGGATCAAGAGTGCAGATGACAAATTCCTCCATTTCCATCTCGTCGTCATCCTCATCCTCAGAGTCCTCCTCGCTCTCCTCGTCGTCGGCGGCAGGGGTCTTGCCCTTGTTCTTCTTGGGCTTCTCATCAACCTCCATGTCTTCGGCAGCCTCAAGCTCATCCATGATCTGCTTCATGGCGGCCTCCTTGCGGGCCTTCTTGGACTTGGCGGGATCGCTAGGACCGCCGTTCTTGTCCTCATCATCAGACTCCTCGCTTTCATCCTCCTCATCAGGAAGGCCCAGGCGAGCGCGAATGGCGTCAATGCTGTCATCCTCATCATCGCTCTCATCGCCAGCGATAGGCTCACGAATGAGCTTGAGGGTAGCGCGAGGAGGGACGCCCTTCAGCTCATCAGGGATTTGGGGCTCAGCGTTGGGGTCGATAGCGGCCATAGTAATGCGGAACTTTTTCTCAATTAGCTGCGAAGATTCTCAGCGGCATCTTGCGCAACGGGAACCGATGGCGACAGCGGTATAACCGCCTGGCGAGCGACGGAGGGAGATATGACTTACAGTGGCCGGGAAATCGGGGACAGCCTGGATAGGCATGCCTCCGCAAGGGACCTCAAGGCCATAGACGGCAACGGGAAGAAGCGGCATTGCGGTGATCTGGTATGTATTCTTTGGAAAGCTGCTTGGTAAGTGCGCGACGAAGTGCACAGCTGCTTGCAAACGGTAGAGGGCGAGAGGGAGGAAGAAGAATGGGAGCGAAAAAGAGAGGCAGAGCGCGGGAGGGTTGAGATAGCGGCGCAAGCGCAGCTCGAACTTTTTCTGGTCCAAGGTCGGGGCGGTGAGCAGATTCTGGATTCTGCCGCCAAGGATTTTAGCGCCGTCTTTGATAGTGGGTCTGCGATGACGCGCCCCACGCCGATTCGCGTCGCCCGCGCCCGCTCCCGTTCCATGTCCTCACCGACCATAGGTACTGCTGCATGAGCCACAGACCTCACACCCGAGTCCTGGTCCCATAATGCTCCCCAGGGGCGCGCGTCATCATGGGTTCGCGCCTCGAGAGCAATTCCAATGCTGTCCGCAAGCGCATAGAGAACCGTATGCGTCTGCCGCCCGTCGCGTACCGCTGTAGCTAACCACCCGACGCGTCTAGATACGTTCGACAACGAGGAAGGCGAGGAATATGATGCCTCCACCTTTGGTGGCTTTCCTGACTACTTCCGACGCAAGAAAATCAAACTGCAGAACCTAGACGCCGAGCTGCGATCTCAGTCTACCGACAAGCCTCCCGTCTTTCGCGGTGTGGTGGCGCACGTCAACGGCTACACGCAACCCTCGTTGAATGACTTACACAAACTCATAGTCACTCATGGAGGTGGCTTTATGCAATACTTGGATGGCAAGACCACAGTCACCCACATCATTGCCAGCACCCTCACTCCAAAGAAGGCCGTCGAATTCCGCAAGTACCGCATCGTGAAGCCGGCGTGGGTTGTTGACAGTGTCAATACTGGCAAGCTGTTGCCATGGGATAACTATCGTGTTGTGGATGAAGGGGCTGGTCAGAAGCTCCTGGGGTTCGACAAGGGCAAGGTTGTGAGCCAGGCGAATGTGAAACCGCGCGGTTATCGGGATCAAACCGACACCAGCTGGTATACGAGCCAGCTCAAGGCGGACATTGACACACCAAAAAGTGCGCGACGTTCGTCTTTCCTCTCACAGGACCCGTCAACTCCAGGGCTGGATGAGGATGTCGACGACCTGCCCCCATCGCATCAGCCAGAGGATGATACTCCTAAGGAGCAGTCCGTTATTCGAGACAAGGACGAAAGTCGGCCGGCTGAGCAATCTATGATTACGCCCCCGGAAAGCGGTCCTGCAGAACTGGATTCTGACGCCCTGGGGCTAAAGAGGCCGCGCAGTGACCGTGCAGGCTCGCCGTCAAAGCGACGGAAGATGACTGCTGAAGAGCACAACGCTATCCTTCTGGCCGATCCAAACATTCGAAAGTCCACCGTAGTCCATCCTGGTTTTCTAGAACAGTATTACCGTGAATCTCGACTTCATCATCTGTCCACATGGAAGGCGGACTTGAAGTCGCAACTTCAGGCCATGGCAGCTGATAAGTCATCCTCGCAGAAACAGAAACAGAAACGACCCTTGGGTTCGCGCCGGTACATTCTGCACGTTGATTTCGACAGCTTTTTCGCAGCAGTCTCCCTCAAGAAGCACCCGGAGTGCAAGGACAAGCCTGCCGTGGTTGCTCATGGTAATGGCACTGGCTCTGAAATTGCCAGCTGCAACTACCCTGCTCGCAAATTCGGGGTCAAGAATGGCATGTGGATGAAAAAGGCTCTTGACCTTTGTCCGGAACTGAAGACCCTTCCTTACGATTTCCCGGCCTACGAGGAAGCCAGCAAATCGTTCTATGAAGCCATCTTGGACACAGGCGGTACCGTGCAAAGCGTAAGCATCGATGAGGCCTTGATAGATGTGTCTGCTCAATGTATCGCTGTGGGCGGTTCAGACGGGAAGAAGATGAGCGAGGGCAGCATCTACCGCGAACAGACTGAGGCAGACAACATCGGCCAACGCCTACGTGATGAGGTCAAGGAGAAAACCGGATGTGCTGTATCTGTCGGCATAGGCCCGAATATTCTATGTGCCAAGGTTGCTTTGCGTAGAGCAAAGCCCGCTGGTCAGTACCAGATCAAGCCGGACGAAGTCCTGGACTTCATTGGTAAACTCGAGGTTCAGGATCTTCCAGGGGTGGCCTCCAGTATTGGCGGCAAACTCGAGGAGATTGGTATCAAACTCGTCGGCGACGTGCGAGAGTATTCGAAGGAACGGCTAGTGAGTACACTGGGTCCAAAGACTGGCGAAAAGATCTGGGAATACTCCCGAGGAATTGATCGAACCGAAGTCGGAGATGTCGTCGTGCGCAAATCTGTATCAGCAGAAGTCAACTGGGGTGTGCGTTTCACCGACAACCAGCAAGTCGAGGAGTTCATTGAGAATCTATGCGGGGAGCTTCATTGTCGTTTAGTGAAAGAGAGGGTCAAAGGAAGACAGCTCACCATGAAGATTATGAAACGAGCAGCAGACGCACCTCTCGATCCTCCGAAACATCTTGGTCACGGGAAATGCGACACCTTCAACAAGAGCTTGGTGTTGGGCCTTGCCACCAACGACAAAGCCGTTCTGGCTAGGGAAGCGCTTTCAGTCCTGAAGGGGTTTGGATTCTCTCCTGGCGAATTGCGAGGAATTGGCGTCCAGATGACGAAGCTGGAGCCTCTGAAAGGCCCCGGTGATGGGAAGGAAAGCAGTCAGCGTCGACTGCAGTTCAAGGTCGGAGAGCCAGAGCAGCATGCCGCCAGAGTTTCGGATGACCCCATCCAGGACGATATTGTGACACCGAGGAAACAGAAAGCATCAGGCGATGCCGTCCATTTCGGATCCGCCCAGCTAAATTCGGACAGCCCCAGCCGTAAACCTCTCAATACATTGGGCACTCAATTCATCATGCCAAGTCAAGTCGACCCCAAGGTTCTTGCTGAGCTACCAAAGGATATCCAGGATAAGCTAGCGAGACATGCCAGACCGCCACCTTTCGCTGCTGGAGCGGACGTTTCTGTAGAATCGGCTGAAGCTGGCGACCCGAACGACCCATTCGTCACCAGACCTGCCGCGGGTACCATACTACCCAATCAGTCACAAATTGACCCAGAAACTCTGGCGGCACTCCCGGACGATGTGCGAGCTGAAGTCCTCACTTTCTATCGACAGACCCCTGGTAGCAGAAAGGGCGACCAGCCTGTCATCCCTCAGTCACCCCGCAAGAACCGAACCGTAAACACCAGCCTTCCCAAGAAGTCCGCTTCAGCGTCGTTCGCTGGACCCCGCAAGCGCGGTCGCCCTCCCAAAGCCGTATCTCTCGCGGCAGCCGCAATAGCAAGTGGAATCCCTACTCTCACCCAGTCCAACTTCATTTCCACACGCCTCGCCCGGTCTGATTGCCCGTCCAGTCGAGACGGCATCGACACCGACACCGACGACACCAACGCCACCGACCCAGGGGAGACATCATCTCCAGACCCGGACTTTCTCGCCGCCCTCCCCGAGGACATCCGCCGCGAAGTTCTCGAGGAGCATCGCCGTGCCCGTCTCCGCAAGCGCGGTGGTCTGACCCTGTCCACCACCACTGCTGCTCCGTCCGATGGAGAAGCAGGATTCAACAGCGGTCCCACCTCTCCGACTGCTGCCGCTGGCAGTCTCCTTCCCCCGGGCCAACGCACCATCCGGCTGCCGCCGCGGCCGCCACAGCCAACGTTTACGACACGCAAGTTGTGGCAGCCGGAGCAGCTGCGCGGAGCGGTGCGCGACTGGCTGCGCGAGTTCAGCAACGACGGGCCGTACCACGAGGATGTGGACGCGCTGGGTGCGTACTTGCGGAAGGTGGTCTTGGAGGAGCGAGACCTGGACAAGGCCGTTGGGCTGGTGAAGTGGTTCGCGTGGGTGGTTGGGGATGAAATTGTCGGTGGTGGAGGTGCCGCACAGGGGTCAGCCGTAAAAGGAAAGAGGAAATGGGAAGATACTGTGGCGAGGGTGAAGGATGTAGTGCAGCAGTCCATTGCGGAAAGGGGCTTGGGAAAGGTGGATCTTTGATATTTTCGCGATCTACGGCGTTCATTAGGGAGGAAGCACACAGCGCACTGTTAGCATAGTACGGCGAGCAAGCTTGAGACTGAAGCAATGTAAGAGTGCTAATTACAACCCATCCTCCATCATTAGAAATGCTCCATGGTATGATGAAATCTGAGCATGGTTTGCGACCTATGCCCGTCCAATGTTACCCTTAACGGAGCAGGACCTTGCTTCCACCGTCGGGCAGCTTGACCCTAAAGAGCACATACGGCCGCACGCGCCTATCGGTGCCGGGATAGATCATCGGAGCGCGGAAGAGCTGATTGACGGTGAAATATAGGTACCCGTCTTCTGCTATGGACACTGGCACGATTCCGACGACAATCAGTATGCATGTGCTGTATGCGCAGTAAAAAAAAAAAAGAAAAAAAGGGCAAAACAAGAGAACAGCTAAGAGGAAAAACACGAAAAAGTCTCATAAGCAAGAAAGCAGATGCTGTGATCCACTCACACGTATCGACCCAATTGATGCGCGGGTCCCGCACGAAGACGCCGGTCGTCCCGTTGGCCGGACTGTACCAATTGACGGCGTTCTGCTCCATGTTGCCCACGTACACCAGCCCGTTCGAGTCCGTCTCGAACCCATCACTGACGCCCTTTTGCCCGCGGCGCACCACGCTCGCCTGCGCCAGCACCTCCGCCGTGCTCCCGCCGCCGCCCCGCGCCCGCAGCCGCGCCGTCGGCACGCCGTACAGGGCGCGCCCGGCGACGGGGCCCCAGAACAGCTCGCCGCCGTCGGCCGACAGCGCGATGCCGTCGGCGCCGGTGGGAAGGTAGCTGGCGCCGCCGCCGCCTGGCGACGCGTCGTAGATGGGCTCGCCCCAGACGTGCGCGACGAACTGCGGCTCGGCGCGCACGCCCGGGTTGCCGTCGAGGCGGCGCCAGGCGGCGCCGGACGCGAGGTCGACGACGACGATGGCGTTGCGGCCTTCGTTGGAGGAGTCGGTCATGTACGCGATGCCGCCGCTGCTTCCGCCGCCGCCGCCGTTTTCGGAAGAATTGGCGGTGCGCAGGTCGAAGCGTATGTCGTTGAGGTAGGAGAAAGGGGTTGCGACGGTGGGCGGGAAGACGATGGTTTTGAAGACCGTGTCCGTGGCCAGGTCGACGCCGACCAGCTTCGGTCCTCCCGGCGAGGCTGGGACGAGCGTGCCGTCGGCCGTCTGGGCCCGGCCCGTGTCGAGGATCCAGAGGCGGTCGAGGGCGTCGATTACGACGCTCTGGACACCGATCAGGTGGTCTTGGTAGTTGGTGCCGCCTGGAGGGGTGAGTAGTGCCGCCGCGTGAGCAAGAGGAGACCGGGAGGCTCGTTGAATTGCTTACTAGGTGGGCTGGTCGTGTAGTTGATGGCACCCCCGGGAGGATTGTTGACCTCCGCACTCGGGTATGGCCGTTCAGTGTTGTTAGCAAAGAGCTCGGCGACGGCGTATTTGGCGTTTCTGCCATTGTTTGTGTTCTCTGGATCCAACCCAGACGGGTAGTTCGAGAATAGGCGCCCAGTAGAAGACAGCGATTCCTACTAGGTTGTTGAGTGCTGAATGCCTCCCTCTTGTCCAGCAAACGCCACTTACCTGTGGGCCACTGGTCGTAATACAGGTGGACAATCTCCAATGGAGGACCAGTGACGCCCGGGTCGGTTGCGGTATCTTGTGCGGTGGTCAGCCACACAAGAAGCGCGTAACCAGAAAAGGCAGTAAAGTGCATCGTCAGTAGTCACTTTTGCTCAACACGAACGAGCCGAAGAAAGGCGCAGGAGAGATTGCGACTTGCAGCGGGAAAGCCGGCAAAATGATCTCCACGATGCCGCAGCCAAGAACGGACGCACGGTAATGAAGTCATTGTGTGATGATTATGCAGGTACAACAGAAAGGGCGGGACTCCGTGGTAGCCGCTTCCGGCGTTCTATTAGAGCTGCGAGGGGCCTGGGCGCTATTGCAGGGAGCGAATGCTAGCACATGATGGTCGACTGCATCATGGATCGTTGATCGCCGCAGCGGGGCACTTTTCGCTCCAACCGAGGTCTGGAGTGGATCAAATCGTCTATGCTTTCCTCTCCGGCAGGCTGGCGAGATGTTTTGGCTTCGATTGCTGAATGCTCACGTGCGGAGGAAACCCCGCTGGAGAAGTGCACCATGGAACGTTTCGGTCTGCACGCCTCAACCCAGTCGCACTGGTTCCTTAATTTTGTGACATAATCCGCGGTCTGCCTTGTAGACCGTAAAAACCACCCGAGCCGTGTTGGCCAGTGCAATCCGTCCCTCATTCAACCGAAGAAGTTCCCCCAAATGCACCACATGAAACCATGCTGAGGACATGCAAAAGGAAAGGAATCGCCTAGAAGACAAGCGCCGCACCCTTGGTCTTCTTGTCACCACTGTAAAGAAATCGTCAGCAATTGGACCATCCGGACACGACAGCGGGCGGGCGTACCCAAGCTCGAAGTGCTTGCAGCGCTTGAGGGAGAGCTGAGCCTTGGTCTTGCAGGTGGTGCACTCCAGTCTCAGGACGACCTTCTTGGTGGTCTTAGCCTTCTTGTGGAAGACAGGCTTGGTCTGACCACCGTAACCGGACTGCTTGCGGTCATAACGACGCTTTCCCTGGGCGAACAGCGAAGCCTTGCCGGCCTTGTACTGGGTCACCCTGTGCTGGCTGCGCGGCTGTTAGTGTTTCGGTGCCATCCTTTTCGGAGAATACAAGACGAACGTGTGCTTCTTGCAGCTCTTCCCCTTGCAGTAGGTGCGCCTCGTCTTGGGAACGTTGACCTAGACGTGTGTTAGCAGACTGGAGCTTCCACAATGATTCTTGTGTGTGGTTTCATCCGGTCTCAGGCCAGATCCCGAATGGTCCCTTGCACCGGCATCCTAGTTGCTATGGCTTGTTGTGTCGGATGGCGTAATCAGAGCGAGGCTCGGTCGGGCTGCTATGACTGCGCGTGCTTGGTTCGGATTTTCGGAGACGGTGACGGATTGCAAGGACGCAGTTGAAAGTTCGAAGGCGAATGCGCATTGGCTTCCTGGACGTCGAGAAGTCGCAAATCGTCGAAATTGAACCTTTGACCGCTGACAGACACGGCCAAGGGGAGGCTCCGAAAGATTGCAGCGTCGGAGCGGGCGCGGGTCGAGCGGGCGCAGGTGAAGCCGTCTAGGTCGAACGGCGGGCCATGTAGCAAGCAAGCTGGATGCCGGCGATGCAGAAATCCCCCTTTCAAGGCCCTCCTCTTGCAAACGGGAAAGGCGGGTGGCTTACCATCTTGACGGTTGTTGGGGGTCACGGATGGTGGTTGGTGAGTCGTTGGCGGTGGTGTCGTCCTTGGAGGTTGTGCGGGCTTCATTTTCGCCCACCTTTGTGGGTTCGGCCTTCGGCTCGGCGGCACGTGACCCTCGCTGAACACTGACCCAACACCCGCCACGCGATTGATGGATTACGATCACATTGACTGATAAACTAGACGAGTGCGCATTCCTTCTCTACCACAGAATCGCCAGCAGTCCCGCGACCGCGCCAACGCCAGTCATTACCGCCCTGACTGCATGCAGCTTGTTCCACCTAGCTATGAGAGACTCGACGTCCTGTTCAGTCAGGGCCGCCTCGCCAGACTGCTTCCCTTCTTCGAGCGATTCAGCGTGCCCCATCAGCTTGTCGTTCACCGGCTTGATGAAGAGCAGCGTGAACGGGACGATGCCGGGGACAGCCACCGCAGCCAGCGCGTTCAGGTTGAACGACCTTTCCGACAGCAGGCCAAAGTGCTTTCCGTCTAAAACATGTCGTGCATGCGTCAGCACTCGCCAGGCCTGATGCTAGAGGTAGAAGAGGCGGGGGCGTCTCACGCTGCGTCATGAGGTAGCAGAACGACACGCCGGATGCCAGTGCCAGGGCCGGCCCACTGGTCATCCCAAGCTCATACTGGTACTTCCACTGCTTGACTCTGAGGTCCACGGGCGACTTGTTGATGGTCGGGATGAGAGAAAGGCTGATCCAACCGCATGCGCCTGTTGGCCGCTGTGATCAGCACAACGCATCATGCCCAGATAGACGGTTTCGCATACCTGACCACCACGCAGCAGACGTGATTCCCACGACCTGTGCGGTGCGTACGAGAATCGGGACTGAGTCGTTTGTAAGAGTCGCCATGCTTCGTAACAATTTGGAGAAGAGCTATGTTCCCAAGGTCCCTTCCTAGCTTGTCCCCGCCTTCTAATAAACACATGATCTAGGGCTGGAATCCTGCTAGTGTGAGATTACGCAGCCATCGACCGCTTGTTAGCGACGCCCCGCCAATCACGTCTCACTGAATCAACGTCTGGCGGCAGAACACTGCCTTGCAAAGGATCCATTTACGTTGCGCCAGGTATTCATATCCTTTCCCGAATTAATTAGACATTCTCAAGCGGCCATCAAAATAGACAGAATACGAAGTGAAAGAGTGACCTCCACAGCGCGACCTAGTAGATCGGCCTACCTTCTTCCCACGCTTTTCTCTCCTTCATCTCTTCTTTGACCTGTGGCTCGGGAGGGCTATGGGTCAATGCCGCATTATTTGAACCCATGCTCAACCGGCCCTGCTCCTGCTTGACATCCCCATTCTCAATGGCGCCGACAGCACCGACCCATTCCCACACTCTGCTCACATCGCCAGTGCGAGTCTCCCTCACGCTGGGCCGCACGTTTGAGTTCTGCTCAACCTTCCTCTGCACCCGCTCCCACAGCTTTTGCCTGCGCTTGGCGCTAAACTCGTCTCGAAGAATATCGTCCCGGAGCTGCGCCATGCTGATGAACCCCTCAGGATACCTGCGCGGTTGGTGTGCGTGGTAAGCCGCTTGCACTTTGAGTTGATCCAGGGCGAAACTAGCAAGGAGCTTTGCACGCTTTTCTGTCGCAGCCGACGATACCCAAGCCGACTTGGAGTAGAGGAATGCGCCGAACATGGCCAACAAGCTTATAAGCTTCCAAAGATGGCGTGCCAACGCGAGTCGGATGGATCGTCTCGTGGCGCAGGCGAGGGAGATCCGCGCGAGGCTTTTGGAGCCGATTTTTCGGGTTCCGGACTCTCTGTTGGGGCAAAGCCGTATCTGATCAGTCAGACGATTCAGCAGACCTAAAGGGAAAGGGAAAGCGAAAGCAAACAGAAAGACTTACCCGTCTACCTGGCTGACGACCTCGTCGCGGAGCATTACATCGCCGATAGCACTGGACCAGAGGTCATCGAATTCGACTTGCGACATGCCTTTCCGGCGCTTGGTAGAGATCTCCTCCTTCAGTTCTTGCTCGTTGATCTCGGGACTGGCAAGATAGGTTCCGGTATCGCCCATGGGATCGCCGCACTCGAATTTGGCTTTCCTGTCACGGAGCTCCTCCACTGCCCGATCGGCAACCGCTTTCACCTTTCTGGCCTTCTCGCTGTCTGGTTCGCAAGTGGGAGCTAAGGGGACAAGGCCACCAAACGAGAGCGGATGCGGTCTGAGAATGAAGTCGGGCTCGCATACCGTCTTCAATTCCGGGTAGCAATATGCGTGGTTAGGGCATGGTTCGCACTGCGGCAGAAGCACCTCAACGCCCTTGGCTGACTCAGGGACTTCCAGTTCGTCCAAGCTGATTGGAGTTTTTCCGACGCCGCAATAGCCAACTGCAAGCTTTTCAGTGCGCCACCAGGCCCCAAAGCCACCAAGCAGAGTCACTAGGATCGTCAGCGGGGCAACCTTCAGTGCCCCTGAACTCCGTCGGGGAGGCCGGCTCCTCCGAGGAGGTAGGATGTCAGTTTTGCCCTGCGCTGCCCTTTCACGGACAAGCTCCAGCTGTTCTTCCGGAGTGAATTCCTCGCCGGCATCCAACCCCTCCTGCTCTTCTTCCGACTCTTGCACCGCCATCATATCCTCTTCCTCCTGCTCGATGGCTGGTGTAGGAGATCGTTTCTTGGGTGTGGGATCTCTCCTGCGCACGGCCGACGACTCATGTCTCCTCGCCGACGACGAAAGAGCATCGTCATGCTCTGATGCGGCGCTGATGACCTCAGTCTTCCGTCGACTCACAGAGCTGTTCCTTTTGTCTCCATGTTCGGTGCCGAGCGTGGTCCTCCTCCTGTCCCGCTCAACAGAACGAGGCTCGTACGCGGGGGAGCCGCTCTGAAAAGGGTTGTCCGTAGAGAAAGGGCTTGCCTCATCGTGATCTTGCTGCTTGACAACCGGGGTTGCATGTTGTTTGGGTGCGCGAGCTGCCGGAGTGCGCTCATCAATGTTCTCGAGTTCTGGGGCCCTGACAGGTTTTGTTGATGCGCGCTTCGAAGGTGACCTTGACGCCCTACTACGCGGGACCGGTGTAAGGTCAAGGTCTGGCTCCACCGAGGCGGTTGTGCGACGTGTACTTCTACGGGTAGAGGCACTGGGTGCCAGCGAGGGAGCGTCGCTTTCCTCGGTCATACCTCTGGTCGAGCGGCGTGTGCTCCTACGCACGCTCTCCGAGGGCGCAAGAGAAGCAACTTCATCTTCGTCGCTCTCGCTTTGGGCGACGCTTGTTTCCCGACTCGATGGTACATCGGTTATGCCCCTAGTCGAGCGTTTTGTCCGCGACTGGGCGGCCAAGTGCCTTTGCGCCTGCGGGGCGACATGCTGGTTGAAGAGCGCGATGAGCTCGGGCTTTTTGGCCGACGAGGGGTATTTGACGTTGTGCGCAACGAGGATGGAGCGCAGCCTCGGCACGGTGACGGCGGAGGGGTTGAAATCAGGCGAAAAGTATTCGTATTCGTCCATGGTGGTTGGTAGGTGTTGGACGGTTGCCAGGAGTGACGGGCTACGTCAGAGGCGAATCGGCGAGATTGTGCCACGCAGACCAGATTGGCGCGAAATCGGGATTAAAAGCGTGAGCGGCCCTTGTGCTGAAACGGTTAGCTGCAGGGGAAGCGCTTTGTTGGCAGTTGTCGTGGGTTGCGGTGGGCGACGATGGTGTCGCGCAGGCAGTGGAAGGTGGCGGAGACGGCAAGCGGTAAACATGGCCTCAGCTTCTTTTCGTGGCTTTTGCCGCTTACCAGGCAACGACGATGAAATCCCCGTCACGTGCCGCGTCTCAGTTCCCCAGCGCCCCGGTGTTGTCAGACCATGTGATTCGTCACATTTTAGCTTGCCGGATCTCACAGAACGTCGTGCTTCATGTCCTTGTGGAGATGTCCTCGCATCAATCAAGGCGTCCATAGCAAACAAAGCCTTGTGTTACAACGCCTTACATGCCTGTTTGAGTCTCACATCCAGATGCTCTGGCATGATTCTCGAGCCTGCATTTACCTCACGCTGCATGAAATAATATCCTGTCCTGTTTGATGGAATCCCTAGCGTCCGACCATGACACGAACTCTTTGGTAGTAGTTCGGACAATACGATATGAGCTACCGATGGGTTGCAAACTTTTCGTGCAGATAAGGGATAGCCGGGGCCTTACTCCACCAAAGCCTACTACCCCTGTCTAATCTTGTTAATACGTAGCTCGAGTGCGTCTCTGTTTGCACAGAACCAGGTACTCTCCACCAATGGTTTGCAGATGCCGCGCTACAGCACGACAAAGTGAGACGTGCATTTGTCACCGGTGGTTGAAAGGTGCAAGCAGCGAGGAAGGCAGACGGATGTGCATGACGCAGAAGCCGCTGACGCGAGACAGATGGTTTCTAGTGGACGAAAAGACGGTGGAGGGGTTGAGGGCGCTCTGGGAGACTGGATCCCAAAGGTCCATGCGTAAGACGCAAGCACAACGCCACGTCTTTCTGGGTCTCCACAGTAGTGAGCATGTGAGAGAACCCAATACAGGCATTCGGGCGGCCTAAGACAAACTTTTGCTGCAGACCGCTGCAGGTCAGTTTACCGGGCTATTGGGTGTGAAGCAAGATGAGTCGGTGTTTTGGAGAGGTATGCGGGGCAACCGTGATCTGCCCAACGCGGCCCGCCGTCTCATTGCTGAAACTGCTTAGCATGGAATCCCGGTGTGCCCGCGGCATAGGCATCGTGTTTCGGTCAGCCAAACACGGGCACAGTGCTCGTTGCCGCCTGGGCTGTGTGCACACAGTGGGCGCAAATTCCTACCGGTCTGCTAGGCAGCAAGAGCCCAACCGCTGCTTGCGGCCGCCCGAGTTAAGTACGCTCTGTAGGAGTTTGCAGCCACGGCCCCCAACAGGATGAAGGTCGGGGAGCGCTCACCGTCAGAGGGGCTATGCCGGAGGTTTGCTCTCTTAAATAGCGGCGCCACACCCAGCCAAGCGCAGCACGACGAGCGGAGGTGTGCAGGCAACAGAGAGCGGGCCGGGAGGGACACTGCAACGCGGCGTGGCGTTGGCTGCGCCGGGGGAGTGGACAGATGGCAGAAGGCGGGCTGACACGCAGCGGGCGCAGAAGCGGGCGCAGAAGCGGCACGGGGCCGACAAGGCATCCTGGAGGTGCCGCTGATGGCACGCGGACAGGTCGAGGGTTGGGTTGGAGGGCATATCATGGCGGGCGGCGCCTGCGCAGTCGCAACAGGTCGACGCCCTACCAGCCGCTACGTCATTTTCCGTGCGGTCGAGCCCGAACCCCGGCCCTTGAGCAGAAGGCGGTAGAACTTGGAAGCTGCACCTCGAGCTGCCCAAGCCAGCCACCCGCCGAGTTGAATGTGCAGCCGCTCGCTCTCCTGACCTCTTTTCTTCCTTCGCTGCTCCTCGCTGCTCCTTTTCCATTCCCCAGCCAAAGCTTGGTTGCCATCCGCGGGCCCCGTCAATCACGCGCGCGTGCCGAGGCCCACCACGCGCGATCGGCAGTCGTCCAGCCCGTGAGCCCGTGAGCCCAGCGCTCCGTCATCCGCCCCACGACCCGCCACCCTCGCAGCCTTCCCGCCCCGAGCCCAACTCGCCCGCCCGCCCGCCAGCCGACCCAGTCTTCAGTCGTTCGAATTGTCCGGTGCACAGGTGCGTTGCGCCGCTAGCCGCCGATCGCGAACCACCGACAACAACTGCTGCTGGTAAATATCCGCTGCACGCACCCGTTGCACGACTCGCTACGCACTGCACGCACGCTGCCGCCTCTCCCCGCGGCCTCTCCCCGCGAGCTGCCCCAGATGTCCGTCATCTACAAAGAGACCACCCGCGAGCGCGACTGGGACCTCCAGTCGCACGCCTCTCGCAAGGCCCCTTCCTCCGTCATCCGCCGCTACCGCGTCGCCGACGACAAGCCCTACGGCGACGATCACTACGAGGAAACCCGCATCGTCACCCGCGAGCGCGACGCCGATCCGCCCATTGTGCGCCAGCGCTATGTCGTCGACCGGGACTCTGACCGCGCCTCCGGCCGCGACATCCACGAATATCGCTACATCGAGCGCGAGGTCGACCGCCCCGCCTCGCCCCGCCACGACGTGCATGAGTATCGCATAAAGCGCGACGTCATCGAACACTCGCCGTCGCCCCCTCGCGTCCGCCAGTACACCATTGAACGCGAAATCGACGAGGAGCCCAACGAGCCGTACGCCTTGGAGAAATACTCCAAGTCTACCGAGTTCTTCTCTCGCCCAGACCCCCCGCCGCAGCCCATCGTCATCAGGCAGTCCAACCCGCAGCCCATCATTGTTCAGGAAGCTCCCGTCAGGCAGCAAATCATTCTGAGAAGGGAGGAGCCCCAATACGAGTTCATCGAGCGCTCCGAGGTAGATGATCGTCAGGTGGCCAAGCGTCCAGATCCCCGCGAGGACGACTACTATTACGAGCGAAGGGTCCGCGAAATTGACCACGGCCGTGGTTGGGAGGAAGACGACTACTACGAGCGCGAACGCAGTCGCGCGCGACATGGCGAGCACGACTGGCACAGCGATGACGAATACGAGTATATTCGACGTACCCGGGACGAGGAGTTCCGTGACCGCAGCCCACACCATCGTCGCCACCTGGCCGAGGGAATCGTTGCCGGTGTCGGCGCCGCCCAGCTGATTCGTCACCAGCGCAGGCAAAAGGGCGAGGATCCTGGTCATGGAGTTCGACAGAGTCTTGGCTATGGTGCCCTTGGTGCTGTTGGTGCAGAAGCTCTCTCGCGCGCTCGGAGAGAGTTCAGGTCACGCTCCCGATCCGAAAGCCGTCATCATCACCATCACCATCACAGGCGCGACAGATCCCATTCACGAGGACGCAAGGTGGCGGGTGTGGCCGCCCTTGCCGCAGTAGGTGCACTCGCATATGCTGCTGGTCGTGGCCAGAAGGGAAATCCCAGTGCCAATGTGATTGAGCGGAGGAGCCGCTCCAGGAGGCGCCGCCACTCAGTCAGCGGGGCAAGCGGTGACGAGTTCAGTCCATCTCCATCGCGGTCTAGGTCGAAGAGCAAATCCCGCGATCCGGAACACAAAAACAGACGCATAGCCCAGGCCGGGCTTGCTAGCGCCGCTGTAGCAGGCCTCGTCGAACGAGCTCGCAGCAGATCTCGGAGCAGACGCGGCAAACAATCACGCAGCCGTAGCCGATTGAGGACTGGCGCACCCATCGCTGCCGCTGGCCTTGGTGGAGCAGCGCTTGCTGGTCTCTACGAAAAGAACGCGGGCAAGAAAGAGGGCAAGAAAGAACGCAAGGCACGGTCAAAGTCACGGTCAAGGTCAAGGTCAAGGTCAAAGTCAAGATCTCGATCCAGGTCGGTACCCTCACGATCTCGGCGGGCATCCGCAAGTGACCCAGCTCTTGTAGTATACGGTGGTGATCCCATCTACGTCGAGCCCAGTGCGAGTGGACGCCATCGCCGCTCTGGGAGCGCAGGATACGATCCCGACGATCCGGCTGATTATCGTGGTCGACGCCGCCCAGCCGACTCTGATTCAGAGTCTGATGGGCGAAGGCGTCGACACCGGTCTAGCCGTAGTAGGAGCAGGAGCCGTTCCCGGGCAGTCGCTGAGGCAGCAGCACTTGCTGGTGTCGCTGGTGTTGCAGCTCATGAGGCTGCTAAGAGACGAGAGCGCAAAAAGGCGGACAAGAAGGAGAGGAAGCGTAAGTCAAGCGCGAATGTTTAACCAGTGAACAAACATCGATTAACAGGTCCTTCAGGTAATGAGGAGGAACGTCCATTCAGCGAGGAGGCCTACAGCCCCCCTCCACCGGGCGCTTACCCTGCCGAGCCCTATCCTCCCGGTGCATATCCACCTGAGAACGGACGTTACTTCCCGGAAAGCAATCAGTTCCCTCCGCCTCCGCAAGGGTACGATCCAGCGATGCAGCAGGGCCCTTACGAACCGGCGCCTTTCGGCGGTCCTGCTGCGTATAATCCAGCCGACTACGGCCCCAACCCCGGTCCTACGCAAGCGCCTTACCCCCATCAACAAGCACCATACTTCCCGCCACCACCTCGAGAGCCGCAGCCTGAGTACTACGAAGACCGGGGTCACCCTCGCGGAGATGACAATGTGAGTGCTCCGTCCGCTCCGTCGGTGGTTGAGGAACCGTATCTTGGTGGGTCCGCCGTTCATTGATGCATTGAACTGTTGGACAGCCAAAGGCTTGGAAGATGCTAATACATTTGTCTACAGCTAGTTTAAGGACCGGAGCGACAAGTGAAGCATCGCAACAAAAACCGCAAAAGTCCGAGAAAACTGTTCAATTCGATTTACCAACCCCCGTACCCTCACCGGAGCTGACACGCGAACGCCCCCGCAAAATCGATGATGATGACGACGAATATGAGATCGTGGATTCCGATGACGACTCCTCGCGAGACCGGCGGCAAATTAGATCATCGCGTACACGCCAGCATGATGAATTTAATGACCACGATATCGATGACCATGACCTGCACGAAGATGGCCGCCCACGCTCGCATAGACGCTCCCGCAACCCTTCCCACCCAGACTCCCGTAACGGTTCGGATTCACCTTCTTCCATCTCTTCCAGCGAGACAATCGAACTTCCACGGCGCTTCGACCCTAATGGTCGGCCCTTACCGCAGCGTGGTGAAGATCCACTTGCTGTCACGCTAGAAGACATCCTGACCGGAGGTAGCTCGGCAGGAAAGATGTTCCAAAAGCTCACGGGCGACCTGATAGGTGCTGGCGGCGCAGGCGGGAGTCGGAGTGGTGGAAGAGGGCGGTAGGCGGGCATTGCGCGCAGGCGTTTTGTCTTTTCTCCCGCTTTTGAGGAACAAGCTTTGGAATGATACCTGTTTTTCCCTTCTTCATTCTTGTTTCACTTTGCTGTTTGATAGATGCTGACGACTGACGATGACTATCAACGAATTTCCTTGGTTGCGACTCGGCTTGTTCAGTCATCACAAAACCCATGATCCAGTTGGCTTGCCACCGCGTTGATGCTATCCATTTTTAATGCCTCTCCCGTTTAAAGATTTCTGTTTTAGGCAAAGATTGGACGTTGGTTGTACTTCTTTTGGGTTCCTGTGTCTCATGTATCTATTCTTTTCCTGAGTTCCTTTTTTTTCCCTTTTTGAAAAAAGAACATCTTTTATTTCTCAATGAGCTCATGACCATCATGAAAATACGAAAAGCCGAAAGACAGTAATGGTATCACGAATTCACATGAACCTCAACGAAGACTTCTTACCAGAATCTCTCGTATCACAGCGGGTTGCGAGATACGCAAACCCATCTACATTTGTCTTAAATGCTGCACCACACTTAGGCGTGTAGTGGAACCAGATATTTGAATTTATTTATGCAGTTTCGACATTCGCACCTACGTCTGGATACCTGCTTCAAATGCTCACGTACGAATAACACAGCCTCCTGCTCGAGGCTTTGAATAGGTCAAACCTTCAGCAGCTTGCTGTGATGTTGTTGCCCATATGTATACCCATAACACGTGTGTGCTTGTATCGAGAGTTGATTGGTTAAGTGTGAACTCACATAATTCTTCTACGAAAATTTTCTGTACGTGAACGGCCGTGCAGGGAACGCTGAAACTGAAAGCTCTAGGTGATCTCAAGAATGGAGGGGGGGAGAAAGGGAAGAAGAACAAGAGCAAACAGCCAGCCCAGTGATGCATGCACGCTCGCCACCCCTTTTCCATAAAACACGACCATGACGATGCGTTTGAAGATTTTAAGAAAACGACGACGCCGTCCCCCTCTCATCTCCGCAACGGAGAGTAGGAAAAAAAAAACCAATGCAAAGCAATCAGCCTCCTTTGAGTTTGTCATTTCAACATCATTTCAGACAAGCCGTTCCAACATCAAACATGGCCACATTCCCTTTCTCCTTCTTTACTCGAACACGCACAGCATGGCACGCCATGCGAAACGAACAAGCTCCAGCAACAACGGATATCGCAGAGGGACAACCTCTAGTCGAAGAACTTCGTCATGGCCTTCTGGGCCAGCTCGACGCCCAAGAAGGTGGCGGCATTGGCGGGCACAGCCCTGGCCATGGCGGGGCCCAAGCCGGGGAAGAAGGCCTTGAAGCCGCCGCCGCGGACGTATATGTCGCGGACGGTGCCGCGGATGGTGGGGTTGCCGTCGGCGCTCTGCAGCCGGCTCTTGATGGTGTCGACGGGGAAGACGGGGATCCACATGGCGACGCCGGCGGCGCCGCCGGCGGCCATGACGGCCGTGAGCGACAGCTCGCCCGGGGAGCCGTCGGCCTTCTTTGGCGTGAGCCGGCGCTTGATGATCTCGTAGGTGGCGAAGTAGGCGGCGGAGCCGGGCCCGTCGCGGGCCAGCGTCATGGCCGAGCCGCGGAAGACGCTGCGGATGCCGCCCTCGGCGTACAGCTGGCGCACCACGTCGACGCCGCCGCTGTACTTGGGCTTCTCGCCCGGGGCCAGCTGCTTCTGGCCCTGGATCTGGAGGAGCACCTTGACGCGCTCGAAGGGCGCGGTGATCAGCGTCATGGGGATGGCGCTGAAGAAGCCGGCGGCGGAGGTCTGTCCGACGGTGAACTGGTTGTTGTTGACGGTGGACACGGAGGAGACGAGCTGCTTGCCGACATCGTAGCCCCAGAAGGAGACGGCGACTGAACGGCGAGTATGGAGTCAGTGTGGATCAGATCGCAGGCGGGGGGGACAGCGGAGAGAACTTACACATGGGCGTCACGCCAACCAAAGGCGCAGAAACACCAGCGTAGAGACCCTGCGTGGACGCACGTTAGTCTCGAGCTTTCTCCATGCAGGGAACGCGAGGCGGGCTGCAGGTTCCCGTCGCACGACACAACAGCAGCGATTGAATCTTGCAGCAGCAGGCGACGACCCCTCCTCTTCACAAACATCAAGAGGCCCGACCGACTTCATTCCTCTCCCCCCGCAATCCCACCCCCACACCCGGGACCTCACCCACTCCCCAGAAGACCCATCCGCGCAAAAAAAAAAAAACAAGAGCAAGAAAAAGAAGATTGGAAAAAAAAAACTCACCCTCGCCAAGCCCTCCCTCGCGATGGTCCGCCTCACGACGTCCATGGCGCCGGAGTACACGCCCTTCTCGGCCGTCTGCAGGCGCACCTTGACCAGGTCGAAGGGGTGGCCGACGACGACGGCGCACACGCCGCCCACGCCGCCCGCCGCCAGCGCGCGCAGGCTCTGCAGCGACGACTTGGTCGCCTCGGCCACGTCGTGCTTCAGCTCCTCCTTGCTCGGCAGCGCCGCCGCCGCCGCCGCGTCCAGGGTCTTCTCTGCCGGCATTGTGTGTATTGTGTATTGCGTATGTGTGTGTTACAACAGGCGATCCCCGTGCTTGTCTGGGACTTGTGTCCTGGGTGGTGTGGGCGCAGCAGAGGTGAGCGGGGACAAAGGGGTGCGCGTGCGTGCGTGCCGTGCGCTTGAGGAAGTCGAGCGGCTTTTTGGAGTTGTTGTGAAGCGGAGAGCCCCGCGGGTGTTGTTCGCGTGCGCGTGTGAGGCGGGCGTCCGCTGTCGAATCGGACGAAAGGCGCCGGGCTTCCCTCTTTCAGCAAGACGGATGATGAGGCGCGTCGAGGGTGCACCACGTGGGGGGATTGGGGGTTCAAATGCCTGGGCGGCGCGCGTGACGGGAGCAAGCGAAATACTACGTGTAGTATTCTCACGGCGTTGGACAACAAAGGGGCGCGTAATACGGGGCGCCGGGAGAATAGGAGGGGTGAAAGAAGGAGAGCCGCGGGGTGGAGGAGCACACGACGCGGTGGGTAGAGCTTGAGCTCGGACGGCGAGTGGAGAAAAGGTGGTGGAGGGGAGCCCGGTATGCGCGCGGCGAGAGTAGAGCGAGGGAGAAGAGGGCTTTGGCAGGGAAAGCGGACGAGAGCAATATATGAGCTTCGGCCCCTCGATTCCCAGACTTCAAAAAGTTGTTGCGGCTCCTCGCTGGGCCGGCGGCGCTGGCTGCATCCGCCCGCGCGTCAGCCACTGCTCGTCGAGGCCGCGGGCATGTGAAAGTTGCCGAGGCTCGACCATCGCCGAAGCCGAAAGCCCGGCCTTGCCCCCGTCGGCCACACGTCATTGGCCGCCCTCTGCTCTCCGCCCTCTGCCAGAGGACCTTCTTCGGACGAAAGCATCCTTTGATATACGTACTTCATTAAACCTGCCCCATGGCCGTCGACTTTTGTCTATGGGTCTTCGTGCTACTTGCATGCTTCCATCTACTGTGTGCCCCGTGGCTTCATCATCCCCTCCGTGTCATACGCACGTAGCAGTGCCCGATGCCACCCCACACCAGCTGACCGAGCTCCATTCGTGCGCCCCGCCCCGCCTGCCCACTGTGGGGCCCCGGCTTGATGCCCGTCTTCCGCTCCGCCTGCCTCCTTGGCTCTTCCAACTTAATCTCGTCAGATCAGATCCAACAGGTCGTTGCTCGATTTTTGCTGTTGCTGGCCCGTCTGCTGCTGTGCCGGCGGAGGCTGGCTTCCTCCGCCCAGGTCCATGGCCGCAAAGCCGTTCATCATGTCGTTTGATCCACTCGGGCCGGGGGTACCTGCGCTGGCAGGTGCTGCCGCCGCCGCTCCACCGCTGCCAAACAGGCCCATGAGATCGTCCATATTGTTGGTTGGCCCGGGCCCTGCTGAAGTCGGCGATGCCACCCGCTGCGGTGTTCCTGCCAGCCCCTCCAGACCAGACGATCCTGAAGGCGGCTGGCTCTGCATCGATGCCGGAGCCGCACCGTCGAAGTCGATGTCGAGCAGGTTCTCGACGTTGCTGGGCGGCGGACCAGAGTTGCCTGACACTGCTGCGGCCGCCGCCGCAGCAGCAATCGGGTTTTCGCGCGCAAGCTGGCGTTGTTCCCTGGGCCCTGTTAGCACCAATCCACTTGCATTCTCTGCGGACGACAACATACTCAATAGCGGCCTTCTGCATGGCCTCGGCGCCGAACCGGCCCTGGCCAAGGAACGACTCGGGTAGCTTGTGGTATACCGACGCCAGCGTCGAGAGCTCGAGAATAAGCTGATCCAACAATGCCGGAGGTAATGAGGGAATGGTCGTAGTGATCGGAGGCTTTTCTGAAAGGACGACGCTCTGCTTCTCGTTAGAACCGGCAACCGCTCCAAGGGTTGGCCAGGACTTACCTTGGTGGTCTGCGGATCACTCGACAGCAACCTCCAGTAAACGTAGGCGCGGTCCCTGACATCGGGGTTGTCGCATTCTGCAGTTGCTGACTGAAGAACCTTCTGAACCAGACCTTGCGACTGATCAGGCTTCTTCAAGAAGAGCTTGACGACGGCTGTGAGGATTTGCAGCTGAGTCTGCGCAGAGGGGGGTTAGAAGGGTTTGTACAAGGTTGATGGGAAGTCGTACCTGGGTGAATTCTTCACTGAATCCATCCACAAAGCCTGCGAGGATTTCTCCTGCATTGTTGATCTTTTCCGCATATTCACCGACGATCCAGATGAGAGCGCCTCGGGCGATAGGCTCGTCCAACTCATCAATGCACTGGCAGAGTGTAGGTATTATACCCTCGTATCCGGGGTATTTTCGGAAGATGTCCTTGACCACAACCACTGCTTCTTGCACAACGTAGTTAACCTTGGTGTTGATAAGATCAAGGAGGGTGTTGACGCAGTTCTCTGTGGCGGTCTCGATCTTGATGGCGACCTGGCCAATGGCCTTGACAGCCCGCCTGGCGAAATCCATGTCTACTTCAGTGGCATATTCCTTCAACTCCTGAAGCAATTGGTCGACATTCCGGTCATTGGCTATCCGCACCATGATCTCCAGCTTCTCCAGCTTGAGGTACGGGGGGTCATTGTACTTGCAGAAGAAGACACGCATCTCTTTGCTGAGGACGTCGGGCTGCTTCTGGAGAAGGAGATCGATGTTGCGAAGGGCGACGTATTGGACCTCGGGCGCAGAGGACACAAGGGTCACTAGGCCAATTAGCCAGAGCCAGCAGCAAGACAGATACAGCACTCACCAAGCGGAGGGGCCATCTTCTTCAGGTAGGACTTGGCAAGCTCGGGACCAATGAACTTCATGTGCAAGAAAACGACCTTAACCGCGGCAAGAACAACACTAGGGTTGACATGCTGGAATTGCGGCGACACTCTCTCACAAATGTGCTCGGCCTCCTTGACGTCCGAGGCCTTGTAGTCAGCCAGAGCAGTCAGAATGGTGACTCGACCCCACTCGGTGCACTCGTTCAGAGCCATCAACATCTTCTTTAATCTCTGAGGTGTGATGTCGAAAACGTTCATGTCGGGGGCGGACTCGTGGATCTCAACCAGAGCGGTAACGGAGTTGGCGACGACCATGGGGTTGGGGTCGCCAATGAGCTCCTGCAGGATTTCCAAGAAACCGTTCTCGACGCACATGGTGGGGTTGAGATCGAACAGCTTCGCGACGCAAATGACGGCGGTCTTGCGGACGTAGGGAGATTCATCGCGCAGCGTCTTCCTCAGTGGCTCCTCCATGTAATCCACCATCTTGTCGACGCGAATGCAGCCCATTGTCCGTATGGCAAGGGCGCGGACCAAGGGGTTGGGGTCCTCGGAATCCTGGACGAAGGTGTTGACGGCGAGAATGCAGAGGTCGGGGTGTGATTTCGCATAGTTCCTGCACGCCGCAGCGGTCAGATTATGGAAGGGGCCGGGGGAGCGAGGACGCAACGCACATGAGGTACAGGTACACAAGCTTCTTTTGGTCGAGATCGGCCGTGGCGATGTTCTTCAGGACGTCGGGGAACAAGGCGGACACGTCCTTGCCCAGGGTCATGGACATGATGGTTTTCTGGATCGCTTCCTTGCTGCGCTCTTCTCAGTACGGGGCATGGTCAGCACGGCGGTGGGCGGAAGCGTACCGTTCGTAGGCATATTGCGATCTAGCTCCACAGTCAGCGCCTAACATGACACGCGCGTGGATGGCACACTCACACAAGGCCGGCACGCAGCTCAAAGGTTTCGCCCTTGCGGGGGACGGCGAAGGCGCCGCGGATTCGGTTGACCGCCATCTCTACTGTTCAGTTGCAGAGGTGACGACTGCAGTCGTGCCCCTCATGCACCGATGTGCTGGTATTATTTCGGAGCCTGACGCCGCAGCAACGGGGGTGGGCGAACGGTGGCGGAAGGATTGCGCGGGCGATTGGCAGCGGGGGCGGAGAGCTCAGGAGGGTGCAGCGACGAGCCCGCGGGTTGCAGTGGTGGTGGTGGGCGGTGAGGGTGCTCGGGCGTGGTGTCGCGGAGAGCTCGAGGCGGATGCGGTGTTCTGGCTTCTGGCATAGAAGTAAAGGGCTGACTTAGCGCCCGCCCAGGGCTAATGATGCTACCTACGCAACCACCCAAGCTTATCCCGTGCCAAGCCGCCCAAGGTGTCAATCCCCACCGCATCCATGCAATCTGCCTCCTCCGCCCCGCCTCTGCGTCCTCGACTCTCACGGTCACGCAGGCCACGTTCTTGACATGGTTCGCTCGCAATCTGCCTCTCACTGCGCTGCCCACACTGACTCGGCTCCCAGACCTCGAATCTACCAAACCTCCGCCGCCTCTTTGTCGAGGCCCGCAGCGAGGCCGAAGAGAGTGCATATTCCCGCAATGCCGTATGCTTTCCTTCTGACTAAGCATTGCGCCTTCTGACCATGCCAAAGTTCTACAACCTGGTGCTGTTCATGTCTTCCGTCGCCGTCTTCAGCCTGGTCGCCCAGCGCATGACCGCCGGCAAAACCTGCACCTGATCGTGTTCGGCACATAGCAATCCCAGCACTTGGAGTCACCAGTCGAATTTAAATTTGTGGACGTAGATGGTACTCTCTTTGCAAAATCGATTAAACACTTCTTGAAAGTACATACAGCGAGTCCTTGTCGGGGTTGAGCGAATGACAACGCGGGTATCCTTTTGGGGTATCAAAACAAGCGCAAATTCCACGTCCTGCTTCCTCCGTGGTCAACTTCCATGCCCTCCGTTACGGCATAATTATACTAAAATGAAACAAATGGGGTAATCGTAGCAATTCGTTCTTCATGCATCGTACAAATTCACAACGACTCGTTGTGCATCACCGATAACGCGGCGATTTAGATGCTTTCGACCTGGCCGGCCTGGAGGGCTTTGTTAAAGCTAGTGTCGTGAGTGCCGTAGCCGAAGTCGGCACCGCCTTCGTCGCGGTACCTGCTGGGGCCTTCGCCAACGGCGTCGGCCTGGGCAAGCTGCGACTGGACCGTCTGGTTCGTAGCAGGCAAGAAGATGACCTTGCTGTTCGCCGTCTTGGCCATTGCCTGCATGGCCTCGAGGTAGCGGATCTGCATGGCAGGTGCGCTGGACAGGATATCGGCGGCCTGGCGCATGAGCTTGGCGGATTCGACTTCGGCGCGTGCAGCAATGACCTTGGCCTCTCCGGTACGCTTGCTCTGGGCGGCCATGGACAGAGAGTCCTGGAGCTCTTGGCTGAAGATGATGTCCTTGATGAGCATGCTTTCGACTTCGACGCCCCACGAGGTCGACGTGTCCTCGATGATCTCGCGGATCGAGGCAGCAATCTCCTCACGGCGCTCGATGACATCCTGGAGCACGCGAGCGCCAATGACGTGGCGAAGGGTAGTCTGAGTGCGCTCGACAAGGGCCTGGCGGATGTTGGCGATACCGAAGGCAGCCTTGTGCGGCGACGTAATGCGGTAGTAGATGACTGAGGTGAGATAGAGCGACACATTGTCCTTGGTCATGCAGACCTGCTTGGGGACCTCTGATTCAGGCGCGTCAGGAACAATTTTCCGGGCAAGAAAGGGAACGTTTTCGTCACTTACCGACTATCTGGATCTTGACATCAACCTGAATCAGGTTCTCACTGAGCGGGTTCACCTTGACGAGACCAGGGTCGACTGCGCGAGCGAAGCGGCCGAACTTGGTAACCAGGCCGACATTGCCCTGGCTGACAGGCTTGTAGGGATTGGGGCAGCAGAGACAGCAGGGAATGGCTCCAAGAGTACCGATGCAAGAGCCCAGGGCGTTGATCATAGCACCATACCAGCCGTGGGCGGCAGAGTCTTCGGTGTCGGGCTTGAGGACCTGGGCATAGCTGGGTTGAAGGTCCTCGCGACGCGGAGGCTGGACCTTGACAATGGGCTCGTCGCTGTTGTCGCGAGCGCGCCTGGTAGAGCTGGCGCCGCTTTCGGAGAACGGCGCCTTGCCGTTGGTGCGCGGAGCAGCAGAGGTGTCCATTGCGAGGTTGGCGAGTTGACGATGCGAAGGTGGAGAGAGCGGGCGGGGAAGCTTGGTGGCTGCTGAGACGCGGGTATTTGTTGCGGCTGCCGGTGTTACAGATGGCCGGATATGAAGGTGTGAGAAGTGGGAGGATGGAACAAAGAGCTGTGCGAGTGGCAGGTGATATATAACTAGCGCGGCCGCGGATGGATGCAGGCCCAAGGGCGCCTTGCACGAAGGATGCGGAGGTGAGCTCACCACATGGTTGCGCTAACCCGGATGGGGGTCAATGCGAAGCTTGTCGACCACACCTCCTAGGCAAGTACCTAACCGGGGCTGTGCAAACCCACCGAGCCCAATCCTCGTCCGCGACTGCGCTGCTCAACCCCTCCGACCTCCAACGCCGCCTGCCGAGTACGTGCACACGCGCCGCTTCCTTTGGCTCGTTTCCAGGCGTAGAAGGATCCGGCAGCAGGGCGGTGTCGCACGCCGTCCGCTGCGCGCCTTGTTGCTGGGAAACGCTGGCCCGACGGACCGGACGCAGACAATCAAAACAACATCGTGTCCTCCGCCCAGGCTGGGCATCCTCCGCTCAATGACATCAGCGGGCGGAATGCAAGCACTGGCAGTCGGCAAAGCCGGCAGCGCGGGCGGGAGACGCCTTGTCCCAGGCAGCGCACAATGATCCTTCGAAAGTCACGGGTCCATCGCAGTCATGCATGAGCCGCCACCGCCATTCGCCTCTGCTACGATATCGCATCCCACCGCAGCATCGCGAAAGATGGCGCCGCTCGGGACATGTTCGACTTTACAGGCTGACTGTCGCTACCCAGGAGCAGACTTTGCACGCTTCGGCCGGGCGGTGACGCAAAAGTCCCCGTAATGCTTCCAAATATACATCAAAGGATGCGCCAAGCCGACGACTCCACGGCGCGGAAACAACAGGGACAGGGCGCAGTTCCGCTGTGTTGGCCGCACGTGCCCTCCCCTCCCTTTGCTGGCATGGCTTTGTACGTAAAGCGCTGAGAGCGAGTGAGCGAGTGCCGAGGGTGGATCGGCACCTGAAAGGAAGAGGCTGTGTATCCACAGGGCTGAAGAAGGCTTCCGCTTCTTCTCCAGGCCCACCTCATCTCACCGCAGGCCAATCCGACCGCTTGATGAGATCGTGGGGGCCGTTCTTAGCATGCAAGCCTTGCCGTCGTCTAAGCATTTCGGGCTCTACCCAGATCGGGCGGCACTGATTTCCGAGTGCCGCCCGCCGCCGGCTCTCCATCACAGAGAGATCTCTATGGCCTCAGTCAACAATTTACTTCATGAAGCAGGGTTGCACGCTCGCCCCGCCTTTCTGTCAGCCAGCTGATGCATGATTCCGCTCGGCATTACCTAGGGTTGCGGGATTTTGCCCCAAGTGGTGGCTATGTCTACCCGCTTGCACTGCCTGAAAACAACTCACCGATAGAAGCGAGACCGAAGGCTCTCATCCACGTGCTGTGTGACCAGAATCCCAACGCATTGACAAAGGACCCCGACCGCCTACCGGCAGCATGCGCATTCATCATGACAGTTCGCCTAATGGCCGTGCTAGGTCAACGCACGCTGGGGTTCTTCTCAGAAGTAGGAGCCTTGGTAGGAGAAGAAAGCCCGCGTTTCATGGGCGCCATCAGCTTGATCACCGTGTGCATCTTCTAGCCATGGCATAGCATGTACCTTGCTACGCACTCACACACCCTTCCCGCTTGGTCGATTGACAACCTTCTGCGGCTGTCTCCATGGAAAATTATCATATCCCCCTTCACGCCGAATCAAGTCCCCCTTTCGGTCTAAAAAAAAAAGGTATTACCATGGACGTGCTCCTCGGTCCAAATAGAACCCCTTCAACCCGTGATGCGCCCGTCCGCTGTCCCGCTCTATTCGCTGCTGAAGCAACCAAGGTACCGCAAACGCGATTGTGCGCCAACAAGAATCAACCATTACTCCATTTGTCGAACCGTCCAAACTCGGTCCCAACTCACTTCTCGAGACTACACTGCTCCCAACGTACACCCTACTCTCTCTGCCGGCTCCTCGACCAAGCTTTTCCATTCGGGCGGGAGCAGCTTCCACGCAATGACGACCAGCCCCTGACCCCAGCCCTTCGCCCACCAAAAGCCACGCAAGTTGTTCACGAGCACCGCGAACTGCGCCAGCATGACCAGCGCCCCGGGCCGATGTTGTCCCAGATACTCGACCCAGCGCTCGGGCACGATGTTCGGCCAGATCATCGTGGTGCCGACCAGGTCCAGCGGGCCCTCGGGCGTCGACGGCCGCAGGATGAAGGCCGTATACTTCTGCAGCATGGCAAGCGACTCGGCGTACACCGTGCGCTCCTCGTCGTCCATCTGCGGCGACGAGGGCAGCGGCTCGTCGATCAGCGCGCGTCGCAGCGTGGCGAAGCGGCGTTCCAGCTCTGGGGACAAGGGCTCGTCGGTGACCAGGCCCGGCTCGAGAATGGGCCGCAACGGGCTCTCGCGTATCCAACTCCACACGGCGCTCTGGCGCAGGATCGACGGCACGCCGCGCATCAGGCGGATCCACTCGGACGGGTCCTCGAAGTCGATGACCGAGGCAGCGTCAGGGTCGGCCGACTGGAGCCGGTGCATGGAGCCGAGCACATACAGGGTCAGCCAGGCAGAGAAGAGGAAGACGCCAGGGCAGTTCTCGCGGGTCAGGTTGGATAGTCGCTCACGGAAGGCGCCGAGTGCAATGTTCTGGTGTGAGGCCGCAATGGTGCTGTAGAGCCGGCGTTTCTCGATGTCGCTGCAACAGTGCGCGCGGTGCAGACCGGATATGGCGAGGAGGCCGTTCATGAGAGGCGGGTCGGCGAAGGCGATTTCGGGCGCGGCTAATCTGTAAACCTCGAGGACATCGGAACGGGTGGAGAAGGTAAGGCTGGTCGAGACAGTGTAATGATGCAAGAGTTCCATATCCTCGACAGAGAAGGTGGCACCGGCGGGTTGAGTCGAGATGGACGCGGGTGTTGCGATTGCCGGAGACGGAGATGGTGGATGCGGCTGTATGTTTGGCGCCAGAGCCACTGGCGATTGGGTGCGGCTGCTGCTTTCCGAAGTAGGAGCAAGACTGGGCTTCTGTGCTGCTGGCCGGCTGTAGGGCAGATTGGGGACCACGAATTGAAGACTACATGACTGCTCCCGCTTGACGCAGTTGCCGCAGGTGGGCTTCTGTTCGTCGCACTGCCAAGAGTTAGCAAGGGCAGCGCGCCAGGGCATAGCTCTTCCAGAAGCAAGCAGATGCAGCGAAGACGTGGTTTGCGAGTCAGGAGCTGGCCCGCAAATAGGAAAGGGCGTAGGGCTGAGTTGGGGTCGTGGTTTGTGGGTTTGGCTCGCCCCACGCTGGGGACGTGGAGACAAGTGTACGTGCTCGCGGCAGACAGGCGGACTAGGGCGGGCGGGTGCAGGGGAGGGCCGGAATTCTGCGTGCGAGCGGGAGCGGTGCAAGAAGAGGATCAGGGCATACTTTCACGCGGCGCTGCTTGCATTGCACGCACCCGGTTCGCGTTTTCTTGTGCGATCGCCTGGTGGCCGGGCGCTTGTTGGCATGCGGTTCATCGGCCATGGCGACGAGAGGCTGGAGCGTGCAGCGAGACGGTCGCAAGGTCGCCCGGCGCAGCGAGGAAGGGGCAGTGGCTTGCGCATCGCCATGTGGGGCGCGAGCTCGTGTCCCCAGCACCGCCGGCAGGAACGACAGGCAGCAACCCTTCCCCGGATCAACATTCCCACCGAGATGCTCCGTCCACTGACCCCGTCCATCGTCAGCGTTGCGAGCCCGCGACCGTCCCGAGCCCGCCTGGCCTCGCGACCAGACGCACCCGGCCCCGCAATCGTCTGCGCCGTCTGCGCCGTCTCCGCCATCTCTGCCATCGCCCTGCTCTAACTGCCCGCAGTCGCCATCGAGGGCGAGGAAGACACCCCTGTCACGTAGGTACCGTCAGCTTTCGACATGTGCGGAGCAAGAGATCACGTCGAGGCAGACCTGGAGAGGGCGGCGCTTTATACTCGTCGACACGCAGACGCAGGCAATATGCTCGGCGATCCCGTCGCACAGCCAGTCTCTCGTACAGGTCCGCTCGCACTGCGCCCGCTCTAATTGGGCCATCTGCACGTCCAGAGCGGGCTCGTCCCGCTCGCTCTGCTCGGCAATCCTGTCGGGCAACAGATGGCTCCCGTGCTGCGAACGGCCTCCGTGCCATCAAGCCCCAAGCCCCACCCCCGTGCATCTCGTAAAGTGGTTTCGCATAGCGCCGCCTCTGATTCGCCCAGCTGGCCCATACGAATACGCCTACACCACGCCAGGCTGTCTCCCGAAAGGAGAGTGGAGCTATCCGTCTGCACTGCATGATTGCGAGTGCTTACGCACGATTGATTTCTACGCAGATGAATTTCTCCTTTAAGTCGCCTTCGAGATGCCATTGACTGAAATCCGCAACTCTTCCTCTCTGCTTCTCCCGCCGTGCTATATGCTCGTCTCTTGTGTCTCCTTGTCCACACAGCAGATTCGCTTCCTTCTCTGCCCGCAGGCCGTAATCCAAACATGTCCAGCTCCGGATACCACCCGGCTCTCGATGATCCGAATGCCTACGTCCTCTATCGCTACCACCCCAGCCTCCCCGCCGCCATCATATTCGTCGTTGCTTTTGCGATAACCACATTCTGGCACTGCTGGCAATGCGGACGGACACGGACGTGGTACTTCATCCCACTAATCGTTGGTGGCTTTTGTACGTTCAATTTCCCAATCGGGCCATGGCTGGTTTGTCCACTAACGCACTCTCCACGAACAGTTGAATGGGTGGGCTACATTGGCCGTGCCCTCTCCTCTCAAGACCAATGGAAACTCGGCCCGTTTATCCAGCAATCACTGCTCCTCCTCGTCGCCCCCGCCCTGTTTGCCGCCTCCATCTACATGATCCTCGGCCGCATCATCCTCGTCACTGACGGCGAGCAGCACTCGCTGATCCGCCAGAAGTGGCTGACCAAACTCTTCGTCACCGGCGACGTCATCTCCTTTCTCGTGCAGGCGGCCGGCGCGGGCATCATGTCGGCCGGCAACGCGTCCTCGATGCACTCGGGCGAGAAGATCATCGTCGCGGGCCTTTTCATCCAGCTCGCCTTCTTCGGCTTCTTCATCGTCGTCGGCTCGCTCTTCTACTCGCGCATCTCGCGGCAGCCGACCGCCAAGAGCGCCGTTGACGACGGCAGCATGCCTTGGCGCAAGCACTTCGGGGTCCTCATGGCCGCCAGCGCCCTCGTCTTCGTGCGCAGCGTCTTCAGGGTCATCGAGTACCTCATGGGCAATGCCGGCTACCTGCTCAAGCACGAGGTCTTTCTGTACATTTTCGACGCCGTCCTCATGTTCGCCGTCATGGTGCTGTTCAATGTCGTCCACCCGAGCGAGATCACCCGCATGCTGAAGGAGACTCACGGCAGGGAGGTCGGCATGGAGGAGGTTAGGGAGAGATATCTGGAGGGCGAGAGCGCCTGATGATTTTTGGGACGAGTTGTCGGATTTTGTAAGGAGGCGGGAAGGACGCTGCCGCCGCTGCCGCCGCTGCCGCCGCTGCCGCATGGGTCGCGCGCACACCTAAATACCTGTCTAAGGCGTTCCCATGATTCTGGATGGTTCATGCCCAGTAAAAAAAGACTACGGAGTTGGGGGGCTTTTCACATGGTCAATGTTCTTGTTTACATTCACGCTCACTTCACGAAGAAGAAATTGATTGACTTTGAAGCGATCAATGATTGGTGAGAGAGAAGTGCCTTTGATTTCTGTTTGTATCTGTGTTTGATTTGCTCAAGCTTTGCCCTTCGCAGTTCCCATCCATGATTTCCGTTCAGACGCTACCAAGTTTTCCGCCCGTTGATTGCCTTTACCAATTGTTGTGCTGGTGGGATTGAAGATGTTTGTTGTTGTAAGCTTTGCTCGGATGGCGTGATGGCTGAGTGAAGCGAAGGTGAAGTAGCCTGTTGTAGTGTAGGCGTAGGGGAGGGATGGTTTTTTTTTTTTGGAGGCCTATCTGTTGTCAGAAAAAAAGTCAAGAGGATTGGAGTGAGAGTTGAGGGACTGCTTACCAGGAGCTTCGGCCAAGTGAGGTTGATTATTGAAAGTGAAGTCAAAACCAGTCATGTACGCCGAAGGTGAAGTTGAGACCGAAGGTGAAGTTGAGACCGAAAGTGAAGTTGAGGTAGTGCGATGATGCCGACCAGTGACTTTCGTAGGTTTGGAGTGCTGTCGGTCGCAAGCTACTCCAACCTCCTGCGAGAACGGGTAGACTAGAGGTAGCTGGCGGGTTTACTTACAAGGATGCCCCGCCAGCAAGAAGCTCTCTTTGCCTGCGGCCTTGGGCTTAGATCAAGAAGATGTTCTCGAGGAGGTCGAACGGAGAGCGTGTCTCTTGTGAATTGTTGATTGGCTGATCTTGATTTAAGCTTGTGTTGGTTGTGTTTTGCTTGCTGAAGATGAAGATTGAAGATGGAATCTGGAGGGAAAAAAAGAAGCTCAGAGGTTGGGGGGCAGGGCTATTTAAGTGATCGCCGGGCGGGATTGATAGAACTGGAGGCACGGGGCCAGCTGCACCCACTAGCTTGGCAACGGGCCGCGCTAAGCTACAAATGGAAATTTCGGGGCCGTGGAGGTGATTGATGCATAGACTTTGTCACCAACGGTGGTTGCCTAGTTGTAAATCCTCAACACTAACGATCAATTCACATATTGCTGACTTCCTGAGAATCCTGCGGTAGAAGGACGTGGAACTGCGTGGGAACAAGCAATAGCGGGACGGGCCGCAGTAAAGTCAGCCATTAACATCCACACCCGAATATCTACTTCAGCTACTTTTAAAGATAGCTCGAACTACCTACAAAAATGATTGCCGCAAACCAATTCCTTAAGTCACCCACTCTAGTCTGGAGTCACGTAGTGTGAGCCTTTTGTGTTCTGTTCAACTCTTTTATCATTTTCTCGTGAACAGGGGGCCTCGAGAAGGAGCAGCGTCTTCGAGCTGAACTTTGGCAATATTCAACTTAAGGCCAACTTATGCTTGGGCTCCGGCTAAGCAAGGTGAGGGAGGTAACGCCATCGCGCAGACAGCAGTCCCGGCACTGTCGAACGATTTGATACACTTTCGACTTGCGCGCTTGGTCGTGAACTGATCTATATCTATCCATCAGTCTATGAAAAGGACTGAAGCTTTTAAAACACCTCCCAACTCCTCGCAGATGAACGCAATGGCCAGTCGTCATATTAACACCTCTCCCCCGTCTTCCTCACAGATCCATAACAAACCCAGCCGCAACCGTCACACCCGCAACCACCACAGCGCTCCAGATCGCGTGCGTTCCTGCCGCGCCGGGGCCCCAGCTCATGGCGCCGCTCGTCCGGTTGTACAACGACAGCGCCCAGGAGCCGCCACACGCCTCCGTCTCGTTCGCCTTGCATGGGATACCGCATGCGCCCTCAGGCAGCTCGGTCGACAGGGACGAGAGGTACGGGCTGCAGTAGCACCTGTTGCACAAAGGTTATAGTCAGCCCCCCATTGCTCGCTCGCTTCCAACAATAAGCAAAAACGAGAAGGATTAGACATCGCGAAAAAACGTACTCCCGTCCGTATTCCAGCCCAGCAAACTGCGAGCCGTCGCAAAGCTCGAAGCAGACCTCCGGGGTCATCGAGTCTGTCGCGTTGATGGTGCCGGCCAGCGCGCGCACGCCGCCGGCCTGTGCGTAACCGATCGTCTCGTTCCAGCACCCGGCGTACTCGTAGCCCTTGCTGCCCTGGTTGACGGCCAGCGTCGCCGACGGGTAGCCGGTGCTGGACGTGGCCGTCGTGGTGCCGCTGGTGGAGCTGGATGTTGTGACGGCGGTGGTTTTCGACGCGGACGCCGACATTGTGGTGCTGCTGCTGCCGCTGGATTGCGCGAAGGCGAGGGCCGGGAGGAGGATGGCGGAGAAGAGGGCGGAAATGGGGGCCATGGCTGGGAGCGGAGCGGAGGGCGGTTGCTATAGTTGCGAGGAGACGTCGCTGGACTGAGGAAACGAGCGAGAGGCAAAGGGTCACAGAAGAATCACCAGGAGACGGTCGAGGAGGGGCAAGCTGGTAAAAAGTGCGCGGTGGTGGAGATTTGTGGCGGCCATTGTTGAGCCGGGCTCAGCTGAAGGGAAACTAGGGCGGCGCAGGGTCAAGGGCACAGGGCCGTTCCTGGGGCTAGGCTGCTAGATACGAGATAGTGGTGGTCGAAAGAAGGCAGGCGGGACGGCAGATGGCGGGACTTTATCGCCGCAGGAAGGCGCGATGCAGCCAGAACGCGGCGAGACCGGGGGAGCTGCGGCGCCGACAGGGATGCTAGGGCAGCAGAAGGGCGCCGCTATTTTAAGCGATAGGTATGCGCTTGTCGGGAGATCTGCACTGCCCAATCGGGCTACTGGCCACGCTAAAAGGGCCTCGTGGGCTCCGTCGGCCTCGTCCTGCACCCCGACCTCCTTCACTCCAGACGCGTTCTCTGCACTCGCCCCAGTCTGGCCGCAGGATAGCCAAGCGTCACTTCACACACCCCGACCCGGGAATTCGCAGTGGCATCCCTGCTCTTCTCGACTAGCAAAAGTGTCGCAGCATTATTGAAGCCGCCCGAGACGTTGTGGCGATCGAGCAAGATTGCTTGGAGCTGACTGTCTGCCAGTGTGCTCGCTAGCATGGATGTATTGCCTGCTCGGATTTTTATGCAGCCAACGGCGCCGTCTGGAGCCGCTTGCTCGAGAAAGACCAGGTCCCCAAAGGTGCGCACCCTCGCGTCGAAGGTCAACGACTCAACATGGATGTATCGAGAATACTCGCTGGGGGCTCGGGTGATGTCTTCGGCGTCAGCTCTGGAATCAAGGCGGCGTAAAGTGCCATCCAAGCGCTCAGCCCATATTCATGTGATGGAGGCCGTGCCACCGTCCCGGCTCGAGAAAGTCACTGAACCTTTCTGCTTTGCTCTCCCACAAAGTTAGAAAGGTGCACGCCAAACAGGGGTTTCAGCGTGCACCCGGTGCCGTGCCTGAGTGGTATTCGCAACACCTCTTGTGCCGTCATGTCTGCACACTCGAACGTGACCTGCTCCGAAGTAAAGAAAAGCCGTCTTCTAGAAAAACAAGCTTCTTGGAACGTCCAGCCCCGCTTCATCCACGGAGATTGAGTAATGGAGTTGGTTTTTGCTTTCAAAAGCACCAAAGCCCCGTCATTGGTTGCAATGATTGATTGTGAAGTCCTCGGGGTAGATCCGACGCCAGGGAGCCCGAAGCTGCATGCTCTCCAGATGCTGCTATGACGGTGATGTCGGCGTTCGAGTAGATGCGGTGCATCTGTCAGCAAGGCGGTGGACGCGGCGGGCGAGCCATGTCGTGCAGCGCGACGAGGGAGACCCATGGCTGTGGCGGTGCGTGCGAGGGATCCGCGGGAGGCAGTAGTGGCGGGGGAGCCTGTTTTGCCGAGCGCCCCCACGCCCTCACGCCATCCTTCCGTCTCAGTCTTCCCCTCTACTTACACCTGGCAATGGCCACAATGAGCCACGCGATCCGCTTCATCGCCTCCAAAGGCAACAAGGCAACCTCGACCGGCTCGGTTTCTGTCGCCTGCCACGTCAAACCCGGTGCCTCGGCCAAGCGCGAAGGCATCAGCTGCGTCACCGACGACGGCGTCGAACTGTGCGTGTCGGCGCAGGCGAAAGAAGGCGAGGCCAACAAGGCCGTTCAAAAGCTTATTGCAGAGGTATGTAATCCGTACGCACCGTCAATCTGTTTCTCCTGTGCTTCTGGCCGGGATGCGCACCGCAATCTAGAGGCAATCTGGGGGTGCATTCAGCCGGGCGGCGGACGTTGCGCCGATGGCACCGTTGCGGCAGCCAGCGCCGTTGCCCGGACGGATGCCCCGATGTGCGCAACGAGTCCGCTCAGATGGTTTTTTCCCAGCCAGTGCTGATTGGCGCCCACCCCAGGTCCTCAATGTGCCCAAATCCGACGTGGAAATTGCCAAGGGCATGAGGTCGCGCGAGAAGACCGTCATGGTGCACAACCTGGCCAAGAATCGCAGTCCTGAGGAGCATGTCGAATCAATTCGAAACGCTTTGATTACATCTATTGATACTTAAAACAACCCGTAAATCCTTTTTTTTCCTCCGCTACCCAAGCGTAGCGTCTTGTTCCGAGAAGGGTATGGTGCTTGGTATTCCTTGAATCATAACAAATGCTGCCGTCCTTTCACCATGCGAATGTGCTGACAATTTTTTCCAGGGCTTCACTCGTGCAACTCTCTCGCACACGTCTAAGCGTACTGCCAGGCGTTGACGCCGCCAGTGGTGTTGGAGGCGAGGAAGCTGAAGCCAAGGCAGGTGGTCTGGTTGGTGCTGCCACCGTAGATCTGGTAGGGGAAAGTGCCGTTGAGAGAAGGGCAAGCAATGAAGCCGTCGGTCCAGCCCAGGTAGCCGATAGTGCCGGGAGACAGGGTGAAGCCGGTCGTGACAGAGCCCGTGGGAATGTAGGCAGAGTGGGCCTGGGTGAAAGAGAGGGAACCGTCGGGAGCAACGTAGACTGTGCACCCTGTCAGCATCGCGCTTTGAATCTGGTCGTCTTGGGGAACTTACCCTGCTGGCCGCCGGGAACGGCAGTGTACAGGCCCAGGGTGTTGTCGCCGCCGGCAAAGACGGTGGCGTTACCGGGGTAGTCCGTCTCGCAGTCGGGAACGACGGACGAGGGGCAGTAGGCCGACGTCTCCTTGCCAATCCAGAACTTGCCGCCAGCAGCGTTGATGCTGCCGAAGTGGATGGGGGAGGCCGAGCGAGCGGCCAGGCCGATGAACTGGCCGAGAGCAGCCGGGGCGGCGGCGAGGAGGGTGGCGGCAACAGCGAAGGACTTCATCTTGAACGAGGGTTGTTTGTTTGTTTCGTTTTGTTTGGAGGCGGAAGGTGTTTGGTGGAGGCGTGTTTCGACGGGCAGAGGCCGGCCGTCTTATATCTCTGCCGCTGCAATGACGCAGGGCAGGGCCAGTGACGGCAGCGAGCGGGCTGCTCTGGCTGCTCCGCAACGGCAGCTCGTATCTGGTGCGCTGTGGTGCCAGTGCGGTGCCGCGATGCCACTGCAACCTCCACAGCGCCGGCATGGCCTACGCCGGACGCGGTAACGCAGCCGGACGGTGGCTTCGCCTTAACCCGACGTCATTCGCCTGCCGCCGCCGCTTCTGCCCAGTTCGATGCTCGTCCACGGTCCGAAGAGCACACATCTCGTATCCGGTCCGTCGAGCATTGCCCTGTTCGCTCTCGCTGGGCTGCTGCGACGGCTCGGGCCCATGCCGCACTGGTGCGTAGTGCCCTGGGCAGCAGGGGTCTGTGACACTGGCATGCAGGGCGACGGTCGAGGCGAGTGTGACGGGTGTGGCGGCCGATAGGCTGCGTTAAGCTCATCGCGAGCGCACAGCGCACAGCCAAAAATAACCGGCACCCAGTGTCATCCCTCGCGCTGTTCTCCCCCACTCCCAAGCACCTGCCATCCGGCGCCCTCTCGAGTTTGCACCCTGTGCGGCTGAACCATGGCCTCGGGGAGTACAGCGAGCGGGTTTGCTGTCTGCCTGGTCAGAGCGCCGCTGCTGCGGTTTGGCGTCTCGCAGGATGAAAAGCCACTGCCGGCGCCCGCTTGGCCCGGTACCGGCGGCAGCTGTGGCTGTGCCATTCTCCCTCGCCCGGCCTCGCCGGAGGCTACCGATCATGCGGCTGAGGCTGGTCTCGTTGATCTTCCTGACACTGAATTCGCCGCCCGACAAATTTCCAGCTCTCCGACTCGATTGACGACCGGCTCTATTTTTAGGATGGGCCATGTCGACCGTCCACGAAACGCAGCAGAACAGCAGCGAACAGGCCGACTTCCTCGGCGATGATGACTCAACACGTAGTGCAATGCTTGTGTAGTGCATGCCGATCCCCCAAGCGAGTCTTGGGTACCGTTTTTGCGGAGAAGTACGGGCCCCATCGGACTAATTACCTTGAGACGACGGATCTGAGGCTGCTTGCACATCGTGATGTCGGTAACGCCAACAGAGAAAAGTGCCTTCAACTTGACCCACCCATGACATTTCTCACTTTACATGACATCAGTCCTTCTTGACAACGACGACAACGCCTGTTTGTAGACATTCCGGGCCGAGGCGTAGCTAGGTTTCGAGATAGAGGGAAGATTGAGCATCGCACACCACCCTCTGGAAACACAATATCTGCTGCATGTTTCGGCGTGCATCGAACGGTGCCTGCGACGTGGCTTGTTGGCGTGCACCAAGAAGCGAGCTGCCCGGGGTGTATAAGAGCCTGGCCTTGTAAATGCGTTGTGTACCCGTTGGTTCTGCCCCGAGGAAATACCCACATATGACCGCCTTGTGAGATCCCGGAACCCTTCGAAACGCCTAGGGCTGTGGCGCGCATACCGGTGCTCTTTCTGAAACTGAAGACTGGGTTCAATACGACGGGTGGCTTCCTGAGCTGCACGCTGAGCTGATGACTGTATAATGCCAGCTGCGAGCACACGAGGCATGGCATCGATGAGCCTATGGGAGACAAGAATGAGGCAAAATCAAATGGAACAAGACGCTGGCTCTGTGCCGCTCGCCTGGCCATGGAGTACGAAAAAGAAAAATGAAAACGAGTGACCTGTGACATAATGACAGTCGGCGGTCGCGGCAGTTCCAAGGTCCAAGACTTAGCACAGAGACCAGATGAAGAACGCAATGTTGCACATGTGCAACCGCCATTCTTGGAATCCTGCACGCGGAAAGGTGCAGGTGAAAGGTACACGTACGTACTTGGCCCGGTTTGGCCTTCGGAAGAAGTGAGTCTGGGCCGAACAATGAAAGTTGGGTTTTAAAATTACGAGTACGCCCAAAGTAGTCCTACTGCCAGAAGCACAGTTTGCCGCTGCCCGTACCAGCTGCAATCCAGTCCATGCTGGGATGGAACTGTGCAACAGCGGGGACTGCTGTGATTCCATCGCCTCCTAGCTGCGCGAGCTGCTCTCCTTTGCTGGTATAAACATCCACGAACCGGTTCATGTTTCCTATGCAGAAGCGCTGCACGCCGTCTTGTGGCATCTGCTGCCACTGGGCTCGTAATCTAGATGGCGTCAGCTCACACAAAGCTAGCATCAAGGTGATGTTCGACTCACATCGTCACCCATCTACCAGTTTGATTGTTATGGGGAATTATCGTTTCAGGCTTCATTTCCTTGTCATCCAGCTGTGCGCCAGCCTTCCAACCACTGCAATTGGTAAAGTTGTGGACTTTGACCGTGTCGTCGTAAGATGCGGTAGCAACGTGACCGGCAGAATTGAAGGCGGCATGAGATACCGACAATCTGCTCGTGTGTTCTCCAAGGAGCGCTGGTGCTCGGGCGTCGCCCTCGCCAGTAATTTTACGCAAATCCCAGATCTTCATCGTGCGATCCAACGATGCAGTCGCAAAGAGGTGTTTGTGGGTAGGGTGCATGCTGAATCCACCAATCTTCTTGTCCGACAGCTGGAACAGCTGGGTGCCCCCGGTGCTGTCCGAAGGAGCGCGGATATCGTGCATGCCGAACCTACCGTCAAGGGTGGAGAAGTATACTGTATTGGCTGTTCCAACGTCAATGCCCGACAGGGGCGCATCTTCAGATTTGTCTGCTGGTGCGTAGATTTCCACCGCCACGCCCTTGTTGAGGTCGAGTTTCCGGACAGACGAGTCGTATGACGCCGAGAATAACGAGTGCGTCTCTGAGGCGCTAAATTGAAAGGCAGATATTGTCCGAGTATGTATCTTGAACGTCGTCACTGCTGGCTCTGCTTCGTCGTCTTCGTCGTCATCTTCGGCCTTTTCGGCCTTGATGTCTGGCACGTTTTGCGATCCGTCGAACAAGCCGAGGTTTCCCATCTTGTCTCCAGCGAATATCAAAGCCTTGTCCGTGGTCGGATGGAATCCCAAGGCGTATATGCGCTCAGGCGTGAGCTTAATTTCTGAGGCTTCGTTAGAACACACGTGATATGAGTAGACAGACTGGTGGGGAGACGCACGATTCGGTTCAAATCCTTCCCATAGCTGGAGCCCGCTCATTTTCTCTCGCAGAGCCCGTAGCTCCTTCTCCGTCGTCTTCTTCACATTTTCGGCAGTGAAGGTTCTTTCGTACGGCTTGGTAGGACCGACGCCAGTCAGAAAGTTCCCACTCTGGTTCCAATGGTGACCGGCCACCACGACGTCGCCAAGGTCCAGATCGTCGCTGACACGCTGTCGTTTCGCTCTCTCGGCCTGTTGCAGTGCTGCATGTTCGTCTTCGGCTTTTCGTTTAGCAACCTCGCTGTCCGCAACAATCCCCCGCAAGCGCGAAGAGGTCCTTCTGCTCCAGTATCAGTCCCTGCGCATGAAATTATATATCCCGGATTTTTGCCTACCGCGGTACAACCTCCTCCTTTTCCCTCTTCACCGCGGGCTTTTTCTTATCTTTCTTGGCCGGCGCCGAGGAGCGCGCTTTGGATGCTGCAGGCGCAAGGCCTGCCTGTTGAGCATCGGCTTGGAGCGATCTCAGAAGGGCCTGGTTTTTCTCGATCTGCTCCTGGCGCTTGAGCTCGTACTCGCTCAGCTGGGGTTTTGCGCCGCCGCCAGCCATGTGAGGCAAAAAGTGCAATTAAATGGGGCTGGAAAAGATAGAAATATATATCAGCTGCTCTGGAGGGGCCATAATGCAGTGTGGAGGTGGTTGTGGCGAGAAAGCGCGAATGCGACGGCGAAATCATCAAAGAGTGGCGCCTAAACGCGTCGTCGCGTGCCTGCGCGATCTCGCGCGGAATTACTGCGGATAATCAAAATAATCCCTGTTGCCGTCGCCGCCATCTCGGAAGCTCCCAGCCGTCTCTTGTCTTTTTCTTTACCCCAACTCTGCGACCCGCTATGGCATCTTCAAATGTAGCGCAGAGGATGGTGCCCCCGCTGAATACTACTCTCCTACCTTTTTTGTACCAGACCCGGACTATACTGGGCCATGCCCCACGCCGGTCGTTCGCTCGAACAGACACCCAGATCAGGCGCCTCAACGTCGCCAGCCAAATTGCGAGTCGACGGCATCCTTCCGCTAATCGCGAACAAGCCGACGACCCACTTGCAGACACCGTTCCATTTGAAAGTGAGCAAGACGCAGCTTTTCACCAGCAACGTAGATCAACAATCACGGAAACGGAGCGAGAAACCTTCGCAAAACTCTTCAGAAAGTACAATGCCACAACAGCTGCCGCCGGCAGAGGACAGGGCAATATCAATGGCGACTTGTCAGATGCCACAGAGGACACGCTGGATTCCATCCTCGACGAGGCAATGGTCGGTATGAAGCAACGCGCCACCGGCCCTGGAGCCCTCATGAAGACAGAAGCCATCCATCATGAGGAAGAGGACACAATTATCAAGAAGGCACAGAGGAAAGAACAGTTTGAGCACATCGAGCGGCTGATGAAGGCGGCAAAAAGTGACGTCGAACTATGGAATGTTTTAGAGGTAGAGGTCCTTTCCGTCATCCGGCGCTTGAACTTGGATGCTCCGCGCCGTCCTCCGAGCCAGGAAGAGGAGACAGAGCAGGACGAGCACGCGGGCAACGAGGGAAAAGCAGATCTCTCTTCTTCGTTAGAGATCATCGGCCCCAACTACCCGTCTCTTGTGCTCGTTGCAATGCGACAGCTCCGTGTGGATTTCCCGGGATCTACCTTAGCGCTAGCCCTGCTTCCCGCCGTCAAAAGCCTGGGCAGAGGATCCTACGCTCTGGGGGCAAGCACCGAGCTATACAACGAACTGCTCGCCATGACATGGCTTACGTATTCCGACTTTCAAGGTCTCAATGACTTGCTGCAGGAGATGGAAAACGGGGGAATCGACTTCAATGGTAACACCCTCGATCTGTTGGATCACATTAAAAGGAATGCTCTGGATGCACGAAGGGGTCGTCTTGGAGAGGGTGCTAATGCGGTGTTGGAGATGGATCGCTTCAGACGCGGCATCAACAGGCTGCAACGTTGGAGAGATGCAATTAGGCTACGGATGGAGGCCGAGGCGATACGCCAGGCCAAGGAGAGCGAGATAGAGATATGAATTCCTGTAAGGAGTCTACCGTTGGTGCGACATGCAAGGCGGATGGAACACAGCTGTAAACATATGACCGAACTGAAGAGCACCGTTCGAGCGATTTCCATGAACATGATCAAGGCGGCAAAACTAGAAGCCACACAGTGGTATGAAGCCTGACAGACGTTGGTGGTGGTGACATCAGACGATTCGCGCAGAGCTCCGCAGCTACGGATCAAATTCCGCGGAAATCGCTGGGAGGAACTGGATTGCGCCTCAACACCATGGCTTCCACAACACGCGCCATCCGGCCAGCCTTTTGCAAGCTGCCGAAGTCGATTGCACGACCCAATGTCTCACAGCGGTCACTGTATCACTCATATGAGCACGCCCAACCAGCGCCGTACCCGCCTGCAGAGTCGGCCATTCTCTCTGCCGCGCTCTCACATGTCCCAACCAATGGCTTTACCAACACTGCCCTGCAGCTCGGCGCTCGCGATGCCGGCTATCTTGACGTCTCTACGAATCTCTTCCCGCGCGGACCCTTCGACCTGATACAGTATCATCTGGTCACCCGACGGCTGGCGCTCCTCGATAGCGTGCAGTTCCCCGAGGACAACGACAAGCGGCTGGGGATCGGAGCGAAGGTCAGGTTGTTGACACTGGAAAGGCTTCGGGCAAATGCACCCGTTGTGCACCGATGGCAAGAGGTACGAGCTTCTGGATAGCTGCGGTGGCGGCAATGTGCTGCAGAGCCAGCTTTAACATTGATCGTTTGTACAGGCCCTCGCCATCATGGCCCAACCTTCATACGTACCCGAGTCGCTCAAGGAGCTTGCGAAGCTTTCTGATGAGATCTGGTTCGTCGCCGGCGACACCAGCGTTGACAGCAGTTGGTATACCAAGCGCGCAAGCTTGTCGGCAGTCTATTCAGCGTCGGAGGTCTTCATGACCCAAGACCAGTCTACGGACTACAAGGACACTGAGAGGTTTCTGGACTCGCGGCTGGAGGACTTGAGGAAGTTTGGAGGGGCTACCAGCGCGCTCTCGGAGTGGCTTGACTACACCGGGCATTCCGTGGTGAACGTGCTGAGGAGCAAGGGCATGCGTATCTAGGCGGGCTCGACGTGCATTCCGCCACCTCCATCTTCTCTGTAGCAAGGCATTTGATTGAAGGCGCGGATTTCTTATCTGTACCTAATGCGCGTGGGCGTGCCGGGGTAGAGCTGCGTGGCTACCCGCTAGGTACTGTGTCGGCGAACCAAATCACCGACCGCATCATCATCGGAAATCTGGGGGAGCTACAGGCAACCAAGCTCCCAACCTCACTTCCAAGCCAACTCTCTCGTGCTGCGTACGCTCGACTGCGCAACAACCCTTTCTCGAAGCTGCGCTCACTGTGTCAGCCCGCTCCTGCTTGATCGCGCGGTGCCTACCGCTGCCCCACCTCGCCGCAGAGAGCTCCGCCCATCGTCATCCGTCATCTGCCTTCCTCCGTCCTTGGGCTGTCCTTGCGCCGTCCACCACCGCTCTATCACCGAACGACATCATGGCGGACGCTGCTATAGTCTTCAGCTTTCCTCCAGACCAGTCCGCACTGGAGCAGCTCTCTCCTGCCGAATACGATCACTCCATCCGCCACTACCTCACCCAGCTTGCCCGCATATCCAAAGCTGTTTGGCAAGTGGGACAGATTGGAGACCAGAACTTGCTAGAGGTGTGTGGCGGCTGCCAGAAAAGTACGCTTTGGCGACCTTGGGCGCTAACAGGGACAATGCAGATCCTCGACCCGGCCGTCAATTCCATACCATACCTCTACGTCCTCATCCACCAACTCCACTCCAAAATCGAGTCCGCTAGCTCCGCGCTCAACGTGCCAGATGAGTGTCGCCCGGGAGGCGAGCTCTGGCTGAAGCTTATCAACTACCTGAACGTCTTCGACCCGATACAGATTCGCTACGTTGGTGCGGATTGGAGAAGGGCAGTGGAGTATGTCGACTTAATCGCACGCTTGATGGACACAGTACGTCGTTTCGTGCCAGGAATAGCAAGAGACAGACGCTGATCTCTTTCTCATAGCCTGCCGTTGGATTGGTACCTGTCCGCACGGCTTTGAGCCGCATGGACCCCTCTCTGGGCACCTTCACCTCGGTGCATCTGCTCTACCTTCGTCTTTGCCACGAGGTTAGGGCCTTCTACGAGGCCCTTCCTATTCTAGACCAGTACATCCACAGCTTCCCTTCCCAGCCAATCGCGGGTGCCGAGTTCACGTTACCATGTGCAGACCACATCACCAGCGCTGGCTATATAAATGTGCGCTCTGGGCTTTCAGACAGGGTCACTACAGCCGATGTCCACGAGTACTTTCTTCTCAGTGCAAACACCTACCTGGCATTGCGCCAGTACAAGCAGGCCCAGCTGTTCCTGGAGTACATTCTGACCACCCCTACGCAAAGTGTTGCAAGCGGCCTTATGGCCGAAGCTTACCGAAAGTGGGTCTTGGTAGGATGTCTGGTCAACGGTGGTGTGAGTCCTCGACCGCCTGAGCTTTAGCACATTGGATTTGACTGACTCTCCACAGCCGGCTCAGAATCTCAAGCCAGTCAACAGCCATGCGCTCAAGACAATGAAGTTGGCATCCAAGGCATATGACACTATTGCTGAAATCTTCCAAGGCGGTGACCCCGCCCGTCTTCAGGCCGAAATCGACGTCGGCACGCAGATCTGGAGCGAGGATGGGAATACCGGACTAATAAGGGAGGTTCAGGAGCACCAAGCAAAGCTTTATGTGAAGAATCTCCAAAAGACATACGCAGCAGCCCCTGTATCCACCGTTGCCAAATGGCTGGGCCAAGCCCCAGACGCTGCCGAAGCGTACCTGAAAGAACTGATCGACGAAGGCTTCCTGAATGCCACAATAGAACAGGATGCAGGCAGCCAGCAGATCCTACGATTCCACTCGGAGTTGGCCCGCGGTCCACGTACCAAGACCGAGGAGCAGCAGCTTTCCGAGCTTGTGGCTCAAACGAAGAGGACCGATGAACTAGCCGAGCATGTCAAGGCAGCCACGCAGAGACTGAGCTTGACGAAGGAGTACGTCGAGTTTGCGAAGAAGAAGGCGCGTCAGAAGGACGACAGTGGTCAGGGGGCAGGCGAGACGATGGACACGTCATGGGATGCATACGAGCAGGACGAGGACATGATGGCAGATTTGTGATGAGCACCTCCATTGCTATGTCAGCATGACGACTTTATGGATTGCATGACGCGGAGTCAGGGCGCGTATCAAAGAGAAGCTAATACAGAAAAGACGGGGGTAGCTGGTGCGGTGATGGGTTTAGGGAGGAAGGTCATCCGGGCGGGATTTGCGGCGTAGACTCGAGATGGAGCGCACTTGGATCTGGAGACATCAGGTCTGGCCACTTGCTAAACTATCAAAACATGGTGCAAAGGAAGCTGTCATGGGGGTGTTCCCAAAGATTAAGTGGTGTTTCCGTGCTGCGGCAGGGCGACGCACGTCGCCTTGGAGGCTCGCAACGGTGGATCCGACTATAATGGCGAGCATTTTAAGGTCGCCAAAGTAGGGGGGTCGGTATATCAGCCGGTACAGAAAGGGCGTCTTGCCGGGCTGGCGAGTCGCTGGCATCGAGGGTCCAGACGCAAAGTGCCTCAGCAGCAGGCGAAGGGGCACGCGCGCGGGCGGGCGGCAGGGCTCGCCTCACGACCACGACCAGCGGGTCTCCACGAAGGATGGTCAGTCGCGGTGGGTGGCACATGTCAGCAGAGGGTAGCTGCTCTGGCGTGTTTGGTGTTTCACGTCACTCTGACCAAGTGTTCGCGGTTCAGAAATAGCTGGCGGCGGCGGGCGCAGGGCTCGGCTTCGGGCCAGGATGGGCGCTGTGCAGCCATGCCGGGGTATCCCACGTGCGGCCGTTCCACAGCTCAACGGCAGCGTCCTTCTGCAGGCGCGATGTCATCGGCGGCAAGCTTATTGCTTAGCAGTGTGGGCGTCGCAGAGGGCGGCCCGCCGCGGCCCCTTGCGTCCTGGGGTGCGTTCCTGAAGAGCGGGCAAGATCCATCGCAGATTCGCACGGGGCCCTGCACGTCGCGCTGCGCGCAGGCCGATATTGCGGCCGCCGGCCGGGCAGCAGGCCGCCGAGGGTGGCATTGGCTATGGCGCAAGCTCGCGCGTGGGCTCTGGCGCTCGGATTTAGGATGGCGTCTGCGTCGGTGTCGGCGTGCGAGGGGCCGCCTCTTGCGCCGTGCCGCGATCCCTGCATGCGATTCTGGGGTTGGGGAGAGGCCCTGTGGCCCTGTGGCCCTGTGGCCCTGAGGATGAGCCGCATGCCCAGCAGCGCCAGCACGCTGCGGCTTCCAGCACCTACCTAGGGCGCGCGCCGGGCTGGCCGCCGCTGCTGCCCGTGAGCCCGCGCGCTGAGGCCCAGGCACAGGCACAGGCGCAGGCACAGGCTCAGGCACCGCGCCGGGCATCATTACGGCAGCCATCGCGATCTGCAGCCGCCGACTCGTACGCCGGTCGAGGTGCGCGACAAAAGGACCCTGCCGCCGACCAGAGCGCGGTGAGGCCGCCTCAGCGCTGCCGTCTCCTCCGCCTGCTGCTGCGCCCGCGCTCTGTCCTGCATCCGCGTCTGCCCAGCCTCGCCGGCCTTCTGCATCCATCGCGATCGACACGGCGCCGAGCGAGACTCCTGCTGCGCGGCTCTCGAAGCCACAAGCGCGGCCGCCGTCCCCCCCCTGTTCATCACTCAAGGGGCCGGGCCACTCACAACACCGACAGCGCGGCGCCTCCAACCCGTAAACTGCCTGCAGAGCAGCACAACATCCGCCCCGGCCCCAGGTCGCAGTCCCCTTTTTTCCCTAGGCCGCGACAAGGCTCCGGGCAACACCAGCAGCTCTGCGCACACCCTTCCGCTCCGGCTCGCATGCATGAACTAGGCGCATGAGCTTCGATTATTTGGGGCTTCGTCTCTTACCGCCAATTGGCCTCGCCCAGGACGGCCTTTACCTAGGACGATGCATTCCGCTAGCAACGCCCACGCCCACGCCGCCGCCAAACCGTCCCATCATCGCAAGGCCTCCCACTCGAACACCAGCTCCCTGTCGTCGGCCTCGTCCTCCACCCTCAAGCGGGCCTCGTCGCTGAAGGCCTCGTCTGCCGCGAACCCCTCGCATCCGCCCGCCGCGACCCTGCTGGACCCGCCCATTGAAGACGAATCGCCGCCCGACGCCCACAAAAAGCTGAGGAAGCGCTCGTCCACACACCGCCGCCGCTCGACCGTCGCGCATGCCGCGCAGGACCAAGTGAGCAGCCCTATCCGCGAGGGCGTCGGCAACCTGCACCGCTGGTCGCAGTCGTCCACCTCGAGCCGTGCCTCTTTGGCAAGAGAACTGCGACAGGGTAGTTTCTCACGGCGGCTGAGTTTCAGCAGCGGACCCCCCTTGGACCCCCTCCATGGCTCTGCGCTGCAGTCTCCACAACGATCTCCTACCAGGAACCACTCGCCCGACGTGAGTCCCCGCGGCAAGGCTCGCCCATACTCCCCGCCGCCCAAGATCCCGACGCCAGACCCTGCGCCTGCCCTGCCGCTGCTGCCGGCGACCACCTTCGACCCGAGCTCGCCCTTGACCACTACGACGAGCAACACCCCGACCCACGGTCTCTTCACGCCTCCCGCCGCCCTATCGTCGGGGCCCGATTACTTCAACCACAAACCGTTTGCGCCTGCAGCGTCACCGCGGAGCAAGAAGCCGCCTCCGCCCAAGGGTGTCGCCAAGTCCGCCCTCGCCTCCCCTCCCCTTCTAGAGAGATCAGCCAAACCGCCGCACTCGTCTTCTGCCTCCGCATCTTCTCGGTCGCGTGCCACATCGGTGGAGCAGCAGCAGCAACAAAGGTCCGGGAGTGCGCTTGGAAAGGAGCGGCGTGTGCCCGCACGAGAGCGGACGGCAAGCAGGACAAGGGACAGGAGTGTGAGTGGCGCAACGACCGCATCGGAGGACGAGGGAAGAAGGGCGCCATCGCGAAACAAAGATCATAAAGAGAAGGACAAGAAAACTATGTTGTCGCGAGCGCTGCAGAAGGCCAACACTGCCGTGTTGCTTGACAATGCGCAGAACTTCGAGGGAGCAATGGAGGCGTACAGCGATGCGTGCCGGCTACTACAACAAGTCATGTTGCGGAGTTCTGGAGAGGATGATCGGAAGAAATTGGAAGCAATTGTGAGTGCCTCTGTCCGCCATGTGGCAACCGGGTAACTAACATCAGTCACAGCGCGTGACATACACAAATCGCATACAAGAGTTGAGGATGCTGGACCCTGCATGGCAGGCGTCTTCAGGCAAGGCGTTGCCTACACGGCCCATGAGCGACCAATCGCTTGCGGACACTCAATCTTTCATAGACAATGTGGTGGAGGATGACGAGGAGGACCCAGTGGTCATCGAGACTGCAACAATCACAAGAATCGTTAATGACAAATCGGTGGAGGCGACAAGGACGCAAACTTCGTTCCAGAAACGACCCGCGCGAGAATCCGTCATCAGCTCTGCGATCCGCGATGTCGAGAGCTCAATACCGAAGTCATCAGACCCCGAACAACTTCTTTCCCCCCCACCAATCAAACCGGGCGGAAGTCTCCAGCATGCGGATCGTTCTAACCTCGACTCACCTATGGAGCGGAACTACCTCCCCCAGCCGTTGTCGCCTCGTCGTTCTCGGACACCCAATGCTTCCGCAGATTTCTTCGACGAGCCCGGTATGCGCGAACCCGTGGAGCATAGATCTGCCAGTCAAGCGAGCCAAGTCAGCCAACATCACCACCGTGCAGCCAGCAACGAGTCTATCTCTTGGCTTGATACCATCGACGAGTCAGGAGGTTCTTCGTGCTCCTCTTCAGTACACTCGTTGCAAATGGGCACACTGCAACGCAAGCAGTTGCGCTATGCCAGCGGTGCCACAGAAGCCGAGTTCGATGCGGCTCTCGACGCGGCTGTCGAAGCTGCTTACGATGACAACCTGGAGCCGTACGAAGACGAGGCCTTGATGTCGCCATACCGCAGGAATGTGGAGCTCGCGAGGGAACGTGTACGGGAGGCAGAAAGAGAAACGGCCATTGAAGCGGCGAAGAGACATGACCGCGACATGCGGATGCGAGGAGATTCGCTGCCGCACATCCACGATGGTAGCCTAGACCTCGGAGGGCAAAGCGAAGAGGCGGACGACGAGGAGCGCATACTGGACGAGATGACGAGGGACTACATGATGGACGACTTTGACTTTGGCCTCCAATCGAAGTCAGCATTACCGCGCCAATCGGATTCGAGCACTTTCTCTGGGAGCACCTGGCATAGTTCGATATCCTCCGCACGCAACACGGCTGGAACGTCACTTTCGACGGTCACGGAATTGGACACTTCGCCCACCACTGTCAATACGAAGCCGCTGCCCGAACGCCCTGCCAACACGTTGTCCCCCGTCTCCGAATCCGAGCCCCAGACTGCAGTCCCAGTCCCATCAACCTCATCGCATAAATCCACTGGTTCCGGAGGTGCTTCTAGCGTGAGGAGTAGGCGGCTTTCTGGGCAAAATGCCAAACAGTTGAAGATTGAGACGTCGATACCGGCGAACCAAGGACCTTTGACGCAGCCTCCGTACACATTAAAGGTTGATGAGACGCCAGCTCTGCCAAAGACCGCCAACGCAACTCTACCAAACACTTCGTTGAAGATGCCGAGCACAGCGATATCGCAGGCCAATCTACATGCCCCGTCGTTGAACTCAGCCGCTGTCAGCCCAGCAGACAGCATGCCATCAATTTCGCCATCGCCTTCCTTGACGCAGGCAGTATCGCACGAGAACATAACGAGCGACCCCACCATCCGTACTAAGACGGCCGGCCCTCCCCCGCCTCTGAGAAAAAACAAGTCTTCCTTGAGTCTGCGAAACCGGCAAATGTCAGTCTCCAGTCCGGATGGATCCGATGTCTCTGTTGGCACTCCACTCAGCACTACATTCACGACCTTCAGCCAGCGCAAGCCGAGCAACCCCCAGATTGCACAGACCCCTGGTATTCCGACCTTTACGCTCGACGGCATGACTTTGCCGACGGGAGGCATGCATCTTTTCGAAGCCGATATCCACTCGCCGTACAGCCCTGGGTCGCCCAATCCTCTCGCCATCAACGCCCCCATCCCTCTTGAGCCTTGTCCCGAGAGCTATCTTCTCCGCCCTTTCTGGCTCATGCGCTGTTTCTACCAAACTCTTGCACACCCCCGTGGTGGATATCTCTCGACAAAACTCTTTGTCCCACGGGACATCTGGAACGTGAAGGGAGTCAAGATCAAGTCGGTGGAGGAAAAGATCTCGAACATCGACCTCCTTACTGCGGCTTTGCTCAAACTCGGCAGGGTTGACACGCTTGACGCAGATGCAACTCTCGAGGAAATGCAAGCTCTTGAGCTCGTTCTGGATCAGGTTCAGTCCAACCTTGTCAAAAAGCTTGGCAGCGAAGTCGGAACTGGTGGCGTAAGCTCTATGTTCAAAGATGCCCAGACCGTCGGAGTCACTTCACCTGATGGCAGCACTGCTACGGAGCTACCTTCAAGGCTTGGCGGGACAAGCAATCGTTATCTGAACACGTGGAAGAAGCTGCGGTCGAAGAACTCTGGGGTGAACCTGGCCAACCTTGCGGCGAGCAAAGAAGTCTCCAAGGACTCATTAACAATGAGCACTCTGCCAATGACAACCCTGCCAAACATCCGCTTTGCGAAGCGTGAGGTTCCCGATATTGAATTCGTTGGGGCGAACGCCAACTACATGGGCTCACTGACGCGCTTGTTCGACGCCGTCCAAATCCTGGGTATGTTTATCACCAGATTTCATGTCAACGAGAGACCATTTGCTCACAGATATCCTCTCTTCTAGATCAAATAGCCCGACAGGTCGAGGATCCAGGACTGAAACACTCGTCTCCCACGCATGTCGGTCTCGAGTTGAGTACCCGCCACGCCGCCGAATTTTTCGGCTTCTACATCTGTCGCTTCGTCCTCAGCGACATCGCCATGATGCTGGACAAATTCATCAAGCGTGGAAGCGAGTGGGTTCTGATATGATTGCTTTTTGGCCGATTCTGTCTCCACACCCTGCATTCACGGCGGCGCGCGTGTTTTTTGCTGCCTGTTGCAACCTTTTCTCTGCATGAGCTTTGCATCGATCCCCGCACACAATGATCTTTTCTGTCTTACTGCTCAATATACCACTTTTGTGTCTCTCTCCCTCCATCCTCTTTCTATCCCATTTTCTCTCTGGCTCACACTTCGCCTTTCGCGTCTGGCCTTCATACCCTTCTTTTGAGAGCATCCTTGTCGGTTTCCTATCTTCCATTATGGTGGACGTGTTCGGCTACGATGAAACTTCCTTTTTCTCAAGACTGGTGGGATTGCTTGGGCTAGCGGTTGTCTCTTGTGTCCGTTTGGGTAGCGAGGACGGCGTAGGGGAAACTTATCCGGCAAAGATTGTGAGCGTGGGCGAAAGAGCGGGAAGAAGAGCAAGGATGTTGGTATGCTTTTTGTTCTCAAGCCTTGTGCAAATGATATCCCTGGTCGCTTGTTTTTTTTTCTCCTGGCTTTGTATTCTCTCTTCATGTGATATGGCTCCGTAACGGGGATACCCTCAGTTCCTTTTTTTTTCTTTTTTTTTCGGGGGGGTGGGTGGGTAGAGGGGGCACCGTCTCTTCATCTTATGGCCTTTCTTTCCCCTGCTAATATTTCGCGACCACTGTTCATTTGACGATCTTGGAAGCCGTGCTATTTTTGGATTTCCAGGGATGGAATTCAGGGCTCGCTACCTTCGAGGAGCGCTCTACTGTCGTTTGCGAGCCATGAGAAGCGTTTTGTCTACATTCGGCAGGCATAAGCCTACGACAGCAGATCGTCCGTGTCCCGGACTAATGGCGGGCAGCTCCCGGTAGTTGCTGCACATCGCTCCTTCCTGCATGATGTCGTGGGGTCAGCATTGCTCGTTCTTCTGCTGCCTGGCTTCATCCCTTGTAAATAGACATTCGTTTCATATCATCTTATTACTATGAGTTACGCTTTTATTGTGTTGATATCCTCTATTCACTCGGCTACCACATCTGTATACGAAGCCATATTTCCTTCATTTTTTTTTTTTGGAAGGGGACAAGAGTCCACGTAACGACGTAGACAATGGCGCATATGCTGCCGCATGCGAAGTCGTCTACGTTCTAGGAGCATGAGATTCCATCCACGAAGCACCGGTGCCTTGATCTGCATCATGTGTTGTCGACGGTGAGGCAACACTCCATAGTTTCCATAATGCAAGCACCCGAGAGGGTTGGACGGTGTAGGATGGGTTAGTCACGGCTCGTAAAGCAAACGGACATCAAACAGAGCCCGCAGCCACTTCGATCGTTCTCTCAAGGAACCTCAACACACGGAATAGGAATGTTGAAAATGTCGTGAGCCTATTTCACCACACCGACGTTATCACAGAGGACCTCCAGCTTCTTTGCACTTTCAACCGAAGCCGCCGTCACCACCGCCGACACCTAATTTATTCCATTCCGCCACCTTCTGTGGGCGACGAAACGAGCCCATCGGGTCTGCTGCCACCCGCAGCCCGAGCAGCCTCAAATTCTCGCCATCCCTCCGCCTCCACTCCTCTTCCTTCTTCTCCTCCTCCCCCGTGGTTCACAAACAACTTCTTCTCCCGAGCATCCACTCGCCAGCCCAACGGTGTTGGCATCCCGACCAGACCAAAGCTCACCCCACCACGACGATGCCGCCGCCCTGTCCCAACGAGGCCGGCCCGCCGGCCTTCTTCTTCGACGCGTTCCCCGACTACACCTTCCGCGCATCGGCGACCGTCCGGACCAACTTCAAGGCGCTCGCGGCCCAGCGCGGCTGGGCCACGGGATCCAAGCGCTGGCGACGCCAGTGGCGCGCCTGCTTCGGCCGGGCGTACGCCCAGGACGACGACGACGACGCGTTCGACAGCGGCGGCTTCGCGCCCGACCCCACCGCGCCGCTGGAGCATGAGTTCGGCCGCATGGCGCTGCACGAGGGCTTCGGACGCCGTGACAAAGGCTACGCCGCGCGCCGCGCGCCGCGCGCGCTTCTTCGGCCAGCAGTTCAACCTGCTCTTTGGCTACGATAGGTTGGCCAACTATCAGAAACTCTGCCGCATCGTCGACGTCCCTGTTGGATCCTCCATCACTCAGTGCAAGAAGGTAAGGACGCGGCTGTGCCTTCTTTCTTCTTTCTTCTTTCGCCTCCCCTCCCCTCCTGCGTTTCTTTAGAGACCTTTTCTTTCTTTTTAATATGGAACCCTTGAGTAACGCCCTCCGGGTAATGAACATAGGAGCTCAAAGACCACGGCGTGATGATCAACCTTGTCAACCTGATGAACCACATGCGCAGTCTGCCTCGGGAAGACAGACTCGACAACCTCGGGAGTCTCGAGCCGTGCAAAGAGGTCAAGCTGGTCAAGTTCGAGAACTGGAAGAGCTTCAGGAGCTACACCAAGAAGCACACTTTCCCGAGGAACGCCGCTAAGGCCAACGGCTTCATCAACACCTTGCTCCGGAAGATCTGATAGAAGACGTCGGAGCGCGCTCATTGATTCGCGTTCAGGGTGTCGGGAGGCGGGATCGTCATTGCGGTACACTTTTGAGCTGATGTCCTCAAGGTCTGTTCAAGGGGTAGGAATTCTGGAGGAACTTGGCAGCTCACCATAGGGGCACTGGAAGCTTCGTGTGAAGCGGTCAACTAGAACTACCATGCGATGCTAGATAGGAAGATGAAATTAGTGCGACAAGACATGCGAGCTCGACCTTGAGTGTGCCAAATCCTATTGGAATGAAGCTAGGAAGCGGCGCACCGTATACGGTGGGCATGGAGACTCCAAGTACCTGCCCGGCCGTTGGTTGCCTTGATCATCTTCATCATCCTAGAAATGGTCTCGAGCTTCGAGTGTTTATATGAGCCTTTTTCAAGGAAAACGACCTTGGAGCAGGGTGGGTATCATTTTTTTTCTTGACCCAGCCGATTACGCAAATTTAAGCATTTTTGAAGACCTCCTCCTTGGGAGGATCCGGCTTCCGCCTTATACCAATAAAGAAAAACTCCTTGGACTCCTGGGAATGGAAGACGTGTCAACGCGGCTCTAATAATGCTCACGCAGAGGCAACTCACCGTTCGCGAGGAATCCGGCTTCTCCCGGAAGACCTTTTCAAACATGCGGCGTAGCTTCCTCTCGAGCGCTTTGTCCTCGGCGCCTTGGTAGAACTTGCAGACAAAGTTGCCGCCGGTGCGCAGCGTATCATAAGCGAAGCCCAGGGCGGCATGGCAAAGGTCCTGGCAAAAGAAATCAGCTTGCGTACGCGGGGAAGGTTTCTGAGAGGCAGAGCCAGCCAGCCTTACCATGCTGCCGGCGTGATCCCTGAAAGGCGTTCCGCTGGTGTTCATCATCCTAAGATAGGGCTCAGTAATGCTCCTCTTGTGGAAACCGGACGTCTGAGCCCAGGGCGCGGACATATCACTCAGCACAACGTCGACCACGCGGCCCATTGCCTCATCCTGCGCGCGCCTGCCCAGTGTCTTTCTCACGACGCTCGTCCCCTCGGTCGTTGCCGCCGCCGCCGTTCCAGCAGTGTGTTCTGTCCCATCGTGAGAGGAACCGCCATCCTCCGCATCCGGTCTCGCGATCAACGGCGCCATCTTCTCCCGGTCAATATATCCTCTCTCCTGCTCCTCCAAGTCGGCTTCGGTATATCCCTTCTCCGCCTCCTCCACGGCCCCATCTTCCTCCTCTTCTCCTTCCCCATGCTCCCCTTCCTCCCCAGCCCAAATGACCTGCTTCCTCAACGGCCTCCCCCTCTCGGGATCCTGCACGTAGGCGCGAACCTCGGCCTGGACGGCCTCGCTCAGGAAATCGCCCTGGATGGTGGAGACGCCGCGGGGCGGCTGGGCGGGGATGACGTCGATGCCGATGACGCGGCCGCCGGGCTGGGTGCGGTCGATGGCGACCTGTGACCACGAGCCCGGGGCGTAGCCCAGGTCGACGACCGTGTTGCCCGCGCGGAAGAGGCGGTAGCGTTGATTCATCTGTGGGAAGGCGGCGCCAAAAAAAAAAAAGCACGAGTTATTGGGGACGATCTTTCCAACCGAGAAATAAAAAAAAATAAAAAAATCTTGCGTGGTCTTGGCTTTAAAGGTCTTTTACCTCGAGTAGCTTGAACGCGGCGCGGCTCTTGAGCCCGCGGACTTTGGCTTCCCGCGCAAAGTAGTCGCGGCCCTGGCGGCTCTTCCAGACCGTCGACGAAGATGACGACGCGGAGCGGACGCATTGACGGGGCGTATAAGGGGGATCCGAGGGGGCAGAGGCGGCGCGCGAAGCATCAGGGCGGGAGGATGCGGTGGCAATGGTAATTGTGCGGCGAGCGGCGGCAGTAGTCTGACAGGCGCGGCATGGCGGAAGACGGTGTGGCGCGGCGAAGGGCCGGCCGACCAATGCGCTGTCGGCCAGCTGGCGGATGAGACGGAGAGACAGCATGCGTGCTGTGAGTGTGCGACGGTGGAGCGGTTATTTGAGAGAGAGAGAGAGGAAAAGTTGAAGCTTTGGCCGCGCATGTGCGACGGGCGGGTGTGGCTGCGAGCTCGGAGCGCTGCCGCATCGGCCGCACCGCCACAGCCAGGCAATCTGCTCCGACACCAACACCTGACATGGCAGTATCTAGCATCTGCACAACGGTCGTGGGGCGTAGAGGGCGGCACAGCAAGGTGCGGATGCAATGCACGGGCACGGGTACGAGTACGATCTCAGACTCACGGGCCCACGGCGTCGGAGCCCGCCAATTACATTGCTCGATTTCAAACGGCTCCCCCAGCCTTCGGCCGGTGTCGCCCTAGCTAGCTTCCGATGCGGAGGGGCGGCGGGCGGCGGGCGGCGGGCGGCGGCGTCGCTCGAGAGACCAAGTTGCCGGATCCGGGAGCATCACCACATCCCCCCCATTCCTCGCCGAAAGTCGGCTCGCCGGCCAACGCAGCGATGTCGGCCAACCCCTGGGGTCTGCCAGCGCACAGCGAGTTCGGCAGCATTGCGACGTTTGAAGTTGACCTGTCGGCCTCCGATACGTGCCTTTCGCTCCTGTTCTTCCCGTTGCGTCCGCCCACCCCGCATCGCCTCAAGCGCCTCAAGCACCACCACCGCGTAATGCCTCATTTTTCCTTCTTCTCCTGCGGTGCTTCCGTCTTCGGACGCAGCATATAGTAGCACTCGATCAGGTACTCGCGTTCAGAGACCAGGCTGTACAAATATCGAGTTAGCCAGTCGCATATCAAAAAACAACAAGACCACCACTTACACGTTGAGCCCGACGACGCCAGCGATGGCGCCGCACCTGACCAGCTCTCCGAGCAAGCCATAGCCAGACAAGACTCCCTCCGATAGCCTCAACGCAACCGGTGCCGCCATCGCGACCGCCACGCTCAGCCCCTTGGGCAGCGCGGCCAAGTAGTCGAATTGCTGGCCATCCCCCCATGTCAGCACCGAAAACTTACAAACAAGACGGAAGGAGCGACACTCACCTCCCCATTCTCTCCAAACCACCGCCCAATGAAGGCGCCCGCCCAAACAATCCTCAAGCCCATGTTGACGCAGTTCGCCCACACGAGGCCCTGCGCGCCCAGCCCGAGCACGCCCAGAAACAGGTAGGCGGCAGCGGCGAAGCCGGCGAAGAAGGCGCCCATCCACACGCTCTGGCGGTGCAGGTCGCGCTCGGTGGCGACGCTGGCGACGAAGGCCTCGGCGACGCCGTTGAGCGCCAGCAGCGGCACGTAGTAGCAGTAGCACGCCAGCGTGTCCGTCGCCGCGGCGTTGTCCGCCCAGCGCGCCCCCGCCACCACGCGCAGCAGCAGCGGCGCCAGCGTCGGCCCCAGCGCGCACGCCGCCAGCGAAATCAGCCCGTACAGGTGCACGATGGTCTGCAGGATGACGCGCGCTTGCCGCACCTGGGCCTTTGGCGGCTTCGAGTCGCCCGTCCCCGGCGCCGACGAGCACAGCCGCGAGAAGAGGTTGCGGCTGCTCTCTTCGATGGGCTGGAAGAGCATGCGCGCGATGAGGCCGCCGTAGTTGGAGGCGAGGGCGTAGGCGCCCTGATCGGCGAGCGTGGTGAGCGACGCGATGAGGATGGCGTCGCCCTGCGTGAGCACGTACTTGATGCTGGACTGGACAAAGAGCGAGAGGCCGAGATTGCCGAGCGAGCGCGGGAACCAGCCGAGAATGTATTCGTTGGGGTCGCTGGGGAGCTGTCAGCCTTGGGTTCCGGATGACGAAAGGGACGCATGTACTTCTTCTTCAGGGGCTGCGGCAGGAGGGTGAAATTGTCCTTCTTTGCAACGGGCGTGACGCGCCACAGATAGACGGCAAGCAGGACGGCCGAGTAGGCAGACTGGCCGGCGGCGAAGGAGGCGACTCCTGCGTCGTAGCCCTGCCTACTGGCCCAGACGGCGCACGCGCAGGTCACAAAGCAGCGGGCGAGAGTGGCCATGCTTTCAGCCGAGGCTCTGATTTTGTAGAGCATCAGCTGCTGGGTTGCGGTGAAGGCAGGTTCGGCGCAGAGCTCGACGACGGTGGAGCAGGCATAGATGTACAGCGACTGGCGGAAGTACGGCACGTCGGGCACGTCGGCGCGCAGCCAGAGCCAGCCAAGGGCATGCGAAAGGACGACTGCGAGGGCAATGGCCACGTAAGAAAGGTTGATGACGGCCTGGATGCTGCTCGCCTGGCGCTGGAGGGCGACACGCAAGCTCTCGCGCGAGAAGTAGAGAACGGAAATAGCATAGAGCTCGAGCTGGGCCGACACGCCAAGCAGCTCTGGGGAGAGAAAACGGAGCAGGACCTGGTTGACTGCGAAGGTCAGAGCGCGCGAGCCGACCTGGAGGAGGATGAGAAAGGTGGCCCCCTTTGCGGAGGCCGAGAGGGCGGCGCCCGACATCAGGACCGCTGGTGCCGCCTCTCCCTGGGGCGCACAAGGTCAATCAGCACGTCAGCGCTCTGCACCGGCCCATTGAGGCTTGAGGTGGTCAGATGGAACGGGATGGAGAAGTTGCTGGCTGCGGTGGCCGAGGGCCGTGGACTACTGTGTACTGACTGCGCGCGGCCCGTGCGACGCCGTGCAAACTAGTAACGAGCTGCCGCCCTTCCTCCCTCCGTCCCTCCGTCCCTCCGTCCTTCCATCCTTCCTCACTTCACCCGCCATCTTCACCCATTCGCCCTCACGACCGCAGCCGCATGCATCCTCACTCGTAGCTATAGCAGAGCGTACCGCCACGGGGATCCAGCAGATCCTCCAGCGTCACGTTTCCAGCCAATGGCCCCATGTTCACCTCAAAGTCCAGCGTGACGTTCGTTCCGCTGTAGTCAAATGCCGCGACCGGGCCTCCGACTTGGTGCAAACGCGCCGGCAGGTCCTTCTTCTGCCACTCCCACAGGATGCGGTCGAGGTTGCAGTGATGCAGGTAAAAGAGAGGCTGTCGCACCATGTCAGCGCTTGCGTGCCCGCCGAAAGGCCGCCCGTACATCACCGGGACTGTTCGCCGCATCGCCAATGGTGCCCAGCACGCCGCCAACCCCAAAATGCCCGCTTCCATGGATGTTCGGCTGCGAGAAGCTTGGGATCCCCTCCAGAGCCCGTGCGAAGCTCGTGTAATCCGGCTGCCCCGTCACGTAGTCGACGTTGCTCTGCGCCGCGAAGCTGTTCATGACCCATGGAGCGAAGTCCCGCTTCAGGCAGCCCGGCAGCCCGACGTTGACCTGGAAAGCCGGGTAGCGGAAGGGTCCGTCGGTGACGCAGCCACCACCCGTCCGCCCCGTCAGGTTCAGCGGGTTCTGCTCCGCCGTCGCCTCCACCCAGGGACCGTTGCCGCCGAAGCCCGTCGTGGCATCGAACACTTCGGTCGTGAAGATTGCCGTGCTGTTCTCGTCGACTTCGGACGCGTCGAGGGACCAGTTCCAGTAGCTTTTGCCTTGGTCAGTCCAAGGAGTCATCGAGAGACCGTCTAGCTTACGGTTGCGCTCCCATGTATCTGCATTCTTCTCGCAATGCTCTTTCATACGTTGCGACAAAATAGCGATGCCAGAGGGCGAAGTGTCCCTGTATAGCTACCTTTAGCTTGTGCACCAAAGGGGTAAACACCATGGTCAGGCACACCACCCAGTGTATTGCCGGGGTTTGGTTTTGATGAACGGCATGATGGTCATCAAAGCGATTGACTGTGCCGTTCAGTCCGGTGGTGGCGGGCAATCGCGTAAGACAGAGGACGGCGTCGATGTACGACTTCCTCTCAAAAGAAGAGAGCTCTCTCCTGCAGCCAGCTCACGATAAGCTTCCAGCTACTAAGCAATCGGGTTGCAACTCGTACCATTCCTTCCGCACCGGCGGCCTGATACAGGGCTTGCTATCCGTGTTCGCGGGTGACCTAAACGCAGCGAGAGCCAAGCCCTCTAGTGCAGCCAAAACGACCAGGACACGCATCTCGTTGAGGATTCGGAATCGGCAGGATTTTAGAGCCACTTCGCTTCAGGCTGCGCCAAGGGAGGAAGGAACGGTGCCTGTAAGCAATGATGAGAGCGTTTCGGAAGCAGAGAAGTAAGCCGTTCTTTGTACCACGGGTAGATGGCTCAGATCCCCACCAAATCCAGCGCTACATATCTCGGATATTTTCCCGCCTCATGCAAAGGCCCCTTCGCCGTACGTGCAAGACCTGCGTCCGTTCGGCTAAAGCGATAGCCATCAGCATACAGGATGCGGCATGTCTGCGCCGCAAAAGCGCATTTCTACGCTACCTACCGATCCTGTCCGACTGTGCCTCATCGACACACATATCCCCGCGTGGAAGAGGGAGACGCGGCAGTCACTGTACCCGCTGGACAAGACATGTCGTGCCTCTCTGGGCGACAACTATAGGGTGTCCAGAGCATGGGTTTTGGGAGGATGTAACAGTGTGAATTATACCTTCCGAGGTCAGCAGCAAGTCCAGATAGATCACAACAGATCCCTGTCGTGATTCCCATTGGCGGGACACGTTCCACGGCGCACATGGGCAGCACGGATGCGATCTGCGGCACAGCAACACTGGCGCCTGGCACTGAGTCAAGACATGGAAGGTCGCGCCCATGGCTGCGGAGCTTTTGTGGGTAAACGACTTTATCCCACACGCACTCGTTCATCGGGAGCGGTGGATCCGGGCCGGAAATTGTTCTTCGACCTGGCCACCCGAGCCATTGTCTAAAATTCTGTTGCGAACCGTGTTAGCTGACGACACGTCCCCTGCAGTCCTTCATACAATTCATTGCTTGCTTTTCCAGAAGGTGATTGTGCCCACCTCGGGCCGTGTGCGCATAGTACTCTGTTAAGACATGGTCCGCAGTCGTCAAACACCAGTTTGGCAGTCGTGCTTTGACATCCACGTTGATATAGTGAGAAGATGTTGATCTTTTGCCATCGCATACAGTTTTCCAGAGACAGACAATGCCATTGACTGCTTGTGATAAGTGGAGCGGAGGGTGACGGGTGCAGTTGGGGGTGCAGGCCATATACCCTATTGACCGGGCCAAGAATCCAGGTCTCAGGTTGGTGTTGCATTCGCAGCTGGCCCCGGCAATTATGAAGTGCCTTCGGATCGAAGGCCCTGGAGGCGCAGGACAGACACGCCAAAGAGATGCGGAGCCGTTGCAGTTGCAAGCATGTGCAATGAATTCAGCCAAGAAGATGCAGGCAGCCCAAGCAAGAGTGCCCGCGCCGTACTTCAGCTGGCCGTTCCGCATGCCACGTTATTTGGAGAAGAGCAGCTGCCACTCGTCTGATGCCCAAGATGCTGGAGATTACAGCCGACAATGGATCTCGACAGCCCTTGTTCCTGGCTCTCTTGGGGCTGCTCCTCTTTTTCTCGACCATCACGGTGGCCCTCAGGTAAGACAGCTAGGTCGACTGGAACCAGTGGTGCTTGCTGTTGCCATGGTAGGGGAATAGATGCATCTGCTGACATGCACAGATTTTACTGCCGAGTCGCGTATGTCAAATACGTTGGTGCGGATGACTACTTCATAGCCGCAGCCTATCTGGTGGTTCTTGGTTTGAGTGTAGCAAACATTATACACGTCAGCTATGGCACTGGGTAACAAGGCACCACATCCACTTGAAGTGTGACGTTGACTAAGAGACAACAGGAGACGTCTCGCAGACCTGGCTCCAGACATCCTCGTTCCGACACTGAAGCATTGGTACGCTTACCAGCTGGTGTACCCGTTTGCACTGTTCTTCGTCAAAGCAAGCATTCTTGCGCTCTACTACAGGATATTCTCTCAGAAGGTGTTCAGGATGTGGGTGTGGGCCATCGCAGCGGTTGTCGCCACATACACAGTGGTGGCCGTGTTCGTGAACGCGTTCGAATGCCCACACAGGATCTCCAACGCGTGGAGCCCGACGTTTCCAAACGGCTGCAACAATATTCCAAAGGCATACTTTTCGATGGCTGGAGTGAATATTGCGACAGACTTCGCCATACTGGTGCTTCCCATCCCAGTTCTAGTGAAGCTGAATGTTCCAAAAAATCGCCGCTGTGAGTAGGGTCCCGTCCACTTCGCTGCTGGTGCTGACATTGCAGGGGCTTTGATTGGCATCTTCATGACGGGCAGTGTGGCTGTAGCGGCGTCGATAGTGCGTCTCAACGCACTGTACATATACACCGTCTCCAAGGACGTCCCTTACGATGCGATATACGTAGGTTGTACGCGTGGGAGCGGGATGAACAAGGCGGCTGACGTGGAAGCAGATCCTCCTCTGGTCCCAGGTGGAATGCAACATCGCAATCATTACGGCGTGCATCCCACCGCTCCGGCCGATTTTCAAGGGGACGTTCCGGGGCAATTCATCGGGCAGGATGGAGTCGGCGGCGGCGGAGGTATTCTCTTCGGGTCCAAGGTCCAAGCCACAAGAGCTCGTGGAGTTTGAGGTGTACGGGAGACGTCATAGCGGGCTCCAGAACACAGTCCACGGAGGGGCGGACAACGAGAGCGAAGAGCTTATCTTGTCAAGCGGGCAGTCGGGCATCCTCAAAACGATGTGCGTGGAGACGAGGTCGACATAGTGAAGGCCCAGGGCGGCGGAACGAGGCATTTCTGACCACCCTCGTGCCCACTGCATTCGGTGACGCTAGCGGATTGGGCGTAAACCGTTGACGCGACAGCGCGTCATGTGCAACGGTGAAGGCGGACACGTGTGCCGACGACGGCCGGGCTTGCCAATTGACGATGGATGCAGGGGAGCAGAGCCGCAGAGCCCGACGGCCCGCAAAGCAGTGCAAGGTTGAGGCAAGGTTGAGGTCCGGGAAGGCGTGCCGCATGCAGGCCCGGGTGTGCTGTGTAGGAAAAGAAGTGGCCGGTGCATGGGATCGCTGCTGATTTCCACGATCTCGAGATCTCGCCTGTCATGGTCGCACCAAGCCCGCACCCCGTCGTCCCGTCCCTCGCAATGCGGCATCTACGTTCTTGGCTAAGGCCCCCAGCCCCCAGCCCCCAGCCTGCAACGGAGGCCATGCCACGGTCGCAGCAACCACCAGGGCTCCGCCCCGTGATGACTCCACACCCTCCTCCCATCTGACCAAACCCACGCCAACCAATATGGTCGCCCCGGTTGAGCCCCAGTGTGAGAGCGCCAGGACGGCTCGTATTCTGCTGCGGCGCCTGCGCCTCGACGATGTCGCCGCCATGCATCAGCTCCGCCAACACCCCGAGGTCATGAAGTACACGTACGCGGTTGCGTGCTTGCCTAGTCTGCGCGCAGGGCTGACATAGCGCCACAGTCCAACAGGCCCGGCGACTGATGTTTCGCAGACTGACGACTGGGTGCGCGGGTGCCTGGCCCGCTCCAGCTGTTACAACTTCTCCATCGAGCTCCTGCCCACCGCCAAGGAACAAGCCACCCCCAGAGTCATCGGCGTGCTGGGCGCTGACCGCGCCCCGGAGATCGGTTATCTGATTCATCCCGACTTCTGGGGGATGGGGTTGGCCACCGAGGCTGTCAGGGCGTTCCTGCCCCTGTTCTGGCAAAGGTACGATGGCATCTACGACCAGGCTGTTGCCGAGATCGACCCCGACCACGAAGGAAGCCGCAGGGTCCTCCTGAAATGTGGCTTTCGCCTGTGGGAAACCAAAGAGAAGAGCTTCCAAAGCCCGACCATGGGCCTCAGAGATACCCAGGTCTACCGCCTGTTGCGGCCCATCCCATGTTCTGCCGAAAAGGCCATGTAGACCGCCAGATCGAGGCCGTACAACCCTGTGGACGACTCAGGGCATCAAAGCAGAGCGTGTCCACCTGCGCCTGGCAAGGGATCGTGACGAGGAGAAGCACATATGCGAGTATCGAGGCTTGACCGAGCGGCGGGCCTCGCCTCAGCACTTGTCCGGCTTGTTCATGCAGAAAGGGAGGTCTACTAGCTTACGCTCTTCTATCTCATTCTTTGCGTGTCGTGGTTTCAGAGGCAAATGTGACGGCCAGGGCTGTTGGACAGGTTTAGAAGCCGCCCGAAAAGGACTACTGCTGATGGCACTCGACCAATCATGGCAGCTGCGATACGCACACCAACTGATCGGGCATTCAGACTGGGGGAGGCGCAGGGCGGCGGGGGAGGCGCCACAGGCGATCGGCACGGCGTCCCCATGACCAGCACAAGGCGGACGGCTGCAGCTGACACTCTCCATCATTGGCTGCCGCAAAAGAACAGTAAGCGTCCTCGTGTGCCGAAAGCCGGGCAGACTGACCAAATTAGCAGCCTTCAGCCGCATCGCTTGCCCTGCCCAGCCTCTCGACCGGCGATATATCCAGCCCCCGGCGGCTCCACTGCGTCCCGTCCCGTCGCATGCTGCTCTACCTACCCGTGCTCGCTCTCGACTCCTAACCGGCTGCTTGCTTGCCTGTTTTCCTTCCCTGCATTGCCGTTCACATGGCCATTCGCCCCGTTTAGGCAGTAGCGCTTGTGAGCGGGCCAACCAGCGTCGCACGAGGCCCAGTCCACGTTGAGCAGAAACAGACATTCAACGAGAAACACTTGACTCACCCCCCGCGCCCCTCTCGCCCGCCAAAACCGTCGCCGCCAGAAGCTCCAGGTTGCGTCACAGGCGGCCTCTCTCGCACAGCCGCCTATATAAAACCCCCCTTGCACGTCTGCCTGCTCAGTCCTCACCACCAAACAGCAAACATGCGCTCGCCACCCATGGAAGGCTTGCAGCAGAACCCCCACGCTCCGCTCCGCCTTCTCTCCCTCGATGGAGGGGGAGTGCGCGGCCTCTCGAGCTTGATGGTCCTGGACGACCTGATGGAGAACATTGCACACCAGGAAAAACGCTTGGGGAAACGCGACCCCAAGCACACCAAGCCCCTCAAGCCCTGCGACTACTTTGACCTGATCGGCGGCACCTCAACTGGCGGCATCATCGCCGTCCTGCTCGGGAGGCTGCGGCTCGACGTCAAGCAATGCATTCACATCTACACAAAACTGGCCGAGGCCATCTTTAAGAAGGACCGCTCCGTCACCTTTCTTGGAATGAAGCTGCCGACCGGCCCTACCCGCTTCTCTGGTGCCGTCCTCGAGGCCGCCATCAAGTCCGCCCTCGTCGAGCTGGGCTACAAGGAAGACGAGCCCATGTGGGATGACTCGTTGTTTGAGGAGATCATTGAGCCATTCGATCTACACGGTGAGAGCATCTGGGCCGACCAGCCTACCCCGCCACGGTTCACCGAATCGCCCGAGGAGAGCTTCAGCATTCCGAAAGAGATGGAGGAATCGCACACAACCCTGTGGCAAAGCTACAGCAGCAAAATTTCCAGGGACCTGGACGCCCTTTCAATCCAATCAAAGGATGGTGTGACGAGGAGAAACACTTTCCGCGTGCACCCCAAAGGCTCTGTTCACCGCAGGCCAAACCGGAAAGGATGCCGCACCTTCGTCGTCACCACCCTCAAGAACGCCCTCGGCCTGCCGCGCATCATCTCCTCCTACGACCCGAATGACCGGCAAACGAAGATTTGGGAAGCGCTGCGTGCCACCTCCGCAGCGCCAACCTTCTTCGAGGAGATGACGTTCGGCACGCCGCGCATGTCCTACCTCGACGGTGGCGTAGGCTTCAACAACCCGTGTGCCGAGGTCGACTACGCCGCCAAGTCCATCTGGGAAGGACGGCCCATCGGTGTCATCGTGTCCATCGGTACCGGACTCCAGACCATCCCCTCGGTAAAGAAGATAGCCAGCTGGCTCCCGTTTGGCTTGGGCACCGACATCGCGCTGGCCTCCGCGCTGGCCTCGATGGCAACGGGCACGGCGCGCGTCGCCAACGAAATGCAGCGCATGTACTACGGCTCGCCGACTCGTTATACCCGCTTCGACGTCGAGAGCGGACTGGCCGATGTGTCGCTCGAGCAGTGGATGAAGGAGGACGAGATGGCAGCGCTGACGGAGCAGTACATGCGCGACCCGTCCCAACTCCTGCGAGCGCGCAAGCTCAGCGAACTCATGGTCAAACTATCAGCACTGCCGCCAAAGTTCGAGATCGGCGCGCTCGCCTTCCGTTGCGGCATCGCGGGCAGGGGGCTTGTCGATGGTGAGTTCGTGTCCGAGGAGCTCGACTTCAAGACGGGCTTCCCGCTCGGCGTCAGGCCCACCCTCAGTGACCACCAGCGCCTCGCCGAGAACCGCGATGCTAGCCCCTCGGGCAAGGCCGGCCTCGCCGTCGACCCACGCAGTGGACGGTCTCAGAAGATCCTGCCCGTGGCCGTTGACCTGGATGGCGATGGCCGCCGTGAGGAGAGCGCGGTGCTGACATGCCGGCACGCGGAGAACGTGTGCCTGCGTGCACTACGCACCGGCATTCCGCCCGGCAAGTACCGTGTCAAATTCATTGTCTGCTTCTTCGACCCCGTAAAGAGCATATTCGCCGGCGCCAACCCGGCGGCCGGAGAGAGTTCTGCCAGCGGCGGCGAGCACATGGACGTGGCGGCAGACAACATCCGCCCTCCGACCGAGCTCGTCTTCTCGGTCGGCAAGCCGTTCGACACCAAGACCTTCGGCAGCCGTTACGTCGATGTCAAGATCACGCCCGATATCGTGCCCGTGCTGCTGCATCCAGATGCCGTTCGCGTCCGCGTCGGCCGCACGCGCTACGCGGACAGGAAAGGCCGGGGCTGGATTGAGGTCACGGGCGACGTCGAGGTCGAGGTGGGCTTGGACGGCGCCCTGGGCCTGATGGTGACGAAGAAGTTTGAAGAGGGCGTCCATGTGGGCGGGTGGAGCTTCGGCGGCGTACGGCTGGAGCCTGTTTTCGACGAGTGAGGGAATGCTGGGTTTCTGCGCATCTTCATTTGCTACTACTAATTTTGCTTTATTATTCTCTTCCTTGGCCCATGTTTTTCCGCGTTCATAGAGGAAGACCTCTTATTGTTTGTCTCCTTCTCCCCCTCATATCATGTTCTTATGACTTTAGCATTGGGCTCCTGCATCTGATATTTCTTTTTTGATACCAGTTTCAACTATCACGGCTTCACGATCTAATTTGGGGGGTTTACTGCATGGAGGTCTCTGTTTTCCTCCTGTTTTTTTTTTCTTGTTTTCTTTCTCTGTTTATCAGCGCCCTTCACTGCCGAGCTCGGAGTCTCGGAGCAATTGGCATATGTGCGTATGTGGACAACTGGCATCTTGTTTTCCCTTGGCTGATCGTTTCGGAAAGAAAAGAAAAGGGGCCCCAATAATCCGTTCGTAGCAACAACACATAGACAAGAAAGTGATGAAGCATAGCCGCTCTATTGTCAAAGATATGGTCCGCACATAATAATCACAAGGCAGAAGGATGTTGGAAGAGAAATCCAAGTGGCGTAGAAAAACGCGGGGATCACAGGCCATGTTAGCACAGTCAAAGCGGTTAACACAGCCTGCATAGGGCAAGATGCTTTGTCGGGCGGCTGCAAGATGCTTTGTCGGGCGGCTGATGCGGCCGATGCGAAAAAAAAAAAAAAAAAAGGAAAGCGGCTGCTTGGAAAGAGACAGCCCCGGATAAAAGAACGTGGGGACGTGGAGCGGATCAGCAGCTGGCCGACGGATGCTGTGGGAGTAGGTAGGGGATGATGATGGGCTGACAGCAGTGGCAGCGCCATGTGACAGCGGTCAAGCTACCAGACCGGTCTGCCACAAGCGTGCCGGGCTGACATTGTGCGGCTCCGGGCAGCTGTCCGGCATGCTTATTCGAGCTGCGAGACAGAGCAGGACCATGCAGCAGCCGCGTCCAGCCGCAGGGGCGAGGGGGGGGGGGCAGGATCCGGAGCTGTCTGGCGAGCTGGCAAGGAGCTGCTGAATGCGTGGGGATGAGATAGCGCCGAGCACGGAGCTTCCTAGATGGTAGGCCGCGCACCCGCTGCTTTGTCGCAGCCCCCAGGCGCTGCAAGCGGCGGTGCAGCGGCCGGCCGCGACATTGCTTCCCCGGAGCTTGGACGCCAGCCCCACCCGGCGGACCTCCGTGCGTGCCGCTCAGGCCTCACTACCTATCCAACCCACGACCGCTAATCCGCTAAGTACAGGTTGTAGCGGCCATGTCGTCTACGACTGTACTTAGGGGAAATTCAACACCAGCGCGAAAATTCAGTCCTTCCGATTTACGTAAAGCCGAACAGATACGATGGCCATCCAGCCCGCCCAGCAAAGGGGCATAAATAGCCTCCCGCTCGTCGCACGCCCACTTCCTCGCTCCAAACCCGCTCGCGGCATTCCAGCGTAGACCCCGCCCCAGAGACCCTCTTCCAGCCCTCCGGCCTCAGTTCCAGCTGCTGCACGCCTCTTCTCTGCTCCTCCTCCTCCTCCCCCCTTCCCGCCTTCACAATGACCCACGCACCCACCCTGCAGCCCAAGTTCCTGCCCACGCGCGACGACCTGGGCGTCGTTGCCGTTGGTTTCTCCGGCGGCCAGGTACGTAGCAGTAGTAGAGGCGCAAAAAGGCCCCGTCGCACATGGCTAACGCCGTCTCTCTCGCGCGCGCACACAGAGGAAAGCCGGCGTCGATGCCGCGCCCATGGCCCTGGTCGAGGCCGGCCTGCTCGACCAGCTGAGCGAGGACCTCGAGTTCAAGATCAGCTACGACGGCGCGGTGCACACGTACGCCGACGTGCTGCCCAAGGAGGACCCCGACCACCGCGGCATGAAGTGCCCGCGCACCGTCAGCGCCGTCACCCGCAAGCTGAGCGGCCAGGTCTACGAGCACGCGCGCAAGGGCCGCTGCGTGCTGACGCTGGGCGGCGACCACTCCATCGCCATCGGCTCCATCTCCGGCACCGCAAAGGCCGTCCGCGAGCGCCTGGGCCGCGAGATCGCCGTCATCTGGGTCGACGCCCACGCCGACATCAACACGCCCGAGTCGTCCGACAGCGGCAACATCCACGGCATGCCCGTCGCCTTCCTGACCGGCCTGGCCAAGGAGGACAGCGAGGACATGTTCGGCTGGATCAAGGAGGACCAGATGATCAGCCCGAAGAAGCTCGTCTACATCGGCCTGCGCGACGTCGACAAGGGCGAGAAGAAGATCCTGCGGGAGAACGGCATCAAGGCCTTCTCCATGCACGACATTGACAGGTAAGCAAGCACAGGCTGGCCCGCTCGCTCGCTCGCTCGCTACCGAATGTGGCCGACGACGGTTTTACTTACTACATTTGTTCCCGCTTAGGCACGGCATTGGCAAGGTCATGGACATGGCCCTCGGCTGGATTGGCAGCGACACCCCCATCCACCTGTCCTTCGACGTCGACAGCCTCGACCCCCAGTTCGCCCCCAGCACGGGCACCCCCGTGCGCGGCGGCCTGACGCTGCGCGAGGGCGACTACATTGCTGAGTGCGTTGCCGAGACGGGCAGCCTCATCGCCCTCGACCTGGTCGAGGTCAACCCCAGCCTAGAGGCTCAGGTACGTCAGAACACGAATCACATGCGTCCTAGTAAGCAAAGCTAACGGGATCTTCAGGGAGCGTCCGAGACGGTTCGTGCAGGGTGCTCGATCGTGCGCTGTGCGCTGGGTGACACGCTGCTGTAAGCACTGACGGCCCTCTTTTTCTTGTAACCTCCAAATTCCTTTTGTCCTCGGAAGTGGTCGGGTGTCGTGATTCCTACGAGACAGGAGCCTTCGTGTAGACGGTTATACCCGGTTGTTGAGTCATTTTCAGAGCGGGATCTTCATCTTCATCATCTTCATCATGGATAGACAAAGTAATGCCTACAGAACATTCTAAAATGCATCTTATCGCGCCGACATCGATTTGTCTCGGCTCCCCTCCTTCAGCACAGCGCGCTCAACGTTTCGTTCATTGATGCTCTTTCCGCTCCCCCCCCCCCCCCAACAGGCCGTGTCAGAAGCATAGCCCGCAGCGCCATACCCCTTGAGGAACCGATGTCGGGTTCGAGATTTGTTGGATTAGTCGAGGAGGCCAATTTTCCGGCGTGGCCAGGCTGAGATTACTGCGTCGCCGGTGGAGATGGACAGGCGGGCCCTCTTGCGTGCAATGCTTGCTCCGAACTTCGCCGGGTGGACGGCGAGACCGAGAAATAAAAATGGACGGCCAGCCGGATGTGTCGCTGGCAGGATACCGCAGAGCCTTGCTGGTGCTCACTCTCACACACACTCTCTCTCTTCCGTCAACACCCGGTGTCTGACTGACGGCGCTTGTGTGTCTCTGTTCCCGCGGCTCTTCAGCCCCCTCCGTGTTCCGGCCGGCGTCTAGAATCCTTCCCTTGTCCGCGATAAGGCTGGGTTGCGACTGACTCGCGCAACGATCCCTCCAACCTAGCCCCAGGCGCCCTACGTCATCTTTACTTCGCGCCGAAGTAAGAGCTACGTGCTCGAGCAGCAGCTGGTAGAAGGAGCTGTCCGCTGCTCCGGCCGCGCCTCTGGTTTCTTTAAATCTTCTCTCGGGCGCTGCTTCGGGCTTGCGGTTGGTTATCGTGGCACTCCCGTCACAATGTCAATGGCACTGCAGCGTCGAGGGCGCTTGGGCATGCTGCCCGCCGCCCATCTGCTTAACTCCGTGTCTCGTCCGACTTCCGCAACCCCGAGTACTATGCTTTCGAGCGCGCTGCAGAGGAGACTTCTGTCGGTGAAGCAGCTTGATTCCGAGCGAGACAGTACGTGCCGAGTCAGCCTCTGTTTGGAACATTGCATGGCGCTGACCAGATTTCAATAGACAGAGAACGTGTGCTGATCCTTGGTTCCGGTATGTCGGCTGGCTTTCCTTCGCTTATGGAACCTTCATCCTCTCCCCCTTGCAGCTCCGTTGTACTCGGTTCTCGGATTTCTCCGTGCAAGTGCCGGCTGGGCCCCTAGCAACTCAAGCACTGGCTGCAAGTAGAATAGTCGAGCAGAGGCTCACAAAATGAACAGGGTGGGCCGGTTACAACCTCGCGCGCCAGCTGGACCCAAAAAAGTACCAGCCGGTAGTCGTATCGCCTCGCTCCTACTTCGTCTTCACGCCCCTCCTTGCATCCACCTCCACCGGCACGCTCGAGTTCCGCACCGCGCTTGAACCCGTCCGCAGCAAGCGCACACGTGTCACATACTTCCAGGGATGGGCCGATTCGGTCGATTTCAAGAACAAGACTGTGGCCGTAGAGGAAGCCGTCGAAGATCCGCACCAAGGCCTTGCACTTACGGGGGACCGCCACGAGGGCGAGTCGCCCGCCGAGCGCAGGGCAGAAAAGGCCAGGGAGTCGAAGAAAGGACAGCTCTTCGACATCAGTTACGATAAGCTCGTCATTTCCGTGGGGTGCTACAGTCAGACGTTTGGCACTCCAGGAGTCAGGGAGAACGCCCTGTTCCTGAAGGATGTTGGTGATGCGAGAAAAATCCGAAATCGCCTGCTTGCTTGTGAGTAGCGTGGCCCTGAATGGTCTCAAACAAGATTGCTGAATGTGTTCCAGGCTTTGAAACGGCTGCGCTGCCCACCACATCCGAGGAAATGCGTAAGAACCTCCTCAACTTTGCCATCGTTGGAGGTGGTCCTACTGGTATCGAGTTCTCCGCCGAATTGCATGACATAATCCGAGAGGACCTTTCCAAGCTCTACCCCGACCTCATGAAGTACTACAAGATCACTGTTTACGATGTTGCGCCAAGGGTCTTGTCCATGTTCGATGAGAACCTCGGCAAGTATGCGATGAAGACTTTCAAGCGCGAGGGCATTGACATCAAGACCTCTCACCATGTGGAGGAGCTACGTCGGGGAGTACCGACCTCCCAGTCACAGTTGCCTGGCGTTAAGGAGCCAAGGACTTGCTGGACGCTGAAGCTGAAAGAGGAAGGCGAAGTGGGCGTCGGTATGGTGGTGTGGAGCACGGGGCTGATGATGAATCCCTTCGTCGAGAATGCTCTCGGACAGGCGCAGCCATTGCCGGAACGGGAATTCCAACTTCAAGGGAAGGACGGCCGCACATCGAGCGACACGTGGCTGGTGAAGAAGAATCCCAAGACTGGAGCTGTCATCACCAACGACCAGTTGCGAGTCGTCCTCGAACCACAGGGCCAGGGAGAGGATGGCAAGTCTCGGGCGGTCCTGGAAGACGTGTACGCCCTGGGTGATTGTGGAAATATTGAAAACACCACGTACCCCGCGACTGCACAGGTTGCAAATCAGAAGGCCGTATGGCTCGCCAAGAGACTCAATCGTGGCGATATCGAAGGCCAAGGCTTTACGTGGAAGAACATGGGCGTCATGGCTTATATTGGCAACTGGAGAGCTGTTATGCAGACTGGCGGTGGCGGAAACATCTCTGGCCGTGCTGCCTGGCTGATTTGGCGTGGGGCATACCTCACCAAGGCCGTCAGCTGGCGCAACAAGGTCCTCATTCCCGTGTACTGGTAAGTGGACTGTGACCTCTCAGTGTTTTAGGATCCGTGCTGACGTGTCTGGAGGTTCATCAACTGGGTGTTTGGCAGGGACGTGTCTCGGTTTTAGCAATTACAGTCGGGTCCTCGGTGAGAATAGGTAACCCGGCGTGTACGATGTTGAGGCGTTAGCATGGCCGTGCTTCCGCAGGGAGGTTGGACGGGCGTTACAGAGCGTTTAGGTCAGGCATACTTCCAGTACACGGATTTGCAAAACCGTGTAATAATGTATAGAACGGATATACCAACAGCATGCATGCTTTGCCGAGTCTCTGCTGCAGCGTCCGCATGGAATCAGCCACAAGTACAGGCCGCCGCCTATCGCACAGCTGCCCGCAGGGCCAGCCGCGCATGCTGCGACACGATAATGGAGCGTATGGGTACCTTGCTCGATTCGGCAACGGGATGGGGTGTCGCGTGTGGTGTGGGCCGGCTCGGGGACGCCTCTGGCTGTCGTGGCGGCTCCTTTTTCCGCGGTCGGCGATGGCGGGGAGAGACGGACGGTCGTCGGCCAGGCGCGAGCGAGGTGGAAGGGCTGGAGGGCTGAAGGGCTGAAGGGCTGAAGAGCAGCAGGCGTCAGCTCGCCATGGCCGGCCCCTCGTTCCTTCCATTCGCGGCACGCCAACACACCTCCCTCCAACGTCCATCCCTGGCATTGGCTGGTCTCTTGTAGCACAAACGTGTCCGCCTGGCCGGCAGCCAGCCAGCCCCAAGCCCCAAGCCCACGCTCGCTCCTTCGGAGGGGTCGTTTGCAGTGCGCGGAGTATGCACGCCATTGCCTGCGCCGGCCGTCTTCCCTCTTGCCCCAAGCAGCGCGTCGGATGTGCTGCACGTTCTCTTTTCCGGCTAGCTGCAGCAGACGTGCCACGGCCGAGACGTCAGTGACAGGATTCCATTGAGCGGCCGCCGCCCAAGACAAACAATCGCATTGCGAGGAGCTGGTTGTCGACACGTCCTATCGAGTAGGCTGCCCCTCGCCGCCATGGTACGCTTGCTCATCAGATGATTGCGCGCTCTGCTCCCAGAAGCCCGTCCCCACGTGGATCCTGCTAACGGTTTTCGTTTTCGTGCGCTGCTGCGCAGGCCGACGACGCGGTCGGACCTGGCCCAGCACCGCCGGTGGAGCGCAGCAATTTCGAGCCAGAGATTGTTGGTGGTGATGCGTCGTCGAGCAGGGCCTCAGCAGCGACAAGAGCCTCTCAGCAGCCGCTGCCGGACGAGAGGCCCGTCTCTTTCGTCCGCGGTCATCAGCGCAGCGCTGCAAAGCCGCCGGCAGTTGCGAATGACGATCGGCGGCCAGAGGACGTTGAGGAGGCACGAGCGACGCGAGTCAGGAGAGCCAGCGCACGCAAGACCGCATCTGGCACGCGCACCTCATCTTCAGCCCGCCAGGCGTCGCTCACCTCGTCTCGTGCTTTGGCAGATCTGGAGCCAGCGCCACCGGCGTCCCGCACAACTCCCTCTTCGTCGTCTGCCCGCAGCAGCTGCGCCCGTCTGGGCTTTTCTGCCGCCTCGTCCACGCCCGCCGCGGAAGCAAACCGCGCCGGCAGTGGCCGACGAGCGGTCGACGGACGCTACCTCAAGTCTACCACTGCAGCCCAACACCGGGGCCGCGCCGGTTCTCAAGCCTCTCACCGGTCAGGGTCTGGCGTTGACTTCGGGTCATCAAGCCCTCAAGCGCGTCGATCCCTAAGACATAAACACAGCTCCTTGCTTCGCGGTGCGGATGCCCTCTCGCAGCTCTCTAGCCCTTCGCTGCACTCTGTCTTCTCCAGCTTGACACACTCGTCCAGCGGTAGCAATTCCACCGTCACGCAGAAATCATATGACAGGTCTCAGGGCATCAGGAAGCGCAAGCATTCTCCGAAACACCACAGCGACCACCGCCACAGAGGTGGCTCCTTCAAGCGCTCGGAGAGCCGAGGCTCCGCAAAGTTAGGCGAACGCTCTCATCAGCGGAGACGTCGATCGAGTCAGCCGCCCGCTGCTGCTCGCAGGTCCACGGAGCCGGGTCCGTCGATATTGCCCTGCGCCGAGGCCTCTTTGGGAGGAGATTGCTGCCCCGCTACCGATCCCCGGAAGCCATTCGCCAGTGATCGTGATCGCGTGAATTCGGACTCCGGCATTTCCATGCGGGACAGTAGCCCCGAGGGCACGGGGAGAGGAGATTGTTCGAACGGCATATCGGTCGGGATGCCGTGGGACCCGCACGACGATGACTACGATGAAGGGTATAGGCAGAGGCAATTAGAAATCGACACAATCTACCAGGAGTTGCAAGCACAGAGCCCCCAGACGAGCGAGGGCGGAAGTGACGACCGCGTGCTGCAGAAGCTGGAGGCGCAGAATGAGCAACGGCGGCGACACATATTGCGGAGCCCAGCGCACCGCCAGGGGCGGGACGAACCGCGTTATTCCCACAATGACGACGCCGACTCGCCTCGTGGTCCAACGGCTTTCCCCTATTATTACTACCACAACAACTCATCACAGCCACAGCCCGGGCCGTATTGGGGCCATTCGGATCCACCTCCTCCGCCCGTACCTCACGTGCCGGTCCATGATCCGGACTATCATGCATACGGGAACTTCCAGCCGCCATCCCCACATGGCAGTGGTAACGGGCAGCTACAAGCCGGCCTACCAGACCTGACCGAGACACCAATTACGGGGCACGAAAGGCTTGCTTTCGCGCTCGCCGAGACGAGCACACGACACGACCATGAAGACGGCGAAGCGATCAGGCGCCACGGCCCAAGGCCCTTGTACCGTCGGTTCGAGTATCTGAACCATCGAGTACTTCTCCACTGGCAGGACGCCTTGTCCGAGCTCGAAGAAGAGCTCCGTGTATTAGACGAGTGTATTGCCCAGCAGCAGACCCATGCTGGAGACGAAGTGGGCAAAGCTCTGCCTGCCTCGCGACGTTACAGTAATCAATATGGGGCCGATCTGCACCAGAGACGCACGATAGTGTTGGGGGAGATTTATTGCAAGATGGGCCAGTATTGTAGGGCGCCCCTATAAGACGGACGACTGTATATACACCTTGCTAACTTTAGTAACAGACAACACAATGGCCTCATTCGAAAAGATGTCGAGCGTCTCCGAGCCCGCTAGAGCAGATGATGTTTCGGCGTACGAGTCGTGGATCCGCGAGCACGCACCAATTGACGAGGACGAGACGCGTTTTCTCACGCGTCGAACCGATCTAATGAGCCTCCATCGACGTCACAAGCGGCAAGAGCGGCCGCATGAACTGAGCCTCTCAGGCGACCAAGTGCTCCAAACGGCGCTGCTGGCGCTGCTGGTCTTTTTAGTGCTGCCCCTAATTGCGTTTCCCCAGATTCCTAGCGTTGGCGGGCGGCTGTTCGTTCTGACCGTCATCGGCGCGGCCGAGGTAGCCATGGTCTCGTCAACGAGGTTTTCGAGTCTGATGTCCGGAAAGGAATGGAGGTTTTGTGGCATCGCGTACGTCGTAGCAAGAAGAACAACGGGCGGCCACGCGGGCAGCTAACGATTGCGTGCAGGTACTTTGCTCTTATGGCAGTGATCGCAGTCGTTGTTTGAGGTTGGTCGATCGCTGACCGGAGCGCTAACGGCAAGCGAGGCAATATACTCGTATCTGCGCCATGGACTTCGTCAACGAAGAGAGGGTGGGCGTGCCCGGCGCGGGCGGGGTTGACTGCCCTTTGAGCGTCGGTGCTACGCCGCATTTGCCGCGTCGGGTTATTGATTGGTCCCTGCTGTTGCTTGTTACGGACTGGACGTGGTCGGCATGGGCCGAAAGAGCGAGCTGATGGAGAGGCGTTTCAGGGTTACTTTTTTGGGAGATACCCATGGAGCGTTTCGCCACATATTTGCGGGGGTGCGGCTGGCGTTACATGGGGCTTCATGGTATTGTAGACTGTTGGTAAACTAGCTGGCGCGTGTGTGCGTAAGAGAATTGCCATGTGCGACTGATGGTGTGTCGCGGCCTGCGGGCAGCGAAGCACGCGTGGCCGGGCCCCGGCCATGGCGCGGCTTCGCTTGTCTGGCTCTGCTGCTCTTTATGCTGCGCCGGGCGCCCAATGCGGACGAGATTGGCATTGGCTCTGGCAGAGGCACCGGCCGGACTGGAGCGTGCTCGAGCAAGATGCGTGATGCTGCGATGCAAGGGCACGATGCGCTGCGCTGCGCTGCGCTGCGGCGTGTGGGTGAGCGCCGGGTGCCAGCCATGTGCGCGCGGGCAGGCTGCGCCGGGTCGACGGCCTGGTGGTGAGCAAACCCTCGAGCGACGCGAAAAAGACTAAGCTGCCAGCGTCATTGGGTGTGCGCGTTGCTCGAACCGTGCCTGCCTGGTCCCTGAAAAGAGGGCAACCACACCACCGCGGCGCCGGGCCCGCCTAGCGGACCAGGCGCAGCCCGCTTCTTATCTTTTGGCGCCATGTCGATATCAATAATTTTAAATGCGCCTATCGAGAGCGAGCAAGAGGCAGATCAATGCTACGAGCACTGAGCGCCGAGACGGGCGACCGTCCGCCTGCGTGCGCAGGCGGTTCCTGCAGCATTGGCGCTGGGGAGGCGAGCGGGAGGCGAGCGGCAGTCGCTGGGCCGGCGTGAGGAATCGGCCGACGACTTGAGATTTGATTGATGTTTGAGGTCGCGAGCGAGCGACTGGGCGACGATCCTGCGCGGCGCCATTTTGGGCGTGATGGCCTGCATTACGGGGGCGCGCCAGCCAGAGGGCAGGCGTTTGTGCGGAGCCTGGCGCGCTTCTCCATGCCCACTGACTCGCCCACGCGCGAGCCGGCTGCCTAGGGCTGTGGCTGACGCCGCGTGCACGCTCGCGCAGGCAGCGGCTGTGGTTGTGAGAGCGAGTGCGAGCGAGCGTGAGAGCGGCGCGGCTTGCTGCCGGCGCGCTGCAGGCCGGGGCGGGCGCGTGTCCTCTGCACCGGCTGGGTGTGGGCCTGGCCCCTCACGGCTTAGCATGGCGGCTTTAATGTTTGTGGAGCGAGCGGCCTGAATGGCATGCAGCGCGGAGCTGGCTACCAGGGCTGGCCGAGCGGCGCGGCCCATTTTTGTGCGCTTCAGGGGATCCAGGGGCACGCAGCGCGCAGGCGAAAGCGGATGCCGCAATTTGCCCAAGCGCAGCGTCCGTGGGCAGCGCTCAAGCAAACCTAATGCTCCCAAGCTGGCGATCGCATTGCCCGAGCTGCGTCAAGCTCTCGTCGAGCCCCTCTCCCGAGCGCGCCCTCAAACCGTCGTGGTGCCGCTGCGCTGAAACAACAGCCCTCCCTCCCTTGACCGTCGCCGCTGCGCCAGGGCCGATCTCCTCCACCACCACCACGCCGCTCTCCAGCGCCTTGTCGTTCCCTCGCCCTCCTTGCCTCCGCCCTCGCCTCTCCTCCCCCGACGCACCATCCGCATCACGCTGCCCGCCGCGTGCACCACCCTCCACCACACACCGGTGCTCGGATCCTGGAGCGTGCTAATCTCCCTCGCGCGCGCCCTCCAGCGACTTGATTTGCGGCAGCCAGAGCCAGCCCACGACCACGCCTTCAAATCCAACACTTTCGTTTCAGCCGCCCGCAAACGCATTCTTGTGCGAGCTTGAAATCTCTCGCCCTGCGCGCTATCGCCAGCGCCCGCGCGACGACACACCACCACCCACCGCCGTGCGGAGCGCCCAAGCCTGCAATCCTCCGGTAGTGCCTCAAGCCCACCAGCTCGAGCGCGATTGACCGCTGCCTACGCCTCGCCGAGCCCCCAGCGGCCGCGATACCGCTCCTCGCCGCGACCCGCTCCTGTTGTCGCCGATCCCGCGCGAGCGACAAAGAGAGAGCTCGACGCCCGGCGTACATGAACTGACCGGCGCCGGTCAAGGTAAGAGAAAACAAAGCGTTCTTGGATCCTGCGACGGGGAGGGGGGATCAAGCAAGCAGAAGGCTGCAATAGCTCCCGTTGCACCGGTACCTTAGGTGTACCACCAGCCCGAGTACTTCCTTTGTCTCCGCCGCGCTCGCTATTTCGTGGAACTAAGTGGTCCCTGACGCACCCGCGACAGGAGCCTCCCCAGGATACCGATCGATCTCCGCAGCAGTGCCGCCGCCGCCCCCTTTGCAGAAAAAAAAGGGACCCTTTGCCCTTCGCGACCCTGCGCAAGTTCTCTCCGCAGTGCGCGTCGGCAGCCACACTCCTTCTTCGCTAGGTGTTTGCGCGCAGGATAGACATGTCGATTGCGATGCTCCAAGCTCCCTCGAGAGCCTCGACTTCCTCGTCCTCTTCATACGTCCCAGTCTCCCGTCAGAACACCATGTCGTCCCACGATGGCACGCGCTCCATGCGCCAGTCGAAACGGTACTCCGTGACCGCCCTCTACCTGTCCATGTCCGCGAAGGAGAAGGATTTGGAAATTGAAGACGATCTTGCAAGAGGTAAGCCAATTGCGTTGACATTGCTCGATTTTCAGCTTTGAGTGGATGCCTCGTTCAACTGCTGACACGCGGTGCAGCCCAGAAAGCATTGCGGGAACTCAAGTCAAGGATATCTTCGCAATCGAAGAAGAACTTCGTTCTCGAAAAGGACGTGAGGTATCTAGACTCTCGTATTGCGTTGTTGATTCAAAACCGCATGGCTCTGGAGGAGGTAAGCTAGCTCGCCGTCTCAGCCATAACGGGAGATCGGACGCTGACGGCTAGAACAGCAAAACGAAGTTGCTAGCCACCTCGACGATTCGACCGAGTTGCAGGAGGGTTTCTTTCCGAACGATGAGAAGACCCAAAAGTACGGAAATCTGTTGTTTCTCCTCCAGTCCGAGCCTCGCCACATCGCACATCTGTGTAGACTCGTTTCCATGGCCGAAATCGATTCGCTTCTCCAGACGGTTATGTTCACGATCTATGGAAACCAGTACGAAAGCAGAGAAGAGCATCTTCTGCTCACTATGTTCCAGGTACGCTGGAAGGGCCTAGTTTGATTGATATGACTCGCTGATTCCCGTTTAGTCCGTCCTTACCCACCAGTTTGAACATACCCAAGATTACTCGTCCCTCCTGCGAGCGAACACCCCGGTTTCCAGAATGATGACCACGTACACTCGGAGAGGTCCCGGTCAAAGCTACCTCAAAGTTGTCCTCGCAGAGCGCATCAACTCCCTCATTGAGTTGAGAGATCTTGATCTGGAGATCAACCCTCTCAAGGTTTATGAAAAGATGATCCAAGAAATCGAGGACAGCGAGGGCAACCTTCCTGCGCATCTCCCCCGGGGTGTCACGGCAGAGCAGGCGGCGGAGAATGAGACCGTTCAGCAAATCATTGCACCCCGGTTGACCATGTTGATGGAAATTGCCAACTCATTCCTTACCACAATCATTGAAGGGCTCGACGAGACTCCCTACGGAATCCGGTGGATTTGCAAGCAGATTCGCAGTCTGTCAAAACGAAAGTACCCGGATGCTTCAGACCACACGATTTGCACACTGATCGGCGGCTTCTTTTTCCTCCGTTTCATCAACCCGGCCATTGTTACTCCGAGGTCCTACATGTTGATCGACGCCACGCCGGCAGAAAACCCGAAGCGCACGCTTACGTATATTGCAAAGATGCTCCAGAATCTGGCCAACAAGCCTTCCTACGCCAAGGAGCCGTACATGGTCAAACTGGCACCGTTTCTTCAGCAGAACAAGGAGCGTATCAACAAGTTCATGCTGGATCTTTGTGAAGTTCAGGATTTCTACGAGAGCTTGGAAATGGATAACTACGTGGCGCTGTCAAAGAAAGATCTCGAGTTGTCTATTACTTTGAACGAAGTCTACGCAACGCACTCTCTGCTTGAGCGTCACGCTATAGAGCTAGTAAGTGGGACCGAATTGGTACCGTTGCCGATTTTGCTAACTTGATGCAGACCAAAGACGAGAATTCCCACCTGGCGGTCTTGCTACAGGAACTTGGAGCAGCACCAGCTCAGCTTCCTAGAAAAGAAAACAGAGCCATCAACCTGCCGCTGTTTAGCAAGTGGGAGACACCCATCGATGATCTCACGGCTGCTCTCGATATCACCCAAGATGAGGTCTATTTCATGGAAGCCAAGTCTACTTTCGTGATGATCCTGCGGTCCCTTCCTCAGAACACTTCCATCACCCGCAGGCCACTTCGTCTAGACCGGATAGCAGAAGCCGCAGCAACAACGAAGAATGACTCAGTCATGGTCAAGAAGGGAATCCGTGCCATGGAGCTGCTCAACCAGTTACAAGAGACTGGTGTTATCGACAAAGAGGATGGATTCGCGCTTCTGCGTGACGAGATCGAACAGGAATTGGTGCATCTTGGCTCGCTGAAGGACAAGGTGTTGGAGGAGACACGGAAGTTGGAAGAAGTCTTCAAGACAATCCGCGACCACAACGCGTACTTGGTGGGCCAACTGGAGACATACAAGTCTTACTTGCACAATGTTCGAAGCCAGTCCGAGGGCAAGTCGCGGAAGCAGCAGAAGCATCAGGTGCTTGGCCCGTACAAATTCACACACCAGCAGTTGGAGAAGGAGGGGGTCATTCAAAAGAGCAACGTTCCGGAAAACAGAAGGGCCAACATTTATTTCAACTTCACCAGCCCGCTGCCTGGTACCTTCGTCATTTCCCTGCACTACAAGGGTAAGTTGCATTCCGGAACTGGGACCAAGGACACGACAGATGCTGACTGGAACCCGCAGGGCGCAACCGAGGTCTGCTGGAACTCGACCTCAAGCTTGACGATCTTTTGGAGATGCAGAAGGACAACCAAGAAGACCTCGATCTGGAGTACGTGCAGTTCAACGTTACAAAGGTGCTGACGCTGCTCAACAAGCGCTTCGCGCGGAAGAACAAGGGCTGGTAAAGGTGCTAGCGAACGGGGTGAAGAACACGCCCGTATGTTTGATGTTTGACTCTAAAAAGCCCGAGTTCACGATTTCGGCCTGCTCGGGCGATATCCCTTTTGATGTTTCGCTTTTCTTTCTTAGGGACTTTCAACGGTTTGGATATGTCGGGATACCCAGAGGTGCTTGCGTTGCGTGGCTTGTATGATGCGAGGAACGAGGGGAGAATGCAAGGGAGCGATGAACTACTGGAACTCGGATCTGTCTGGAGAGGAAATACCACTGTGGCTGAGAGCGGGGGGGCCTTTTCTTGGAGCCTGCTGTCAACCATACACACCGTCCGTCACTTCTTTCGCGATCGGGCTACTCTTGGCTTCTTGCTGTCTTGTTGGCCTTGCCGGGGCGTTCTCCATGCACGTTTTCTCGTGGGCGTTCTGGCTACTTTTCTCTTCCATCGAATTTCTTTCCCTTCCTAGTAATGAGCACTCGTACCGGGGGAGACCGTGAAGTTTTCAACGCTCTGTATCTTTTTTCGTCGCCGACTTTGCGAGCGGAGGGGACAAGCAAGGACGCCAGCACGGCAGGTCCGGCAGAGCGAGCTTTGACGAAGTCTATGGGATGAATGGGCGTGGACGGGAGGAGCGGTGGCGGGTGGCTCTTCCTTCTGCTTCTTTGACGCTCTTTCTGGTTTGCTGAGAAAGGAGGGCGCAGCCTTTGTTTGGACGATATCATGTACGATAATCCCATGTATTGCCGAGTTCGTAATGGAAGCCTTGTCGGATGCACAACAGGCACGTCATGCGCGCGGTCGGGAGCTGGCGGACAGCGGCGGGCAGCTGCAGGCATCCGCCGCGGGCGCCGCTGGGGCACCGGGGCGCTGGCGCCTGCAGGACGTGGGCCTTTGCGGCGACTATCAAGAGCATGCACGGCGGATCTGCAATCAACATGCTCGAGGGTCACCTGCGCGGGATGCATTGCGTGCCGTGGGCCTGAGTCACGCCTCCCGCTGCACCACCCGCCGCCGAGCTAGCTCCCAGCTTCCCCGACCACCGGAGACGTACAACTCACCCTCCCAACACCCACCAGTCTGCTCTCGCCGCCCGCTCCAAACCACGCCTTCCGCCCCCGTTTCCCACCTTCCGGCTTTGCTTTTTCGCGGCGTTCCCGGCTCCACATCGTTCCAGTCCTTACCAGCACCAAGCTCCTCCCCGCCTCTATCTGGCCGTGTCCCTTATCGGCCTCCATCCCCAGCCGTCCTCGACCCCGATCGTCCCGCCCCCGACCCAAGCTCGGTCCCGCAAGGCACCATGTCGTCCTCGATCGCCATCCCGAAGCGCAGGAAGTGCAGCGGTGCGGGCAACAATGCCGACAGCCCGGAGAGCAGCTCCTCGCTCTCCTCGTCCGTCTTGGGGCACACGCCCGTCACCTCGCCTTCCACACCCGCCCCGGCACACCTCCACCATCACCACCACCAGTACCGCCTCGAGCGCCGCCAGAGCCTGCTGAGTGAGTAGAAGTAGCCTGCCCTCGCTATGCTGCAGCACAAGCATTGCCGTCTCGCGAGCCCACCGCAGCGTCACCCCGCAGACCACACGTCGCTCGGATGGCAGGCGGTTGCGGGACAAGGAAGCACAGCAGGCTTACAAGGCGCGGGCAGGCTCGTCCATCTCCAAATCCGAGCACACAGTCATCAATGTTGGGCATCCGGATGCGCCGCGGCTGGTAAGCAGCGCAACGCCTCCCCCTACATGCGCTTCGGCAGCTCGCGACACGCTAACACCGCGACCACCAACCAGATCACCTGCGTGAGGTCATCTCAGGGCTTTGACTGGAACCAAGGTACGTGTTTCATTCTGTCTGGCGACCGTTTGCTCCGTAGTATCAACGTCGTTGGCCCACTTTGCCTACTAGGGCTTAGGCTAACTGAGAGCCCCTCCAGACATCTTCTTGCCCTCGTACGCCGACTACGAGTCCTCAGAGCTCGAGCGCCGCCAGGACCCTGTCCAGGACATTGTCCTCACGGACGAGGAGGTCGCCTCCATGTTCCCATCGTCATAAACGCCTCTTCTCACCTTGGCGTACATTCACCATCTATCATTGCCACCAACTCATTTCATTTCATGTAAACAAACACGACACGAGCATGGACACAGCGGCGCAAACATCTATTCTCCCTAATTGAGGCGGGGTTTGGGACCGGGGTGCAAGGCAGCCGGTTGGGTGGTTGCCGTCCCGATGGTTCCTTGCGTGCAACGGAGCACTGCATCCAAGGACTCCAGACCAGATGGTGAGCCCCACGCTGCCTGGGCCCGTTCCGAGGGTACTCTCTTCTTTTTTTGATTCGCCGATGAGTGTAGTCGTGCGGAAGACGGACCAACTGGGTGACATAGCGACGGGTATCTTTTTGTTTTTAGCTTCTTGCCTAGGCGTTGGCTACCAAGGGCGTTTGTTGTAGGAGGGAGTGTGACAGAACGGATTGGCAGGTACCGGCGTCAACATCTCCGCTCGCATCGTCGTGAATGGTAGATAGTCATTCTTCTTCAATCCAGAAATCTGAACCAAATGGATGGTGTGCTCGGGACGGAATCTTGCCTCAGGCCAGAAGGGAAGGCAGGTGATGTGCTTATCAAGTTGTTAGTGGGTGGTATGCACACCATTATTGCGGCTCAAGGCTCTTAACAAGTAAATGATCATACGGATGTTTTGCAATATTGTCACAGCGAAGGAAGGGTCTGGAACGGGCCGAGCACGCGCACCGCATGAGCTCGCAGCGGTCAGGCTGCAGCATGACAGTCGCCAGAGAGGTGTGACACGTCCGGGTCCTCAGCCCTTATCCTTATCGGATGTGCCCTAATCTCCAATCGCCAGTCATGCGGACGTCCGAGCGGGGCCGAACGCGGGCAGCGACGGGGCCAGGCGTCCCGCTTCCGCGGCAACTTCCCACCCCAAACAACAACACGGCACGTTGCTCGCGCCTCGTTTCTTCAGCCCTATACGAACGACTTGCGCGAATTTCTGACACGCGCGTTCGCCCAAACGGTCAGTCCAGACCAAACCAAAACACGCGATCGTGACGCAGAGAAGCTGCCGCTCTGCCTGAGGCCCACCTTCTCTCGTGCCCAACCTGCGACGCATGCGCACGCGCTTTCTCACCGACCCTGCCACGCTTTGCGCCCACACGCGAGGGGAAAAAAAAAAAAACCTTGCTGCGCCGCCGCGGTCCGCTTTACCTCTTCCGCACACCTCCGTCATTGGCTTGCGCACGTCTCACCCCCGGAACTCAAGCACATCCGCGTCCGACTTGGGAAGTCAGTAAACAAACCAGCCCATTCCCTGTTCGCGTGACTGGACAGAAGGTCTAGACCTCCCGCCGGGCTTCGCGCTTGCTTGCCGCCGCACTTTGCCGCGGTATTGATACACACAACTGGGGCACCGTACGGAGGGGCACACAAGTGGAGCAGCAGGCAGCCCTGTCTAATTGTTGGAAAGCCATTATACATATACACGGACGCAGCAGCGGTCAAGCACTATTGGAGTAGGTAGCGAAAGGGGGTGGAAAAGGGCAAACGAAGTCTCGCCAGGACATCTGGGAGGAATTACAGACGATTTTCACACACAATGGACTCGACGCACCGCCGGGTCGAGGTGCAGTCCGCAGCGGACATGACCTACCTGATGGCCAACGCGAAGCGGGCTGCGCGCGCGAAGATCGACCTGCACCTGCCGCCGTCGGCGGCGCCGGAGGGCGGCGAGGATCTGCTACGAAGGCGGGTGGAGGAGCTGGTGGACGAGTACATCAAGGGCGTGTTCGCGACTGCGAGACACGGCATCAGCGTCAACGGAGTGGACGCCGGCGAGGTGGAGGAGGTCGTCACAGAAGGTACATACATCCTCACTCACCGGTCCCCACAGAGAGAGAGACATTGGCCCACACCTCAATTGTTGCCTGAGACTAATTTTAGATGCCGCGGGAAATAGAATTCGAGCCTATCGACAGCCGCCTCGTGGACAAGATCCGCGCGCTCGAGGCGCAGAGGGAATCGCTCACCGAGAAGGTGGCGGACCTGCGCCGTGAGGCTCCGAAGAAGGCGGCCGGCGCCTACGAAGCCGCATATCTCAAGGAGGCGGAGGAGACCGAGCGCCTGGCCCGGGAGAGGGACGAGGCCGCGGTCCGCGCTGCGGCGGACGAGACCAGGCTGGAGGCGGGCGATATGCGCCGGTGGGGCGACGTGCAGCAGATGTGGGAGAGGGGCACGCAGAGTCTCGTGGACCTAAAGGATGCACTGCCAGACACAGCAGCACGGTTGAAGCAGGCGGAGACGGTGGCGCAGCATTTAGAGGGCAAGTCATGAGTGGAGATAGGCGGTGGCTGTGTCTAAACAACACGGTGCTTGGGGCGGTTTTTTTTTTCCTTCTCTCTCCGATCACGTCTCACTTTAGGGCTTGCTAGCTTTATACACCGCTCTGCCTGCGGTAGGAAAAGATATTATGTGGCACTAGTCACTCCACACCACAGATTTGCCGACGATACTCAAATTAACGTCATACCATTCGAAGCGTCGCATATGGACAGTGTAAAGATCATTCAGTCATTATGTTGTTCATTGAGATATGGAGACATCAAGAGGTAGTTGAGCAATGGAGGCGATCTTAATTGTCACGTGGGCGAAAACATGTTTGTAGCTCGAATTTCATCCATTTCGCTTTCTATGAAAACGGAGCTACTTTCCAAGGTCCCAGCAGATATCGTCAAAGCGTGATATCAATCCTTGCCGGCATGGAGGCAATCGAGACGCTTACTTGGACTCGTCGAAGACGTAGGTCAGGTGGCACTTGCCGCAGTACTGGCGGTTGTGCATGGCAGCCATGAAGACACCAGCACCGCACTGTTGGACAGTTAGTATCGGGCATGTGGTGAAACGCGCGGTTAGGATGCTACTGACCTGCTCCTGCGGGCACTCCCTCCTGAGGCGCTCGATCTTGCCGTCGCCGTCGACCTTGTAGTACTTAAGGACGGCGAGTTTGGTTTTCTTCCTCTTGTGCTTGATCTTCTTGGGGGTGGTGTAGACCTTCTTCTTCCTCTTCTTAGCACCACCACGCAGGCGCAGCACGAGGTGGAGGGTGGACTCCTTCTGGATGTTGTAGTCCGAGAGGGTACGGCCATCCTCGAGCTGCTTGCCCGCGAAGATCAGACGCTGCTGGTCCGGAGGAATGCCCTCCTTGTCTGCTCGTGGCGTGTGCCGTCAGCGAGTGCGCGCAGAGAGAAAAAATTTTGCGACTGCGACACGTACCCTGGATCTTGCTCTTGACATTGTCGATGGTGTCAGACGACTCCACCTCAAGGGTGATAGTCTTGCCCGTGAGGGTCTTGACGAAGATCTGCATGGCGACCTGCGACGGGTGGTCAGTATGCGCAGGCGCGGCGGCGGTGCGAGATGGGGTGGGCGCACCTAGACAACTGGTTGTGCAGATGTCCTCCTCAGTCGATGTGCGATGTCGAAAAGTCGAGCGCGGCGCGGCTGAAATTGGGCTCTGTGGGTTAGCCGAGCGGGCTGAGTCAGCGTGGACACGACTCGGCCCCGCGTCGCTCCGGCAGCAGGGTGGCAGGGATAGCCCCGCTTGGCAGGGCTCAGCTGGGCGCGACCTAACAGCCTGGGCCGTATCCCAGGTGTTTTCACGTCATTGGCGATGCAGCCATCGGTTACCCGGACAGCTATCGACCTGTTGTGTTTGGGCTGACGCCTGACGCGCCTCACATCCTCCACATCACACATCCTCCGCGATCATCTACAAATACTGCAAATCCTCATAACACTCCCCTCTACACTATACACACCTCCGCCCTCACGCGTCGGAGCACCGCCCTCGCCCTACACAGCCCTCCTGAGCGAGCGCGCGCGACCCACCGTGCCTGCACGACCCTGAGGCTGACGCGCCTGCCTGCATCTGCAGCCTGAGCAGAATCAATATATTCTCGCTGAATCGTCTGAGCGCGTCGTTCGACACCCGCTAGCCCGGCGAGCGCGGCTTGCACTGCGCGAGGTAAGTGCCCAGATGCCCAGTTCCAAGGCACACGCGCTGGAGTGACGTCGGCGCGTTTGTTGGCGCGTACGATGATGCTAACCACACCGCTCCACCCAGTACCGGAACCACGGAGAATCCACCTTCCAAAACAAAGTCTTCGATAAATCAATCGCCCTCATCCGGACTCACCCTGCATCATTCGTCATGCTGTCCACTCCATCGAACTCGAGCATCCAGCAACGGCGCGCCATGCACCGTCGCCAGAACTCGACGCCGACTATATTCGAGGCGCCGCCCCACATGCGCCCTCTGCCTGCGACCATCCAGCGGCAACACGCCCATCGGAGGGGAATGAGCTTGGACCAGAAGCCGCAGCTTCTCTCCCCTTTCCTGGGTCGGATGCCGACCGAACCACAGCCTTCGCAGGGCGATAGTCAGGTAAGTATTACTAACCTAGGACAAGATCAACACCAGCATACAATGCAAGCAGCGCAGACGCACAGCATGGCTCAGCCGGGCCACCACTACCAGCAATTCGCGACTCTTCCTCCGCTGCAGACCGCCTTTCCTCCTCAGGCGCCTCAGTCTCAACCTCAGTCTGCCACTCACCCTCACCACCCCTCGGTGCAGCAGCTCAAGGAGCTGGAGCAGCACATCCGCGCTGTCTACGGCGCCCACGCTCAGGTCAAGGTCAGCATAGTGCCTAGCCCCGGCCCGTCGCCGCAGCGCGCTTCGCCCATGGTGCCGCCCATGGACCATCTCGACCTCGCACCCATGCCGTCCAACTTCAGCGACGCGCCGTGCGAGATCACCCTGCAGCCTCCGCCCGAAGACCATGGCTTCGCCATGAACTTCAACAGCCATCACGAGAGTGACAATGGCTACGAGTCGTCGTTTTACTCGTCGGATGCCATCTCACCCGGCTGCTCACCTACTGCCTCACCGCGTCCGAGGTCAATTGGCTCGTTCCAACACCAAGGTCACCTTGCTCCGGCACCGCCTCACCTGTCGCTGTCGCGGCGTCCCTCCCTTCTCCAGAACATGTCGCGCAGCTCGACCGACATGGATGGTTATCTCTCATCCTCGCCCACCAAGGGTCCTCTTTCACCGCGCGCCATGTCCATCGCGGATCTCAACCTTGATGCCACGATCGAGGAGACCGGCATCTCGTCCGAAGAGGTGCAGGCCTACATCAGTGAGCAAGATCCCTCAAGTCACCGCTGGACTTGCCTCTTCCCAGAGTGCGGCAAGACTTTCGGTCGCCGTGAGAACATCAGGTCACATGTTCAGACTCACCTGGGTGACCGTCAATACAAGTGCAACCACTGCCAGAAGTGCTTCGTCCGCCAGCACGACCTGAAGCGCCACGCAAAGATCCACACTGGCGACAAGCCTTACAAATGCCCTTGCGGCGCTGGCTTCGCCCGGCAGGACGCCCTTACTCGCCACCGCCAGCGCGGTATGTGCGACGGTGCCTTCCCCGGCGCAGTGAAGAAGTCAGCCCGTCGTGGTCGTCCGAGGAAGAACCGTCCGGAGATGGCTGAACGCCTCGATAAGGCCAACAGGACCCGCCAGGCTCTGGCTGATCCGTATGGCTCGTCATCCTCGTCTGGTCCTTCTCCCGGCTCGTCTGGATACTCTCCCGTTGCAAACATTAACGAGTATGACTCGTCTCACTTCACCAACCTGCAGTCTCTGCAGACGTCTGACTCCCAGTCGTCGTCCTACAGGTTAGTTTCCTGCACCTCCTCTGATCTGATCTCATAACTGACGGTTGAACAGCATGTCCAACAGCTCATCTCCCCCAGTGGAGGAGGCTAAAGAGTCCGACGAGGCTGAGAACGCTGATGAGAACAACTTCGTGGACGACGCCGAGGCTCTCGAGAACGATGACACCCTCGACCACGATGAAGATGCGTTCTTCCTCACGCAAGCGTTCGAGGGTGTGGCTACTCCGCCGCAGTCGCCTTCGCCTGTGCCTGCTGATGTCAACGTGCTGCGTATTCCGAAGGGCAACAAGAACGGCCAGAAGAAGCGCACTGTTTCCGGCCGCACTGTCTCAGCTGCATACAGTACTCCTCCGACTTCGCCCGTTATGGGCGGTAAGGCCGGCTTGGATAAGGAGGATGACTTGAACTTCGAGGATGACTTCGAGTCTCTTCCCCCCAGCACGTTCGACCCAAGCAATAACATGTCGAACATGTGGAACCCTTTCGGTAACGATCCCTTTGGCAATGAGCTCATGATCAATACCTCGGGCTCAAACCAGGACGACTTCTCGTTCTTGGACAATATGGGCTGAGTCGACGGAAGGCCAGCAATGCTGGCGCTCAAGCAAGTCATCACCGTGCCATTGAGGTCCAACGGGGCTTAATGACGACGTGACGAATGACAACGAAGCTTCTTTTCAGTCGGCGGTGTAATAAGCGGGTTTGAGATAGCGACTTTGTTCAAAGGGAAACGGCGTTGAAACGGACTCTTCTTATGGGAAACAGGCAACGGAGCTGGAGGTTCTTTGACAACTGCAAGTTTAGAGATTGGCTTCGCCAGTTTGCGTTTTGTTTTGCTCTTTTCTTTGTACTTTCCTTTGTTCCTGGCGGTTTGGCGGTTTGGGTTTTTTGGCCGGACGTTCTCTTCTTGATCTGTGGTTGGACTTTATCAGAGAGGCGGTGATACCTTTTTTATTATCCTTACTGTCGTTACAGCTTCGTGGAAGATGAGCTGGTCAATGTCCTCAGAGAATAGCTAGGGGAAGCGAAATAGTGAATCGAAACATAGTATCCAACCCACTACAGACGATGGGATGATGACTGTGAGATGCGAAAATGAAAGGCATAGCTACCGGTGAATTACGAAACTAGGCGGACGTTGCCGTGCCGTCATTGCTGTTCGGCGCACGGCTTGATCTCCTTCGTATTGTGCGGGGCATGCTCTGCGGTCCGTCCTGGTGGCAGAGTGTTGGCCGATTGGCGATGGAAGGCCTCCTTATGATTGCGGGAACGGACGTGAGGACAATAGCGGAAGTGTTATATGATGGGATCAACAAAAGACGAGAGAAAAAGACGCATCGTCGTCCAAATGAAAGGGCGACTCGTCATGTTCTTGTATTATATGCGGCGCCGGGTGCGGGCGACCCAGCCTTCCTTAATACCAACCACTCCAACCCGCCTCCCTCTGTTCCGCCACCCGATCATCCCCAAGCCTGCAGCTTTTGCCAGCCGCCGCGAACGGTCGACGGGCGGCACGGGTGCCTCATGCGTCATCCGCTGGGCGGATCTTCCCCAGTTGCCACAACACATCCCCCTATCTCACATTGCGCTCTGATCCCGCTGTCGCTGGAGAGAAGATCACAGACCACCGACCACACGCGGCACACGCGGCGCCCCTCCCGCCCGCGATCAAGAGTTCCACTTCCCGGAAGATGATTGGAAGGCCGGACAAACCGCCGGTGCAGTGCGCGCGGGACGGGACAAGCCAGAAGGGCTCGCGGTGGAAATGTGGGAAGAAGGGGAGACAACAACAGAGAGAGGGGAGTTTAGGGGAGAAGGGCTCACAATTCGGTCCCACGGCCGGACTCTCGGGTCTCTTTCCCTCCGCTTTTTGCCATTCACGCAACCGGAAGTCGCCCAAAGCTTCTTTTCTATGCCCTGTCCCCCCTCCCCATCATCGTCATCGTCATTACAAGAGAAATAATAAAAAAATCATCCGTGCCTCGTTTGACTTGGCCGTTGGTGATTGCGCCCAAGCTTCCTCGGCGGGCGGCGATTAAAGACGTAGCTCGCCTGACCCGGCCGGCAATTCTTGAGAGAAAAAGAAAATCAGGATTATTACAGTAGTGACATGTTCCTGGCGGTGATTCAGCTGTGTGAGATGTAGCGTTCGGCAGGCGTCATCCCTGCACCTTTGCTGCGCTCACTTTCCCCATTTTCTTAGGGTTCCGCTCCTGCCGGACCCTGATGAGCCAGCAAGCGTCAATTGCCGTTCCCTCGAGGGGACATAGAGGCACGATTCGCGGTCCCACACGCCCAGCGAGAAGGACACAAGCCCGCGGGCGCGGGTGTGAGGATCGGCGCTATGTGGCCAATGTTCCGCCCATGCTCTCGAGCACACTCCCCTCGGGCGCTTGGCGGCAGGTGTTCAGGGTCCCAAACATGGCCCCTCCACGCGGCGCGCCACGAAAGAATGGGCACCTTGTGTTCGCCGCCACTCTCGAGCGAGCTGCAAGAAGCCCATACCCAGACCCCCGGCGGTACGTGGCTGCCGACGCGGAGATCGGGAGGGGGGGGGGGCGCGCGGGATATGTTGCGTGCATCGAGCGTCCGGGCACCCCTACGGAACCGGGCAAGGCGCGCAATTTCAGCTGGTGAAGGACTTCATCAGAGACGAGACGCGAAGATTCGGGTCAGCCCAAGGCTCCTGGGCCAGAGCAACCCGAAGGATGGCTCGACTTGAAAGGCCGCCGAGCGGTGTGCAAAAAGTGGACAACAAACACGCGAATTCTTTTTTGGACGTCGCCAGGTTGCTAGGGCGGCGCCTACAACGAGTTTGTTGGCGGCTGCAGCTGGGTTGGGGACCGGTGACCCGCTCGTCGCGTTCGCAGCTGTTGTCGGTTAGCCAGGCCGGTGGGGGGTGGATCAGGCGACTTCTTGGCCGCCAGAATCGATTGCTCGTCAATCAATGTGCGGATCGCGAGTTTGGCCTGCGTGCCTGCGGTCGTCCAGCCGTCGTCCAGCCGTGTGGATGAAACGGCGCTGATGCAGGCAGAGGCAGCAGGCGCAGCAGGGCCAACCAGCCAACGCCGACCCACAGGAACGAGATGCGGGGAGGAAGCAACAGCCGAAACAGCAGCTGCGGCGTGCGGCGGTGCGGGCGCCGCGCGACGCAAGACGCAAGGGGCCCGGCCGTGTGCACCGCGTGTGCACCGCTGCTGGCCAACGGACGGGCGGCGGGCGTGTTGGGCCCCGACAGACACCGCCGTAAACTCCGCCTCGTCCAACATCATCAGCAATCATCAGCTGTGGCTGACGGAGCGGAGGCGGACCTTCGGCCGCATGAAAGAGCGATCAGCAGAGCCGTGAGATTGGTGGGCACCGCTCGGCTCCGGAAGAGTGCAGCATCCGCAGCGATGCACGGGAAAGTCGGCCGGGGCGCTGCGGGAGCGCAAGGAAAGGCGTGCGCCAAGCGAATGGTGATGAACGTGCGAAGCCTCCTGGAGGCGTGCACCACCGCACAGCGTGGGAAAAGAAGCCTTGCCAGCGCCGAGGGAGGTGCGCGCCGGGGGCAGGGCGCTTAAGCTCTCGAGCGCCACGCCCCATTGGCCTGCGCCCGCGCGATAAGATTTTTGCCGGACGCACCGTGGGCCGAGTTGTGGGACGGCGACTCGCACGAGCGCGGCGTTCGGCCTCGGACGGCTGCCGCTGGCTTTTTTTTCGCATCGCAAAACCCATGTTGCACGGATGGTGGATGGTGTCGTGTGGGCGGGGTCCCGCCGCGCAGCGCAGCGTGGCTGGTCGCGTGGGCCGCATGGCATCCGCCCATCGCACCAGCGCAGCCGCGCACTAGAGAGCCCCGTCGCGACGACGAGATTGCGGCGCAAGGTGTACGAGTACGACAGACTGGGCCGCGAGAGCCCCGGCGCCGTTAGACCGACAGCTGTATGGATTGCCGCAGGGAACAGCGTGGAACAGCGCCTGCTGTAGGATGAGGTCAGCGCTAGCTCGGCTGCTGGGCAGAGTGTACCTTGCAAGAGTTAGCCCGTGTGCACAGTAAGCGTCATGCCGTCGCCAAGGCCCGCCGTGCTGGCCCTGCTGGCGCTACTGCTTCACATGCACCGTGCTGCTCGTCCACGAGCGCCGGCAGCGGCAGCGGCAGCGGCAGCAGACGGGCAGCGCAGCAGCAGCAGCAGCAGCAGCAGCGGCGCGCCGGTCGCGGTGGGCCTGGCACAGCAATCGCCTGGGGACGGGCGCCGGCGGTTAGTCGCGTGTGCAGCTTGGGGCGCAATTTTAATCTCTGTGCTCTGCGCCCGGACGTCCCGGGAGCTAGCTAGCGCGGCTGCCTCACGCAAAAGGGCCACTTACTCAGCCCATCTCCTTCATAACATCACCGCAGCCCCGATCTTTGTGCGCGCCAGACCAGGCCTCACGCTCCTCCTCTCCTCCACGCCCGCCGCCCGCCCTCGCATGCGCCCGACGACCGCCCGGTAGCCACCTCCCCTCTCCACGCTGTTCCGGACCGCCGCCGCGCAGCAGGAGCCCGCCCGAGCGCTCCCGTCTCTCGTCCCGCCCGCCCTTCGCACCTTTGCCTCTGCCTGCACACTCCGGCACCATGCAAACCCGTCTGCCGTCCTATCAGGACTACTTGCCGCGCAAGGCCATGATCCCGGCATGGCGGCCCTCGTTGCCCGTGCTTGTGCCTCACAAGGTGCGCAGGAAGTGGCGCGCCACCAAGTCGCGCATCCGCAGCAGACAGTCGCCCACCTCGGTCGTTGCCTCGCTCGAGACGTCGTTTTCGCCCTCGGACACTTTGCGCTCGCTGCGGGCCCACCAGTGGTCCTACTATGACGCCCAGTACCTTGTCCTGGTCATCGTCGGCATTTTCGCCCTGTCTGTGATGGAAGAGCCCGGGCCCGTCTTCAAGACATTCGTGGCCTCGCTGCTGATGGGGTCCATGGTCATACCGGCGACGAGGCAATTCTTCCTGCCGTTCCTGCCCGCCATCACCTGGCTGGTCCTGTTCTATTCGTGCCAGTAAGCAGCAACGCGGCCTCCATTGGCCGCCCAAACAAGACTGACAGTGTCCCGCCAGATTCATATCCGGCGAGTACCGCCCGCCCATCTGGGTGCGCGTCCTTCCTGCGCTAGAGAACATCATGTACGGCGCGAATCTTAGCAACATTCTTTCGGCACACAAGCACGTGGTCCTGGATGTGCTCGCTTGGATCCCCTACGGAATTACCCATTTCGGTTCTCCGTTCGTGTGTTCCGGCGTCATGTTCCTCTTTGGCCCGCCCGGCTCGCTGCCGGTCTACGCCCGCTCGTTCGGATACATGAACCTGACCGGTGTCATCATCCAACTGTGCTTCCCGTGCTCTCCGCCTTGGTATGAAAACATCTATGGCCTCGCCCCCGCAAACTACGGAATGCCTGGCAGCCCAGCCGGTCTGGCAGCCATCGACAAGCTCCTGGGTCTGGATCTCTACACCTCTGCCTTTACCGCTTCTCCCATGGTCTTCGGTGCCTTCCCGTCCCTGCACTCGGGCTGGGCGACCATCCATGCGCTCTTCCTGTCCTACGTCTTCCCCAAGATGTGGCCCGTTTTCACCACGTACGTCCTGTGGCTGTGGTGGTCGACCATGTACCTGTCGCATCACTACGCCGTTGACCTCGTCGGTGGCAGCCTGCGTAAGTTGAATGCATTTGCCGTAATTCGTGAGAGTGCAATGGCTAATTATCATTATGCAGTCGCCGGTTCCATCTTCTTTGTTGCGAAGCAGAAGTTCCTTCCTCGCGTCCAATCCGACAAGACCTTCAGATGGGACTATGACTTCACCGAGCTGGGCGAATCGCAGGAGTCCGGCCATGTCATGACGCATTTCTACGAGGAATTCCACCCCACCTCGGACAGCGACGAGTGGACGATTGGCTCATCGTCCTCCTTCTCCTCGGGCACCAGAAGCCCGTCGAACGGACCTCGCAGCCCTATTGATTCGGAAGGCTGGGAAGGCGACACTCTCGCCTCGGCCTCCGACCACGAGCGTGAATATCGGTAAAAACGGTTTCTGGAAGGCCGGCATCACAATTCTCTCCTCCTGAGACTTGACTGCATACTTTTCACGGAGCACACAACACCATTGTAATCACGACACTGCTCGCGCGGGCTCACGCCAGCCTCACTCATGCCTCTTATGACCATTGCATGGACGGAGTTTATCCTGCATTTTCCGCGCTGCGCTCTTTGCCACACCGCGATTTTGTTTCCTGCGACCAGGCCCCGGCCCGGTTCGGATGTCGCCACTGTTCTCCGGTGTTCCGGCGACAGCGACTAGCGACCCGAGACGGCGTGATCCAGTCACAGCCGCGCCTCATTTCCCTGCATGCAGCCACACTAAGCCACAACACGTTACGAGCAATACACCATCGCTCGACGCGCGTCTGTGGTGCGCAGCGAGGCTGAAACGGAAACCACGGTGCCAAAGTTCGCCTTACGCCTTCTCCACGAAGACCCTAATAGACCACCCGGACCGATATTGATTCGGTCGTGCGGGGACTGTCGACGAAAGGGCAAATTACTACTTTAATGAGGGTTCACAAGCATTTATTTGGTTCACAGAGAGCGATATACCCCATTCCGGTCGCTTACCTAAAAAAATTCAAGTAGATGTAGCTTCATTCGCTTCTCACATTCTTCTCCACACTCGCTTCCTGCCCGTTACGGTGACCGAGGGCTTGGCAAGTGCGTTTATGCGCTTATATGACGATAGTTCGGGTTCTTCATGGGGACGGAATACATTGGCTCTCGGAAGAAAGGGATCGGAAGACGCAAATGGTGTATACGGGGATACAGGGCTTTCCTCAGCTGATTCCCCACCGCTTTGCTGTTCTCTGGTTGGTCTGGAGGCTTGGAATACTGGGGAAGTGTCCCGCAATGTGGAGGAAGAATTATTAATGATGGAATGTGGGGAAGCACACAGACAGTTGGAGACACGCGCTCTGCTGTGGCGCAGCTTGTTGTAATAAATACGTAATGTTAATACTGCCTAAGGCACCACCATGTTCTTTTTGTGATCTCACGGGCAGTGCACACTCTACAATTCTATGGAAGAGGCGACTTAATGTAACTCATATCTTGGTGCGACGTTGTATCCCGAGTAAACACGTCGGCTTTTAAGAAACCGATAAGTATCAGGAACCCTAAATTTAAAGCATCCCTCTTTACTACAACTTAGTATGTCGACTAATATCGGCTTTGCTTTGCTCCTGCGCAGAATAGTTCAAAGGGATATCCAAAACGCGTATAAAAGGGGATGTATGCTTGCGAGTGTAGTAATAGTTAACGACAGATTTCGAGGAATTATTAATAATGTACGGCTTTATAGACCAAACGGCCTCTGCAGAACCCACTTTTGTCTAAGTGTAGTAGGAACCTCACTTTTGGTGTTGACTGCAGTGGTGGGCATTTGATACAGCATCCTGTGAGGCGAAGTACCTAGAGTGTTTACCACATTTGTGTATCAGACCAAAAGTTCGTTGTGGATATGAAATTGGGAAATCAATTATGACTCGAAACACAATGTACGAAACAACAGCGGGCCTTGTAGACGAACAAATCAGTTGTGTGGTACACAATATGCTTGTGGCTGGTATGGGACAGTGAGCAAGTCACGCCGGAGGCTCGCTGTTACCTAGCCAACGAGGTTGGTGCCCGCCTCGTATTCTTCCCGGCGAGCAGTTACCAGATCGTCTCGGTGACGCAGGCGTTCTCGCACCAAGCTCGGGCGCGCTTCGTCCCGTACCTAGTGAGGAGAGATCACGAGGAAGACAGGGAATTGAATCATTGTCACCATCGGCTGATTTTAAGGCATCCATCCGATGACGTCCCGCGTGCTTTTCAGTCGGCCAGGACTCGGCTCTGCAACTTGTTGGTTCTTGTTGGCGTCTGCGCTGAATTATTGCAAAGCTCGCCTTGTCGAAGGGGGCCATCATGCCTTAACGGCAGCGGTACTGGATGGCTAATCAATGCCGACATCTTTACTACTTGTCAGCATGAATGGTATGAGGTCAAACCAAACACTCGCTGGCGAAGAACACCGCAGATGAATCCGGCAACCAACATAATGCGTCATTCAAATTCAACTGATCATAGCCAATGGAGTAGAGATGCGATTCCACCGTCAACAAAGCATAACAAATCCACAGCCATTCTAATGCCGTCTTGAGTCGAAAGGGCGCTCACCCTATGTTCAATATCTACTTATACATTAAAATTAGTCTTAGTCGCTTCTCAGGGTTGTCCGAACTATACACAACGACGCCTGATCGGTATCACCTCGCCTGCGCGGAGGACCCAACGTGGAGCAAAACAGTACGTGTCTCGAGCATACGAACCAAGTTGCTTAACGCCAACGCAATGGGAGAAGGTGTTGTGACCAAACAGTTTTGAGCGGCGGACCCCAAGTCGAAGCCCATCTCAGATGATTATTGAGGGAGTATGATTGACATGAGGGGACGAATTGACTAATGAGCGGCCAAGAGTAATATACAAGCAAGGGGTTATCCGGGTCTCAGGATGCAAAGAAGAGAGTATATACAAAAGAGACGAAGATATCCAAGAAAAAACGAAGGAGTGACGTGCGAGCAACTCCAGACACAGAAGCGCTGCGATGCATGATATCTTTCGCGGACACACAAAAAAAAAGGGAACTTTAATACGCATAATTATGCCTGCCAACGGCCATCTCATTACCCAACAGACTCAAGAACGATGTGATGCAGTTCTCGCTGTACCTTTATACAGCAGTGTAGGTGCCGCTTGAAATCCTTTTGATAACTGGAACGTCTTTCCACGTGATGGCGGGGCTGCTAGGCGCCGCGCTTTCATCTGCAAACGGGTCGTCCTCAACTTCTACCGCCTCACCTGCTTGCACCATTTGTGAGACGTCCAAACCGCTGCCGTGGCCGCTTGCATTTTCACCGGTCATCTCCCACCGCGCCTCGATGTTGCCTGGCTTGGCCTCCGTATCGGTGTAGAAGCGAGCGCGAAGTGCTTGTGCAGGCTGATCCGCACTCAGAGTAACGTCGCCGAGGCGCCAATAGATCAAGGACTTCTCTTTTGAGAAGGTACCAACGGGCTTCGATTGGCAGTGGGACGATCTTGAACCAGCAGGGTCAAGATGCATGATGAGAACGACGTTACTCAGCGTGACGCTCGTGTGGCCGGCCGCAAGGCGGAAGGCGGGGTTAAGAGAGTAATTGAGGATGACAGACGTTTGGGTAGGCTCGACCTTCCACGCCGGAGTCAAAGCGATGGGAGCAAATGACGCAATGTTGTTTTCGTCGAGATGCACCTGGTACTTGAAGGCAACCTGCGTCCGTGTGATGCTGGAAAGGTTGATGCTGTAATCACCGGCCTTATCCGCAACCTGGTCCACGAACGTCGGGTTGGGTGCCACTTTCTCGAGAACCGGGAAATTCTCGAGCCTAATCGTCTCATTTCCAAAGGGGACCGAAAGGTCCGGGGGATTGTACGCCAGAGCAAGTTCGCCAATAACAACAGCCCTGGTCACATGGCCGTGCTCGAACCAGGTGCTCACCGTCTCGACAATCGATGAGTTCAACCCAGGCTCGTGCATATCTGGGTGACGCACGGTGTGGCTGTACGAGCTGCTGAGCGAGCGGCCCGAACGGATTGACTGTGTGTCGGAGGCGGCATGATCATCGCCGAGGTTCAGGCGATGACTGGCTGGCCGCAGGGGAGACTGGGGCCTTGCCGAAGGCGGGGATGCAGGAATCGGTATTTGCGGCGAGACTGCTGACAGATTTGGGGAAGCGGAAGGCAGGGGCGAAGACGACGGTGATGCAGGAATCGGCAATGGTGGAGCATTGGTCGGCTCAGCGAAAGGCGGAAGGTCGGGACCCTGAGAAGTAGAGGGCACGAATATCGTGTTGCGAACATCTCGCCTACCTCTCGTGGTATTGGATCTCTTAGTCGGAGCCGCTTGCTGCATGGCTGTCAGCATGATATAGCCTTATCATCGTTGTGCGAGACTGACCATTCGAAGAGTGTTTGCAACGTTGGCCATTGCGCTTTCTGCCTCGCCGCTATCTTCTTCTTGGATCGGAGCATTTCTTATGTCTACCTTGAATTGCGGAGGAACACTCTCGCTGGAAGAAGGTCAGCTACTTGGAACAGTCAGGGCTTGTCGATGGAAAACTTACGCAGCTGCGTCAGCCTCTACTTGAGCAAACAGATCAGACGTGGCAGACGTTGCCGGCACCGTATAGCCATCTGCGTCCTTCTGGGGCTATCAATCATTCTGTCAGCGGGCAGCTCTTCAAGGTTGAATCTTCAGACGTGTGAACTGACTTCCAGTGAAACACTCGAAGCGCTTGTCGGTTGCAGCGGTTCTTGCAGCTGTGGTATGCCCGAGCTCTGGCCACCGTTCATCATCTCTGAATCCCTTGGTTCGTCCTCGGGCACCGGGGAAATGCCATTGGTCCGATCTACTGATGCGCTTTCTGGTCTTACTGGAGAAGCGATCGATTCGCTGGCTTCCGGAGAGCTCGGAAGCTGGCTTTCTGCAAGTCGAGATGGTGAGGCCGGGCGATGGTCTGCATCTCTCGACTTGTTGCCTCGGCTTCCAAAAGAGCTGAAGGCAGCTCCTAGGTTGGGAGATGACGACTTCCTATCCGGGGAAGAAGTCCGAGCATAAGGCGCCGTGCTCTTTCGACGGCCGAGAACAGTTCCTAAGCGCTTCAGGCCATGAAGTCCACCGTGCTTCTGCTCTTGTACTGCTGGGCGTAAGCGAGGTTCAGCAGGCACGACAGGCGACCCACCTGAACCAGATCGCTGGCTCGATCCGTCGTCCGGGGTGGGGGGAGGTTGCATTGCCGGGGTCGAGCTGCTGCTGGCCTGTGCTTGATTTCTGCCCCTTTGCGTCTCAAGTTTCGGTTTTCCGCTCGTAGTTTTCAGGGAGAAAGTCTTGATCTCGTCGGCCGTCTGCACCTCCAGTATCACGCCCAGGCACTGCTCAGTGGGTCCTCGGGTCCTGTCAATGGCATCGAGTTCCAGAGTCTGGAACTGGGTGAGAGCGTCCCGCAGCTGGTTGATGCGGCTCTCGTCAACGGCCTGGAGCTGCTCAAAGACGAATGGGGCCTGAGAACTCCATTGCTGGTTGGCATTCTCGACATCGGTGCTGGCAGTTGCGACCTTGCCAGCAGGGGCCTTGGCGCCCTTTTCCTTCAGCTTGTCTGCGCGCTTCTGCGCGCTGTCGATCTCCTTGGCCATGTGCGCCATGTTGCCGCTGATGTTGGACATGGCCTGCATCTCGCGATTCGTCTTGTCAAAGTCGCGCAGAGGACGCTCGACGTCGGTGTCGAGCTTGTGGGCCAGAGAGTGGTGCGATTCGGCAAGCGCCTCTGTCGCGCCGACGATGCGCTGCCACGGCAGGGTGAAGACGCTACGATGGGTCAGCTCGCGGCGCACAGCAGGGAGGTGGCAGAGGTGGCAGAGGTGGCAGCAGCGACGTACCCGAGGTCAGCGCCGGCATCGGGCAGCTGCCTGGCGGCCAGCTTGCGAAGGCCCTGGGCATATTGGTCCTCCAGGCGGCGGCGCTCCTTTCCTAGCGTCAGTATCGGCAGCGGCCGTGGGCGGGGCGGCGCGGGGCGCGTACCTGCAGGAAGTCGGCGATGTCTGCGTTGACCTTCTGGATGTGCTTGACGCGGTCGTTCAAGACGGCTACGGCCTGCGTAGGCTGGAGCGACTCCTGTAGCTGGGTGTGAGCGGGCGCGGCGCAGCTTCCCCGGAGCTCCACTCACCAGCATGGCCGGGTAGTCTTTCCTGGACAGCTCCATGGTCGCGGGGGAGCGGTGCGGGGAGGGCGCCGGATTGAGCGGCGGGACGATCACATAGAGCCTGCGCGGCGCGGCGCAGACAGTGCAAGCGGGGGGGCTCTGCTTCGAGAGGAGCGAGGGTGGTGTTCGAGACGTGAGGCCGGTTTGCTGGCTGACGTTCGTCACGAAGACACCACAGACCACCGGGGCTATTCCTCTCCCGCGCACCGCAGCCAGGCACTTCCGCGCGCCACTCCTAATTTGCTGCACCAACGAGCCCGATCCGTCCGCCGAGGCCAGTGTCGCATAAAGTGCTGCCCGCCAGCGCCGCCCTCTGCCCGCCCGAGCCCAGAACCTCTGCGCAAACGTCAGCCAGCGCCGCCCGGACGCACTGCGAAATTGCAGCCCTACACGGCAGCCCAACCGGCGCAGCCGTGCCCGGACGCCTCACTCTCTCGCCATGGCTTCCGCCGACGCCTGGCGCGCCACCTTGAGCTTTTCCGATCGCCTGGCCACCATCGTCAACATGTACGGCAGCCCTTCGGCCGACGCATCAGTCGCATTTCCGCGACACGATGCCTCCGCCGCCCGTCCTCCCGATGACGCGGCTGCTCTCTCCCCGGCAGGCCCGTTCCCGACGAGTCTCTTCCGTGCTCATTGAATGTGTTGGTGCAGAACATCATGCTACAAGCGTGCGCACCCAGAAGCCACTCCGGCCGACGCCAGCAAAGAATCCAGGGCGTTAGAGGACGCTGCATTTGCGCAGGCGACGACATATGTACGTGCTCCATGTCTGGCGGCGCTGCGCATGTCTAAGCATTGGTAGGTTGACTACGAGCTACGCTGCGAAGCTGTCGTGCAAGAGCTATCGTCAAAGTCCCCGGCAGTAGAAGCCGAGACACCAGAGGTAACCCATCATCCTTCGGACCGCGCTGCTGGGCTATTGGCAATATCTGCATGACCGTCCGGCTGGATTGTGCATGCCTACTAACTTCAATCCAGCATGACGACGAGATTCCTGAAAACACGGGCTTCCACATCGGGAAGTACAAAAATGTGGCCCACCACGCCAACGGCCTATTCTCCGAGATTTACAAGGCAAGGCGTCTCGAGGACGACAGCAGTCCTCGTGCAAGCAAGCTCGTGGCACTCAAGGTCACCGTGCCGTCTATGATGAGCCCGCCTCACGATTCTCAGAAGGAAGCGCAACTGTTAGAAATAGCACGATCGGAGCAGAACCATGTCATGCCATTGCTGGAGACGTTCTGGCAAGCAGGTGGCCGCTTCGTCCTGGTCTTCGAGTACATGCGCTGCGACCTAGAGCAGCTTCTAAGCAGGAGAGAGCTTACCCGCACGCAGGCCACGAATTGTCTGCGCGACCTGTTCGAGGCGCTCGAGCACCTCCACTCGCTCGGGATTATCCACCGCGATGTGAAACCTTCTAACGTCCTCCTCAGATCACCAGCGGGCCCGGCGTTCCTGGCGGATTTTGGCATTGCGTGGAAGGACGGCGTTCGTGGTTCAGAACCGGCAGACCAGAAGATCACGGATGTCGGGACAACGCATTACAGGCCCCCTGAGCTTCTATTCGGCAATACGTCTTACGGGCCGGCACTCGACATGTGGGCCGCAGGATGCGTGGTAGCGGAGGTGGCGTGCCTAAGAGAAAGGCCCCTCTTCGACTCGGGTGAACTTGGCAGCGACCTCGCCCTCGTCAACAGCCATTTCCAGAGCCTGGGGACGCCGAACGACGATGTTTGGCCGGTAACGTGGCTGTCCCCCACTCTGGGAGCAGTAGCTTACTTTTGTTCAAGGAAGCCAAGCGGTTTCGGGACTGGGGCAAGGTGCAGTTTTACGAATACCCATCACGGCCGTGGAGCGAGCTCTTGCCCGATTGCAACGACACGGCCAGAGACCTCGTGAGCCGGTTGGTTGTGTACGAGAGCTCGCGGCGACTGACAGCATCCGAGGTAAGCACCACCACCAACACAAGGTGCGGTTGGTTTTTAATTTATTGACCGAGGCAGGCTCTGCGCCACGATTTCCTCAAGAACGGGGCCTGAGCGTAGGGCATGCGCTCGCGTGGGCTCATTCCGTGGACCGTTGGAGCAAGTGCAACGGGGCGGGAACCGTCTGGCCTGGCGCTTCCTGTGCTGCAGGGTTGATGCCGTTTGGCTTGGCCCAATGAAGGGCGGTTCTGGAAGTCAGGGGCAGTTCTAGAGTAGCATCATCGTACAGAGGACGCAATCGCGATCGGAGGCGACTCCCAAGTGGATCTGAAGAGGGCGAGAATCCGCTCCGCAGTGGGCGGCTGCGTCATGACTCAAGTAGTTCGCGCGGCGGACGAAGCTTCGCAATGCGGTGAATGGAGAGGTGAATAAACGCGCTCACCAGCGTCATCCGGCAGATTGCACTGTCAACTAGCACCGAACGGCGCATAAGGCCATGCCGCAGGTGGGCTGTTGCTCGCCTGTGCCTCGCGGGCGGCGCTGCCAACGTGTTGCGCTGCGAGGGTTTGGGCGTGAACGGAGTCCCTGCAGCAACCTCGACCCGGCGACTCAAGCTGCCCCACGTCTTACGCCGGCCGGCTCGAAAACACCCATTCCACGCCGTACATCTCCGTCGGTATCGGCAAAGACTGTGGATAATCCTGCGAGCCACCCTATCTTGCCAGACTCCCGCCGCCTCGCCCCGCGTCTCCGGTACGACAGTAGCAGCCCGTTGCGCTATCTTGCCCGCAGTCCAATTAGACCACTCGATCCGCGCATGATCTTCCTTGCCCGGTAGCGGCTTTTAACCTAGCAATCGCTGCCGCCATGGCCTTTCTCTTCAACCGCAATAAGCAGCGAAACAACATGGACCTGGTGCGCTCCACCAAGGAGGCTCTCCAGCGCCTCGCCGCCGAGGAGAAGCCCCAGCCGAAGACCGAGGAAGACCTGTCGCGCAATCTCACCCAGATGAAAATCGTACTCCAAGGCACCCCAGGTAAGCTCCTTCCGCACGAGCGTGCACCCGGATGCTGACCCCGAGCAGAGGCGGAAGTAAGTCCGGAGCAGGTCTATCAGCTCGTCAACCTGATCTGCGCCGAAGACCTCCTGCTATACCTCGCCCAGAACATCCACAAGCTTCCCTTCGAGGCCCGTAAAGATACCCAGATCATCATTTCGAATGCATTCCGCTACCGAATACCCAACAACTCCAATGCCGAGCCGCCGGCGATGCACTATGTCTTGTCCAACCGTCCGGAAATCATAATAGAGCTTTGCTATGGCTACGAGCGCAGAGAGAGCGCCATGGCTTGCGGTGGCGTGCTGAGGGAGGCACTGAAGCATGACGCGGTTGCGGCTCTGATCCTGTACGACGAGCCCGACCGGCGGGGCAAAGACATGTTGGCGAACATTGATCCAACGCTGCCGTCGTCGGGAGACGGCATCTTCTGGAAATTCTTCGAGTGGATCGATCGGGGCGCATTTGAGGCGTGCGCGGACGCGTTCAACACCTTCAGGGTATATCCCACGCACCCGCCGGAACATCGAACGATTGTGATATTAACCCGGGCGCACAGGACATCCTGACAAAGCACAAGGCGCTAGTCTCGGACTATCTGCAGACGAACTTCGATCGGTTCTTCAAGACATACAACGCGGTGCTGGTGCAGTCAGACAGCTATGTGACGAAGCGGCAGTCGATCAAACTGCTGGGAGAGCTGCTGCTGGACCGGGCAAACTACAATGTCATGACGCAGTACGTCGCATCGGGGGAGCACCTGAAGATCATCATGAAGCTCCTCCGGGACGATAGGCGCATGATAAACTACGAGGGCTTCCACGTTTTCAAGGTGCGTGCAAGGATGGGGAAGCTCGGCAGGCTTCCGGAGCGTCATGCTGATCGCTGCAGCACAGGTCTTTGTAGCGAATCCGAACAAATCAGCGGCCGTGCAAAAGATCCTGATCAACAACAGGGACCGGCTCCTCAGGTTTCTGCCCACCTTCCTCGATGATCGGACGGAGGACGACCAGTTCACGGACGAGAAGAGCTTTCTGATCCGGCAGATTGAACTCCTACCGCCGGCTCCGGCTCAGCCGGCGGCATAGCGCTTTGCCGGCATGGCACACCCCTTTAGGACAGTAAGCATATTTTCTTCGCGATTGTGTTTCCCGCGGCGCAGAGAGCACGGGAATAAGGCGCTCGGCGCGTGAACGGACGGGTGCAGGGGCAAGCGAGACGGTCACGTGTCGGCGGCGGAAGTGAGGGCAGCGGAGTAAGGTGGCTGCCGTGAGGCGACATGCGGGCAACCCCGGCATTTGCAAGAAGGCTGCGGGAAGGAACAGGCAACTTGTAGTGTAGATACGATCACATCAGATGACGCTTCACCAAAGCGTCGCGTCCGGGCCGCCGTGACATGGCAGAGCGGAGCCGCAGAGGGAGGGCAGCGCGCGGCCGGGCCTAGGCGCAGTGCAGGGCAGACGATGGCGCTATTGCGGGACAGAGGGCAGAGTCGAGTCCTGCAGACGCGGGTACTGTGTACGGACTACTGTGTGCGGGTATGGGCTCAGTGGTCGGGGCCGGTAGATAATCATTATTTCGCTTCTCTGCGCGCGCCTGGCCGCTCGGGCCGTGCTGGGATGGCGCTTCGCGGCTGCTGAACACGTGGTATGGGAGGAATCTGGAGGGCCTAAGCTGGTGCAGTCGGCTGGGCACCGACGGGGCGTTGGATCGCGCTGGATCGCGCAGGGCGTTGGGCGGTGGCAGTGGAGCGGCGCGCAGGGGCGCGCGGAGGCGCAGGCCGAGCGGCTGGTGTGTTGCCGACTGCAAAGCTTGGCCTTCGTCATTGCATGGGCATGCCTGGGGCGTTTCTCGCCGAGCGCACGGCGTGGGCGTTGCTCTGAGCAGCGGCCGCTATCCGCTAGCTGCGCGCCTCGATCCACGCATCGAGCGTCGCCTGCCCGCCGCGCGCCTCCCATCGTGCCGGCGACGTGGGCTTTGGCGGGCTTTGGCGGGCACTGGCGGGCACGCTCGCGCTGGGGTGGCAAGCATCCTAAGCGGGCCTCAGTGGCCCCCTACTTGCTGGGACCTAGCCCGGAGCAGTCGAGGGCAGGGCAGCGGCAGCAAACCACACGCACCTTAGTCGCTGCGCGGAGGACCCTAAAGCGCCAGCGCCGCCTACCCTCGCTCCTGCCCTGCGAACCGCCCCTTCTAAGCCCTTTGTCTTGGCCGCGTGCGACTTTGCGCTGCTGGGTTGTGCAGCCGCTGGCCGACCCTGACGCCTGCAGTCTGCTTCCGACGTCATCGCCTGCGCTCGCACCGCCTGTCCCTTTGAGACCTTGCCTCTCGCGCATTCTTCGCCGCGCACCTCGCCCGCCGATCGCCCGCCTGCCCGCCGCCAGTCCGTCAGCGAGCAGTGTCACTCTGATGTGGTCTTCGTACAGCATTGGTCCTCCATCACACGCAGCTCCCTTCGTTCGGCGACCCCAGAGCAGTGGGCGGTGGCAGGAGACGGGGACGAGATGATCAGAAAATCCCCACCACCATCGCCAACCACTGCTCAAGCTCTCGACAGCGCCGCACCTGAGCCCGAGCCCGACCTCGCCATCCGCATCGCGCACGCGAGCCCCCCCAACGACCAGCACCCTCGCCCGCCGTTGAACCGCTCTCCGCCCGCCTTCACCGAAAGCGATGAAACGCCACCGCTGAGCCCTTGCCCAAGCCCGCCGGCATCCACCGACGCTCCCACCGCAGACTCTGCGAGCGCCAGCGCCAGCGCTGTCCATGACGCCGTAGCCGCCGGCGAGAGTGCTGCCGTTCCTCCTCCAGGGTCGGCGAGGACCGCGAGACCGTCGCCAGCCCCGGTTGCCGCGGAGCTGGATCGCCTGAAGCAGGCCGTCCATGCAAAAATGGTCCTGAGTCAGCAGCGCGCTAAATTGAGCAGCATGGGTGGTGCACCTCCCAGTCCAAAGTTCATGGGCGCCCGCAGGGTCTCTCCGATCAAGGAAGAATCCGATACCATATCCCCCTCCCTCGATGCTGCATTCAGCAGCCCCATGCCGACCGGCTCCCTCACCACCTCGACAGAGTCGACCGAATCCTCCAAAACCGTCCGTGGCAGTGTCCCCGCTACCCCCGCCCAGATGCCCTTGCGCACGCCTTCGTATCCTTTCCCGTATGTCCCTGGCACTCCGCGAACATGGTCGTCCTCGTTCCATCAGCCCTTCACCGCACTGTCCCCGACCGTTGGCGCAATGGACATGAGGGAAACCGGGACCCCACGGGACAGGCAGTTGTCGAGTGTGAGCACGCCGTTGGTATCTGCTGCTTCTTTCATGCCCCCGGGTGCCACGATGCAAACCGCAGAGGATCCGCAATATCCAACGCCGAACCTGTATGATTTGACACTGCTTTTGTCGTCGGAGCCTGGGTTGGACGCGTGGTGGAAAGTGGTCACGAACATCATGAGGGATTGGTATGGAGCAGAAAGGGTTACACTTGCCGTGCCTGCCGACCCAACAGATATCGAAAACGTTCCGTGGGGCCAAAAAGCTTCGTTCAATTCAGTGGGAACTGTCAACCTAACCTCATCTTTCAAGGCGACAGAACATCCGCAGAGTAACGACGCTAGGGCTGAAGAGAGCAAGGGGAAAGAGGGCAAGACTGAAAACGTGGATATTTTCCAACAGCAGCAGCAGCAGCAGCAGCAGCAGCAGCAGCAGCAGCAGCAGCAAGAAACCCCTTCACGCAGAATGCGCCCGAAGCTGGAATCGAGGCATTCGTTTGCTGGACATGAGCGAACAAAAAAGGACATGGCAGGCGAGCAAAGAACGTCTGGGCTCCCACTGAGGCCACGAGGCCCTATGAGAACTGCGAGCCATACCCCTCACCAAGCGGGCCAAAGTCACCCGATGCCCCCGCAACGGGATGTCCAATTCTCCGATCCCCCCTCCATCTTCATCCAGCAGCGTCTGAAAGAATCCACATTCAGTGACCCCGACTTCTCCAGTGTGGGCGAAGAAGTCCACAAAGGACCGTATTGCCAAGTCTTTCCAGTTCTCCGGGCGCTGGACCACGAACCACAAGCCCTCATCGATAACTCTGGAATCAACCGGGTATTAGAGAGAGGGAAACTGGTCACGCTTACTCGGGATTACTCAAGCATCGATAGCTCAAGGAGAGACTCAGGCGCCCATTCGTCCAAGGACTCGCACGGCTCTCCAGAGACGCCATCCGCAAACAGGCCACAAGCAACCCCCAAGGCAACTGACATCCGCAGCCGAGCAGGCAATGCATCGCACTTCGCTGGCGAAGACTTTTACCGTTTCAAGCTCACGACACAGTACGAAGAATACGAACAATACCCTAGTTCACCATGGGCACAATCGCCTGCTCCATCGCCTGCAATCCAGGCCAATCCAAACGAGAATCCCTTTTTTGCATCTGCGAATGTGGACGAGGAATCCTTCAATCCGCGAGGCTCGGGGTCTGGCCCAGACTATTCGGCACCCGTGGAAGCAATTGGCATTGACAGAGCCAGCACAGTCACGCACCTTCCTTTGATCCATCCCCTTTTGTCACAGGTGATGCAACCCTTCGAAACAGACACTCCCGCCGAGACGCCGGCCGAATCTCGTTTCTCGACCGTCTCCTCCGAACCTGCAGCCCCGAGGAAAGCACCAATAGCCATTGTGTCGATGCTTTCTCCCATGGTCCCGTATCCGCAAAACCTGACGCAATCACTAAAGCTCATTGCGCCGCATCTGGCAACAACTTTCTCCAATGGTCTGCATTACTCATCGGCACACCGTACAGCGGTCGGTACACGCCACCATCGTTACGGTTCAGGACAGAGCGCTACCTTTGGAGCGACCCCAGGTGACGCGGAAAGCCTTGACGATCTGATACACCTGGATATTGATATTACTGATTCGGCAACGGGAAGCATAACGAGCCCATCAGAGTACTCGGTACGGTCGAAAAACAGTCCGGTGGGATCAATCGCTGGAACTCCCGGATGGGATCCTTCCGTCATGGGGTTTTCAAGCAGCAAGCACTCTGTCGGCAATACGCCAGGCCATGTTCTTGGAAGTGAGGCCGTGGACAGCTATTTCGACGCAAAGAAGAAAATGGGTCCGAGCAGGGGAGAGGCGACTCTCAAGCCTGGCGGCGGCACGCCCCCTCCTGTGGAACAACGGAATCCCAGCGGGCGCAAGGTCGTTTCAATCATGCCAATGGAGGAGGAAGATGTGACGCCGAGGCTGGATCAGGCTCCGACGAGCCAGCCTCAGAGCAAGGATGCAAAACAACCGTCCCCCGAGGCCAAGCTATCTGGCAGCCCTACACGTTCTACACACCCCCGAAGACTAAGTCTCCACTTGAAACAGGATCAAATGGGCCGTAATGACCAGCGCCACCACCACAGCCTCCTTCACTCTTATGGCGCAGACTTTAGCTCATCCTTCCAGTCGCTGCCTGCGGCCACGACGCCTGTGAAAACTCCCGCTCCTCAGTTCGGTCATGGCCGGTCTCCCTCGATATCAGAACGGCAAGACATGCCGCCTCCATCGGAGCGCCTGCTTAGAACCATTATAGATTCTTTACCAGTGCAGGTGTTCACTGCAGCCCCTTCGACTGGCGCTTTAACTTGGGTCAACACCAAATTTTTGGTTTATCGTGGGCAGGACTGTCGCCAGATCTTGCAAGAACCTTGGGAAGGTATCCACCCAGACGATCGACCTGAGTACATGAGCATGTGGGGTAGGTGCTTGAAGACGGGCCAACAATTTCAGCAGAAGGTGCGTGTACGTCGCTTCGATGGCCATTACCGCTGGTTCTATGTCCGCGCAGCACCCCTCAAGGATAAACGACAGAACATTGTTCATTGGATTGGGACAAACATGGATGTGCACGATCAACACCTTGCAGAAATAAACGCATCCAGACAACAAGAGACCGCTGCATCGGAAGCCAAATACCGTGCCTTGGCGAACTCAAGCCCACAGATCGTGTTCGCTGTCAACAAGAAGAAGGGTATCACTTTCTGCAACAGTCAATGGCTGTCCTACTCGGGACAAACAGAAGAGGATGCATTGGGTCTCGGTTTCATGGACTACGTTCATCCGGAGGATCTTGTCAAGTGCCGGTTGCCTGCGTTCGACAAGGATGGCGAGATGCCGAAGAACGTCCCGCTGTCCATGCCTTCGGAGCTGAGGCGGTCGACTTCGGCATCCAACGAGTCATCCACCTCAGATGATGCCAGCACCAACAGAACAGTGACAAGTCCTGGTGGTTCGACCCCGTCAACAATACACATGCCCCAGACCAGACTCTCAAAGCTCGCAGATACTGGAATCCTAAAGGTCACCAGAGACTCCGATGGACGACCGTCGTATTCGACCGAAGTCCGCCTGAGATCCAAAGATGGCACGTACCACTGGCATCTGGTGAGAATCCTCCTTGCGGAGCCGGTCCTTCAGGGCGAGGAAGAAGAAGAAACGTGGTACGGAACGTGTACAGACATCAACGATCACAAGCTTCTTGAACAAACTCTGAAGGAAACCATGGATGCGAAGTCTCGTTTCTTGAGCAACATGTCGCACGAGATCAGGACGCCGCTCAACGGCATCACTGGTATGGTAAATTTCCTCATCGACAGCAACCTCACTTCAGAACAGATGGAACACGTCAACATCATCCGCAACAGTACAGAAGGCCTTAGAGATCTCATCAATGACATCCTCGATCTCTCCAAGGTTGAGGCCGGCATGATCACCCTTGCAATGGACTGGATGCATGTCAGATCGCTCATTGAGGAAGTCAATGATCTAACTTCTGCGATGGCAATAAACAAGGGCCTGGAGCTGAATTACATTGTAGAAGAGGACGTTCCTTCGACGGTCAAAGGAGACAGATTCCGCATCCGCCAAGTATTGCTCAATGTTGTTGGAAACGCTATCAAGTTCACGCAGCGCGGAGAGGTCTTCGTTCGCTGCAGAATTGCGGAGAATCAGGACAATTCCATTCCAGGCAAAGAATCCCTCGTCCAATTTGATGTCATTGACACCGGCTCCGGGTTTACGGAGAAGGAAGCAGAGTTCTTGTTTAAACGGTTCAGTCAGATCGACGGCAGCAGCACTCGACAACATGGTGGCACTGGTCTCGGTCTGGCGATATCGATGCAGTTGGTGGAACTCCACGGTGGAAAGATGAAGGCAAGCAGTGTTCCTGGCAAGGGCTCCACGTTTACTTTCACAATCAAATTCACCCTTCCTTCGGAGGTTGAGCAGCCCCCGCCTGAAGCTCACAATCCAATTGCCACGACGATTCCACCGCCCGAGAGCGCTACCATGCTCTCGCCGTCGCCTGCGGGGGCGTTGAAGTCCCCAGCGCGTCTCTCCGAATCACCGAAACCGTCATCCGCTTCCTCATCGGCAAGTTCTGATCCCTCGGTCAGGACAGGAAGAACAAGTGTGCCATCAACGAGGTCATCAACTTCATCGTTCAGCTCCACTGCAAACGCTGCGAACATGAAACTGAGCTTGCCCAAGGACAATTCAAATAAGAGGGAGGACTCGGCAAATTCAAGTACATCAAGCGATACCGCACGGGCACCGAGCGCTTCAGGGTCGCCCCCACGGACATCCCCGCCTCTTGCTGGGCAACCACCCTTGTATTCTATACTGGTGGTCTGCCCCTTGGCAATGAGTCGCGACGCAACAGTCAAACACATCGAGATGACAGTACCGAAGGCGATTCCGGCTCAAATCACTGCCAGGGAATCGATTGAAGAATGCCGAAGAATGATTTCTGGGGAAGATCCCGTCATCTTCACCCATATTGTGCTGGTCCTTCATGAATCAAAAGACGTCATTGAGTTCATTGATCAAGTGTTCCATTCGCAGGCGCATTCCGGCACTTCGGTCATCATCATCTCGGACTTGGTGCAAAAGCGCGAAGTCATGGCCGAAGCGTCGGCACATGACTACGACAAGTTGACTGACGACCGTCGACTGCGCTTCATATTCAAGCCTCTCAAACCATCCAAGTTTGCGGTCATCTTTGATCCGCGGAAGGAAAGGGAGATCAGCACGGACCGGAACGAGAATAGTGCGCAGCAAGTGGCTGTCAACCAGAAGATGGTATTCGATGACATGAAGCGACGACTCGGCAACAAGGGGCACCGGGTGCTCCTTGTGGAAGACAACAAGATCAACCAGACGGTAAGTCGGCTCTTTGACATGTAGACCAACAGCTTTTACTTACGCGCATTACAGGTGCTCCTCAAGCTGCTCAGCAAGACGTCAATCAACGTCGAAACGGTGCTTGACGGCGTCGAATGTACGGACAAGGTTTTCGCGAATGACCATGGATATTACTCCATCATCTTGGTGAGCATAGCCTTGGAGTATTGTGCTTTTATAGCCGGACAGGAAATTAACAGGAATGGCAGTGCGATCTTCACATGCCGAACAAGGATGGTTATCAGACCTGCAAGGAGATCCGGCAGTGGGAGAAGAAGAACAGTCATCCGCACCTGCCGATCATCGCACTGTCGGCGAACGTTCTGGGGGACGTTTATTCTAAGTGCGTGGAAGCCGGATTCAACTCGTACGTGACGAAGCCGGTGGATTTCAAGGAGCTCAGCGCGGTGATGACCCGATTTCTGGATCCGCTGGATCGATCCAAACCTCACGAATTCATGCCGGCGCGCAAAGAGTGAGGCACGGGAGTTCCGGGCACTGGAACGAACCTCAAGGATGAACAGGGATGCCATCAGGACTAGCGCTGCATAACAGAGGAACACCAACCGGAGCAGGTGGAGTTTAGAGGGGAAAGATGTGCGGAACGCCGAGGTCGCAAGCAAGCAGGCAAGCAGGCAAGCACAGGCTGCTCGATATCTGCAGAGTGGATGACGCCGGACCGGGTCGGGTCCGTTTGCGTGGTTTGTCGTTATCTCTGGTTTTCCGGTCGAGGTATCCCGTCATAGTCAGCGCAGCTCTGATTTTCATCTTTACGAAATTGCATTTTCGCGAGCACGGGTGGGGTGGGATCGGTTTGGAATGGAATAATGTCTAGGCTACGGCATCTATACACGGGCGAACTGGAAGGACAGGGCGAGCACGGAAGGGACGTTTCCTACAGCGCAGCGGCACAGCGTGGTCTTTTTGTTTCTTCAACAGACGAGCTACGGGAGCGCGGGCAGGGTTGTTGCATTTGCGGGGGAGGGCGGCGACGGGGCAGGGAGCCGGGCAGGGACAGCGATTTGCGGGGACTGGGGGCCGGCGTGGCAGCCTGATTTTCTCTTCGACGGCCTGTATTATACCACCGAGCGAGACGAGCAGTAGACCAACAAGAAACAAACCATGGCAACAGCTGCAGGCACCGGTCGAGGCGCAGCGGCAGGACTGCGGGCCTGCGTTTCGGGCGCGGGCTTGTTGGGCGCTCGGCTGCGGCTGTGCTCCCCTTCCTTTTATAGCCGGCCCGCTCTTGGGCCAGCCCGTATTGTCTCATCGCCCATGCGCACGAGCGTCTCTCCGCTAAGCTTGGCTACTGTCACCCTTCACCAGCTGGACACAACTCACCAACAAGATCGTGGACCGGCGCCGCGTCGCACAAAGCCGCTGCACTCCCCCCGCCTGCCGCTATTCCTGCGCCCTCACTGGTCGCGCCGCCCGCCGCCGCGTCGTGTGATCGCCCGCCGAAGCGATCCAGAACGGTTTCATCATCGCGCCTTGTCGCTTGCCTCCAGCGCCCGGCGCCAGCGCTCCTCCCAACCAGGACAACCACCACGTCCCTACACCCCCGCCGCGAAACGAGCAGCCGATCGACCCTGGCCTCTTCGCCGGCCTCCAGCCCGTCCTTCTCTGCTATCTCTTGCTCACCCCTCGCAACCCTCCCCGCCATCCATCCTAGAGCCGCCTGCCGCCCATGCGGCTCCCACGCCCACTGCTCGGCGCGCCTTCGCCGCTGAAATGCCTCGTTCTGGCCCTGCCCCTCCTCGCATCGTCGCCAGCTCGCGCCGCTGACGTCGGCATCGAAGTCACAAAGCCTACGTCCTGCTCGCGGAAAACGCAGCCGGGCGACAGCATCGAGGTGCATTACCGCGGCTCGCTGCAGAGCGACGGCAGCGTGTTTGATGAGAGCTACAAACGCGGCAAGCCCTTCTCATTCACGCTCGGCGCCGGCCAGGTCATCCAGGGCTGGGACCAGGGCTTGCTGGACATGTGCATCGGCGAGGGCAGGAAACTGACCATCCCGCCCGAGCTGGGTTACGGCAGGAGTGGCAACGGGCCCATTCCGCCGTCCTCGACGTTGAGTAAGCGCTCTGTGTGTGCGGTTCGTCCCTCCGACCGTTTTTGCTGACTTGCGATTAGTCTTCGAGACGGAACTTATGGGCATCGAGGGGGTGGATCCGAATGATGAACCAGAGGGCCCACCACCCGACCGCCCACCGCCCCCGCATGGCGGCAAGGACGGGCCAAAGCACCCCCCGCCGGACGATAATGGCGAGTGCCGGTTGCTTGGGCCTTTTGCGCTGTTGATCCAGGGCGCGCTGGGGCTGTTGGCCCTGCTGTCGTTGGTGTGGAAGAGGTACCGCGAGAGGCCGAGGCGCCCAGTCAAGGTTTGGGCTTTCGACGCTTCAAAGCAGGTTGTTGGGTCCATGATGTTGCACCTGGCGAACCTGTTCATGTCAATGCTTTCTTCGGGTAATTTCAGTGTTGCTGAGGAGCGCCTGGAAAAGCACAAGCCCGGATTTGCGCAGGACAAGGAGATGCCGAACCCGTGCTCCTTCTACCTCCTTAACCTCGCTATTGATGTAAGTGGATATCTCGCTACATGTTGTGGAGCGTTGTTCATCTCTAATGTCTTCACAGACCACGATCGGCATCCCCATTCTCGTAGGACTGCTCCGCGTGCTGCACGCCCTATTCTTGCGGACACCGCTTGCGAACCCTCCCGAGTCTATCAAATCGGGCCACTATGGGCAGCCGCCGCGGACGAAGTGGTGGCTGAAGCAGTGCTTTATCTACTTCCTCGGCCTGTTCGGCATGAAGTTTTGCGTTTTCGTCATCTTTTCCCTATTGCCCTGGCTGGGTTGGGTGGGCGACTGGGCGCTACGCTGGACCGAAGGCAACGAGGCATTGCAGATCGCCTTCGTGATGCTCATCTTCCCTCTCATCATGAACGGCATGCAGTACTACATTATCGATTCTTTCATCAAGGACCCGGTTGGAGACGAGTCACACAGCCAGCTACGCTCTGGCGACGGATCGGAAGACGACGAGGAGCGGAGGCACTTAAGGCACAGCATGGACGACGACAGCGACGACGATGACGATTACACGTTGGGAAGAGAGAGCGTCGAGCCGCAGAAGCGACCCAGCAGCATCACCGCCCAGGACGTTGCGCTGAAGGAGGCAAATCCGACGCCGGTGCCTCAGTATGATGACTCCACCATCGGGGCGTCGAGCTCGAGCAGCCCGCGCTCTACGCGGAGCGGGACTTCGGTAGGTAAAGATAAGGAGCTTACTGGACCAAGGTAAACGGTAATAAAACACACATACCACCGGCGGCGTTGGGGAACGTAACGGGTATATTGATATCACATACCTAGAGGCGGACTGTCTTTCTGCTTCAGAGGAAACTGTACATGGGATGGGTTGTTTGTACTTTCAATCAGTGGGGTTCTGGTGGGGGGGTCGTTTGGTTCATGAAAGCGCAAGAATTTTTCGCGGTAGTGTTTTTGAGTTCGTTTGTTTTTTTATTGCTGATGCACGTGTGTGAAGATCGAGAAAAGCAAATATATACAACCCAATCCCCATGATTACCGTCGTGCGAGGCGTTAAGTAGGTATTACGCTTGGGATGTACTGTTTTGCTCCTGGGCTCGCAATCTGTATGCCCATGTACAGGTCAATAGTGGATGTGCAAGTAGTGGGGCCCACCTTCATTTTCGAGCACTGGGGTCTGTTAGACTTCGGCTTCCCATGACGCACACCGTATGCACAGAACAATCAATCGGTGGTATATTGGCCTTCAGTACGAGCTTCGCTTGTTATATAATCGGTATCCTGCAAGCACCGAGGCCGTCAGAACCCCTCTCTAAGCGCTTTCCCTGATGGCAGTCAACGCGCTTGCAGCAGCCTCTTTGGCCTTCGTAACCTCCTCAGTGGACGCGGCACCATCGTTGGCCTCCTGCGACGGGTCAGCATTTCTTCTCCCGTGACAAGCATTGCGAGAGACTTACAAGCTCATCGTTGAGCCTGTCGAGAGCATCCTTGATCTTCTGACTGATGGCGGGGAGGACGTTCTTGGTCTCCTCAAGCGCTTGACGCTAAAAGTAGATGATCGATCAGTGACGTCGGCCAACGAGCGGGTGTAGCAGCAGAGCATTACCTCCTGCTTCAGGGTGTACTCGGCATTCTCGTCGCCCGGAGTGTCCTCGAGTTTCTTGATGCGGGCCTGCTGTTGCTCAAGCTCCTTATGGTAGCTGGCCTCCTCCTTGACAAGGCGGACGACGGAGGAGGTGGCGACGGCGAGCTTGGATGGGGGTGCCATTTTCGGTGCTGTAGTGCAGTCGTTCAGTTTTATGATGCAACTTCTCCGTGACGATGGCGGGGTGGCTGATTGGCGGCGGGGCACGGGCTCCCATGCATGGGGCGCCAAGCCCTACAGCCCATTACCTTTCCACTTTAGGCCCGCGCGCCCGCGCGCGACATGCACGCGGACGCGTCGAGCGCGTCGTCCACGGCGCTTGGATCAGCGCTTGATTGCTGCCGAAACTTCAGCCCGCGTCGTCCAGCCTGCGCTTGCCAACACTCTGCCGTCCGCCCTCTTCCTTTCCTCCACACAGAACAGCATGTCGTCTACACCATCCCGGCGCTCGCAGCGCAATTCTGCTTCTGCCACTCCCCGCCGGAGTCAGCGCAACTCTCAACTTCCTGCCAGCAGTCCCACTGCTGTCAATCAACAGCTGCAATCCGAAGCCTCGCAAGCTTCCACCCCCAGGAACCGCATCCAACAACAGAACGCCCCGACCTCTTCTCCTCTGTTCTACAATGGCTCTACGCCTGCCGGCAGCTCCGCTGCTGCTAATGGCGCCCCCAATGGCACCGATGGCGACAGGACTCCGAGGGCGTCGGCCATGAATATCGGAGGTAAGAGTTGCGCCTGTATGCCAGCGATATCAGAGCATTGACATCCAACTATCGCAGACTCATCGCCCATCCGCTACTCCAGTTCCAGTCCTGGACGTGCCGCCAATGCGCAGCGCGACCCCCGCAGTGCCAGCAGTGGCCTGTTCGTCCGATCATCACTATCCGGTCCGCCAGGCTCGTCGGCACGCAACAGGCGAAGTGACATAAACTCCGATGTTTTCGGAGGCGCAAGCGCTCGTGGCCGTCGTCTCTTCGTTGACGAGCACGGCAACACCATTGGCGCCAGTGGCCAGGCATCGGATGTCGCTACCTTCTCCCAACTCGATCCCCATACCTCGGACGCCGAAGCGATGGGCGGTGACTCCACAAGGGTCATCTGGGGTACCAACATCTCCATCGTTGATTCCATGCACGCCATGAAGGACTTCCTTTGGAACTTTCAAAAGAAATACCGCATGATGCAGGATGAGACTTTGTCCGAGGGGCAACAACTGCCTCAGGATCACCCCGGGACGACGAAGGAATACATGGAAATGATGAAGACAATGCTGGACCTGGGGGTTACAGCACTCAATCTGGATGCGCGCAACCTCAAGTCTTATCCTCCTACACGAAAGCTGTGGCATCAGCTGCAGGCCTTTCCCAACGAAATCATCCCGCTTATGGATGTGGCGGTTAGAGATGTCATGGCCGAGCTGGCTGAAAAGCGCATGAATGAGATGAGGACGCAGCAGCAGCAGGCTCAGAGGCCACAAAGGACGAGAGATGGCAGCTCCTTGCCGCCGGTCCCTAGCTCCGATGTCGATTCTCCTGCTGCGTTCCCCAGTGATTCTGCTGCCGGCGTGCCCGACTTGGTTCGTGAGGTTGAATCGAGGGTTTACAGAGTCCGTCCTTTCGGTCTGGATCAGACGATCAATCTTCGCGAGCTGAACCCAGGCGACATGGACAAGCTGGTCAGCATCAAAGGCCTTGTCATTCGGACTACTCCGATCATTCCTGATATGAAAGATGGTAAGTTTGGCTTCCCGCTTGCTCATGGGATGCATGCTGACAATTTCTAGCTTTCTTCCGCTGCTCCGTCTGCAATCACACTGTCAAGGTCGACATTGACCGCGGCAAGATCGCCGAGCCCACCTCGTGCCCCCGTCCGGTTTGCGCCTCGCCCAACTCGATGCAAATCGTGCACAATCGGTCTGGATTCTCAGACAAGCAAGTCATCAAACTCCAGGAGACACCCGACAGCGTTCCAGATGGACAGACACCGCACTCGGTTTCCCTGTGTGCGTACGACGAGCTTGTCGATGTTTGCAAGGCAGGTGACCGGGTGGAGATTACCGGTATTTTCAAGTGCAACCAAGTCCGTGTCAATCCGAGGCAGCGCACTGTCAAGAACATCTTCAAGACCTACGTCGACGCCCTGCATATCCAGAAGGTCGACAAGAGGAGAATGGGCATCGATACTTCCACGATCGAAGAGGAACTCTCCGAACACATCGCTGGAGATGTCGAGGAAACGAGGAAGGTCAGCGAGGAGGAAGAGGCTAAGATCAAGGGGGTCGCTGCCCGTCCGGACGTCTACGAGCTACTTGCCAGGTCATTGGCTCCCAGCGTTTACGAGATGGACGATGTGAAGAAGGGCATCCTCCTCCAGTTGTTCGGTGGCACAAACAAGTCGTTCGAGAAGGGGGGCAGCCCGAAGTACAGAGGTGACATCAACGTTCTCCTCTGCGGTGACCCGTCCACCTCCAAGTCCCAGCTGCTCCAATACGTCCACAAAATTGCACCACGTGGTGTGTACACCAGCGGCAAGGGTTCTTCAGCTGTCGGTCTCACCGCATACGTGACACGCGACCCGGAGACACGCCAACTTGTGCTTGAGTCCGGTGCGCTCGTGCTGTCAGATGGCGGCGTGTGCTGTATCGACGAATTTGACAAGATGTCGGATGCAACCCGCTCGGTGCTACACGAAGTCATGGAGCAGCAAACAGTCTCCATTGCCAAAGCTGGCATCATCACGACTCTCAACGCCCGCACCTCCATTCTCGCGTCGGCAAACCCCATTGGCAGCAAGTACAACCCCAACCTCCCTGTCCCACAAAACATCGACCTGCCTCCCACCCTTCTCTCGCGTTTTGACCTGGTTTATCTCGTCCTCGACCGCATCGACGAACAAAACGATCGCCGTCTTGCACGCCACTTGATTGGCATGTACCTCGAGGACAACCCCGCCAACGCCGCAGCCAAGGAAGTCCTGCCCGTCGAGTTCCTGACGGCCTACATCTCGTACGCCCGCACGCACGTGCAACCGCGCCTCACGCAGGCGGCGTCGGACGAGCTCGTGAGCGAGTACGTCGCGATGCGCAAGCTGGGCGAGGACGTGCGCGCGGCGGAGCGCCGCATCACGGCGACGACGCGCCAGCTCGAGTCGATGATCCGGCTGGCCGAGGCGCACGCCAGGATGCGGCTGGCGCCCGCGGTCGAGGCGGCCGACGTGCGCGAGGCGGTGCGCCTCATCAAGAGCGCGCTCCAGCAGGCCGCCACCGACGCCCGCACCGGCCTCATCGACATGGCCCTGCTGACCGAGGGCACCAGCGCCAGCGAGCGCCGCCGCCGCGACGACCTCAAGACGGCCGTGCTCGCCGAGCTCGACGACATGACGCGCGCCGGCGCCGCCGTCCGCCTCGGCGACGTCATCCGCCGCGTCGGCGAGGGCGCGGGCGTGCCCGTCGAGGGCCAGGAGGTCGTCGACGCGCTGAGGGCGCTGGAGGCCGAGGGGAAGGTCCAGGTCACCGGTGAGGGCGCGAGGAGGAGCGTCAGGAGGGTCACTGGTGTTTTATAAACACCCCCCAAAAAAAAGGAAAAGGGAAAGAAAAGAAAAGAAACAACCCCCCCCCCACCCGGCGGAAATCTTTTTTTTTCTTCTTATCTAGGTAGGTAGTTGTGATGGCTGATGAAGAGATCGGGTTTATGCGTTTCGAAAATCATGTTTTGCGTGTTTTCGTCTTCCCGGGGTAAGAATGGGGAACGGAACGGAACTACTATGTATGAGCTTTAGGCTTTGGGCTTTAGGCTTGGGTCTTCTTTTTTGCTTTCGTTTTTGTTTTTCTGCAATCGCACGAGATATCACGCTTAGCTAAGGGTTTTGGTAGTAGTATGGGATCCCAAAAAAATCAATTGAATGAATGAATGAATGAATGAATGTCGAAAACGGGAATCAGTCGTCTTGTACGTATGAAGTGGTATGTGTTTGAATCTGATGGGTTGACTCCTCTAAGGGGCTAACACTTCGTAGGAGACTAAATACAAGACGAGGAGGCTAGACCTAATTGGGTGTTCTATTCTGGGTATCTACTATTGTGCGGCGTCTCGATCTTCAACAGTATGATCCAAGACGACGGTATGATTATCATTTCTTCAAGGGAGGGTCCCCCCTGCAAAAGGTCACGGAAGAGGTCTTGCTTTTTTTGCTTTTTGCTTTTCTTTTTGTTTGGGCGCGCATGCACAAGCGAGTTTGTTTTGTGTGTGAAGGATATGCATTGAATGTTGATCAGAAGACATTACCACTACTACGTCAGTGCGTAAAGCTGTAGAACATGAGGCGATGCGAGAAGAAGAGGAGAAGAGGAAGCATCCAAAGAAGAAAGAGAAGAGGAAAAAAAAGGAGAAAAGTCAGGTGGGGGTAGATGTAACAGTAGGACCCGCATTCCGCCTCCTCTTCGTCCCAAAAATAATTTCCATCAGAAGAAAGATATACGTTCCTCGAAGAAATGATGATGGGTATAACATCTCGTTGCTAATCCTTGCTTTGCCTGGTAGGGATCCCGGGCCTGGGGCTATCAGATAGTCTTTCCGCCCCCCTTCTTCCGACGTTCTGCGAATGTCCCAATAAACGGGAGCAGGGACCCCCGCCTGCCCTCTCTTCCCGAACTCCCCCCCTACTTTCTCTAGTCGCGCTCACTCTCTTTCTTTCTTTCTGCAGGATTTATTGGATCCTGCTTCGTGCAATTAAACCTGCCCCAGCACCAAAAAGACTTGGGAGGAAACGAGCCAATGATGAATCGAAGATCAGACGAGCCGCCAAAAATAAAAAAAAAGAGCGCGTGAAAAAACGGTCGCCAACTAAATGAGGAGTCAAAGTGCTAAAATCGTTCGATAAACCGTCCCCGTTCAAAATCACTTCAGTGCGTTTATTCCTCATCTCCCGTCGCGCCAAGGAGCGAGCCCACAGCGGCCAGACCGCCTGCCTTGCCAGAGGTGATCTCCGACAGCGTGTCGATGACACCCACCAGCGAGGGGAACTCGCAATCGGACGCGGCGGGCCGATAGGCTGCCTTGGCGATGGAGATTTCAAGGCCTTCGACCTGGTCGGCGGGCACAGAGGAACCGTCGGCCTGCAGAAAATTTAGAGTTAGTTGGTGCGGTTCGAGAAAGATGGTAAAGTTTGCTCGTATTGCAAGCGCCGAAAATAGGCTTACGCCAGGCTGCCCCATGGGGCCCGTGTGCTCTTTGGTTTGACAAACTTACCTTCTGAACCCTCCACTGGAGGTTCTCCTTGAGGTACGGAACGACTTCGGACGGATCCATGCAGCCCAGGTCCTCGCTGGCAACGCGCTGCTCAATCTCGCGCGTCAGGGACACGGCGGCATAGATATCTTGACTTTCACCAGCTCCCATGGCCGAGTCATCCATCACGAAAAGCGGAGATGAACCGGCGAGGTGGTCGTCCGTCATCCAGTCGGCAGGGCTGTCGCTGAAGTTGCCGATGAAGAGGTAAATGACGCCGGGACCTCCCAGAGCACACTTGCTCAGCTTGATGTTGGCCGTGTACTCGTAACGGCGCTCGTCCTTTGCGGCGGCATCGGCATCGATCTGACCGGGTTGGACGAGCTTGTTGATGATATCGGTAACGCCGTCGGCCACATCATCGACCGCGTCCTCAACATCAGCACGCTTGGTCCGGTGGCTGACAGTGCTCTGGCCGTACAGTTTGTTGATCGTCGTCCTAACCGCTGCCTGGTCCGCGTTCACGAGGTCGGGGTAAGTGTACGAAAAGGTCTTCACATCGCGAACCTTGGCCGCTGTCCAAAAGTCGCCGTTCGTGTTGGCATGGAACGGATACAGCTCTGTGCAAGGTTAGCTGCCGTTCTAGTCATCCGCAAAGGTCATCTTACCAGAATCAGCATCCAGGACGTCTCCAGAGTTGACCATGTATGTCCCGTAAGCCTGGGCCCAAGGCTCAACATAGCTGTCAGGGTTGAGCACCTGCCACATGGCAAAGATACGGTCGATGTTACTGCAACCGGTCAGAACAAAGGCATCAGAAAAGCCGGAGAGGAATCTTACCAATGGTGCAACATGAAGACCGGGTCGAACGATGACCAGGGGACATGGTACATGTTTCCGTTGTTGCCACCAGCCCAGATGTGGACCCAGCCGTGAATAGCCTCGACACTCTGGAACTGGCCTGGTTTGTAAGAAGCCATGTTACCAAAAATGGTGAAGTTGTGGTAGTTCGTGAAGAGATCGTAGAGCGCATCACGCAGCTGCGGGCGGCTCTTGTCCATGGTGCTGACGAATTGGTCTTCTTGTGACTGAGCGCTCGCTTCCTTTGTTGGGGGGTATCTCATTGTCTCAGGGTAAACGGAGAATTGAGTAACGCCCTGCGTCGCATTAGCTACCTTCTCCTAGGGATCTGTTGCAATTTTGTTTTTCTTACCGAGTCGTAGAGGTCATCCCCGTGCAGGGGGTGATACTTGTAGGAGTACAGCGGGTTGTCAATGGTCTCTGTTCCATTCGGCAGCGTGACGTCGATGGTCGGGGAACTCAGGAAGCTGGGAACGCTTTTCTCGCCGTCCGGGGGAAGGACTGCCCAGTCCCAATAAGGCAATCTGAAGGTGTTGGCAGCCTCGGTGTAGTTGTCATTTTCGGGGCTTCCGTCCCATTCGCCGGCGATTTCCGACATGAGTCCTTGAAGTGTTTGCTAAAATCTCATGAGCTCCCGAAGACCATGACAAAGCGAAGCTCGTACCTCGTAAAGGGCCAGGTACGGCCTGTGCCACGGCAGAAACAAATTGGACGAGTGCATGCAATAGCCGGAATCTTTACGTCCCTTGGACTCCACACCATCCCATACCTCATACGGCTTTCCATGGATTCCTAGCCCCGTGGTCAGCATGGTCGCACGGACTCAACGAGAGGTCAACTTACCGGCAACCGAATACCACGAGGACCTGTCGGCCTGGTCCGTCTGCTGGAACTTCTGCATGGCCAAAAGGAACAGGTTCCACTGGAACTCATTCTTGGCCAGGTCGCGGATCTCCAGGCGCGGCTGCACGGTATCATGATCCATTCCGGTCACAGCCAAAGCTTCTCCGGCGGTCTGCTGGCGCTTTGACTTGGTCAGAGGTTCCGCATTGTGGGCCGCATGTGGTTCCCGCGAAATTTGTTGGTGTGCAGGGTTCAACGGTGTGCCCACGACGGCGGACAGGAGGCACGAGCCGGAGACGGCCAACGCAAGCAGGCGGCAGCCAAAAGCGTCACGCATCTTGATGAGAGAGCAATGGGTAGGGGGGGCTGGAGGGGCTGAAGGGGGAGAGAGGGTTTTGTTCAAACAGCTGCAGGATTATAAAGCCCTTTCCGGGGTGGTGGAAAGAGGGTAAACAAACGATGGACTGGAAAGAGAGGAGAGAAATGCAAAGCAGCGCAGTGTGTCTGAAAGGCGGGCGGGACGGGCGGGGTTTTTAACGCATGGCCTGGGGCATCAGGGACAGTGTAGCATAAGATGAAGCCTAATGTCGGCGGTGGTATCATGTTCACGCGGCACCGCAGGTTTCCTCCCCTGGAAGCATGCGGAAAGGCGTGCCATGGCTGCAGCCCGGTTCAGGCATGGGGTCGCAGGGCCTCGAGGCCGCGGTGGGCAGCAGATCGTGGAGATGGCGGCCGCACAGGGCAGCGGCGGGCTGGTGAAGACGCAGGCTTAGCCCGGGCGAGGCTCGTGTTGGTGAGAAGGGGCGTGGACTTGGGACGAGACCATATGGAAAGTTCCCTTTCGGCGGCGCAGGCAGCATGGCGGCATGGCGGCTGGCCGGGGGACCCTGGCGCGGGGGTTCGTTCGATTGCGATCAGCGGCAGGGAAGCGGGCGATCTCGGTGACATTGCAGGACCGGGAAGCCGATGGGCGAGCGTGGGGAGAGTGGTTGTGGCGAGGTCAAGCGCCGGGCCTTGCACCACGTCGGCTGCAGCGCCGCCAGTGCCGCCAGCGAGAGGTGCGCCCCGGGACGGCAGGTGTGCACACGGCGACGAGGTGGTGGCAGCGGGCAGGTGCGAGTAAGCTTAATCCGGCCGCCCGCCCGCCAGCCCCGCGCCTGCCCGCTGGTCGCTGGCCAACAGCCGGCGCGTTCCTGGCGCATTTCGGCATGGCCAAGGTCGGCCGCTGTCTTTGGCGGGGAATTGTGGCTTGCCAGGTGCAAGGGAGGCGCTTGAAACATCCATCGACGACTGTCTGAATATTGACTTTCGCTCTCGACGCGCCGCCGTTGCACTCGCACAACCGCCGCGTCCTGCCCGCCGCCTAATCCTCTTCAGCCCACTGCCTCCCGGCCGACACCGCCAGACCAGCCTCTGGATGCGCTGCATGTGCATGTGCATGTGCATGCGCCTGTGCCTGTGCCTGTGCCTGTGCATGCGCTTGGTGCTCGCCGCGCCCGCCCAAGATGGAGGCGACTGCAATACTGCCTCCTCCTTGCTGGTCCCAGCCGGCTGATACACCGGCGAGCCCAAGGCATGCTGGCTTGCGGGCTTGCTGGCTCGCTGGCTCGCTCTATATTTGGCCGCCTCTCCGTCATCGCAACCTCGTTCCACAGGGAGTATTGACGTTTTCGGTCACACGTGGACCGCAAGAGGGGGTAGCGAGCCTGGCGCGCTGGCGGCGTCCATTGTTTCTGCCGACTATTTGCTGCTATAAGGGGATGTCACCATCCACCAAACACACGGCCGAGAGCCCGTCTCGGCTGCGACGGGGTGGGAGGCTCGGAAGCAACGTGTGAACCGTCCCTCTGGCGAGAGGTGGTTACAACACCGGCCGATCCCTTCCCTGCCCGGCCTCGCCCTGCCGCTGCAGCTCGCCGTCGCGCGCCGGAAATCCCCTCTCGGGCGTTGGCCAGTTGACGGGGCCGGGTAGCTCTTCTGACAGGTTGCGCAGAGTCAGTCTGCAACACTGCCACACAAAGACCGAAGACAACGTGTCGGCAGCTTATCTGCTCGAGGCCGCGCTTTGGGAAAGTGGTGCGTGCCTCTGCCTTGCTTCGATATGCACGCGATGGCGAGCAGGGCAGACGGTTTTCCCTTCGTCGCTGGTGGCTGGTCATGGTCATCGGCCTTCGAAGAAACGTGCGCTCCACCCTCCCGGCGCCGCCTCCCTTTCCCACCACCGGCTAGTCCTGGCCGAAGCGAGCCCCGGTACCTGAGCGACCCGAGGAACAACTGAGGAATGTTCCCCTCGTATCCTTCTCCGCCGCCGACCTCCACCCTACTGGCTCCCTTTGCTCTTCCTGCCCGTCTCAGCCTCCACGTGCCCCGTACCTCGCGGCTGCTTCAGCTCTTGCCGCGTCCGCGCTCATCTCGACTGCATTCCAGAACCTACTTGGACCGTGGAATCGGAGCTTCAACGCGCGGCCTCCCAATGTGTCCATGCAAAGGCTCGAGCAAAGGAAGCAGTTCAGTGGAGCGTTTGGTGTCGTTGTCTTGTCTCTCTGCGCCATCTCCGCCGGCTTCCATGTTAGCTGATTCGCCCGCCTCTTGCATCTGACCAGTTGAAACATTAGCTGTGGTACCCACACATGGAGCCACATCCAAGACCCAAGCTATGATGAAGTGAACGCCTGCGAGTTTAGTTTGACCAGAAAGGCGGAGTCGGCAAACATGCGCCGTGCTTGAGGCGAGTGCAACACCGAGGCTCCGTCTTTGCCGTGCATCTATGTCTACCCGGACGTCGTAGCATCGATAGAATTCATTCAGTTGCCCCAACATCGAGACATGGCGACGAACTCAACCTGTGAAACACTCGGACAACTTGGCATCTTCCCAACACGATCAACCCGGTCGTCATCCGAGGATAGAAAAGATAGAGAAACTAAAATGCTCAGGGTGACCAGGTACTGCACCGTTGCCCAAAAAGAGAATAGACACCGCCAGGAGCTTGCTTCGCCACGAAGCTGCCGCCCCAAGAAAATCCCCTCCCGCCGCCTCCTACACGCCAATCTATTTCTTCTTTTTTCTGTCCTGACATTACGAGTCCACCTCGTCATCATCGATATCGTTTCGCGTTTCTGTTCCGTGGAATGCATCCCCGAAAGCGTCGCCTTCAAGACCCAGATCGAGATCATCGCCGCCAGTATAGTCTGCCAGAGCATCGCCAGCTGTGTCAAACGCGCTGAAGTCTGTCGCGTCAAACATGCCTGGTGTGTTCCCTGCCGCCGACGCGGGAGCCGATGTTGTTGTGCCGTCCTGCCCCTGTCCGCTTGTAGTGGTAAGGTCGGGTGTGTCCATGTTTCCATGTCCTCCTGCGCTACCCGCGGATGCGTCCTTTGCTTGGCCGCCCTCGCCTCCAGCATCCGAGTCGTTCATGTTGTTCGAGCCCACCATGACCCAATCATCAGCTGCTTTGTCCGTACTGCCGTCACCGCCCATTCCGGTCATGTCCAGATCCAAATCCATGCCTTCAATCAAATCCATACCGTTGTCTCCGTTGGAGTTGTCACCCTGTGCAGGAGTGGTGGACTGATTCTGGCCTTGTGCTTGTCCAGAATGCGCCATGCCACCGGGCGTCGCGTTGGCGGATTGCCCATGGCTGTCCGACTGGGAAATGGGGGGCACTTGCAGTGAGCTGCCCCCCGGAGTCGAGACCAGCGAGTTTGAGGTGTATTGGTCGAGCAGCCCAGCAGCAGAATCATCACCATCCATCGCTGAATCCTCAATTGAGCCGTTGGACTCCCCAATGTTGATCGCGTTATCGGTCCCATTCGCCTCGTTGCCGTTCGTGGCGGCAGGAGCTGGTGGTTCCTCCACCAATCCACCCTTTTCAACACAGTTGACATTCTTCCGCGGAGCAATGGTGACCCCCAGGGACTTCTCGACGTCTGCGATGACCTCGTTGAATTTGATACTTGCATCCCCTCCCTCTGATTGTGGGGACGCGGACTGGCTGTCCGACTTGCGCCGAGCAGTGCGAGCATCGGTAAACGCCGCGTCTCTCAACCGCCTTTCAGCCTGGACATAGGTCTTGCTCTTCGTAAGCTCGGCCATTTTCTTCTCGTGTTCGGCCCTCATCTTCTCCAACTCAGCCTCCTCGTTCTCCAAGAATTTGTTGACCCGATCCTCAAAATCCTTGTATTTCTCTTTGCTCAGTTTCTGGTACTGCTTCGGCGCAGCCGGGGGCTTTGGACCGCCAGGCAGAGAAGACGCGCCAGGCGCATCGAAAAGCCCTTCTGTCAAATGCGAAAGCTCTCCCATAAGACCCAATCCCAAGTCCACCGGCATTATTTGTCCCGCGGCGAAGGGCGACGAGAAGACTTCCTCCATCCACTCATGGTGCTGGATGTACCTCATGGTGCTGATGTCTCGGGGGGTGAGGTGATCCAGTAGATCCCCAATCGCTGTATTTTCCTCATCTTCAATGGTGGTGTCATGAGGCATCCCGACGGCTGCCGCAGGCATGCCTGCCGGAACGTTACCCGGTAGATGTGCCGGTGCGCCATTACGAGGCCTCTTCGCAGGCGATGGCCCAATCGCAGAAGCTTGGCCGGGTGGGTAGAATTGGGGTTGCCTGAACCCACCAGCAGCTGCCTGCATCGGGTGACCGGGGTACATGCCACCGGGCGGAACATGACCCTGCTGCATTTGCCCCGTCCCAGGAAAGCTAATGTTGGGCCAATTGTGCCTGTCATGAAGCATGAACTTCCGCTCCATCAACTGTCCCTGACCCTCTAGAAAACGGCGCTCTTGCATCGTCTTTTGCATCTCAGCATTGATCGCTATACGGTTGGTCGGCACACGAGCTTGGGGCTCGGCCTGAGAGTAGTGGACGATGAATAGGGCCTGGTCAGGGATCGGGCCTTGTGACGCAGGGTTCCTCGAGACTATGCGGTAACGATGTCGCTGATGAGAGGTGATTTGCTCGTAGCCCGGACGATAACCGCTGCGGCGAACGAGGATTTCTACAGTCTTTGGGACTTAGCAGGGGTGCGCGCGGTGCCTGGGTTGTGGAAGCTCACATATCCGCGCTGCGATTCATAGGTGAAGCTGGACTCCGGATCCGCCCAAAAGTAGCCATCGCTAGCATATGCGTTGGATCGTTGGTTAACCGGCTGCCATTCGAGGAATACAGTGCCGTCGGTGGGCGGGTTTTGAAAGTATTGCCATGCCATAGGGGCCATGTCCTTCACAGCCTTGGGCGCTTGGAGCAGGAAATCGACGGCCTGCTCAATCGATAGGTGCGCAAGGGTCGGGTAGCGGAAAGACGAGATGAGGTGGACGTGCGGCAGCTGGTTGGCGACAATTGTCAGTTGAAGTCGCGACTCTCGGCGGATGCGCGCGACATACCAGGAACTGCGGCACGCCGTAGCTTGGGTCCTGCATTGTGGGTGGGCGCGCAAAGTCGATGCACGAATGCGACCAGGGACAGCGAACAGAATGCGGGCAGGGCGAAGGGCGGGGAGGCGATATGCGGGACCACGTCGACGCGTTGAGCTGCGCTCCGACGGAGAGCTTGGAGCGACGAGCCAGCCAGGCGTGTCGTCGCTTCCACGGCGAAAAGCCAGCCCGATCCGCGCTAGTCCCGAAAGGGACTCTTCAGGGCCCAAACATCAACATCACTCCTCCGCCGCAAACGGCGCTCGAGCTCTGTAACTGACTCGTATTTTACAATTACTCACTAGTCTTCTGTCGCTGTCGATTGATAAACGGCGGGTTCCAGAAGACGACGTGATTCACACGCAAGGCGTTTCAGCCGTCCAAGCTCTGCAGAAGACGCGAACTTTCTCCGAAAATCGCTGCGCTCGTCATCGCGATCTGCCAACATTTGCACTCTGATGCAATCAGCGTCGAAAAGCGCCGCCAGCTCTCGGATGTTGTCTTTTAGATAACAGCCGACGAATGCGACCGTGGCGGTCAGCTCCACATCGGGACATGTCTGATTCAATCAACCGAAAACTTTAACTTCACTTGTAATGCAATCTCTAAAGGCAGAGGTGCACCGTTCCATAAGTTTGTTCCAACCACGATCAGATTAGGAGGAGTACTCAGACCACCACCAGCGCCAGTTGCTCAATTATCGACATGTTGTTCTGTAGAATACTGAAAAAAAAGAATAAACAGTCTCAACCCAGGATCCTAAGGCCTCCCTTCGTCTTGCTCTGTTTCTTCTGAACACCTGCTCCAGTGTTCGCGTTTCCACCATGGCCATGCCCTCCATGCTTCCCACCCTTGTTGTTCTTCTTGTTATCCTTGGGCACGACAGCCTTGATCTCGGTAGTACTGCGCTTGACAAGGACAGGGTGGCTGCCAATATACTTGCCCTGCATCTCCTTGGCGGCTTGGAAGTAGTCATCTCCATTGCTGAAGCTCACGAATCCGTACCCTTTGCTCTTCGTGGTTCGCTTGTCTCTTACGACACGTGCCTTCTGGATAGAAGTGAAGCGAGAGAAGGCTTTATGGAGGGATTCATCGGTAACTTCACCGGCTAAGTTGCCGACAAACAGACGGAAGTGAGCCGGGTCCCATTCTAGCAATGTGGTGTCGCTCCACGTCTGCCCTCCACCTTGCCGCACGACAGTCTTCTGCTTTCCATCAGGACCTGAGACGACGGCGGCGACGCCCGTATCTGAGCTGACCGCCGATTGGAGCTCTTTACTGCTGAGCGCTGTCGATCCCCCGGCCTTTTCGCCCAAGGGCGTATTGTTCGCATTGGTAGGCATCTCACGACCTTTAGCACCCTTCGGGGCAGCATCATCTCTGTTCGCGTACGCACTCTGCCACTGGGCGATTTGAGCCTCATACTCGGGATCGTAGCTGCTGTTTCCAGCACCATAGCCACCGCTCTGGTCCTGGCCAGGGGCCGGGAAGGGATTGCGAATCTGAGGCGGCGTTGGGTTCGAGTATGGGTCGACACTAGGCTGCTGATAGTACGAAGGTTGTTGCTGCTGGTAGGCAGGCTGCTGATACCCACCGCCGACGTAGCTGGACTGAGCTGCCTGATACGCACTCGGGGGCTGAGGCCCGGCAGAGACGGTCGGGGGCTGCGACTGCCATGTCTGGGTGTTGGCGGCTACGCTGCGGGGCTTGAAGCCTGTAAAGGCGCCATATCCGCCCGCGCCTGGGGGCTTGCCGGTTGCGGCAGAAGCACTAGGGAACTTGGAGAAGGCTGCAGGCTGCGCAGGTGGCGGTGGACGCGCAGGGAGCGACGGGTGAGGTTGAGGCGTGGATGAGCTGGACTTGGAACCTGGAGGCGGCGGATTGGACATGATGAACGGATGCGCAAACGCGTTTAGCGGAGTTAATGAGACTTACTGCTCACGCTCCGTCTCCGATGCCGGTTGCTGCTGGGTTAGAGGATGCGATAGGGCGGAGCTGTGGTGCGGGCCGTGCTTGGGCGGCAGGAGCAGCAGGAGCAGCAGAGCGCAGGTTCCAGGTGTCGCAGCTATGGCCGTATGCCTCAGGTGTGTCCCGGCGGCGGCGGCGCCACTCTCGAGGATTGCGGCGGAGGCGACGTTATGCAGAGCGCTGACAGGGCGTGCTGACGAAGAGGCAAGGCCTGGTGACGGGAGGCGGCGGAGTTTAGGGCCACGAGGGCATGGACGGCCGGTGGGGCTTGGCAGGCGCCTCTCGGGCCTTCTTGGGCCAAGTGTGACGCTCACACGCTGCTCGCGCAGGGCTGCACGGTGCGGTGACGGTGATCGGACTGCGATGGGGCGCCCGGCGGCCTACCACGCACGGAGATGTGTCTCCGAAGCGCGCCGTGGTCGTCGGAGCAATTGGCAGCGCTGCTTCTGTCGTAGCCGGGCGGGTGCAAAATTGTCGAGCCCCGCCGCCGGCCGGCCAGCCCACCCCACCATCATCACCGCGCCAGTCCCGGCGTCTCAACGCCGTGTTCGCAGATAGTCCGCCCGGTATTGTTGAATGACTAAGGCTGCCTTCCGCGCCCGCCGGACAATTTTCCTACGCTTGCGGTGGGCTGCGGGCGCAATTGACTGCTGCGCGCGCCGGCCTGCAGTGCGGCCTGCGGAATGCAGACGGCCAGCGCGCCTTGGTTTAAGGACGGGCCGCGCCCGCAGCCTGGCCTTGGTCGCAGAACTGTACGTAGTATGGCTCGAAGCGTAGGCGTCCTGGGACGAAAAATACCTCCTTCCCAAATCTTGTGACGCAACGTGGGGCTGGCGCGGCCGCCTTATAAAGCACCCTGTCACCTCCGGCATATCGGCGCCTCTGCATCCCACTTGCTCCCAACCTTCTCACCTCTCTCTCTCTCTTGCCTCATTGCCCCCCTCGAAAGACCCGTAGTTCAGTCCGGTCCCGCATCCATCATGTCTGCTGAAACCGCTGTGTAAGTACCCGCCCTTGCTCCATTCTCCTACCCCGCCACCGGCGCCGCCGCGCCTGTTCAGCCATCAGCTGGGTCCCGGACCGGTCGGTATCTGAGCAGATGCCGACCCCGTCGCTGTCCGTGTCTATACACATTGACGAACCGGTAATCTGACTATAGCGCGCGTCTCTCCCGCATCGATGTGGGAGGACCTGCGCGCCCCGTTGCTAGTGGAGACTGGGGTCTCATTGGTCTGGTAAAGTTCTCCCGCAGCAGCCCGCAGCACGACCCCGCTAACTTTTGTAGGCCGTCAGTAAGTAGGAACGTAGTCGCCGATCACGATGCACCTCTGACAATCATACAGTGGGCCAGAACCTGATCCTGAACGCCGCCGACCACGGCTTCACGGTTGTCGCCTACAACCGTACCGTTTCCAAGGTCGACCGTTTCCTTGAGAACGAGGCGAAGGGCAAGTCGATCGTTGGTATGTATTCGGATATCCGCCCGGCTCGCGAAACCGCTGACTGACCGGCAACAGGCGCTCACTCCATGAAGGAGTTCGTGTCCAAGCTCAAGAAGCCCCGCAGGATGATGATGCTTGTCATGGCCGGCAAGCCCGTCGATGGTATGCGCCGAGAGAGATTGGAATGCAATTGCGGCCGCTAATTGCTGGCAGACTTCATTGAGCAGATCCTTGAGGCTGGCGCCGAGCGTAAGTCAACCTAGAATAGAACAACGAGCACGAGCGAAGCTAATGGCGACATAGCCGGTGATATCATCATTGACGGTGGTAACTCCCACTACCCCGACACCAACCGCCGTACCGTCTACCTCGCCGAGAAGGGCATCCGCTACGTCGGCTGCGGTGTCTCCGGTGGTGAGGAGGGTGCCAGATATGGCCCCTCTATCATGCCCGGTGGTAACGAGGAGGCCTGGCCCTACATCAAGGACGTCCTTCAGAGCATTTCTGCCAAGAGCGACGACGAGCCCTGCTGTCAGTGGGTCGGTGACGAGGGTGCTGGTCACTACGTCAAGATGGTGAGCTCTCCACCGAGAATGTGTGAAAGACGATTACTGACTCCGGCTAGGTCCACAACGGTATTGAGTACGGTGACATGCAGCTCATCACTGAGGCCTACGACATCTTGAAGCGTGGTCTTGGCCTGAGCAACAAGGAGATGGGTGACGTCTTCGCAAAGTGGAACACGGGTGTCCTCGACTCCTTCCTGGTCGAGATCACCCGCGACATCCTCTACTTCAACGACGACGATGGAACCCCGCTCCTTGAGAAGATCCTCGACTCGGCTGGTCAGAAGGGTACCGGCAAGTGGACCGCCATTAATGCTCTCGACCTCGGCATGCCCGTCACCCTCATTGGCGAGGCTGTCTTCTCCCGCTGCCTGTCCTCCCTCAAGCCTGAGCGTGTCCGCGCTGCCGGCCTCCTCAAGGGCCCCGAGCCCAAGTTCGAGGGCGACAAGCAGGCCTTCATTGACGACCTGGAGCAGGCCCTCTACGCCTCCAAGATCATCTCGTACGCTCAGGGTTTCATGCTGATGCAGAACGTAAGTTGAGACGCCAAGATTGACGTGTCAGGATGGTAGTGACTAATGGTCGACGAACAGGCTGCCAAGGAGTACGGCTGGAAGCTCCAGAAGCCCGAGATCGCCCTCATGTGGCGTGGTGGCTGCATCATCCGCTCTGTCTTCCTTAAGGACATCACCCAAGCCTACCGCGAGAACCCCGACCTCGAGAACCTTCTCTTCGCCGACTTCTTCAACAAGGCCATCCACAAGGCCCAGCCTGGCTGGAGGAACGTCGTTTCCAAGGGTGCCCTCTGGGGTATCCCCACTCCCGCTTTCAGCACCGCGCTTAGCTTCTTCGACGGCTACCGCACCAAGGACCTGCCCGCCAACCTGCTCCAGGCCCAGCGTGACTACTTCGGTGCCCACACGTTCAAGATCAAGCCCGAGTTCGCCAGCGCCAAATACCCCGAGGGCGAGAACGTCCACGTCAACTGGACCGGCCGTGGTGGCAACGTTTCGGCCTCGACGTACAACGCGTAGATGTCGAAAGTGCGGGGCAGGGAGACGGAAAAATTAAGGACATGGAGATAGACCTGGTACATGGCGCATGTCCTGTTGCATGAGGGATTGTTTTGTGTTACGCGTATATGGCCAATTGAATATACGAATTGTCAACGAACGTGACGTCGCGCGATGCATGTGATGATGGGATGGGTGGTGCCAAGGAGATAGGTGCGGCGCCGGAGTTAGGCGTGTCGTGTGTTGTCATATTTGGCGCGGGCGATGACAGACAGGAAGCGCGCGCTGACTCGCACTCTCCCGACAAGTGACTTCGTGGGAGCCTCAAGCTCAACGCGCACCCATCCACCCTCGTCCCGCGCTTGACTGCCCTGCGCGCCGATTCCTTTCTCGTCGCTCCTTTTGTTCTTTTAATGCGTTTGCATGCCGCCTCAGCCACAACACTGAGGGAGCACGCAGCTTAAGAGGAGGCACACCACTTCGCGCGCAATGGCAGACGGCAAGCGCCTCTCTTCTGCCGGGAAGGTCGCAACGCCTAAGCTCGGAGACCAGTCTATCCTCAATGACTCGCACCTGTTCAAGGTCATAGGCAAGCGGTAAGTTGAGCGCCATTCCGCCGCCGCCGCCCAGTACCACCACCAGCCTCGAGCCGGCAGCCTCCCCTCGCTCCACCCCAGAGGATGCGCTCTGCTCCTCCCCCCGCCCCAGTGACGACGTGGCTGCTCACACCGGCGCCCCGCACAGAGTCAAGATCACGACGACGGTTGCGAACCATGTGCTCGAGGGCACCGTCTTTGCCGCCGACCCCGTCCTGAACGCCGTCGCCGTCAACACCGCCCCGGCCCCGCCGAACCCATCGACCAACCTAGCCACCCAGCCGGGCAACTTCCACGTCGTGTCGATCCCGAACATCCAGAAGTTTGAGATCCTGTCGGACGGCGCCGGCGCCGACAGCTTCGAGAATGCCACGCCGACGATTGCCTCGCTGGACCTGGGCGCGCTGAAGGCGCGCGAGGAGGCGGCCGTGCGCAAGCTGCTTGAGAAGGAGGAGCACAGGAACAGAGAAGTGTCGTCGGAGGTGCAGGAGCTCTACGATGCCTTCAACCGAACGTACGTACCGTCCCCTCTCTGTGTCTTTTCGAACCCACGGTCCCCCCCAAGGCTTTGCCGGCTCCGGTCGGGCTCTTCATCCTTTCCGTCCTTGTCTCTCTGCCTCTCCCTCTCCCTCTCCCTCCGCTCTCCGGTGTTCCCCTTCCTGGTCATGGAAAATGATGCCACGATTTTTGCCTTTGATTTTTTTTTTTAACAGTCACAGGCTGCCCATGCGCTGGCACGGCACCACGATGATCATCAACGACGCCGTCCTGCTCGGCCCGCCCTACACCGTCAACGATCTCAAGGCCGCCGAGGGCAAGGAGCGCAACATCGATCACATCAAGAGGATCATGGAGGGTTATCTGGCAAAGAAGAGGAGCGGAGGCGCGAACAGGCCCGGAGTCGCCACGCCCATCCCGCCGCGCAAGGGCGGCTGATGTTCCAGCGGTTACGATGCTCTCTACATTCACGATCGACGATGCTGCCGGGATGTTCGGACTGATGGGGCCTCTTTTTTTTCGACGAATGGTTGCAGAGGATAAGGAGTCATACAGAAAATGAGTTATTAGGAAAGCGGAGAGGGTACAATCTGCAGAAGGGGTGCAGACGGCTGGATAGCAAGGCTACGGGTTGGATGGTGGAACTCACCCAGCAGGGGCTGGGACAGGACCATTTACGTGTAAGAAAGCCGCGCTCCGAGCGGTGAAAAGGGAAGTGGACGACAATGGTCTAGCGGACCTGAAGTTCAGACATTTTCAAATCGAGCTCAATCACAACAAATCTTGCTCAGGTGATTAAGTTTCATTCCATTTGATTCCACTCCCTTTTCTAGCCAGGGTTCAACGTCTTACACATTTTCTTAAACTTTTGGTCGTTCTTTTCACTTCTTTTTCCCCGCCTACCTCAAATGGCCTTTCCTACATTTATTTTCCAACGTTAGTGTAGCGCAGGTACGGCTTGAGCTCGCGGACATCGCCAAACTTCTTCTTGGCGTCGGCGGTGCTGACACTGGGCGGCACGATCACGTCCTCTCCCTGGTTCCAGTCGATGGGGGTGACGACGCCCTTCTTGTCGCCGAGCTGCAGCGAGTCGATGACGCGCAGGACCTCGGCGCTGTTGCGGCCGGTCGAGGCCGGGTAGATCATCATCAGGCGGATCTTCTTGGCCGGGTCGACGACGAAGACGGAGCGGATGGTGAAGGGCAGGCCCTTGGTGGCGATGTCGCGCATGTCGTCCTCGGTGACCATGTCGTAGAGGAAGGACACCTTGCGGTCGGCGTCGGCGATGATGGGGAAGGTGAGCTGCGTGGAGCTGAGCTCGTTGATGTCGCCGACCCAGTCCTCGTGCGACTTGAGGTCGTCGGCGCTCTGGGTTGCAAAAAGTCTCGTCAGCAGGAACAAGAATGCTGTGCTGGTGTGCAACTACGGTCGGTTCCGGGGGATCTATTGATGAGAAAGCGCGGGGCAATTGCTTACGAGACCGATCATCTTGACATTGCGCTTCTCGAACTCGGGCTTGAGCTTGGCGAAGGCGCCGAGCTCCGTCGTGCAGACAGGCGTGAAGTCGGCAGGGTGCGAGAAGAGGATCGCCCAGCTGTCACCGATCCATTTGTGGAAGTCGATCTCGCCGTGTGTCGTCTTGGCCGTAAAGTTGGGCGCTGCATTGGGAGATGGATCCGTCAGCACCCCGGCTCTTTTCCTTCAATGGCGAGGAGATGGATAATTTCCGTACCGACGGAGCCCAGGCGCAGGCGCGGCTGCTCGGCAGGTGTCTGCACGAAGCGGCGGAAGAGGGGAGCGGCGGGGCGCTGGACGTTGATGGAGGAGCGCAGCGCCGGGCGAGAGGCGGCGCGGAGGGAGGTGTTGAAGGCGTGGGGAGCTGCGCGGCTAAGGTAGGAAGCCATTGTTGATGCAAGGGGGTCGGTTAGCTTGTCAAGCTAAGGTGAGTGGGTTGGTGGTGTCGATAGAATGTCTTGGAGATTAATTATTGACCGCCCGCCGCCGACGCAACGCGCGGGATGGCGTCAGACTGCGGTAGTGCGGCGCGGGCCCTCTTACAGGCAACCGTAGCAGGGACCGGCATCGTCCGGCATCGTCGCGTCGGCGTCGGCTCGGGAAACGCAATTCCGAGGTCGGAACAACGACACTGTCTGCTGCGCCATGCAGGTACACGGCTGGGGGGTCTGCAGCATGTGCGGTCTCGTGCAGAGGGTGGATACACCCTTGGCGGCCCTAGACTGTCGGATAAATGCGCTCGCAGACGGAGTCAGCTGCCGTCGATGGGCCTAAACTTCCCCATTTGCCATTGAACCAAGTGCGCCACAATCTGATAGTGACCGCTGGACCCCTTCCGTGCTACTTTCCCCGGGTTTGAGCAAGATTCTAAGCTCGCCGAGTGCTGCCACCAACGGCGCTCCATCGGGATTGCCTAATGGACCCTAGCGTGGCTTGAGTTGCTCCTTCTTCGACTCCATCAACTTTAATGCATTCGTCGTGGGGTCAGCTCAACTGATACCCTCGAGCACAAGTTCTTCAACTGCTCCACTTTACAGTGCCGGCTTCTCAGTCCCATCCAACAGACTATGGGCAGACAGAAGGCTGTGTCTTGCTGGACCGTACGGCTACTGGGCTTGGGCCTGTGCTGTCACGGTTCTTTTGGCTCCAAGTTGTCCAATGGGGCCTTTGTATTTTATCAATCCATTCATTGGATCAGTGGAGACTTTATAGTCGGATGTAATGCGATAATGGATACCGCTAGAGGTTGTGGATCGAGTGCTTCGAACGTGCAGGGCATTTGCAACTCATCCCAAAGCATCAAATGCCAATATTTCTTTGACGACACGGGTGAAAAAGTCGACTTGCGCACAAAGGACAACAAAGTGTAACGCAAGCAATGACGGATGTCTGGTATCGAACGCTTCATTTTTTGCTTTTGCTGGAGGTGCGAGGCCAGTTCATGGTCCTCCCGGGACCGCCATCTATGCCTATATTTCAGGCGATGACTTCTGAAATGACAGCGATACTCTCACCCAGTCTTTCCCGTAAAAACTCCGGTGCACCAACCTTACCCAGTGTGATGCGTATTCAGAGACAAAGAAAATGTTGAGAATTAACCCCTCCCCAAACGCCAGTCGCGCTCACGAACCGACCGCTGCGTCGCACGCCCGCACCCTTAGATGACCCACCTGTAACTTGCGTATCTGCCTGCCGTCTCCGACTTCCTGATGATCTTGACGACCTGACCTCTCCTCAGCCCCAGGTACCTCGAGACGGGATCACCCTGCTGGATGCGCGGGAGCTGGCTCTCCTTCAAGCGGTAGCGCTGGAGAAGCGCGGCCTTCTCCTCGGCGCTGAGCAGGACGTGCTTGGGAACGAGTTCGTGGTGGGTGATGTTGACGAGGAGGTCCTGCTCCATGAAGATCTCCATGATGAGCGGGTGCAGGGACGGAATGATCTTCTGGGCGGCGCCGGTGACGGGGACGGCGGTGATGAAGATGCCGGAGCTGAACTGGTTCTCGTTGAGGGTGTGGCCGAAGTTGCGCAGCTGCTTGACGCCGATGTTCTGGTCGCCGTTGAACTCGACCCAGATGGTGCCGATGGTGTCATTGGGCTTGCGGGGGTTGTAGTGCTTGCGCTTCATTTCGTCGCTGGGGCCGGCGGAGAAGGCGAGCTGCTTGCGGCTGCGGTCTTGTTAACTGGCTGCCTTGGCGGAGAAGGATGTCCGGGACGTACTCGACGTAGCCGGACGGGTCGCCGAAGCGGCCGCGGAACTCTTCCAAAGTGAACTTGTACTCGTTCTGGGAGATGACGTAGCCCTGGGCGGTAGCATGTTAACGAGGAGGCAGTTTGGCAAGCTCGGACGGGCTGCGGCGCACCCTGTCGGCGACCATCTCGTGGGCGGTGCGCCATGCGCGCCAGAGGCGGGAAGCCTCGCGCTCGGACTCGGTGTTCCTGTCGTCGTCCATGGTTCTGGCAAGGGCGATGCGAGGCGGGGGGTTGTGGGCGTGGGAGAAGTCGCGGCGGTGGTGAAGCGCGTCAGAAGGTTTGGAAAGAGAAATCGAAAGCCAAAGCCGCCGGGGCTGCCGCCGCGTCTCACCGCCTTTGGTTCTGCCGGTTCCCAGCGCATCCCCCGCGTCTCCAGCAAACGTCGCCGCTGCGCCGCCAACACCAGATAAAAAAATGCCCGCTTCGCAGATCCCAAACTTGCTCGATTCGCTGCGGTCTGGACGCGGTGGGACGCGGGGCCGCGGACGCGGCTCCAGGAGAGGATCGGGCGGCAGCCGTGAGGGCCAAGACAGGATTGTGCAGCAGACAGACTGCGATGCTCTGGGCTCCCGTCTGAGCGCCGTGGAAATGGGCTATCTCATCGACCCGTTCATCAAAAACTTTGTGGAAAGCCCCATCGACCAGCGGAGTCCAGAGATCAACCTAGGTAACGGCCGGCGTCCGAGCATGCCTCGACATCTTGTTTCTGACGGAGCGGCAGGCACATACGTTCGCACTACGGCCATTGACAGGCTCGTGGACAAATTCCTGGCCACCGATCCAGACCAGCCCAAGCAAATCGTCTCCCTTGGCGCTGGCAGCGACACTCGTTTCTTCCGCATTCTTTCGACTCGCCAATCAATTCCTCTGGTCTACCACGAGATCGATTTCCCAGTCAATGCGAGACAAAAAGTCGCAGCAATCAAGCGCAGCCCCGTCCTTTCCTCCGTCATCACCTCCAAACTCGCCAACCCAAATGAGCTCTCGTACTCTGAAGACCTGAGGGGTCTGAAATCGCCCATCTACAACATCCACCCTCTTGACCTCCGCTCTCTCGTCTCGAGCCCTACTCCCTCCGACTCCGAACCCCCGCTGCCGACTCTCCCCAACCTATCCCCAACCACTCCGACTCTGATTCTCTCCGAATGCTGTCTCATCTATCTCTCTCCGGACGATGCCGACAGCGTTCTTGATACCATAACAACAAAGCTCATCCCCGCGCCGACCCCAATGTCCATCATCCTTTACGAGCCTTTTAGGCCGTACGATTCATTTGGTAAAGTCATGATTTCGAATCTCGGAAGACGCGGGATAGTATTGCAAACACTGAAGAAGTACTCGACACTCATGCGCCAGCGCGAACGCTTGAACCGTTTCAGTCTCGCCGACTGTCAAGCTGCTGTGGATTGCCAGTTTGTTTGGGACAGATGGATTGGCGAAGAAGAAAAAAAGGCTCTCTGGTCAGGGGCCAAGGAAGGTCCCCTGGATGGCTGGGAAGAGTGGTTTATCCTGGTGGCACACTACTGCGTGGCTTGGGGATATCGCGACGGTGAGGGCGATTTGTTCAAGACAGCTTGGTCCGACTTTCCAATTCAGGATCCGGCGTCAGTTGTGGAGAAAACGGAATGAATCTGTCATGGCCACAAACGGGCTTGGACCAATATCTACAGCTAACATACGAGAGCTATCATCAGATCTAATACCAAGTTGCACAATACTGAAAGCCAACATGTGTGGTACTTTCATCCAAGACACACGCCATAGCGAATCGTCCTCTTGTTACCAGAAACAACATCCAACATCAATGGCCGAAGACGTATGTGCCAATTTTTATTTCGTCGTGATGACCAGTGCTGCAGCACTTTGGTTCAGTGACTGGTTAACGGGACGAACCATTGACGACTACCTCCGCTCCATTTGCGGACCGGTCCATATACGGGTAAGACGCGTCAAGAACGAGCTTCGGCTGATCCATTCAGCCGCTTTCTCTTCTCGCAAAGCTCCGACTCCTATTGTTTTTGTCTCTGAACAGTACTTATATCTATGTACATACTCAAGATATACTCTATCAATCCCGCCCATAGATGCTGCTAGCCTCACAAAACTCAAGCCAACGCCCATGCAGATCATCTGTCCCCGGAACCCGCCTAACCGTAGTTGAAAGGATTCCTGCACAGCGGACAGCTGCTTCCATTGCTGCTCTTGAACCACTTGTACAAGCAGCTCGTATGGAACAAGTTCTTGCACGTCGAGCACCTCTTGCTGGGCAGCTGCTTATCCGCACTGATGATGCTGTAGCAGATGGCGCACTCGGTCTGGCCCTTGAGCGTGCCGACGACGTTGCGCCGCCACGAGATGAGGCCGTCGACCAGGTTGCCGTTGGACCAGGTGACGACGCCCTGGCAGTTGCGCAGCCAGGACTGCCACTTCTGCTCCGACACGGCGACGCGGTTGACGCCCTCGACGACGACGGGCGCGAGCGGGTAGTTGGCCGGCAGCCGCACGACGATGGTCATGAACTGCTCGTCGACCTCGTAGCCCGCCGTGATCTCCTTGCCGAGCGCGTTGACCTTGACCGTCAGCGCCTCGTCCGACGCCGCGTTGTCCGCGCTGTTGGCCCACTCGCTGACGGCCGCCAGCGCCGCGGCCACAATGTGCGGCGAGACGAAGCGCTCCGTCCAGCTCTCGACGGCCAGCACCGTCTGCCGCGACTTGCAGTCGATCCACCAGGACTTGGCGAGCGAGGGCAGGTGCTGGAGTGCGAGGAAGTAGAGGTGCGCCGCGAGGTAGCGCGCGTCCGCAAGAGGGGTGTCCGCTGCGTGTGGGTCGTACTGTGCGAGGTTGAATTTGGAAATGTCGACAGGCTTGCCCTTTGTGTGGCCCAAGAACTCGGCCAATAAGTCGAGGAGTTGGGGAACATGGCCTTCCTTCTGCAGGTGCTCAATGTAGTCCGTCTTCACCTTGTACGACTGGAGATGCTGTCAGTGATGCGATACCAGACCTTGAAATGGCATTGCTTACCGAGTTGGTAAAGTGGTCGAAGATGAGCAACCAGCTGAAGAGATACCCGCGAAGGCTGAGCGGCATCACTCTGTTAAAGTCCCAACTTTCGATGGCACTTTGGGAAGGGGCCTCAAGCACGAGGGAAAGCAGCTCATCAGGCAACCGCACCGTCTGCTTCTCAAGCGCAGCATTGATGGAAATTTCCTCTTGTGCAGCTGGTATCTGCCTGTGCAAGATGTCGAATGCCGCCTGCTGCACTGAGCTAGACTCGGTGACCAGGAGTGGGAACAGCTCCTCCGTGTTCTCTAGTTGAGTGACGGAAATTGAACTGATCTGCCGGGAGAGAATCTCGTTGACAATCTTGAGAGGTTGGTGGTTGTAATCATCCAATCCTTCCGATTGCTTCAGCAGCTCAATGAGCGCCTTCGAGATTTGAGGCTGCGAGTACTTCCAAATCTCGACTAGGTCTTCGTTGGGGTCCTCGTCGGCCTGGAGCACCTTCAGCGTCGAGTAGAGCTTGAGCGAGGCGTGTATGCACGGAATGGCCTCTTCGTATCCAAGACTCTGGTCTTTGAAGCGGCCAGCTGTCGACCAGAAGGCGATCAGAGAGTTCAGAATGTCTTCCCAGTGCTCTCCATATATGTCCTTCATGAGCGGGAGCAGCAGTGAGAAAGCGCGGTAGACTTCGGCTCTGACTGGGTGAGTGATGGCCTCATCGCCCCGAAGGTCCAGCCATTCGGTCATGTGTTTGACGAAGAAGATCAGTCGTTGTTTTGCGATAGTGTCAGTGATGCCATCTTGGTTAGCAACGATGACGTTCAGCAGCACAAGCTGCTTCAGCCCTGTGATATAACATCAGTACATTCCAAATCACTGTGTTCTTGCGTGAGCGTACCTCCTTGCACATCTTGTGAAATGTTGTGGCCTGTCAATTGCGCGATGAGCTCATTGCACATGCGAGACGCGGAGCCATGGGATGCCAGTGGTGTGCTGTGGCCGTAGAGGAATGCTGCCACTAGTAATGTATCTGCCTAGAGTGAGGACGCTATTCCAATGGCATCGTGTTGTTTGTACTCACCGTCACTCCTTCGGATCTCTTTCAAGTGACCTTCCATATTTGCGGTTTCCTTGCTTGACCAGCCATGCATCTCAATCAACTCAAAAATGGTCGTGGCGTACGCTCGCGCGTTGTAAAAGGCTTCGGATGACAGGCCATTGGATGCCTGCCGGAGAGTGTTCCATGCATCATGGATGAAGAAGTGCTCGGAACCATCGTCTCCAGACCAAGACGATCCAGACTTCTGAATCCAGTCGTTGATCAAGGCTTGTACGTCAGCGACCACCTCGAAGACGTCGTTCTCGGTGTGAGTATTGTACAGGCTGAAGATGTCGTTCGAGGTAGCACGGCTGACATTGTCGTTTGCAAGCTGAACGGTCAAGAGCAGTTGTCTGTACAATTGAGCTTTTCTTTCAGAAGGCAGGTGTTCCGAAATGGGAGCCTTGGTAAGGAGACGTGCCGTGTAGGCAGCCATCCTTAAAGCCGGAGAGAAGCCTTCGGAGTCTCGGGGAATCTTTGCTGTCCGCTGATTTGGCTCAACCAAGTAAACGCTCCCCCCAAGAGGGTTCGTGATGGCAAAGGTCGGATGCGGAGGAACATCTAAGAAGCGTTTCAGCGCAACCTCCCAGACGTGGTGAGGAGGCAGAAGGTTCTCAGATAGCTCCTCTTTCTCCATTGCGGAATCACTGAAGAGGTCCCTGGCAAGCTCGACCAGTGTACTCGGCGAGACAGAGTCAGCAGCCGCATCGACAAGTCCCCGGGAAATGACGTCGAAGATAGAGCTCTTCAGAGCCGCTTTGCTGTTGCTATCCGACAGAGTTGCCTTGATACGGTTCTCCAGGCTGGAAGCTTGCTCTGCAACTTCGTCATTCGGATTTTCGGTAATTGATACAAGCTTCTGGAGCAAGACAGAGCCGCCGGGCGTAGGAACGTATTTCCTGACTATATCAGGGCTGTATTGGACAACGTTTGAAAGGCCTTGGAGCGCATTCTGAGCCTGAGTGGAAATGGAGAGTGACTGTGTCAGATCTGCCAAGACCATGTCTACCGTATCATCCGCCAAAATAGAGGAGCCCTTAAGCAGCTGACTGGGGAAGCCCCAATCTGTCTGTCCTTGAATAGACAGCCGGAATCTCTCAAGGATAAAGCTTTGGAGTTCTGGATTCACCACTGCGATCTGACTTTGAGGGTCTAACGAGGACAAAAGCTGTGCCAGCGCAGTGAGCTTTGCCTGCGGCTCCGCTTCATCAAGGCATGTCTTCAGCGTCTTTCTCCAAACGTCTTCAAAATCTGGACGATCGTTGTAGGCACGCAGAATGGAAGCCAGTTTGGAGGACGATGGGGACAGGAAAAGCGAAGGAAGGTCATCCTTGATGAACGAAGTCAGGAGCTCGGAGCACTCAGAATCTTCAAACAAGAATGGCTTGAAAGACTTGAGCATTGCCTCCACTACACCCGCTGCACCGTAGGGCTTACCACTTCGAGACCTCAGGAGCTCGAATGCTTCTTTAAGCACCTGCAAAGATGACTTCGCGAGCCTCTCGCGGACAGCCTGAGAAGATGAGATCTCAAGGAGCTTAGATGCCACAGCAGCCCACCTCTGACCCTCATCACCAACTTGGTTCTGAGATGTCTCATAGTCCTTGGCTTGAGCTGGTTGTGACGTCTTCATGTCTTCAATAAGAACATCTGTCACCCGCCCCCATTGGGCCTCTAGGACCAAAGGCATTGTGGGAATCGCCAAAGATTGACTTATCAAGCCCGCAGCTTGAGGGGCTGGGACAGCCCATGTGGCGGTGTCTTGAGATGGTTTGATGTACTGGAGTACGAGAGGTAACACCATCTCAGCCAACAGCCTATGTTGCTCCTCCTCAGAAAATCGTGCAGAGAGCGCAGCCGTGACACTGAAGTATGTCGTATATGCGGCGCTGATGTTCATGCGAGGCTCATCCTTGCTGATGATGCCACTGCGGATCGCGTTTAGAACTTCGATGGCCTCGGCTGAATCCGAAGGCAGAACCTCCTTGGGCAGGCTAGACAAGATCTTGCTGACATTCTCCCAGTATTCCCGGGGACCGCCTTGTGAGCCGCGCTTCAGGAACTGTCGCAGACGCCTAGTCACTGGCGTCTTCTTCGATGTGTAGTGTTCTGTCCAAACGGTAGGGGAAATCTTGGTAAGGGCGACCAACGTTTCAGAGAATTCATATGCTGAACCGGTTTGGTCCGAGTTAAGCGCATTGGCTAGGTAAGCCTTGGAAATTGTTGGCAGGTTGCTCGAGTACACATCTAAGGTACCGAGTGTCAACATTGATAAACCCGCGACAAAGAGCGACAGACTTACCGCGCTGTTTTGCCATGCAAGTCCTCAGAAGTCTATGAATAGCCCGTCTCACAGCAGGATCGCTGTATGAGGCGAAATCCCAGAGCTTGTTGTCCTGTATGGCCTCTTCGTAGCTGCTCTGTTCCTTGGCGAGCTCTTCCGCGGACAATTCCGTGAGAAGACTTGCAATGACTGCGATGCTTGAAGCAATAACTCTATTGTATTTTCCCTCGGCGTCGTCTGCACTTGTGTTCCTCTCGTCACTCAGAGTGCTGGAAGTCTCCTTATCGATCACGTTGCGGCAGTACTCGAGGATCTGTTGCTGGAAGGCTTTGCGGACATTGTGCATCTTCTCCGGTGTTGAGAAGACAGACTTGAAGGATGCTTGGGCAGCCAGCGAGACAGACTTGTCGTTGTCGTAGAGGCCAGCCAGCCAAGCGCCGACGACCTTGGGCATGTGTCTAGCAATGCGCTTCCCACACGCCGCAGCGATCTGGCCCTGGACCGTGTGCGCAAGCTGCCGGACGCGTCGAGCAGTGTCAATGGAGGTGCGAGGGTATATTTGGACCTGGCAAAAAGCGCCTGTATCAACACTACCGCCATATTGTACAGGCTCGAGAGTAACGCACCCAGGCCTCCAGTACAGCCTCCTCCACCGGTGCGCCTGCCGAGGTGACGGTCGACTGCAGATCCTCCAGCGCCTTCGCCTTGGTGGTGCTATCCTTCTTGGAGAGGTTCTTGAAGGCGACGACCGTGTTCGCATCGGAAATGGACGAGAGGTCTGGCGGCTCGGAGACGTAAGAGAGCGGGGAGGCTGAGGCGCCAAACGCGGAGAAGGACGCGCCGGATCCAAAGCCGAAGCCGCCACCGCCACCGGCGGCGGCGCGACTGCTGCTGGCCTGCGACTTGGCCTTCTTGCTCATGGTGTTGGGGGACTGGGCTCGTGACTGTCGCAGTGCGGAAGAAAATGGCAGGTCGCGATGGACGGCGGGACGACGATGACGCAGACGCAGGCAGGCGCGCCAAGGCTCGCTTGCTCCCGGCGCTAGCGGCGCTAACGGCTGACTCGCGCCAAGGCTCTGAGCGGCTCATCTGCGCTCCATTGTCAGCAGCACTTCCTCTCCCCGGAGGCAAACGGCAATGTGAAGTGCTGCTCCCGGGCGCTGACCACGTCGCCAACCCCGCTGCACCCTCACCCCGTTGCCCTCGACTGGCGAGCGTCCGGAACTCCGCCGAGATGAAGTTCAACATCGAGTCCGTCAACACCACCCCCGTCTTCTCCGCGCATCTGCCTGACGCGTCCTAGTGATCTGCCGGTGCTGTTTCCGTACCCGCGCATCTACCCAGAGCAGTACAAGTACATGTGCGACCTGAAACGCACGCTCGATGCCGGTGGAAACTGCATCCTGGAGATGCCTTCGGGCACTGGCAAGACCGTCTCCCTCCTCTCCCTGATTATTGCCTACCAGCAACACCAGCCCGAGAAGCGCAAGCTGATCTATTGCTCGCGCACCATGTCTGAGATCGAGAAGGCCTTGTACGAGCTCAAGGCGCTGATGAAGTATCGCACCGAGCAGCTTGGCTATGAAGAAGATTTCCGCGGCCTGGGCCTCACCAGCCGCAAGAACCTGTGCTTGCACCCCTCGGTAAAGCGTGAGAAGAACAGCGCTGTAGTTGATGCTAGGTGCCGCAGCCTGACGGCCGGCTTCGTCAAGGAAAAGAAGGAGCGTGGCGAGGACGTCGAGCTTTGCGTCTACCACGACAACCTGGACTTATTAGAACCTCACAATCTGATCCCCCCGGGCGTCTTCACCTTCGAGGACATCCTGAGATACGGAGAAGAGCACAAGCAATGCCCATATTTTACGGCCAGGCGAATGATGCCTTTTTGCAACGTCATCATCTACTCCTACCATTACTTGCTCGACCCCAAGATCGCCGATCGAGTATCCAAAGAGCTGTCCAAGGACTGCATCGTCGTCTTCGACGAAGCCCACAACATCGACAATGTCTGCATTGAATCATTAAGTATCGATCTGACCGAGGACTCTCTGCGCAAGGCCACACGTGGCGCGAACAACTTGGAACGCAAGATTTCCGAGATGAAGGCGACCGACGCCGAGAAGCTAAGCAACGAATATGCAAAACTCGTCGAAGGCCTCCGCGCAGCCGACGAGGCGCGGGAAGAAGACGCCTTCATGTCGAATCCCGCCTTGCCAGACGACCTGCTGAAAGAAGCCGTGCCTGGCAACATTCGACGAGCAGAGCACTTTGTATCCTTCCTAAGACGATTCATCGAGTACCTCAAAACTCGTATGAAAGTGTTGCATGTGGTTTCGGAATCGCCGCCATCGTTCTTGGTCCATCTCAAGGAGCTCACTTTCATCGAGCGAAAGCCTCTGCGGTTTTGTGCCGAGCGCTTGACTTCTCTTGTACGGACGCTGGAGCTGACCAATATCGAAGACTATCAGCCATTGCAAGAGGTTGCCACGTTCGCAACACTGGTGGCCACCTACGATACCGGTTTCTCCCTCATCCTCGAGCCTTACGAGGCTGAAGGTGCCACCGTACCCAACCCGATCTTCCACTTCACGTGCCTGGACGCCTCGATCGCCATGAAGCCAGTGTTCGAACGCTTCAGCTCCGTCATCATCACCTCCGGAACAATCTCGCCGCTGGATATGTATCCCAAGATGCTCAACTTCTCAACAGTAGTGCAAGAATCCTACACCATGACTCTAGCTCGAAAGTCATTCCTGCCCATGGTCGTCACTCGAGGAAGCGACCAAGCAGCCATCAGCTCAAGCTTCGGTGTTCGCAACGACCCCAATGTTGTTAAAAACTACGGAGTTCTTCTCAGAGAGTTCTGCAAGCTTACTCCTGACGGCATAGTCGTCTTCTTCCCCAGCTACCTCTACATGGAATCCGTCATCAGCCAATGGCAGGGCATGGGCATCCTCGACGACATTTGGCGCTACAAGCTGATCCTCGTCGAGACGCCCGATGCCCAGGAGACTTCGCTCGCCCTCGAGACGTTCCGCACGGCCTGCAACAACGGCCGCGGCTCCGTCCTCCTCTGCGTCGCGCGTGGAAAGGTCAGCGAAGGCATCGATTTCGACCACCACTTCGGCCGCACCGTGCTGTGCATCGGCGTCCCCTTCCAGTACACCGAGTCGCGCATTCTCAAGGCACGCCTCGAGTTCCTCCGTGAGACGTACCACATCCGCGAAAACGACTTCCTCTCCTTCGACGCCATGCGCCACGCCGCGCAATGCCTGGGACGCGTCTTGCGCGGCAAAGACGACTACGGAATCATGGTGCTGGCGGACAAGCGCTTCAGGAACAAGCGCACCCAGTTGCCCAAGTGGATCGCTCAGCACCTCTCTGACGCCGACTCGAACATGAGTATCGATCAAGCGGCCGCCATGGCCAAGAAGTTCTTGCGCGACATGAGCAAGAACTTTCACAAACCGTTGGCCGAGGGAGTCAGCGTGTGGGGCATGGAGGACCTAAGGAAATACCAGAAGCAGAGGCAGGAAGAAGAGATTCAGATGCTGATGGATGCGCCGGATAAGGAGGTGCGGATGCGGGATGGCTTGGATGAGTTCGACGCAGCCGGGGATATGGATGAGGTCATGGCCGGGATCGAGGCTTGAGTGGTTCGCATTAGATTGTAAGAATAGATGTAAAAGCCGGTGGAGGGGGTAGGCGTATGCGTAGCCGCGCATTGCAGCTGGGGTGATGAGCAAGGTCGCAAATTGGGTTTTCTAATAAATGAAAGAAGATGAAATGCAATGAACGTACGGGATTACCGGACAGCTGAAGTGTGAGACCAGGATGCAGCTGTAAAGGCTCTAAATTACGATTAGTGCCTCCTCCTTGCGTCAAATGTTGATTTATTAACGGAGCGAATCGGATAAGACCAATGCAGATTCCTGTCTGATGCTTCATATTGGCAACATCGCACCGTCATATTGGTATTGTTAACTCTGTTTCTCCCTTTTCATACTGGGATTCTCCAGAATCCCGCTCAACGCTGGAACCGCACCCAAGACTCTTATCGCTTCCAGAAGCTCACTCCTGGAAGGTCTTCGCCAGAGTCCACATGTTCTCCATCTTCGACCTCGTCAACGCCTCTTTCGCCTCACCGTCCGACTCACACACCTTCAGTCCAAACCACTTCCTAAAGGCGCGGTCCCTTTCCTCACCCTCCCAGATGAGTGTGCACTTGTTGTAGCTCAGATCCTTCAGCTCCCCATTCTCATCTACCGACTGTTGCCACGCCGCTTCTGCTTCCCTGTTCCCTTCGCGCACGCTCTGCGGCCTACTCGAGGTTAGCTGAGGATTGTTGAAATTTGATGACAAACTACGTACTGAGCATTCTCTGTCCACTTTATGCGTTGCATGAGCAGTTTCTTGTAGAACCGAATTGAGTGTGCACCGCCCTCGACGATGATCAGGTTGTATTTCGGGTTCAAGATGGCGATGCCAGTAAGCGCGCTCTGCTTGGCGTTGACGTCGATTTGGTACCTATGCTTGCCAAAGCAAAGGTTGTCGACCTTGAACACACACATGATGATCTGTAAGGGCCTGTTACTACCGTAAAAACCAGCAGATATTGGAAAAGACTCACGCCCTTGGATGCATCTGTTTCTTGGTTGGCCGCAAGCTTCTCGAGTCGTTGTTCCTTGGTAAGCTTGCGCGCCTGGTTGTCCCGCTCGTGCTTTTCCGCGCGCTCTGCAATCTCGCGGTTCACACGTGCTTCCACAGCCGTCGGATCCTTCACTGCCTGCTCTCCCAACACGCGCATCAAATTCGACTTTTTGACCTTGGGAGGAGGAGGCGGTTCCAATCCCAGCCGGATCTTGGCTTGTTGCTCCTTATGCTCCGCCATACGCCGTTGGCGACGAAGCTTCGCCTGCTCCTTCTTTGTGAGGGGAAGCGGTTTGAGACCGGGGTTCTTCTTCTCTTGCGGTGGCTCCAAGAGAACCGGATGTTGCACGTATAATGTGATGATGGAGTCGGGGCTGTCCAGCTTAGCTTTCTCCATGTCGTATTCCGAGCCAACCAGTCCCTCGTCCCACCACTCTACCGCCGGCGGAGCTGGGACCAAGAAGTTCTTGTCGTTAGCCTCGTCGAGTCCGACCTTCTTTGCCTGGTCGGCAATTTTCTTCTTCATCTGCTCAAGCGCCTCCTGCCTTCGCAGGGCATTGGCCTGCTGGATAAACTTTCCCTTCTGGTTGAAGACGAGCTGCTTGGAATTCCTGCCTTTTGCAGTGGCACTTCCGACATTGGGATCATAGTAGGGATTCTTCCTCAGTTCTTCCAAGTTCGGTGGAGCCAAGTCCAATTGTTTCTTGTCCCTCTGCGCGGGCGACTCTGTCCGCCTATTTGCCATTGTCGTCGCAAACTTTGGCTGGATGGCCTGCTTCCCCTTCGCGCCTCCAGTGCCAGCATCTCCAAGCAAAGCGGGATGGAGGCCGATGTTCAACCCTCCCCTCGCGCGCGACGCGGTATCCTCAAAATCCGGAGGCTGTGGTGTCGGGGTAGAGACTCGCTTGGTGGCGGCGGCTACGCGGGCCTTCATCGCTTCGATCTTCTGGCGGGCAGCGTCCAGGGCGCTCGACGCAGGAGGCGAGGCCGAGGCAGGAGTGCCCGGAGCTGGTGAAGGAGACGGCGACACGGCAGCGCCATTTTGAGCTTCCTTTCGAGCTCTCATGGTTGCTGCACGCGCGCGAGCTTCAGCCATGGCCTTTGCGAAGTCGGGCTTCGCGTCAGCTCCATTGGCAGGCGGCGCCGGCGAAGCGTTGTTTGAGCGCGAGCGCTTGTGGTCGGCGGCGTAGGCATCGTCGGGGTGGGGGCGCTTCCCTGTCATCGCGGCAGATGTCTGCCGGCGTCGGCCTGAAGCTCGAAGAAGGTTGAGGTAGAAAGGATGGCGCGCGCGTGGGTAAGAAATTCGGGAGAGGTGACGCTGCAGCAATGGCGTCGACTCGTAGGCGGTGAGGTCGGCGGTCGCGACCGGCATGGCAGATGCAGATCTGCCGGCAAAGCGCCGGCCCAAATTTTTGGCAGCACTCCACCGCGCCTTCCCTTCGCCGCCGCGCGCGCTCTCTTCACTCCTTCATGCGCGAATTGGCCGCGTCGCCCGCCCTCCTGCTCTTCCCCCTCCAACATGGCGCGTAACGCGGGCATGAACATCGCGGATCCCGTCTCGAGCGCCATCAAGGGCGTCGAGTTCGGTGTTCTGAGCGCCGATGAGATCAAGAGCTTGTCAGTCAAGCGCATCACAGCCGCCGTTACTTTTGTAAGTCGTTCTCCGCGGGCAGCTTGCTGAACGGCTCTGACGGGGGTTCTAGGATACATTGGGTCACCCGGTCCCCAATGGCCTGCACGACTTGGCGCTGGGAGCTGCATTGGGCTCGCCCTGCGCGACCTGCAACCTGGACGAATTCCGCTGCCCTGGACACAGCGGCCACATCGACTTGCCTGTTCCCATCTACCATCCCACCTTCATGGACCAATTGCTCCGCCTCCTCCGCGCACAATGCCAGTATTGCCATGGTCTCAAAATGTCCAAAGTGACCACCCACCTCTACTCCTGCAAGCTGCGCTTGATCCATCACGGACTTTTGAAGGAGACGGCAGAGCTCGAAGTGGTCGAGGCTCCGAAGGTCAAGGGCTCGAAAGAGGAGGGTGAGGACGTCGAGTCCGAGGACAGCGATGCTGAGGCCCAGGACATCATTCAGAAGCGCGAGGCCTACGTCAAGCGTGTTTTGAAAGAGGCCGGCATCCGCAAGACGTCCGATGGGTTGCAGAATCGAACCGAAGCGGCTGCCGAGGAGCGAAAGTATATAATCAAGGACTTCCTCTCCGACATCAACAAGTCGAGAAAATGCGCCAATTGCGGCGGTATCTCGCCTTCCTTCCGAAAGGACCGCTATGTCAAGATTTTCAAAAAAGGCCTCAACAAAAGAGACAAGAATGCAATGATCCAGAAAGGCATCAAGGTCACCGCGCCCATCGTCGAAGAAGTCGCCAGAAAACGCGCACTGCAAGCCTCCAAGGACAAGGACGGATCGGATCGCATGGACGTTGACGAAGGTGTCGCTGACATGGGTGAGGAGGATTCTGAGGGCGAGTCGCTTGACGCGGACGAAGAAATTGCTGGAGGCTTGATCGCCGATGCGTCCATGACCGCGACGAAGAAGAAACAAAAGATTGAAGACGAGGGCGAGGGTCAGTCCTACGTCAGCTCTTCAGAAGTCCTGTACAGCCTTGAACGGTTGTTCGAAAAAGAGCAGGATATTTTGTCGCACGTTTACGGCCCGCGCTCTCGTAGAAAGGGCGGAAAGGTTCGCGCCGAGATGTTCTTCATCAAGGCTATGGTTGTGCCACCGAACAAGTTCAGACCAGAGGCCAAGACGGGGGATTCAATCGCCGAAGCCTCTATCAATTCGCTCTACAAGGGGATCCTGACCGCTTGCGACACGATCAACCAGATCGTGCAAGAGATCAAGACGGGCTCCGGCCTGCAAGGCCGACCAGCCAGGACGTACGATTCGCTTCAGGATGCCATCGTCGGACTCCAGGATGCAGTCAACTCGCTGATCGACCGTGACCGTAACCCCACGCAGGGCGCTGCTGGTAAAAGAAACGAGGATGGTATTAAGCAGAAGCTTGAAAAAAAGGAGGGATTGTTCCGTAAACACATGATGGGCAAGCGTGTCAATTTCGCAGCTCGTTCAGTCATCAGTCCTGATCCGAACTTGAACTCTAATGAGATTGGTGTCCCACCGGTCTTCGCAAAGAAGCTGCACTATCCTGAACCGGTCACAAGCCACAACTTCGACGAGTTGAAAGAAGCTGTCCTGAACGGCCCCGACAAATGGCCCGGTGCTGTTGCAGTGGAAGACGAGAACGGCAGTGTCACGCTTCTTGCTAAGAAGAACTACGAGGAGCGCGTCGCTATTGCCAACCAGTTGCTTGCACCTTCTTCCGGAGCGACCTTCTCCGGGGCGAGGAACAAGAAGGTGTACCGGCATCTCAACAATGGCGACGTTGTCATCATGAACAGACAGCCGACTTTACATAAGCCGTCCATGATGGTTCACAGAGCGCGCGTTCTGCCCGGGGAGCGCACCATCCGCATGCACTACGCCAACTGTAACACCTACAATGCGGATTTCGATGGAGACGAGATGAACATGCATTTCCCGCAAAACGAGCTTGCTCGTGCCGAGGCAGCTACCATTGCGGACGCTGACCATCAGTACCTCTCTGCAACAGCGGGAGCACCACTTCGTGGTCTCATCCAGGATCACATCACGTTGTGCGTCCTTCTCTGCTCCAAGGATACCTTTTTCAGCAAAGGTGACTACCAAAACCTAGTCTACGGAGGTCTCAGACCTGAGGACGGCCATACAACCTCGGGAAGACTCCTTACTGTTCCTCCCACTATCTGGAAGCCTCGCCCTCTTTGGACCGGCAAGCAAGTCATCACGACTCTTCTGAAAAACATCAAGCCCGAGGCTCATGGCCCCCTCACTTTCACCTCAAAGTCGCAAACCGCGGCAGAAAGATGGGGTAAGGGATCTGAAGAAGGCAATGTACTTTTCAAGGACGGCGAGTTGCTCACGGGCATTTTGGATAAGAAGCAGATTGGACCCGCCGGCGGGGGTTTGGTCAACGCGGTCTACGAGGCATACGGTCATACCGCTGCCGGCCGTGTTCTGAGTGCTTTGGGAAGGATGCTCACGGTACGTTTTAATCAATCAGCATTCCGAATGCATCACTAACGAGATGGATATAGAAATTACTTCATATGTGGGCCCACTCCTGCGGTGTGCAGGATCTGATCCTCACAGCCGAAGGTGAAAGGGCCAGGAGAGAAGCACTAGAGGCTGCGGAGACAGTTGGCCTCGAAGTCGCCTCGAAATATGTTTCTCTGACCAACAGCAAAATCCGATCCGACAACCCCGAGCTTCTGAGGCGTTTGGAAGCCGTGCACCGAGACGACTCAAAGCAACACGGTCTCGACCAGCTTACTAATGTTGCTTCAGGAGCGGTTTCCTCAGCAGTCACCTCGGCGTGTTTGCCCGACCATTTGATCAAGCAGTTCCCAGCGAACCAGATGCAGCGGATGACGGGTACCGGAGCCAAGGGAAGTCCAGTCAACGCCAACCTGATTTCCTGCAATCTCGGTCAACAGGTTTTGGAAGGTAGACGTGTACCTGTCATGGTCAGCGGTAAGACGCTGCCATGCTTCAGGCCGTACGAGTCAAGTATCAGAGCAGGTGGCTACATTGTTGACCGTTTCTTGACTGGTATCAGACCTCAGGAGTACTACTTCCATACCATGGCCGGTCGTGAAGGTTTGATTGATACAGCCGTCAAGACTTCTCGCTCCGGCTACCTGCAACGTTGTCTCATCAAGGGAATGGAGGGTCTCAAGGTTCACTACGACACCACTGTGCGCGATTCAGACGGCTCGATGATCCAGTTCCTCTACGGCGAGGACGGTTTGGATCCTACCCGAGCGCGATACCTCAACGATTTCAAATTCTCCGCTGAGAACTTCAAGTCGGTCTTCGAATCCATGGATGTCAGAGGACAGCTGTCGAGGCTGCAAAACGACGAGGCCAGCGAGTGGAACAAGAGCGCCTCGAAGAAATACCGCAAGACTGGAGATCTTGGCTGCATGGATCCTGCGCTCGCTAAGTGGAACCCAAGCCGCTATGCGGTTACTTCAGAGAACTTCTATCAAGCGAAGAAGGAGTACCTCGACAAGAACCCTGACAGACTCATCAAGGACAAGAAGCAAAAGGTTGAGACTGGTCTGTCCAAGAAGACGTTCAACGCTTTGCTTGACATCAAATATCTGAAGTCGTTGATTGAACCGGGAGAAGCCGTTGGAGTGGTGGCAGGCCAGTCGATTGGTGAACCATCTACTCAGATGACGCTCAACACTTTCCATCTGGCTGGTCACTCGGCAAAGAACGTTACACTCGGTATTCCTCGTCTTCGTGAAATCGTCATGACAGCTTCGGCTGCCATCTCAACACCGAGCATGACGCTGTACGTGAACGACGAGGTCACGAAGGAGGAGAGTGAGCGCTTCGCCAAGGGCATCAGTCGCCTGTCGCTTGCCCAGATCATTGATGACGTGAGCGTCAACGAATCGCTGGGCCGCGGTGTCGCATATTCGCAAGCGAAGATTTACAAGATCCGCCTGAATTTCTTCCCAGCCAAGGAATACTGCGAGGAATACGCCATCACCATCAAGGACGTCGAGCGTGCGATTGAGACCAAGTTCCTCCATCGTTTGAGGAAGCTGATTCGGGACATTCTCAAGAAAAAGGGTCAAGAGAAGACGCTCAAGACAGCAGCCAAGTCGGATGCGCTGCCTGAGGTTGGCAAGTCTTCTCGGACGGTGAAACAGCACCAGGGCCGCGCTCAAGCTGAAGGAGAAGAGGCAGACGAGGGAGATGGAGTCGATGATGACGAGGACGACGACGACGACGGCGAGGATGAGGATGCCACCAACGACAAGCAGAAGGCCAACCGCCAAATGGCCACGTCATACGAGAACCCCGACGACGACGAGGAGGCGATTGCAGCCGACAACCGCCAAAGAGACGCCACGCCCGATCCGATGCAGGAGGACGAGACGTACGGCGGCAGCCCCAAGCCCGGGCAGAGCTCTGATGACGACTCGGAGAGTGAGTCCGGATCACGACCGCGCAAGACCACCAAGGCCGTTGCTACCGAGAGGGAGCAAAGGATCATGTCGAAGGTCGAGGATGTGACATCATTCAAGTTCGACGACGTGAAGGGTCAATGGTGCGAAGTCACGTTCGAGTATGACGTGTCGACGGCCAAGCTCCTGATGCTCAACCTCGTCGAAACCGCTTGCAAGGACGCCGTGATCCAGGCCGTTCCAGGCATCAAGTCCTGCCTCGCGACGACCGAGAAGGTCGGCACGGAGAAGGTGCCGGTGGTGATCGTGGACGGATCCAACATGACCGCGCTCCGGGACCACCAAAATGTGCATGATCCAAACAGAATGTACACGAACGACATTGCCCAGATCCTCCGGCTGTACGGGGTGGAGGCTGCGCGGGCCAGCATCGTCAGGGAAATGTCGGCCGTCTTCGGCGGTCACGGCATCGACGTCAACAACAGACATCTCAATCTGATCGCCGACGTGATGACCAGAGGCGGTGGATACAAGCCGTTCAACCGGATTGGGCTCAAGAGCAACGTGTCACCGTTCATGAAGATGAGCTTCGAGACGACGGTTGGTTTCTTGAAGGACGCAGTCCTGGAGGAGGACGTCGATACTTTGGACAACCCCAGTGCCCGGATCGTCATCGGCAAGCTCAACAACGTCGGCACGGGCGCATTCGACGTTCTCACGCCGGTGGCTTGAAAGGGGCTACACTAAACAAAAAAGAAAAAAGTTGACTTGTTTGATTGCGACATATCAAGATGGATGGCGTTGAGTTGGGCTTGGAACGGGGTAATGGGAAAATGCTGTTTACAAAAGATTATTTGTGAGTGGAGCGGCTGTAGCATTGAATACAAGCACTTTTCTTCCTTCACGACGTCAGCTCAAGACTTTTTCCGTGCGGTTGCTTGGAAGATACTGGGGGGAGGGTAAGCAAAGGGGAATGCCCATGACCCAGGTAAGTGCGCCTACCATTTCCCCCTTTGCCTTTCAGGAGGCTGAGAAACACCGGCTCTGAGTCATCACTAAGCCAGCCGGGCCGATCTGTGGACGCCGCACTATCGTTGCGTAGCAAGTCACTCCATGTTGGTCCCGACTGCAGATGGACGATTAGGCTGCAGCGCTAGACCGAAAGGGGACTAGAAGACGTGCAGATACGGCAGCGGTACCTATCTTGACCGAGGTCATGATGACTTGGGAGAGGGACGTGAGGAAGAAAGACAGTTGAAATCTGGAGAGACCTTTGCCACCAACAAAAGCTAAGGCAAGAAGCCTATTGGGATCCGGCCACGGCGCTAGGCAGAAGTGACGGTCAGCCCCAGCCACAACGAAGAAGCGGCTAGTGAGTCTCCGAGACACTCTCAACCCATCTCTTGCGCCGATTGGAGCATTCTTGCAGCACTACGCAGTGAAGTCTGCCTCGTATGCGGAAAGTTCCCGGCGATGACTCGAAGCCTGCCTCGTCGTCGAGCACTACGTGTTGCCTAATCCGGCCCCAGGGCACCTCCTCTTGCCCCACGCTCTCCACGCTTCGACGACGCCATGTCTCGGAGAATTGGGCACAGACGAGATGCGATTGGCAGCCATGGCGCAGAGGGCCCTGTTTGTGCGACAGATCGACGTAGGCTCGCGGCCGTTTGGGGCCTTCTGCCTGGTGCCAAGCTTTCTAGATGCCGCGCTTCTGCCTGGACAGACAACACGGACTACTGTGCTGTCTGAAGCCCCACAGAATGCGGGGTGGGATAAGAGTCAACGATTGGAAATCTTGGTGGTGAGGGCAGTATAAAGTGGTCGTCGGTGAGGAGGGTTCGTCCGGCAGCTTTGCTCTGCAGCTTAACTGCTCACCTGCCTCTCCTCAACGATTCCTCCGCCACTCCCACCCCAAACACTCACAATGGCGGACAGCAAGAACAACCAGACCGACGCCGCCGCTGCCGCCGCTGCCGCCGAGCCGACGGACCTGCGCAAGCAGATGGAGGCCATGATCCGGTACAAGGTCGAGTGTGAGGACCAGTACGGCCCCAAGTTCGACGTCAAGCAGGATGGCACGCCCTTCGACCTGCAGGTGTCGCAGGACCCCAGCGCCATGGTCGACGTGCGCGATCCCGTCTTCGAGATCATCACCGGCCTCGACGTCGCCTCCAACCGGCCCAAGTTCTACGGCGGCCTGTGGGGCGAAAAGTTCGGTGCCGGCGCCGACGGCGGCATCGAGTCTTGGGCCGCCCAGGCTGCGACGGCCCCGGACCTCCTGAGCGCCGATGAAGAGGAGAAGGAGAAGAAGAAGGAGCCGCCGACGCTCGAGAACAAGCGTATCCTCAAGATCGGCGAGACCCGCATGGTCATCCACTCTGCGTGGCTGCTCGAGGCCATCAGGGAGGTCGTCCAGTTCTATCCGAGGTAAACCATGCTTCTTGCCACCGACACCCCAGCATCGCTAACACTGCGAAACCAAAAAGCCAAAACCTTACCGGCGACACCGTCACCGTCCACGAGCCGTACTGCGCCCTGGTGCACTACATCACCGAGCTGCGTGACCTGAAGAACCGGCTGGCGCTCGACCGCGTGACGGACCCGGAGCAGGAGCCGGACGACGTGTCGGTCAAGTACGAGCACCTGCGCATTCTGCTCGAGTACCTCGAGCCGCACGTCGAGAGAGTGGCACTGCCGGCTCGCCGGCGCCTCAGGCGCGACGAGCCCACCACCACGTTCGAGGACCTGTGGTACCTGCTGCGGCCGGGCGAGCTGTCGTACTGCACGCACGACGACGAGGTGCTGGGCTGCGCCATCGAGAGCGTCGAGCTCGAGACGGCGGACACCAAGGAAGAACGTAAGTGGACGGTGAAGGTGTGGTTCCTCGGCCACCGGTGGAAGACGGCGCGCATGCGCCGCGCGCTGCTAGACATCGAGGTGCCGTACTTCGAGGGCGAGAAGGAGGTCACGAAGCTGCCTGTCTACCCGCGCAAATTCTTCGACGAGCGCGACGGAGGCGAGCGGAGGGCCAAGTTCCAGAAGCGGGGCGCCAAGGCGTGCAATATCTCGTGGGAGGGCCACTCTTACCTGTCCTACAAGGGTCAGTTCATGGACAAGGCGAAGGCATACGTAAGTGATCCAGGCAAGGGGGCAGATGCCGAACGGTACCAATGCTAACGGAGTGCGCAGTACGAGGGCCAGATTGTCGCCGAGACGGCCATCCCGAGGCGCGAGAAGGTGCCGGAGAACCAGTGGGAGTTCAAATGGGACAGCTACCTCGATTACGCGACGGAGAAGAGCCTCGAGAAGGACAGGGCGGCTTCGCACATGCAGCCCGTGTGCCTCAATCCGGAGGCGGTGTCGCGGGAGATGCTCTCAGACGACCACCTGTTCCTGGTGTCGCCGGTGATGCTCGCGTTCGCGCTGGGCCACAAGGCGTGGATGCCGGTGCACGTCGACCACATGCACTCAATGGGCCCATCGTCGTACGTGCCGGACGCCAACATCGGGGCGGACAACCTGCGAATCATCCGCGCGCTTTCGCACCGGCAGGTGTCGACCAAGCAGTCGTGGTCGGCCGACTTCATCAAGAACAAGGGCGAGGGCGTCGTGGTGCTGCTGCACGGCCCTCCCGGCGTGGGCAAGACGTACACGGTAGAAAAAACAGCTTTGAGCACGCGGCGCCCTCTGCTGGCGCTAACCATTGGCGACCTGGGCCGCAACGAGGAGAAGATCGAGAAGGAGCTGACCATGTGGTTCGACCTGGCCCACCGCTGGCGCGCCATCCTACTCATCGACGAGGCCGACATCTTCCTCGAGCGTCGCCGCGCCTCGGACCTCGCGCGCAACGGCATCGTGGCCGCCTTCCTACGCAAGATGGAGTACTTTGGCGGCATCCTCTTCCTCACGACCAACCGCGTCGAGCATATCGACGAGGCCTTTATGTCGCGCGTGCACGTCGTCATCGGCTTCGACAAGCTCGACCGCACGCGCCGCCGCGTCATCTGGGCCAGCTTCGTCGACAAGCTCAAGCGCGAGATGGGCGGCAAGCTGCGCGTCAGCGACGAGGCGGAGCGCTTCGTACTCGACGACGAGGAGATGAGCGCCGTGGACTGGAACGGCCGCGAGATCCGCAACGCGTTCCAGACGGCCATCTCGCTCGCCGAGTTCGAGGCCATCGAGGATCCCGATCACGACGACCAGGCCGAGACCATTGTCGGCGTCGAGCACTTCCGCCAGGTCATGGAGATGAGCAAGACATTCAAGAGCCACGTCGAGACGGCCCGGAAGGAGAACAGCGACAGCGAGTGGTCGGCGGATTTCTAAAGTCTCTCGGCTGGTAGAGGCACGACGATGGCGGCGGTCTGAATGCCGGGGACAGCGGATGGGTGGCTTGGCTATAGAAAAAACGTAAACCATTGCCCTGTTCGGCTTCGCCCTCTTTTGCGTATGTGAAGCTTGCGGCGGTGAGATTGGGATGTGCGGTGTCTTTTAATTTATCCCGTGAGCCACTGATCGTGTAGGCATGAAGTACTTGGGACGTATAGCGAGATGGGCCGTGCGCCATATATGAATAGACTGCGGCACGTGGAGCAGGCAGTGTAGGCAGATCATATAGCGCATGGGGCGTGGTTGAATACTAATCGTCAACAGATGCGTCAGCGTGCGTGGCATGACAACACGGCGGTCCGAGAGCGCAGGGTCCGGGTCGCCATGGCGGGCCTGTAGAGCAAACCGTAAGCGGTACCTGCTTCCGCGAGATTTTATTTCCTTCTCCTTTGGTGGTGCGGAGCGGGGCCGGGCACGACAGCGAATGCGCTTTTTTCCTCTGCTCCTCCCGATCCCTCCTGCTGGGACCCGGTTGATGTACTCGGTGCCTGGCTGCCGGGGCTCTCGGCGCAAAGGAAGTCTGGGAGGATCGGCCTTTTGCTGCATCAGCTGAATTATTGCCAGATGGTGCCGAGACACGGAGAGCCTCTCGAGCAGTTGCCGCGAACAGCACCCCCATAAAAGATCACCGCCGCCGTTGCCCAAACCATGCCCGGCTGCCGTCGCACCACCAAACTCAAACTGAAGGAAAAGAGGAGCAGGACGGACGGCAATAAAGCGGCAGGGCCCGGATGGCCTCTCGCCTCCATCCCGAGGGGAGGGCGGTTGGCTGGGGCGGGTGTAGGACCGAAAGCGGCAGCGACGTCGTTGGACGTCTGGCGAAGGTGTGGAGAAGCACGGATCCGTCGCGGCGGCGGGCTGGCGCGTGTGCGGTGGGTGTGCGGTGCGTTTGCGGTGGGTGTGCGGCGCGTGTGCGGAGCGCGTGCGGTGGCGGGAAGCTGGACCATCTCGGCAACCCCGATGCCTCTTCCCTCTGCGCCTCTGGGGCTCTGGGGCTCTGGGCCCTGGGCTCTTGCCGCGCTGGGCCCTGAGCTCTTGCCGCGCTGGGCAACCGCTGCCTTCTGCGCTCCCATTGGCCCCGGGCATTTTTGATTCTCTGCTGCCTTCGTGCCTTCCAGCTGGGAAGATGCGGGTCCGGAGTCCGGAGCCGCGCCGCCGCCCGCGCTCCTCCTCCAACCCTGCTCCAACAGGGTGTCCAGGGTGTCCAGGGTCTCGCCATCAGGCCTACTAGCGCGCGCGGCGCGCGGCGCGCGGCGGATGTCCAGCCGGATGGACGCCGGATGGACCACCTCGACCCCGGGTGGCTTCCGGTCCAGTCGTAGCTCCATGTTGTATACCTTCGCTACGCTCGAGCCCCGTCTGCCTTCACCATGGCAACCCGGCTGGAAAAATCAGACGAGTCGGCCCAGCAAAACAGATGAATCCCATAGCTTTCCCTTTTGCGTATCTGATCAGCGTCGGGGGTGTTTGCATGCCCGTCAAGGGTGGCCCATCTTTTTGCCCCGCCGCGCTTAATGAGAGCATCGGCCAGACTGCTGAGCCTTCCAACGAAAGCACACCTTGGGGCCCAGCCTTGGTGACGGGCAAGACAAACGAGCTGGCAAAGGTAAGCGGGCACTATGTTCTAACCATGCAAGTCTTGGGAGAGCCTCTGACCCTTCTACACATGGACAGCGTAGTAACAACTTCCACGCAACCTGGAAGTCGAAGCGATGACGCCAAAGGCGAGATACGAGCTGTTTCTCTATGCGTTACCCCACATCCATAGGCCATCGTAGTAGACCCCTCAGTTTGGTACAAGTTCCGAGACCCTTCCTCTAATGCCAGCTTGCTCCTCCTCGGTGAAGGTCATGCCAAACACGTCGCGCAGGGCCTTGAGCCGCTCGGGCTCTGACTTGCAAGACCGGACGAGCCGACTTTTCCCACCCAGATTCTCCTTGACCTCTCCGTGCACGAGCATCAGCTTGCCGTAGATCTCGCCCGTCTGCCCGTCCGGCCCGGGATCCCGGCGCAGGAACTTGACCACCAGCGGCGTGAAGGTCTGGAAGCTCTGCGGGCACCTGCTGGTGTAGTAGTTCAGCACCTCAAAGTCCTGGTGCAAGAACTCGGTCTCGGTGAAACAGAAGAACGAGTTCCAGCCCTGGTCGGCGCCGTTGCGGTACTGGTAGATCCATGTGGCGGGTCTCTCGGCCGACGTGTTGGTCGCGTTGTCGATGCTCTCGCGCGACAGGCGGATCTGCTGCGGTCCAATGTTCTGCGTGACATGATGCTCGACCAGCGGCACGGGCTGGCGCATCTGATCGCCACCAAAGCCTGTATCAGACACCCATTTGGTCCCGTCGGCAAGAGTGACGATGTTCACGACATGTACCCTGGATTGGCTCCAGTCAGCATCGCCCAAAAGGCAGCCATGGCTTCGGAAGGGGAGCGCACCATCCCGTGTAGTCGCCAAACGGGACGCCGTTCTTGCGCGGTCTAGCCCGGGCCCCTGTCAGGTAGACCTGGAAGCCTAGAGCCCGCAGCACATGATTGAAGAATATGCTGTGCTCCATGCAATACCCGCCACGCCCGTTGGCCAGGAATTTCTCGAGAATGTCATGCACATCCAGGGAGACGTTGACGTCCTTTGCATAGTGTAGGGACAGGTTCTCGTACGGCAGGGTTGAGATGTGATGGACATGCAGGGCCGTCAAGCATGCGAGATCCAGCGCAGGGTTCTTGTTCTTGTCCCGGCGGAATTCCTGCGGCAACCGAATGTGATCGAAGTAGCGATGGAGCTGGCTGGGGGTCAACGGCGACGGCATGGTGGACGCTAGGCAGTGAAGTCAAAGTAGTGCATGCAGCAAGGATTGCCCAAGCCGGCGTGGATACAGAGACGGCGATGCAAAGTCGTCGAGTGGTTGGATGAGTCACTGCTGCCAAGACGGCCGCTGGTGGGACAGCGCCCTCTCCTGCAGCACATTTAAAGTGGCCCACTTCGAAGCAGAGAGAACGCCTCAGGATCAGGCTGCGTCTGTTTCTGATGAGCAGAGAAGGTGTTCCTGATCGGGTAGGCGGCCCCAGTACTGCCAAAACGGGCCGATGGGCTGGACGTAGCCAACGCCGCCACCTCGACCTGAAGCACTCATCAAGCCGCTTGTGGCTGGGAGCGCATGCGAGGCAGAGCCCAGAGCCGCGGAAGATGCCGCCCGGTGATGGAAAGGACGACCACAGCACCGCACCACAATCGCAAGAGTCTCGGGGTGTGACGTTGCGCAGGGCAGCAAGGACAGCAGCAGCAGGCCCTGTCTCCACCACCGGCGGCGTGATGGCCAGCAGGCGGCGACCAATGGCGTGCGAGTCGGAGGCTTTCCCGAGCGGCGCTGGCAGCGGGCGGGCGGGGTTGGGGCGAGGGCGACAGCTGGCGTCTGGGCGCCGACTGCAGGCTGACGGCGGGGGCGGAGACGCCAGACGCGGGGTTTCGGGCTCCACCATGCCAGAGCCTCAATGGACCGGAAAGCCGAACGCCGCCCTCCTCGGCTCCATGCGCCCTGCCGTAGGCCCGACGTCACTTATCAATACTTTTGACTTTCCTGTCCGCAACTCCTCGCACGCCCCCGCATCTCGCTGCCGGCCAACAAATCGCTCTGGCAGCCCCTCACCTCCTGCGCCAACCCCCTACGCCCAGCCGTTCTGCCGGCGTCCCGCTTTCATCGCCCGCCATCCGCCCAAACCGGCTGTTTCGCTGCCGCAATGGAACCCCCTCACCCCCAAGATGACGTCCACCGCGCCTCGCTGCGCCACCCAGAAGCATTCTGGTCCGCCCAGGCCGCCCAGCTGCACTGGCACAAGCCGCCGTCGCGCGCCCTCGACCTTACCACCAAGCATCTGCCCGCCATCGGCGTGCAGCACCCGCATTGGTCATGGTTTCCCGACGGCGAGATGAACATTTCCTACAACTGCGTTGACCGCCACGTGCTTGCCGGAAACGGCAGTTTCACTGCCATAGCCTGGGACTCGCCTGTTTCAGGGTCCAAGGAGAAAATAACATACCAGCAGTTGCTGGAAGAGGTCGAGGTTTTGGCCGGCGTTCTGAGAGAAGAGGGCGTGAAGAAGGGCGATGTTGTTCTCATTTATAGTCAGTCCGCTGTTTTCTTTACTGCCCGCCAACCACTTGATCAAGCAGCTGACGAAGTTTAGTGCCAATGATACCCGCAGCATTGTTTGCTATGCTCGCAGTTGCGAGACTTGGAGCCATCCATGCAGTCGTTTTCGGGGGCTTTTCTTCTGGCTCCCTAGCGCAGAGAATAGAGGCATCAAAACCAAGCGCGATTCTAACAGCTTCTTGTGGAATCGAAGGCGTCAAAGGTCCCCTTGGCTATCAAAAACTCGTTCAAGGAGCCGTTCAGAAAAGCGCCTTCAAGCCTTTCAAGACCATCATCTGGCAGCGCGACCAGCTTCGCTGGGATCCGGTAGCCAAAGAGAATGGGGAGAGAAACTGGCAAAGAATCGTCAAGAGTGGAAGAAACAGAGGCGTCAGGGCAGAACCTGTGCCGGTAAAATCAACAGACGGCCTTTACATCATCTACACGAGTGGTAAGTCAAGTTCCCCACAACCTGTCTTTTCCTTCCGGATAAAAATTAGCCTGAATACCGGATTGAGTCATCTGTACAGGCACTACTGGTCTTCCCAAAGGGGTTCTCCGGGATGTCGGCGGGCATGCCGTCGGGCTCAATTTTTCCATGCGATACATGTTCGGGCTCAACCGTCCCGGCGATGTGATGTTCTGTGCATCGGACATTGGATGGGTGGTCGGGCATTCGTACATTGTCTACGGACCTTTGCTCGCCGGAGCGACAACTGTCCTTTTCGAGGGTAAGCCAATCGGCACGCCTGATGCTGGCACTTTTTGGCGAATCGTCGAAGAATACAAGGTTAAGACCATGTTTACCGCCCCAACAGCCCTGCGGGCGATCCGGAGAGAAGACGGGGATAACACCTTCTTCGAAAAAACCGGCGCACGTGGCGGACTAAAAAGTTTGACCGGACTGTTCCTGGCAGGCGAGCGGAGCGAACCGAGCATTGTGACCATGTACCAGCGGCTCCTGGATAAACATTGCGCTCCCAACGCAATTGTCAACGACAACTGGTGGAGCTCCGAGTCCGGGTCGCCAATTTCGGGGCTCGCGTTGAATGCAGCAGCTGGGAGGCATTTTAACGCTGTGGAGAGGGCGAAGCCGCTGCCAATCAAGGCAGGGTCCGCGGGTAAACCGATGCCTGGCTTTAATGTCAAGGTTGTCGATGACGACGGCAATGAGGTCAACCAGGGCACCATGGGCAACATCGTGCTCGGGATCCCTCTTGCGCCCACCGGAATGACCACCCTGTGGCAGGACGAGGAGCGATTTTACAAGGGATACCTGAAGAGATTCGACGGACGCTGGATCGACACCGGTGACGCGGGCATGGTCGACAGCGCCGGATACGTGCATGTCATGTCCAGGTCGGATGATGTAAGTGAGGTCTGCGGCGGCAGTCGAGGTTCGCGGCTGACACTGGGCAAGATTATCAACGTTGCAGCTCACCGTTTCAGCACTGGTAAGTGCCCGGCAGGCGGCGCGCTCAGACTCGGCTCGTCAGCGCTGACAGGCTTGGCAACCAACAGGCGCGATCGAGCAGGCGATCACATCGCATCCCGGCGTGGCGGAAGCGTGCGTGGTCGGGATTCCCGACGCGCTGAAGGGCCATCTGCCGTTCGCGTTCGTCACGCTCTCGACCCACGAGCATCCGGGGCCGGCACTACCCGACCAGCAGCTGTTCCAAGAGGTCCAGGGCTCAGTTCGCGAGCAGATCGGGTCAATTGCCAGTCTCGGCGGGATGATCCAGGGCAAGGGTATGATCCCGAAGACACGGAGCGGCAAGACGCTGCGGCGGGTGCTGCGCGAGCTCGTGGAGAACGCGGTGCATGGCGAGATGGACAGGGAGGTGCAGGTGCCGGCCACGGTCGAGGACGCGGCGGTGGTCGAGGTCGCGCGGACGCGGGTCAAGGAGTACTTTGCGGCCAAGGGCAGGGGCGCGCACCAGGCGGTGGAAGCGAGAGCGAGGCCGAAGCTGTAATGGGCGGCGGTCGAGCAGGAGGCGGGCGTGAGGCATGTTCCGCCCAAGAGGGAAGCTGGCGCCTGCGCGGTGATAATTTGACACGGTTCGTACGAGAGCGTCACGGCGTCGTTCTGGCGGGAGAGTCATCAAACGGCGTGTTTAGTGAGCAGGACGAAGCGCATTACCCAAGAGATGATTGCTCGCGCGCACGCCCGCCATCTGGACGGCGGCCCGCTCCCCGCTCGGAAATCAGAGCAATAAGAGCAGTAATTGCTGCTGGGGCGTGCTGCGGCGTGCTGCGGCGCGCTGCGGCGCGCTGCTATTATCGCGGCGGCGGGCGCGGGTCACGTGCGACGGGCAGCTCAGTCGCTGGGGGCGAGCCCGAGGGCCAGGGCGCGGTTCCGGCTGGGCGGTTGCTGGACTCCATGGCTGCTGTGGTAGTCGGACAATTTCGATTCAGCGGTCGCGAGCTGCCGACGCTGTCACGGCTGTGCTGGGCCGTGCTACGAATCAGCACGCCTGGCGGGCGTCGGCCCGCGTGCGGCCTCGTCGGGGAAGCGCTGCGAGCGCTCCCTGCTGCTGCTCGCTGCGGCCTAGCGCATCCCGGGCCTTTGATTAAGGTGCTCCAGCGCGCGCTCTGGGGAATAGGTGGGGTCTGTCCTCTTTATTTGCAGGGCCTGCAGCTCCTCATTTCAGCGAGAGTCATGGCCTGGCAAACGGGCCGTGGGCTCCCCATCCGCAGGCGCGCGCACCCAACGGCGCAACGCGCAACGGCGAATGAATGTCAAACAGCGGCCGCGAGCGCCCTGAGCGGCCATGTGTGCGCGCGGCCACGACTCGCGCCCAGCTGATCTCCCGGCCGGAATCGAGCGCGCTGCTGCGCTGCTGCCCGCCTGGCCTGGCTTCGGAGGGATCAAGACGCCTGCGTCGGCTCGGGGCCACGACGCTTAGTGTGCTCCCAGTCCGCCAGTGCCTCGCCGGGCCAATGGCCACGGCCTTCTTCTACTCCACTCTTGCACCGCTGCCCATCCCATCCTCCTTTCGAAAATTCTCCTCGCGCAGTGGCCAGTGCGAGCGAGCAATGCCCGCGCGCCCGCAGCCCTGACACCCACCAGCTCCCGCGCCCTTAGCACCAGCCCATTCACGTGTGTCGCTAGCCCAGATCTCCCTCCCAGCCAGCAGCACCACACGCCCATCACCCACTCCCAGCCGACCTCGCACAGGGCCCAAAGGTCGTACTTACACGCCACCGCTCCTCACCTTCGTTTCACCCTTCCCCCCCCCCTCCGAGAGCCTCCCTCGTTGCTCAATTGCTCCCCCAGAACGCCAAAGGAGCCCGGCCGACCAGCGGAGCCCGCGCCGTGCTACCAGCAAACCGCCCTCGCGCCCAACCTCACCGCAGCGCTGCCCCTCGTTGCACGCCGCAACGCACGACGAGCGCCTCCTCCCACACGTGGCCGCCCAACTAGTCCCATAGCTGCCGCCGCTGCATCCCCGACCGACGAGAGACGCAAGGCATTTCGCACCCCGTCGCCAGTAAATACCTGCCGACAGCCCGACTCCGCCTGCCCCAAGTCCAGGCCCGACTCCATCGCCGCGACCCCCCCAGCCAAGCTCCCCGACGCGCACCGCAGCACGCAGCCACCATGGCGGGGAAAATGACCCTGTACAAGCTGGTGGTGCTGGGTGACGGAGGCGTGGGCAAGACCGCGTTAACCATCCAGG